TCGATGGCTCCCAAGGGATCTCTGATCTACGACAAGCTCCAATTGAGGTGATCGCTATTAGTAATTTGGGCGGTGAGGCACAATGCATGGCTGTTGGTGTGTTGGTCTCGAGATGTGGTGTCGAGCTGCCTTTTGCCTGTCTGGGGATTACCGGCACAGCGCCAAGGTTAGCTGGAGCTCGTCGATCAACCGGCTGGAGGGTCAGATTTTTGCTATCCCAGACTCAGATCAAGTTCGTGGAAGATGACGCCGAATGCATCGTGCTTTATTTTCTAGGCCCCTCTGCTTCTCCGTCCCTTCATCGCTTCTGGAATCGAGATTTAGTGGCAGTTACTTTGATGTCTAGCGACCAAGGTAGCCCGCAGTGGTTAGTGCAGAATGAGGACGGCTTGATATTGTGTTCAATCAAGTTCCCGCTTCACGGTCTGAGCAGACCGGGGAATGACACAAGGGCTTTTGACCCAATGTGGTAGGCGGGTCGACTGTGGACATCGTGTACATATGTTACATTCGTTGACGAGAGGAAAAGAGAGAGAAAATCATCCAGAAGATATGGATGACCCTCGGAACGTCCCTTCTCCCATTAAGTCTTCCCAAAATGCCCCAACAAGGCCTATTTTCCCCCTCGGGAAGTGGGGAGAAAAGGGGAATTGGTGAAAGGATCAGACTGTCTAGGGTTGACGCGGCGGCTAAAATTCATTACACAGCGCTCCCACAATCCGGTGCACCGGAGAAGGGATGGAAGAGAGAAGGGGACACACGCTTCTAGAATTTTAACAACCCGAAAGATTGTTGATCGGTTGGGAGGAGCACATTGAGCAACCTTGCATCATCATCATGAAGCCGTACATGTAACTGATGATCGACGGGAGAGCTTCACACTGCTTGGCTCACAGGAACCCCGCCGGTTTTTTTTTTTTTTTTTGGCCTTCCCCACCATGAAAAGTTCAGAGCTCACCCGCGGTAGGTCGGGGACTCGTCCCGCAATCCTTCCCACCCTTCCTTTCCTCTTCTTGTGCAAGGTCCCTTCTCGGCATCGGCATGCGTCCTGCACGCCGTGCACCCTAGCAAACCCCATATTCCCAAGCGACTGGCTCTACGCCTCTCACAACGGGGCTTCCTGGTGTTGACATATTATTCGGAGCACACATACGGTATTTTCCTTCTTCTTTGTAGCCAAGCTACTGAAGCCATTATGCTGCCTTGCCATCTGTAACCATCAATCCCTCCAGCTCTCTTTTATACCCTCTTCGGTGGAAACGGCGTATATTCTTCCCTTTCTGTTTACCCTTTTTTTCTTTTTCCCCGACATAGGCCTCGGGCCAAACTTTGTCTTTATATCATATTCGAACCGGGATGCCTAACCTTGGTCACCTTTGGTTCGCGCAATTCATGATACTTTCTCTACCCGTTCCGTATCTTCTCAAGTCGTGATGCTAGTGAACTTGGTAAGGCCGCACACGCCGCGTGCCCCAGCTTCAGCTCAAGTCAAACAAATGCAAAGCTGTGGATGGTAGCTCAAGAGGAAGCAAAGCGGGAGCAGGGAGGAAGATTGAGCTCGCCCAGAGCCTAGACTCCCTTGATCGCCGCCCACCCGCGACCTGCACTATTAAGCTCCACCATTCCGTTTTCTTGATTCTGCAAAGGATGAGAAAGGTAGATGAGGAGGTTCGGGCGCATAATAACACTGCCGGAACTTGGTGTGTTGAATGCAACGCACCTTGACCCGAGACTCGTCGAGAGCGTTCCGAGTTGGTCCGGCAATAAGTTTTGTTCAGGAGCTGCGAACTCGGAACACTTAACCTTTTCGGTTAAGTGGATACCACTTGTCAATTTCTTTCATTTTGATATTTGTATTTGTTGGTGGAAAACAGGCACCATTGCTTCGCTTTCTTCTTCCGTTAGCCCTCCTCCGTCCCGGCAGATTCGAAAAGGGGGAATGGAGCAGAAGCAGCATTGGTTGAGTTCATGGATACAGATGGGGGAAGAGTTGAAGACGAGGTCATGGGGGTAATTGGGGGCCGCAGGTGGTGCTGACGGCGAGGTTGAGCAGCAAAGGCCCAGACCCCGCGAAGATTCCTCGGCTCGGTAAATCATAACCGGTACGGGGTGAAGTCCAGCGATTCGGCTATGTCTCAAGTGGTGGAATTTTTTTCTCTTCATATTTTGTTTTGGCTTCCTCTGAAGCAGAGTATGCTTCTTCTTTTCATGCTCAGATGGGTAGCGGAAGAAAAGAAGAAGAAGAAAAAAAGAGAGAAAAAGGGTGGCCACTTGTGCTGCGTCTCTTTCATTCCCTTCCTGTTTTCATCCTCTGCCATTCTCGGGAAGGTTCCGTGTAGTCTGTCTATGCTGTGTCGGACTGGAAAATTATGATGACCCTTCCGCCTCTAGTATTTTTACTTTTTATTTTTATTTTTGGTCCTCAGGGCGACATGCCCTAGACTACGCTCGAAGAGCTTGAAATCAAGCAAACGGAAGAGAGACGGGAGCGACTTGACCCTTCCAAGTATTCACCTTCCGTCAATACTAACATTGAAACGGTGCGAGACCCAGAGAACGGGTCGGTCAAGTGGAGAAGAAGGAACAGAATGATGATAGACTAGTGAGAGAACTAAAGTCTGACTCAAACCTGGGGAATGAGCTTCGCCCAGCTCTCCAAACCCCAACCCACGCACCCACACCTGAAGAAAAGAGATGCCAACATCGAGGGGGGACACATCGCTCACCCTGACCGCGGGGACTGTGGACCAGACAGGATCATGAACAATGACACATCCCGAGGAGGAAATTCCCCGCCTTTGTTTTCGCCCTATTAGCATTTCGCACATGGCAATTGAAAGGACTCCCGGGACCTCCCGGTGTTGCGTGGTTCAAACAATATAGAGTTAAGCCATTTTCAGATCTCGTTCCGATGTAGGTCGTGCGCGCGATGCTTTGAGAATTGTGTGCATGTGCGCGGAGTGTGGGGGATAGATCTGTGTGTGCGCCTGCCACCTACGACATCAATTGCAAAGCCCACTTTATTAAGGAGAAGTGAGGATGCAATGGAATGAACTTGTGGTGTTAGTGGAGTTAACCTAAGATCCGGATTACATGTGCGGCCATCACAGCCCGGCATACTTGGGTATGAAGAAGAGGGGCACCGCAAAACATCCATCGATCTATCTTCCTTGGGCTCATAGCCGGCTTACGTCTGAACGGCATCGTACTTGAGCTAAAATAGTGAGTGGCCGAGAGCCGTGGGCCAACAGGGAAATGAATGGGGGAAAAAGAGGGAAACGGAAATGGGCAGCAACAGGGGACGGAGCGGAGAGTGTCAAGGGCCAGCTTGCGCTTCGTCTCCGATGGCGCTCGCCTTGGGAGGAAGCGCATGCATTTCAGCAACTCTTTTCTAAGCAGAGGTAAGGGGACTTGGCTTTCCATCCCGAGGGCTAAGAAAAAAGGGTCAAGAACGGAGACATCCATTGTAATGCGGGGGTGTGCGTGTGTGTGTGTGTGTGTGTGTGAGTGCATGTGTGCAATTTGCTTCGGCGTCATCTCGTTTTGGCCCAGCAATTAGACTTGGAAGAGTTGCGAGAGCATCGGTCGGCGCTCAGAAAAACAAAAGCTGAGAGGATACCGAGAAGCCGAGGAACTTCCCCCATGCTCCAACACGAACGAGGAGGTTTTCGGCGGTGGTTCGACCTTGCTACCAGGTGCCCCACCATCATCCACCGAGCCGCGCATCGAGGTTCGGCTCCTTTTGACTTGGGAGGGGCGCCGACTTCCTTTTTTTTTTCCGCACACGACACAGAGCGCCTTGACTCATCGGTGTTTAGGGTTTCTAATGTTTTGGGGGCTTTCTTTGCTTCCCTCTTTTTCCCCGCCAAGGTTGTGCACCGAGCTACTGATCCTCGCGTCTCCTGCCATGTCTCCGCCCTTCTTGCCATCGATGCGCCATGCCAGATGGAGCCTTGCTCCTTGCTGCTCCCGCCATCACCGCCCACCCCGGGGCGCGCGCGTCCTCCCCCTCGTTGGTGTGGATGCACGTCCAGGGGCTAATGCAACTAAGTCTAACTGGACGCTTAGATCTCTGTCTCGCGCCCTGGGTACATGTGATAATCAGAAGGGGAGGGGGAAAGCGGAAAGAATAGGGATGGCGATGGACTCGGAGGCATGTGGCGCGCATCATTGAGGGATGGAGAGGGAGGATGGAGAGGGGGAACAATGACACGTAGAGTTAGACCAGCGGTCAGGGTAAGAGAGAGAGAGAGAGGGAAAGAGAGAGCATGTGGGTGTGTGGGTGATGAGAGTGACGGAAGCGAAAAGAGTAAAAGCGAAGGGGGTATCATCTATGTGTATTGTGGGCCGTTTTTACAGAGCCAAGCTAAGAACCACTTTCTGTCTACTGTGGTGCATTCATGTAGTTTCGCTTCATCTTGCCCCATTCTCTCATTGTCGATTGCTCCTCCATTCGACTACCGTTTATCCACCCAGTCCCGCATCGTTCAGCACCATACTACGCACACCATCGTACCAAGGGAAGGGAGAGAGACGTAGAGCCAAAAAAGTAGAGAGGGTGGGGTGTGAGGGGGACGAGCCAACCCTCTCCCCCGACCCCACGCCGGCGTTTTCCCCGCATTTCTTCACACAAGGTTTCCCCAAACCAACCTATGTGTGGTGGCAAAGGGAAAGCAGAGGTAGATCCAAGGACTTCTAGAGGAAGGGGGTTCCAATAGGGCGAACGGATCTAACCCCAAAGGTGAGTCACCGCCAACCCCCTTTCGGGCTCGAGACGCGATGGGCGATGAAGATGCAGGGGGCTGACTATGCGGAATGGAGTTACGTTTGGCTGCACCTGCTTTGAGTGGGAAAGGGTGATTCTCAGTCGGAGCAGGCAACGTGCGAGGAAAGAGGGAGGGAGTGGCGGCGGGCGGGCGGCGGGCGGAGGGAACAGCAGATTTGCGCATCATCGGGTCGATTCATTTTTGATTCCTCGTCGGCGTGGCTCCTTGTCGTTCCTATTCTTCCCATTCCCTATCCCTGACGAGCTCCACATGCTGTTCAGGCGTCATGGAGGTCCATTGCTCGGGCGTGAGATGGTATGACCGGCCCAAGTACGTCACCCCGGCCCAGATATCGCTTTGCAGCATGAGCTGGACAAAGTCCACGGCTAGGTAGTTGGCCACCCACCGCCAGCTCGTAGTGCCCAGGAGGAACGGCTCCCATATATCCCCGTCGGCAACCCGAGGCGCACCGCGTAGGATCGTGCCATCATGCGCATAGCGATAGCTTCCAGCGGGGCTAGAGCAGCGTCGTCGCGGCCCCTCCCAGTAGCGTTGCCGCGTGTGTGAGGGGTTGCTGGGTAAGCGCGTTCTTGAGGTAGTCTGCCTGGCTCCCGTTGGGAGATCGCCCGTCGTTGCCCGTTGTGGGGCGGAGCTCGGCCGACCAGATGCCCGGGGTGCATCTGTGGATTCCGTGGCTTCCACGTCGAAACTGATGAGCGTGCCACTGATGGCCCCGTTGTCTTCTTCGTCGGACCCGTAGTCGTCTCCTCGTCCCGAGAACGCACTCGGCCTTCGCGACACCCCGCTTGGTGGCGCTGCTGAATCCTCCTCTAGGCCTTCGGTTCGCGCCTGTTGAGTTGCGCCAGCCTCCTCGGCCCCGGGTACGGCTACGTGGCTAGCCGGGGTGTCTGTCCCTCTGCCGCCGCAACGCTTCTCAACTGGCTGCTACCTTGGCCTGGTAACATGTCCCGGTGAGATCGCGGGTCTACGATGGCGTCGATATGCGGTAACTTGAAGTAGATCTTGGTCGCTAGGTCGGATGTGATTCTAGCAAAGTGTGTTCTCCATAGCGAAAAGAGCACCATTGGTGCCGCATTCAGGGCGGCGGCCCAGCACCACCTACCTAGCGATGCCGGGCTGAAATCTGGCGGTGGGGGAGGGGCTGGGAAGGGCGAAAGGGATGTGAACGGGATGAAATAGGCAATAGTGGGAAGTGCGAATCGCGATATTAGGCCTGATCTCTGGAGAAAGATGTAGAGAGCTACATGAGTCTTGAGATAGTTCCCCGTGGCCTCGTGTCTGTCCCCTCTATATTAGTCCGTAGTCCCTAATGTGCAGCTGGGCGGGGGACGCTACAATGACGTGTAGGTGTACGTACATCCTTCGGAGTACATTGGGACGGTATCGTTCCCGGATGTACTTGATTTGTAGGAATTCAAAGCTCTGCCATGCAAGCTCCGTCGGGAAACCAGCTAGGAAAAGGCTCGAGAAAGGCCGTGGAACCTCACGCCAGCAGACTCTGGCGAGGTTCCAGAACGGCTCGGACGAGAACGATTTATACACCTGCGCGGGACTTGCAATTAGATAAGGCGATATGATGCTGGAGGAGACCCTCTCCCAAAGAGAAAAAGGTAGTAAAGTTACCGTACCATGATGCGGTGCCGTATCCCCGCAAAAGTCCAGTACGCTATATCAGAGAGCCCGTTGGCGATCGTCTCCATGCGATCCGCAATGAGGTGCTCGTACAACAAGTAGCGGCGTGCTGACTGCACCTCACTCTCATTCGAGTTGGGATCTGGTTCTGCGACTCCAATGACATGCATCACTTCATTATGCGATCGTACAATTTCGCGATTCAGTCGTTTCGTTTCCGGGTTAATCGGTCGTCCTTTCTCGTCGTACTGCTGGGTTGACGAAGACTCGCCCTCGCCACCATCGCCATCGCCCTGTACAACATCATCGTATGGTGACCTGCCCTGTGGTTTTGAGTCAAAGAGTATTAGATTGAGAGATCAGTCATTCGTTAAGAGGCGGAGGGTTTCTTCAGGCAAGTTTAGGGGAGTCGCGGGCATACCAGAGCTAGGGCGGTCAGGGGCCCTTGTCGCCCCATCCTAATATAGAGGGGCTATAAACGTTTGGAGGCAAGCTATGTTCTCGAGGATCTTTCGAAAGGAGAAAAAAAGAAGAAATTTAATATTTTCTTCGCATAAAACTGTTGGTATCTCGGCGAGGTCGACGCGCAATGTCGTGAGCTGATGTTGAAGACTTGAGCGGGAGTTTCGGGAAAATAGCCATGCTTTATCGATAACGGCACGGGCTTATCGATAAGAAAGTGTAAGTGCTAGGCCAAAAGACTTTCATAAAAAAAAAAACTGGTCGTCACCCACCAGGATTTCGCGCCAAGTGCCTTCCACCTCCCCTCCTCTGGGCCAAACTACAGCAATTCAAGATGGCGACGAAACAACCTTTGAAGACGACTTTCGATGTCGGAAGGGTCATTGGACCGCTTTTCACCGGTGGCTCTTTTGCAATTGACAATGGCATCAGCATTCTAGCGACCACACTCGGCGAGGATGTCGTCCTCACCAACCCCTCCAACGGGGAGAACATTGCAAAGATTGAGGGGGTACGCTTTTTTTCCATTTTTTTCAATTACCTTTTCCCGCTCATGAACGGAGCCAATGTGCGCGGGACGGCTGGCTAACCGTAACTCTCTTGAAAAGGATGGCGAACTAGTTTCTACCATGACTCGTAGGTATCTCCCCGCTCTTGCGACTGCGGGAGTGTGTGTGTGACCTGTCTCATGGCTAACCTGTTTTTACCCCGCCATAGTGACGCCCTCCGGCAGTCACCTAATTGTGTGCTCTAGGTCCCTATCAATGAAGATTTACGCTATACAAAAGTCGGAAGACGACGGCTCCTTCGAACTTACCCTGGTGCGCACGGTCAAGCCTCACTCGACCCCGATTGTCGTGCTCGCCGTCGACCGGACGAGTACCCTGCTTGCTACCGGCGGGACGGACGGCGTAATCAAGGTCTGGGACATCGCCGGAGGCTATGTGACGCACACATTTAGGGGCCCTAGCGTCCTGGTATCGGCACTACGCTTCTTTGAAGTCGCCGGAAGGGCGGACGTGGGTGGCAAGAAGGGCAAGAAGTCAAAGAAGCAGGGCGCACCCGCGGCGGGTGACCAGGACGAAGAAGACGACAGCGATGCGACGGTCAACTTTAGGTTGGCGACGGGTTTCCAGGACGGCAAGGTGCGCGTGTGGGATCTCCACCGGCGCAGCTGCATCGCGAACCTCGACTCGCACGTGGCTGATGTCCAGGCCATCGACTTCTCTCCAACGCAGCAGGCGCTCGTGTCGGCGAGTAGGGACAAGACGTTAATATGGTGGGACACCAGGTCGTGGAAGATCCGCAAGATCGTTCCCTGCCTCGAGATGGTGGAAACGGCTGGGTTCATCGACGACGGCCGGCTGACGTACTCGGGAGGCGAAAGGGGATACCTGCGAATCTGGGACACCGAACTCGGGCGGGAATTGACGAGCCAGCAGGACACGAGGGGCGAGAGCGATGCCCTTGTCGGGAGCATTTACCGCCCCGACTTACCCTTCATAGTCTGCGCGCAGATGGACCATACGCTTGCCCTCTACCACCCTCCTTCGAAAGATGACACGACCGCTTCCGCCGCTCAGGAGCCGTTTAGGCGGATCTCGGGCACTCACGACGACATCATCGACCTAGCATACCTCACACCGCAGCGCAATGTCATGGCGCTAGCTACGAATGCCGAAGAGATTCGCATCGTGTCCACAGTTGAGCCTGAGAGCTTGACTACGCCGGGCAGCTCGTGGCTGTCTGGGGGTGTCGCGACTTTTGGTCAGGATGTTGGGTTACTCAAGGGTCACGACGACATCGTCATCACCCTGGACACTGACTGGTCTGGATACTGGGTCGCGACGGGTGCCAAAGACAACTCGGCTAGGCTCTGGAAAGTAGACCCAAGCACGGATACCTACGAATGCTACGCCGTGTTCACGGGCCATGCCGAGTCCGTTGGCGCCGTCGGCCTCCCCAAGACGATTCCGCAGGAGACGAGCCAAGCCTTCAAAGATCCTCTCAACACCCCGCCGCCCTATCTCATCACCGGCTCGCAAGACCAGACCATCAAGAAGTGGGAGATACCCCGCCAAGCGCAGCCCCACAAGACCGGATCGAGGGCGGCGTTTACCCGGAAAGCCCACGAAAGGACATTAACGCCGTAGATATGCACCCCATGGGCCACCTATTCGCCTCGGCGTCGCAGGATAAGACAGTCAAGATCTGGTCCGTGGAGGAAGGTGAGGTCCAGGGCATCCTACGAGGCCACAAGAGGGGCGTGTGGTCCGTCCGGTTCGCTCCGTCAGGGTTACCCGCACTTCAAGGCGAGGAAGGCTCGGTGGCGGGCAAGGGCGTGGTACTGACGGGTAGCGGAGATAAGACGGTCAAGTTGTGGAACTTGGCCGATTATTCGTGCATCCGGACGTTTGAGGGACACTCTAATAGCGTGCTCAAGGTGGCCTGGCTCAACGTGCCTGCCAAGGAAGAGCAGCAACATCGACCCATCCTCGTGGCCAGCGCGGGTGGCGACGGCCTTGTCAAGGTGTGGAATGCCAATACGGGCGAGGCCGAGTGCACGCTCGACAACCACGAGGACCGGGTCTGGGCGCTCGCAGTACATCCCGGAACGAACACGCTCGTGTCGGGGAGCGGCGACTCAACGGTGACGTTTTGGCGCGACACGAGCACGGAGTCACGGGCGGCCGCGACACAGGCGGCGCAGCATCTCATCGAGCAGGAGCAGGAGCTGGAGAACCACATCCATGCGGGGTCGTACCGCGAGGCCATCACGCTCGCGCTCCAGCTCAACCACCCGGGCCGGCTCCTTCACCTCTTTACGCGGGTCGTCACCACGGACAAGCCCGACGCGGGCAGCCTGTCGGGCGTGGCCGCGGTGGACCAGGTGCTCGCCAGCCTCTCGGACGAGCAAATCTTTCTCCTCTTGCTGCGGCTGCGGGACTGGAATGCCAACGCGCGAACGGCGCCGGTGGCGCAGCGCATCCTCTCGACGCTCATGCGGAGCTATCCGGCGTCGCGCATCTCGAACCTCTCGGTCCGGGGGCGCGGGGCCAAAAGAGCCTCAAGGAGGTCCTCCACGCCCTCAGGGTGTACACGGAGAGGCACTACAAGCGCATGGAGGAGCTCGTGGACGAGAGCTATCTCGTCGAGTATACGCTGCAGGAGATGGACGACTTGGCGCCTTCGATGGATGTCGAGGTGGTGATGACGGATGCATAAAGGAGAGAGTTGTGTGTGTTTTCCCCTATATCTTTCCCTTCTCTTTCGCTCTCTGTCCCTTTGAAGTGGGGATTGAAGGCTTGAAGGAGTGGCTTTTCCTTGCTGTTGGATAGGTATCTGGCATTTGAACTGTTTGTCGACATTACATGTATTCATGGCTTGCTCTAGAGATTTCCATCACGTAGATGTATAGGATATCAAAAATTTCATCTTATATTGGATCTCGTTGGCATAGTATCTGGGGCCAGGGAGGCGTATGTCAAGCCCTAAAAGCTCTGTTATTCTATTGTGCTAAGGTCGTTGGTGATATCACGCTCCCTAGCTCGACTTGCACCTTGAAGACTGATCATCCGGAAAATCCTCGATCATGCCCTTGCAGCTACTTGATGATTTTATTCATACGTAAACCAAGTGATACAATGGGTATTCTCAAATGGTCATTTTCTAGTTTTCATCGGTGTCATTATCCTGGGAGAAGCTCTCGCTACCCTCATTGATCCATTAATAGTGGAAGACCTTCTAATATGTCGTTTAATACTCGCTTAAATTCTCCACACATCCCACTTGCTTGTCCGCACCACCTTTCCGCCCTCCTCGTAACGCACCTTTGGCGGCGTGTCCAAGCCTCAGGAAAAAAAAAAAAGAGGGCGGCAGCCTTCCACACGCGATATTCTTCCGCTTCTTGCGCCGGTTTTTCTTCACTATTCGGTCGCTACAGCTCCCGTCTCTAGCTCTGCGCCTCTAGCCCCGAGGTTTCTCGAAACGGAGAAGAGACGCTCACCCTTTCCTCGCACGACAAAAAACGATAGCATACAATGTCGAAGCGGCACGCCTCCGAGGCGCTCGAGGACGTCTCGGGCATGGACTCGCCCCTCTCCAAGCGGTCACGACTCGGCGATTCGGTGGAGCCCTCCGGGTCGCCAGAGGCCAATGGTCATTTTTCTCGGATGACGCCAACGCGACACCACGCCCGAAACGGCCAACGGGGATGCGCGGAATGGACGAGGTGAGGCGACTCGGCGAGAAGATGACGACGATGACGACGAAGACGACGAAGACGATGGGGAAGAAGAGGAGGACGACGAGGGAGAGGAAGAGGACGGTGACGAGGACTTTGACGAAATGGTACCGGCGCAGTCGATACGCCAGGCTGCCCCGACTGCCGGTTACGACGACCTCTACCTCGATACGATAGATCGGACCGTGCTGGACTTTGACTTTGAGAAGCTGTGCTCCGTGACGCTCTCCAACATCAACGTCTACGCCTGCCTGGTGTGCGGCAAGTATTACCAGGGCAGGGGACCCAAGTCGCACGCCTACTTCCACGCCCTCGACGAGAGCCACCACGTCTTCATCAACATGCGCACGCAAAAGGTCTACGTCCTGCCCGAGGGCTACGAAGTCGCCAACAAGACGCTCGACGACATCAAGTACGTGTCGGATCCGCGGTACACCAAGGCCGAGGTCGTGGCTCTGGACCGCAACCCGGCCACGTCGTGGACCTACGGCGGCGTCAGGGAGTACGCCCCGGGCTTCGTCGGCATGAACAACATCAAGGAGAACGACTACCTCAACGTCGTGGTCCAGGCGCTGTCCCACGTGCCTCCCCTGCGCAACTTTTTCCTGCTCGAGGACCTTTCCTCCCGCCCGGAGCTCGTTCAGCGCACGAGCATCCTCTTCCGCAAGATCTGGAACCCTCGCGCCTTCAAGGCCCACGTCTCCCCCACGAGCTTCTCCAGGAGATCGCCCTCCAGTCCAACAAGCGCTTCACCCTCTCCCACCAGTCCGACCCCGTCGAGTTCCTCTCCTGGTTCCTCAACAACCTGCACCTCGGCCTCGGCGGCAGCAAGACCCGCCCGGGAAGCTCCGTGATCCAGCACATTTTCCAGGGCAAGCTCAAGGTCGAGTCCCAGGCCATCACCGCCCGCGCCGATGCCGGCGACCGTCTGCGCTTCGAGGAGGCCGCCGAGGTCAAGGCCGACGTCGTGCGCTTCCTCCTCCTCACCCTCGACCTCCCCGCCGCCCCGCTCTTCCAGGACGAGCTCGAGAAGAACATCATCCCCCAGGTGCCTCTCACCACCATCCTCAACAAGTACAACGGCGTCCTCTCCCAGGAGCACCGCGCCCAGCGCACGCGCTACCGCCTGCTCCACCCTTTGCCCCCGTACCTCGTCTTCCACGTCAAGCGCTTCAGCCAGAACAAGTTCGTCTCGGAGCGGAACCCCACCATCGTCACCTTTGACGCCCGCAACCTCGACATGGCCCCTACGTCGAGCCCAACCCCGCCGAGCACCCGACCGGCGAGCCCATCTGGTACGACCTCGTGGCCAACGTCGTCCATGAGGCCGTCCGCGCGAGGGACGACGTCACGGAGACCGCCGACGACAAGAAAATGTGGAAAGTGCAGATTCGCGACAAGGCGCGGGACGAGTGGGTGGTCTGCCAGGACTTGTTTGTCGAAAAGGTCCAGGCTGAGCTCCTGTTCGCGGGTGAGACGTATCTACAGCTTTGGGAACGGAGAAGGACGCCCAAGCCTAAAAGCAAAGGCAAGGCGGCGGCAAAGTGATCTAAAGGGGGAAAGGGAAAAAGAAAAATATGTTTTACGAATAAAGGAACCGCCCGTGTTACTTTTATCTCCAGGGAGGGGGATTGATTTCGAAACAAACATCTCGGAGCTAAAGGGCACATTCAAACCAAGATGCGCGCGCATCTCGTTTTCCCAGAGAGGAGACCTAGTCGACCATTCCCGCCTTCTTCCTCGTCGATGCGCAGCAAAAAAGTTATCATTCTTTTTCTTTTACTTTTTTATTTCAACATAGATGGGAAGGGAAGCCAGCCTCCTAATGATAATGAAACGAGACCGTCACGAAAGGAAGATGCGCATCTTTTACTGCTCCTTAAACGAGGCCAACTGCACAGAACGCGCTTACATCTTTCTCTACAGTGCAACTCCATGTGACGAGCTAGTCTTAGAGATCCCCTCGGAATGGATTACCCAAAAAAAATGAGACGGTAGACGTGAACTTGGTGAGAATGGCGACCTCTCTTGGATGCACCCTCCAGCCTCACTGGTATTCACATGTGTAAAGAGCAAGAAGCACAAGGGAAACTCCCTAAAAAGTTGGTCAAAAAGTATGGCAATAAGAAAGAAAGATTGAATTCATTCCTCTCCTCTCGCCGAACCCCGCACTAGATCCTCCCTTTTACATTGACTCAAAACACACCGAGATGCCGTTTTCGTCCTATCATCAGCATATCACAGAGGCTGGTTCCATAGTGTACACACAAGAGGTAAAAGGAAAAAAAAAGATAATAATAATAGAATAAAGGAAAACATTGCTGCCTCTTCTTTCAGATATCGGTCAGGATGGGGGCGGGGACGCGAAGGCTACTCGCTTGACCCTTCTTATTAGTTTTCTTCTCTTCTTTTTCTGCTCTTCTTTCATTTCCCTTTGAACACTGCGGCCAACTCCAACGCCAGCAGAAGCTCGTGAAGAAAAGGCCAGAAGAGCCAGTAAAAAAAAGCACTAAGTTTCGCCCTTTGGCCTTGTCCCCTAATAGCATAGCATAAAAACGGTTATGTAGGGTAATCGTGGCAAGGTGGAAGAGATGAGGCTGGATGAGATCAGGGCCTCCTAGGAAGCTTGCTGGGCGGAGCGTTGGTTGTCATCGGCACCGGCGGGGTTCTTGTTCTGGTGATTCTGGTGGCGCTTATCGTTGTGATGGTGGTGAGTGCCTTTGTTCTGGCGCGACTCTTCGATAGCGGTTCGCTGCTGGATGGCGGAGTCGTGGCTCTTAAACTCTACCCTCGTGTTGGGGGCAGGTTTAGAATGTGCTTCATGGTTTCGCTATGAAGGGGGAAGGAATTAGCAACGATAACCTCTGGTGAGAGGGTGGGGGTAAAGAGGGAGAAAGAGAGAGAGAGAGAGGGGGGAGAGTGCCCGCTTACCGGATCTTGATGACTCGGCCACCATCGTTGCGGGTCCAGATGCTGATGATGTCCTCACCATTCCGGACGCTCGCAACGGCGCCGCAAACCTCTTCGCCAGCGTCGCCAAATTGTTCGCCAATGAGGGCTAGGATCAAGTCCTCCCAGTATCGGTCAACAACACCCTTCTTAAGGCGCACAACCCACTTGCCTCCCTTCTTGTTCACATCGTCCTCCCATATCGGACGGATGCCAGATTTGAAAAAGTGGTATTCGGACATGGTGGGAAGCTTCGAGGGATACTTGAGATGCGAGTAAACCTCGAAGAAGTCCTCGACAGTCGAGCAGTGGCACATGGGTCGCAGAGTCTTTTCGTACTCGATGAAGCCTTGAGACTTGGAGATGGGAGGGCGCCACCAAAACACCCACTTGTTCAAGAGCGGGTGTGGTACAGGAGCCGCGGCAACCGCCGCGTTCGTCTCCGATATAGCGCCCATGGAGGGGCCCTTGGCACCGGGCTTGCCCACAGTCTCCTTTCCAGAAGACTTGTCGGCGCTCACCGGCTTTGCCCCAATCTGGCCCATGGCGAAATCGAAGGGGTTGCCCGGGGACTTGGGCGTCTTTCCAGACCCCATGGAGAAGGCGGCGAAAGCGCCCGATCCGAGGCCAAAGGCCGCAGCACCCGGAGAGGGAGTTATGCCTCCGGCACCGGGGGTAGTGGCGGTGGTTGTTGGTTTCCCAAAGGACGGGGCATCCTGACCGACTCGCTTCGAAAACGGCGTGTTTCGAGTGTTGGGGTCCCCTGTGCCGTTGGAGGAGCTATTTTGCGTTGAGAGAGAAAGTTTGCTGTTGCTATACAGTATGGGAAAATCGCAAAGTTAGAGAATGGGAGACAAGGAAAAAAAAGAGAGACAGCTTGTGGACTGCCGAACTGTGAGGGTATCCCCGCTTTCCGTCTCGGGGAAAAAGAGAGGTAGAAAAAGGAAAAAGAAAAGACTTACCTGACGGTACGACGAGTCCATAGATTATCCATGGAGATGTCTAGTACGTAGGAAAGGGGGTCGGCAGGGTAGAAGCGAGATCTCGGAGCCCGCGTGAATCGTCACCAAGTCGCCGCACAGAGAGCACTGAAGTGGGCGAAAGGAATCGGCGATGGGCAGAGAAGGAGAGAAAAATCCGCCGTCCGTGGTCCTACGGGGTCTTGTCGGACTTTGCAAAAAAGGCTTGTTCGCGGAGATCGGAATCGGGCTGCGAGAGGCGAATGTCGTGTGCCGTTTGATCGTGAGCTGGCGGGAGGTGTGGGTGGCGGCGAGCGAGCGAGGGGAGCGAGTGTGTCTGTGGGCGTGTGTATGTGTGTTGTGTGGTTGTGCGTGGTGGCTGGCGTTTGAGAAAACTGGACGAGAGACAGGAACGAGGGCAGTCGCGGGCTCGAAATTGAGAATGATGCGCTTGTGGCTATGGGTACAGGGTGAAAAAGGCAGTGCAATTGCAGTTATTTCTATGAAGAGGGAAGATTTGATGAAAATTATCGAAGGCGAGAAGATGGGCGAGGGAAGGCGGGAAGACTGGGGTTTCAGGAGGAAGGCGAGAGCTCGGTTTGAAGTGGCAGTGAGTGGTGATGGTGGGTTTTGCTGGGGTTTGCAGTTGTTGGTAAAACGGGTTTGAAAAGGCCAGGAGAAAATTGGTTCCTGCTCCAAGCCCATTCTTTTTTTTTTTCTTTTGAGATGATGGCACGACGCGGATTGGCTGGACTGGCGTATAGGGTACAAGTCCGCCCTCGCCGGGGCCACGTCGTGGAGCATCACGGACGAGTCGGCCACAAGGTAGCAGGTACCCAACCACTAGCCGGCCTTTGACACTGTGGCGTGGCACTGGAGGCTTTGGGAGACTTTGGGGGGCCAGTCAACATGAAGCCAGTCTTGAAAATGAACCCCCGAGGACAGACAGCACAGTACACCCACGCCACGTCTAGTCATAGAAATAGATTGAGGATGACTTTGGCATCCAGACTCAAAACGCCCATTCTTGCTTCCCTTCGCGCCAACTGTGGATACTACTTCGTACCTATGAGATGAGATGAGAGGGGCCAATTTGCTTCTGCTGCTGCCCAAGTGCCGCGAAGGTTAGATGCCGAGCAATAGTATAATAGTGCAGGCCTGAATCAGACACAGCCATCTATGGATAGATCCAATCCATCCATCAGACAACGATCCCACTTGATGGTAGATGCACTGTCCTCTATTCCCTTCTGCCTTCTTGGCTGGTACAATGGATCATTCTGTTCTCGCTCTTCCTTCTTGGCCAGGCGCCCGGTTGAACCTTCCACACCTACACCGAGGATTATTGGTAGAATCCCCAAAGGCACCCTCGAACTAGGCCCACTTTAGGCGTACTAGAAGAAGTCGATTTCTTCAGCCGAAGCGCAGCTGGTGAGACATTCGAAGGAGAAGAAAGAAACAATGAAAAAGACAAAGAAAAGACAAAGAAAAAGGAAGGAAGAGGAGGAAGGAGCCAAAAACGCCTTCTAGGTTCCACCTCGACAAGGACATTGCAGGGATGCTCAGCGTGTCATTGAACAGCTCGTGTAACTGAAATTGTCACCTCACAATACTATACTTGTAGACAGACCTCAAACTCTCCAACCTTTCCAAGTAGCAGGATATTCCATCCAACATCCTGTTGGCACTTGTTCAATCCGCCCAAGGACTCGAGAGGGCCAAGTCCAAGAAGTACCCATTCTGAGCTTTGGTAGTTTATTCTCAAATCGACACAAAAGGGTCTGAACATCTGGCTTCCCCCACCCTAAGCCGTCCGTGCAACCCGCAATTCACCCCACAACCATTGGAAACGATCTGTGGATGGGTGGAAAGGGCGAGGTGCTGTCCAGCAGGCGGTTTGTGCTGAGCGACAGCCATGGGCCCAGGGATCAATGACGATGATGCGTTGCTCGCGACAAGTGAATGTCAGGGGTTGGTGAAGCGCACAGTGCGCTCATCCCAGCTTGGCCTGTCAGATTAACGAGCTATGGAGACACCTGGGCACAGCTGCAAGATTAGCTTCGATTTTTATCGCCAGTTATCGCTCACCGAAGGTGAGCTTATCGACAAGGACCACTGAAAAATTTCCCCATCCCACCTTGCGATTTGAGACCGTGCCGCCTAGTCTTTTTTTTTTTTTTTTATACTCCCCGCCACCGCCAGACGAGAAGTAGCAAGGCCCGTCTTTCTGGTCGACAGCAATTTTCCTTTCCTACACGTAACCCACCAAGACACGACACAATGGGGCCGCAACGGACGAAGACGATAAAAATAAATTCGCCGCCCCCAAGGCAGGCCGAAAAGTCCAGCACGATGCCGTCGTTAAGCGGCGCGAAACCAAGGGTGCCCCTTCCAAGGGCCTGCACGCGAGCGCCGTTAGCACCCTGCTAAACAAGAAGAAGAAGAAGAAGACGTACACTGCGGAGGAGTTGGGCATACCGAAGCTCAACAGCATTACCCCCATTGGTGTCACGAAGCCTAAGGGCAAGAAGAAGGGCAAGGTCTTTGTCGATGATCCGGTATGCTATCAACCTCTGGGAAGCGGCCGCTCCCTCTACCTTCTCCCAATTTCCGTATAAGGAGGGAAATTATATTTGCCTAACCATCCGGGAAATTTAGGAGAGCATGCGCACCATTCTAGCCATCGTTCAAGCGGAGAAAGAAGGCCAAATCGAGTCCAAGATGATCAAGGCACGCCAAATGGAGGAGATTCGCGAAGCGAGAAGGCAAGAGGCTGAGAAGAAGGAGGAGGAGAAGAGTGCCAAGCTCGAGGAGGTCAAGGATTCCATGCGCAAGAAGAGGAAGCGCAAGCTCCAGCTCGGCGGCGCTGAGGACAAGGAGAACACCAAAGAGTTCTCTTCCGGCGGAACCAAGGCCGCCAAACCCAAGAAGAAGAGGGTCGCCTTTGCATAATCGTGGAGGAGGAATACTCTAGTAGAATGGGAATCCGCAACCAGTTGGGGCGATGCACTGGATCCCAGGACGGGACATGAGGGGGCAAAGGTGTTGCTTTATGTCATGCATTTGGGGGCGTTCGGCGCTGGCTACAACAAAAACATCTCTAGTCGACATTTTGATACCATCTCCAACACGATGATTTCACGGAGATACGGCCGGGTTTGTGGGGACGAAGGCATGTTTATCTATCTATCTGTATACATGTCCAGCTCGGTTGCAATATAAAAGGGATCGTAACCTTGAAGTTGTTGATAAGTCTCAGTGCTATGCTCAACCTAGGCCCTAGAGTGTCACAGATGACTCTCCTTTTATATATCGACGTTTATGATACATTATTACGATAAAAGTAGGTTTCATAGAACAAGGCAAAGAAGAAAGCAAGGATGAAAAGGCGACCGTACCTAATATCGGACAAGCCTGCTTGCCTGCTTCGTACGCCGGTCAAAAAGAAAGGGGGAAAAGGTCCCTCTTTTAGAGAGATTTCCAGTTTGCGCCTCATAGGGTGAAAGTTGATGCCCTTGTTCGGAACTTCTGGGTTGATATTACCACTCGAGCCCGGTGTCTCTTTGTCTGGCACCAGGCCCTCAATCTCAAACTGCATACGACTGAAGAAGTTGCAGATCTGGACAGAAGCGCAGGGTCAGCGGCAAGAGCAAAACATGAAGAGATGGAAAAAAAAAGAAATTCGAGAAGAAGAATGTGCGAGGGAACAGGACTAGGCCTGGCTTACCGGACGCGAGAACCATCGACTGCCGCCCACCTCGAACCAGCATAGGTGGCCTCCGAGGGAGGTGGTGGTCAGCACGGTGTAGGGGTTGGCCTTGAATTCATTGTAGGGGACGGCTTCGTCGACGGCGATCTGGGATGCGGTGTTAGTGATCCTGGAAACGCTGCGGCGCGTGGCATTGCTGAGATGTGACTTACAGGGTCGTCGGTGGCATGGATGGCCAAAAATGGTATGCGAATGGCCAGTATGGCATCTGTAGAAGAGGCATCGCGGTAATAGGCGTCTTCCGTGGGGTATCCCCAAAGAGGACATCTAGTGAACACGAAACAGGTTTTAGCGCAAGGGTCACAAAAGGAAACGCACGTTGGTTTGTTTCGGGGGTAGCGGGAACGTACTGGACAGCTCTGTCAAACTCGTAGAGATACGTGACGTTTTGAAGGCGCTGGAGGTCAAGGACGGTGAACTTCTCAATAGCCTCCTCGTGGCGCTTGACGAGCTCCTTCATGTTTGCTAGAGATACACACACAGCGGTTAGGCACGTGGCCGGCATCAAGGCAGAAAAGGCGAGACTTACAGCCCATCACCCTTTGATACACCTCTTTGCCTAGGATGGATCGCTGAAGGGCCTTGTTGGAGACCTCAAGGTTGAACGGGTTCGAGCAGATAACAGCAGCTTTTAACACGCAGTCGGCGCCCTCCTCGCCACAGTACTAAATCGAAAGTTAATAAAAGCCCGCAGCATGGGCCCTCTTGTGAAGATGCTTGCTTACATTGGTGAGAATGTTGGCGCCGAGAGAAAAACCAAGTCCGAACAAGGCACGGTTGGGATATTTCTCTTGTAACCATTTTACAGTCTAGCCAACAAGAGGAGTTAGAGAGAGATGAACCCAAAGCCGAGAGATCTGAAGGACTGTTTTGCCTTCTGGCCGTTGACCTACCTGTCGAATGTCCCACGTGGCCCGCGCATTGTATAGGACGCCGGTGGTGATGGGGCTCATGGCACAACCCCGCGAGTTCACCACGCAGGCCTCCCAGTCGCCGCTCTCCACCAATGGAGCTATCGCATGCCTCAAGTAAATTTCATGAGAGCCACCCGACAGGCCATGGAGGATTACTAGCATGGGCTTGCTGTCTTCCGAGCCGAGCTTAGCAAGCTCCTCTTCCTTGAAGTGGACCGTCCTGGGGGCAGATCCGGGTCCGTCTCCTCGAAGGGCTCATCGATGAAGTCGACCGCAAAGGTGCCTTCCACGCTAGGGTTGTCCGACTCGAAAATCTTTCGGCGGTAGTAGATGGACGGGCCATGCTGCTTGGTGGCGGTCCAAAAGGTCTGCATGTGGCCGTTGAAGAGCAGAGGATTTAGGTGGCAGGGCGGCGTGGTCTCCTTGACCAGACTGACAATGTCTGTCGCCGTCCCATCTTTGCACTTGAGCGAAACTGGCGTCGCTGAGTGGGTAAAGTTGAGCTTGGCTCGGCCGAACCACTCCATCGTGGATGAGGTGAAGCGCCTGGCGATCCGTACGGCACCCAGATTTGGTAAGGGAGGTTTTATTTGTTAGTAGAATATCGGCCTCTAGATTTGTTCGTCTAGGTAGAGAGCTTTTAGGGACTGAGATGAAATGAGCAAGATATTACGGCTCAACAAAGAGACAGACTGAAGCGGTGTATATAAGTGAGTTGTGACGTGGGGCTCGTGAAGTGCCTTCAAAAAAGAGATCCAAACTAGCGTATAAGTCTGTGAGTGCTCTTAAACTATAAATTGCTTGCGAATGCTTTCAATTTTTTTTTCTTGGCTTGGCTTTCAAGTACGGCGCAGGGACTATTAAAACTAGTCCCGGAATTGGCGACTCTCCGTGTCCGACAGGGCACCCTCCGGGATGCCACTTGTTGGTCGTCAACTTGAACTCTGCTTGTTGGAGGGTCTGTTGCATGCATTTGATACATGGACGCTGGTACCTTCAAGGAGGAAGCCGAGGCACGTTTCCTCATCCTGGCTTGGATAACATAAGCACACATATGGCCCTGTGAAGGTTTCAAAGGAAGAACATCGGGCAAATATCAGTGGACCAGGAGAGTCGTGCACGGTCCGAGCTCGAGCCGTACGATTTTCACGTGATTCCAAGGCGGTCAGCCTGAGATTGATGGAGAAGGAGACATTCCCCCGCCGGCCAAAATGATTACTGTGAGGATTCTTGGTGATGGAAAACTTTCTCAAGACAGTCCACTCCCAGAACAAACACAATCTCGCGCCGCTTGCCCTCCCAGCACACCCCTTGCCCATGTTCGCCATGTGCTAGAACTAGCGGTAGATATCGACCCGCGAGTCCTTATTTATGCCTAACGGCCCAAGGTCCTGTGAGACGGGGACCTGGGCTGAAACTCTGCCCACGACCTCGGCACTGGCAGCCAACATGACCACCATCCGAGGCTTCCATCAGCGCCTCTCCGCCATCGCGCGCCTCCCGCCTCCATTTGCCACTAACAAGTGAAGATGGCCAAATTCTTCATCATGAAGTGATTCGAGAAGATTTAAGTCAACAGGGCTACCGGCGGTTATAGCGCTTGGCGGAATATGCCGCCTCCTCCCTTGCTCGCACGCCTTTGCGTGTTCTCGCGCCTTTCCGTCCCACGGTAGAGAACGTGGTGGATGTGCTTTCTGAGCACCATTCCGTTGGCTTCTTCGCCACTAGCCCGACATATGAAGGACATGGACATCCGTGTTTTAACCTCGTTGTGGTATGAGTGTGTCAGGGGAAGGCCGTCATTCTGACGTTATCATACCAGCACCCTTGATACTTGAGCACATGCATGAGGGTGCCGGTGACGAATGTTCCACGCATTCTTTGTCGTTTCGTTTTCTTTTCGCAGCCACCAAGATTTAGGTCTTCCACCTTTTCCGTCGTCTCGCAGAAAGCTACGAAATAGCACTGAGCAGACTCCTAAGAGTCACCCGGCTGTGTCGACTCAGCCGACGAGAACCCGCCTTCTCGAGATCATGTTCCGCCCCCTCCGTGCGGGGCTATACAGGTAGGGCTCTTACTGCAAGGCTAGGCTAGAAGAGGGCAGATCAAGTCTACTATCGCCCTGGAATCCACGCACCCAAGCACAATCGATGAAGGATGCCGGAAGCGGCCGGCACGTGGTGGATTGAAACGGCTCTGTCAGTTTGGGCGATTGTTATTCGCATGACGGGGACTTCGTAAAGCTTTAGTACATAGTGATATCTGTCCATGATTGACTCGGCGCTATATATATGGCGCCGGTCTTTTTCCGGGCTTGGAGGAGGGTTATCGGAAGCCAGCCTCAGTTGCGAGGTCAGCAGTGGGAACTGTCTCTTGTCGATGGGAGCCGGGCTACCCCATCTTCTTGGGGGAAGAGCTTGTTTGACGAGACTTGCACTCCCAATCCCATTTGGCTTAGCTGGGAGAAATTGCCTCCCCTACGACATTTGGTGGATATCACCGCCACGGCTGTTCCAGGCCGCTGATGAGAGGTGGATATGCAACCCCGCCATCTTCATTTTCGATGCTCGGCATTCTAGGAGGCATAGGCTCTCCTTCCGGCACCGGCAAGTTGCTACGACTCACAGAATCTCCACCTTGAGTGCTTGCTTCTCGTTGGGGGATTATTGCGTATAGCAAAGCAAAAACATGTATGGAGCCTTGCTGCACGGTCAACTGCGCCGACAGACTCCATGCTCGGATGATTTGACTGGATGTGCAGTGTCCAAGTCGCATGGATTCATCACGTCGCTGCTCCTCGGAGGGTTTGGGAAAATAGCTAAAAACTCATTTTCCCTTTTGTCGGGCTCCTCCCAATTCTCCCTGTCCGGTTCTGGGGGAGAATTGGTCGGACCTGGCACTCTTCCCGCCATGGACCAGTTGTCTAAGGCGTGCACGTCTGTAATGGCTACTGGATGCTCCACTGCATGCATGCATCGGCTCTCAATCGCCAAGCTGCCACGCCTTCTTCAATGCCTAACCACCACGTCGCAACCGCATCAATTCGGCGGCGCCTGTTCCCGGAGTATAAAAATATCCATTAGGCCAACGAAGGATCCTATGGAATTTTTTGGTAAAATTCTTGCCGTTCTATGCCTGGTTCGAGGCCAAAGCGAGCGAGACGATGTGGCGAGATGGGATTAGGTGGTCGCGTCTGTCGGATAAATTCCGGAACAGCGCCGCTTATTCCGGGGGTAATGAAGGCCAAGAATGTGCCTTGCTTGTTGCTCGCTCAGAAAACTCAAAATCTCTTTGGGGTCGAGCCATGAACTCCTCATTCCTATTTTCGGGCCGCAGTCAAAGTGCTCGACATGCTGCCATGAAACACGATAGAGACCGCGGCGACGAGCGTAGAGATCGAGGCAGGCCTGGCCGAGGAGTAAACGATTCTCGACGGTCAGTTTCCCCTCAGGCTCGTCGACCCCAACACGAGGATCGGCCCGCCCATCGCGGTCGACACGACGACCTATCCGCCTTTCCGCCGGATCAACGCAGCGACCGTCATTCTAGGAGGCGCTCGCGCGAAGATAATAACCATCGCTCCCATAGACGGTCCGTGAGCCGCGGCGAGAAGCATCGGGGACGAGATCGATCACCGCGATTTTTTGACAACCGGCAACAAACACGAACGCGATCACGCGAGAGCTCTCGCCGCTCTCCCGGCGCCGGAGGTGGTGCATTTGCCAAACGCCCTCGAAGCCGGAGCCCGCCATCGCCCTCATCTCGACGAAAAAATCGCGACGATCGGGACGCAACCGACGAGCGAAGCACTCACCCGAGTTTGAAAAGCCTGAACCCCCGCCGACATCGTGAGAGGCGCCGCTCGCCCCATCGGTCCCCGCTCCGTCGGGGCAGATCTGGCGATAGACTAGATCGAGATACGGATTCCGCCTACGATCGGCGCTCTCCCGAACGAAGACCGGTCGAAGATCGTGGCTATCGTCGTAGGGGAAGCGAGACGTGGAGCCACGCATCCCGAGACTCTAGTCCCCGCTCCCCTTATCGAGATTTATCCCGAGAGAGAGCCCAGGTCCCCCAGCGTTGCATCTAGGGGTCGAGACGATCACCCCAACGCCACCGCTCTCCGGCCTCATTCCCCGCACGACCACCACCGATCCGGCAAAGGCCACCCTCGCGGCCGCCGGGATCAGGAGACTGGTAGCGGGACCGGCAACGCCGAGGCCGCCATGGGATCTCGTGGGACGGGCGGGTTTCGTGGTGGTTATTCACAGCAAAACTCTTTCCCCTCCAATAAGCAATACGGCCACGATTCTCGAGGAAGCTTCTCACAGTCGCCGACGCCCAACTCGTCCTATCACAACTCACCTGCATCTCAATCTCCCTACAATGCCCGCTCTGGCCGGAATGGCCAGCAGTTTTCACCCTCCCATCCGTAAGTTTTTCTTTTCCCTTTTTCAACCGCTGAATGACATTCGTTTCTTCAAACGTGCAGGCCTCGTGAATACTAACGCACCCCAGGCAACATTCGGGACCCTACCCTCCTACGGGCCCCAACTCATCATCCTTCAGCCAGCCGCCGCCTACAGGGCCTCAGGGCCATTACCATCAAAATTCCAATCACTCTCCCCCATTCCGCACCCACCGGCCCCATGAACCCATACCCTCCCAACAGTCAACGTGGGGCCAATTATCGGGGCAACTCGACTTCCGCCCGTGGCGGCGGGCAGTTCAGCACTGCTCGTGGTGGTCACCGGGCACCTGGTTTCAAGTCTGGCCAATGGAACCCCCTACGGGACCTAGCCAAAGCCCTCGCTCACACTCATCTAACGGACCCTATGATGGGCCTGGCCAGGACGCTCCCACGGGGCCTATGGACGGCCGTCAGCAAGAACCGATGGATGACGGGAACGAGCCACGGCCGACCTACCCGGAGGAAATGCAAATCGACGAGCCCGAGCCCGTGTCCCAGCCAGAGCCGCCGGCGCAGCAGCCACCACCTCCCACAGGGCCTGGCAACAACGCAACTACTGCCGGTACCAACCGGGCACCCCGACAGGGCCGAGCTCGAAGTTTAGCTTCTCGTTTAAATTGGCAAGCAAGCAAACCACCACGCATCCAAAGCCCGAGATCACGCAAAAGTTCAACGCCGTTCCTACCAAGCAGCCTGCCCCCAAGCACAGGGCCAAGGCGGCGACCACAAGTCAGACAATAAGGACCGAGACCGAGACCGAGATCGGGAACGAGAGCGGGAACGGGACCGGGATAGAGATCGTGACCGAGATCGTGACCGAGACCGCGAACGGGATCGAGGTGGCAGGGACCGGGATCGGGATCGAGAACGGGATCGAGAGCGACAACGAGAACACGAGAACGCCCGCGAGCGCGATTCCGAGCGTGACCGTGACCGTGATCGGGAGCGGGAACGGGAGCGAGACCGAGATCGAGACCGAGACCGACCTCGTGATATTCCTAAGGGTGCGCCTACTGAGCCCGCTTCGTCACGCGCGGCGAGACGGAACCAGGAGCGGAACCAAGAGCCCGTAGCGAGACCTCCTCGGACACGCAAGGTCAAGAAGATTGAAAAACGATTGATCGTGCGGCCCAAGCTTGAGCCAACGCTAGCTGCATCAAAATCGGTCTTCTTCAGAAAGCCTGGCAACGAGTCGGTCGTGGGATCGGGAACGTATGGCAAAGTCTTCAAGGGCCTACATGTGTACACGAACGGCTCCGTCGCCCTGAAACGAATCCGCATGGAGGGTGAGCAAAATGGGTTTCCGGTGACTGCTGTGCGAGAGGTCAAACTTTTACAGTCACTACGGCACCTCAACATTGTCAATCTCATGGAGGTGATGGTGGAGAAGAATGACTGCTTCATGGTTTTCGAGTACCTCTCTCACGACCTGACGGGGTTATTGAATCACCCTAGCTTCAAACTCGATGATGCGCAGAGGAAGGACCTCTCAAAGCAGCTGTTTGACGGCCTCGACTACCTCCACGGACGGGGGTGTTGCACCGCGATATCAAGGCGGCCAACATCCTAGTAAGCAAGGAGGGCACCCTCAAGCTTGCCGACTTTGGCCTCGCCCGATTCTACGCAAAGCGCCACCAGCTCGACTACACGAACCGCGTCGTCACCATCTGGTACCGCTCCCTGAGCTGCTGCTCGGCGAGACACAGTACGGCCCCGCCTGCGATATCTGGAGTGCTGCGTGCGTGATGATGGAGATATTTGTGCGCTCTGCCATCTTCCCGGGTGATGGCACCGAGATGAACCAGCTTGAGCGTATATACGCCGTGCTGGGCACTCCAATCCAGGCGGAGTGGCCCGAGATTGTGGAAATGGCATGGTTCGAGTTGCTGCGGCCGGCGCACAAGGTGAAGCGGACGTTTGATGCCAAGTACCGGAACCGGCTCTCCCCGGCGCATTTGAGCTGCTGGCGTCCATGTTCCGTTATGACCCGGCGAAGCGCCCGACGGCGGCCGAGGTTCTCGCGCACCCCTACTTTACGACGGAGGACCCCCGCCACGACAAGCTGTTGAGTACGTTTTTCCCCATTCCTGCCTCGTACTCTTTCTTTTTGCCTTTTATTATCCTTCTTTTTCCCTTTCTTCCGTCCCTGTTGTGGGCAGCCAGTCCGTCCTTTAGGTTGATCTCGTAACTTTGCTAACACACATGACAGACTCAAGGATATTGACGGCGACTGGCACGAGTTCGAGTCCAAGGCTCTCCGCCGCGAGAACGAGCGCAAGGAAAGGAGGCCCGCAAGGCGGCAGCCAAGGAGACGTCTATCCGCGAGAAAGGCGGTCGTGATCGCGAACGCGAGCTTAAACGGGCCAACAACGACGCTGAGGACGACCCCGCGATACCAAGAGGCTTCACACGGAGCAGTCGCAGGAGAAAGTCCAACATCCCGCCTAAGCGCGGGATGCCCGCATTCTTGCGCCATCAGTCAATGCCTTGTCCATATACCCTTTTCTCGATTTTTCTATCTTGTTACTTGGCAGTTGCGATCCTCATCCCCTCATACCATCATCCATCACTGTGGGCGCGGCGTTGTTTAAAGGAGTTTGATTTCTTTCATCTATGGCGAAGTTTTTCGTGTCTGTTCGTTTCCCCTTATTTCTTTTTATACAGGAGAAAAACCAAGACCTTTTTTATTCTTCTATTTGTTGGCATCCTTAGTATTTTTTTCCCTTTCGTCATGAAGCAGCATCCATTATTCGAGGGCGAGCTGTTAGAGCCGTGGTCACGGTTTAGGAATCGAATCATGTCATGTAGTTAGAGGAACTACACCTGAGAAATCCAGGCTGTAGTAAAAACGCCGTTACCGACACCGTCGCACCCTTGACTTCTCGCACAAGCTTGGCAAACAGCCAGAGCTCCGTCCATCTCTCTTCGAGCCACCTCATCCACCCTCTTGTCGTCTATGAGAAATGCTACGTACGCACCATGTGTGTCTCGCAATACGAACGCTTGAAAGCATTGGCCTCCACGACGTTTCGAAGCAAAAGCAAAACAACTAATATGTGAAACGTACGCAGTCGATGTGGCCGCCGCGAAAAGAACAGACCATGCGTAGTCTGCGGACATGCTCACAAATATTGTCTCGGCTACCATGCCTGGGGAGACAACGGCTTCATGTCCCATGGGCATGGATGAATAGTCATTGGGCTGCCCTGCTTCGCAGACCCGAACGTCATGTATAAATATACCTTTTGTGTGTCCCTTTTTGTCTTTTTCTATTTCTTTTCTTGTTCCTATCGTTCCTCTTCCTTTATCTCCTATGCCCCCTCATGTTCCCCCTTTCACTTCTCGGGTTGGGTTTGGACCAAAAGAGGTGGTGGGCGGTGGGTAGGGGTTGCGTATCAACGGGAAATACAAAAGACGGCATTTATATAGACTAGTGCAACGAACATTTTTCAAGACGGAACGAGAAGAGTATGTAGAAAGCTTGAAAGTTGATGAAGCCGAGCTAAATACATCTTGTCACAAATCAACCTTGTTTCTCACCCTTGTTTCCGTTCCCTTCGTAAGCGTCTTCCATTCCCAAGTTCCCGGGTTGATCTCTCTTGTCCCAGAGCATTATCGTAGTACGGCTGGCCGTCTTTCAAGATTGATGGGTGTCGTTCCGTCAAGTCTGATTCGCCCCGGTCGTAGAGCCTCCCTAGTATCCCGAAGAGGGTGTGAGAACGACAAGAACGATTCCAAAGACATGCAAGGCGGAGAGTCGAGAGTTGAGGGTCAGGAGTCAAGTTTATATATCAGCCTCTTGCGGTATAGAGGTCCGGGGTGGAAGACGGTGCATGTAAAACAAAGATTCCGCAGTCGTTATATCCAAACATAGCTAGTATCAATCCGTAACCCATCCCATACTCCCAAAGCCGTTTAGTTTTCCGTTGTCCTGCCTTTAAACCCAAAAGTCGAATAGGGCCAAAAGGAAAACACTCCTTTCTTTCCCCTTCCAATTTGTCCCCCAGTGCTTGACAGCACAATGATAAACCCCAAGTACTATACACATTTACTGGGTTCTCGAGATTGAGCATCAGCTGATACCTTCGTCCGTTCGCGCCGCCAGCCTTTTCTCATAACATGGTACCGAGATGTTGGCGAGGGAAGGAAAAAAACGATGTAGAGTAAATGAAAAAAAGAAAAAAAAAAAAGAGGCCGAGAACGAGAAGAAATAAGGAAAGAAGACCAAAGAAAACCGCCCAAAGCCATGCTTCATCAATTCATAAAATATAGAAAGTAAAAGGGGTATCAAATCATCTTCATCTCCAAACCGTCATCCTAAAACCCATCTTTACCACCTTCCGAAAAGGTGATGGAAGAAAAAAACAGGAAGCAAAAGTCCAAGGACAAGAGGATTCGTCCATTATTGCGATCTTTCAACGCCCTTGCCCTTGGCGTCAGGCTTATCCTGACTCGAACTCTTGAGAAGTTCGCGCAGGCTACCCTCGGCATGACTCGCCTTGCCGGGGTTTGAGCGGAGGAGCCACCTGGCCGCCACCATATCCAGCCCGCAAGGTTAGAAAGGAGCCCTTGTTGCTGTAGTTGCTCCTGTTTCTGTTGCTGCTGGTGCGTTTGGCTAGGGGCTGTCTGATCATGGGTCCCTTCGTCCCGTAGCCCACCCTCGCCTTTTCCTTGTTCCTGGAGGCCAGAGGGTACCGAGTCGTCTTCTCCTGGAGACAGGACGGGCTCCTCCGCAGCAGGTGGGCGGATCTCTAGATAATTCCTCGAAGTTTGAGGCTGAGCCGGCTCACCCATCAACCCCGCGGACGCGGTCTTTGACGGGGTCGCGCTTCCAGGACCGTGGGTAATAGATCCCGGGGCGGTAGCGGCGGCGACCGCCGCGTTAGCTTCATGCTTGCGCGTATTCTCAATGACGGCAGAGGCAAGCGACACCGACTTTCTCCGGGCTATGGATTGACGCTGGGCCTCCCGAGCACCTTGTTCATCGGTGGCCGTACCTGTCCCTGAGGATGCGGCTGCGGCGGCATTTTCGCCAGTGAGACCGCTACCGCCATCGACGGAAGAGACGGGAGACACGGGCGATGAAGTTCCGGACCCTTTTCGGGCCGCGGCCCTACTCGAACCTCCTCGGCAATCTCGGCGGCAGACTTGTGCTTCTTGGACTTGTCCTCCTCCGAAGAGCGGCTGCTCGACATAATGGTCTCGAGGGTGCCGACGGCGACACTCCGCCTCCGGATGCCGCGCCTCCTCCTAGAGTGTCTCATCTGCCGCTCGTCGTCCGAGGAGACGACCTGAAGTGTGGGGCCCTGGATGGGTTGGTTCTTGGCTGCCGCGACGGCGGCGAGGAAGGACTCGCCCGAGCCATGTGGGGCTTTGTGGACCTCGTATTGGTTGCTAAGGGAGTAACGCGAGCGGGCGCATATCTCGGCGATGCGATCAAGATCGGCGTTGATGCTGTGGCTAGCGTCATCGGAATCGACCCGGCCGTTCGCCATGAAGCTTTTAAAAGTGAAGGCCTCAAGGGGCGGGAGGTTTCCGGAGGCATCATCGCGAGCGCCCTGAGCGCGCTTCTTGGCCTTTGCTCTCGCGACGCTCAACATGCCATATTTAGGATTCTGGGAGGAGGTGGTGGTCGAGGAACCAGAAAGTGCGGAGGAAAACGGCATGATTCGGCGGACGATATCGGCGGCGCTCGGGGGCTTGAGGGACCAGATCGAGAGGTGTGACCGGCCGGATTGTATCGATGACGGTGATGGTGGGAACGGTGGGAAGTCGAAGCGGAGGAGGAAGGATTGTTGGGGTGAGGGCCAGGGTAGGTTCGCACAATGACGGGTTGGGAATAGGTGCTGCTCTGAGCGCCGGTGGATTTCGCGTAGCGGTGTCGAGAGGATAGTGACTGTTAAGTTGGCGGAGGGCCGAGGTTCTATCGGCGGCGGTGGAGTCGTCGACGGGGATGGGTTTGCCCTCGGCGGTGGAGTGAATCAACGAAGTCGACGAGGCATTTGGCTGGAAAAGCGGTGGGAAGGCGATGGGTATCGAGTGCCGCCGCGGGGCGCCGTTGTTAGCAGGCAACGCTCGGGAAGATTGCCGGGTATGAGGGAGAGGAGGCGAAGGTTGTTGTGTAGTGGGAGACAGCGATGGGAAGGGCGTTGTGGACTCGCAGCCTTGTGTTGGATGCGGCTGTTCTTCTCGGTAAGGGTGATGGGGAGTGGCCGTGGGTGTGGGTGTGGGCGTGGCCGTGGACAAGGGCGAGGGCAAGGGGAGAGTATGCTGAGGTGGGGGAAGGAGAGGAATCCGGTAGATTGGATGACATGATGACGGAGCGAGGGCGGGAGGCCCCGATGGGGAAGGTTGGTAGATGGGGGTTTATATTCGAGAAATATGAGGTAGTTTGGGGAGGGGCCGGGTATAGCGGTTGGTGTTCGTGTTCGTGGACGTGGCCGTGGACGGGGACGGGGACGGGGACCTGGGCGTGTGCGTCTGCGCCTGGCGTGTGTTGTATCCGAGGTGGACGTGGCAATGGGGTTGCTGCGTCTGTCTTTACTCGCGCATGGGGAAAAGGCCGTAGCGGGATGCTGAACCAAGGTACGGGTATGGAGATTTAGGATAGGAGCATGCGTCGGATTGGCGCCTTGTTACAGTCCAGAGGAGCACCAGTCAGCCGCTTGCCATATTGCAAGGCCAACAAGCCAGGGCGGGGGGGGACAAGGCACGAGAAAGAGGTCAGACTAGTACAGGAGGCATCCGAGAAGACAGGGAATAATTGAGGGCGGAAACCCGAAGAGGAAAGATAGGAAGACGAAAAAGGGAAGAGATGGGTAAGAGGGAGAGGGAGAAAAAATGAAGGACGGGGAAAGAAAAAGATGATAGACGGCCAAGATAGTCGGCGGGGCGAAAGTGTGCGTTGTCCGTGCTCGCAGACGGAGAGGGGCCGTCCGTCCGTTTGGTTGGATTTGGATAGGCGCGATAGCGAGACAGGGAAGGGAAAAAAGAAAGCAAAGCCCCTGTTGGTGACTTTGAGTCGGTGGGCGGCTGATTTCGTCCCTGGAGACTTTGAGTGGTGCAGCGGGTCCGGAAAGGCAGAGCACTCGACGGACGTGGCGCTCTGTTCGTGCTTCCTTGGTTCAAGCGGGCGGCAGGGGGTAGATGTAGGGAGAAGAGAGAGGGAGAGATGGTGCGTGTTCGTTGTCGTGGATTTTTGAAAGAGAGAGGGAAGAGAGAGAGGGGGTCGAGGAGTCGTCGAATGGGGAATAAGGCGAGATGGCGATGGAATCTGAGGGCACCACCTTGTCAGGGTTGGATTGGGCCAGCCAGGAGGAGGATTCGATGCCGTTGCTTTGAGCGCTCAGTTTCTACTTGCTATGGCTGAAGGCCAACTTGGTGGAAATTGATCGATGGGATGTGGGAGGGGCAAGCACGTCGACCAGCGGACAAGCATTTTATTTCCGCACTGAAGATTGATGGAGGTTTTAGCCTCTAAGAGGTGCAGGTGCACCACCACAGACAGCAGATTGATACCAATCAGCTAATCACCTGGGGAGGGGGTTCCGTATAGCCTCTCCTTCTTTTCTTTCCCGTGCGTTCTTTTTCTTCCTCTTTTTTTCCGCGGCGTTCTTTCTACAAGCGGGAAGCTACGTACGTGCTGCGAGAAAAGGCAGATTGCAAGAGAAGAGAAGAGAAGGGGGTGTGTGGTACGTTGAATGTGCCAGGTCCAATCTCCATGTCTCTTGACGTTGGTACGTTGAGAGAAGTGAAAAGCCCATAGCCAGGGCAAAGAGGCTGGCACCTTGATCAAACTTGCAGGGTCCGTGGTTTTGCGGAGCGAATCGATGAAGAAAAAGGATGTGGTCTTGCGGCGACCTGACGTGGACGGTTGCGAGTGGTAGGCCACGCAGCCGCCCCAGGGCCTGGCACTGCAGGACTGCAGGAGTGCAGGAGAAGGAAAATATCGAGACAACTGTGTATTGTGAGTACAAACACACACTCACACGCCCGCAACAAAAGAAAAGGTGGCAAGCGCCTGTCTCGGCCGGGGTCAGGGGTTTCGCCACGGAGCTAGATAATAGAGAAAACAGATAAATCCCAAAAGCTCTTCTCAACGAAATCGACCCCTTAATGTTCTTAGAAGGAAGACAGAAGCGTAGTAAAAGTAAATGGTGGTATGTGGAGAGGCCCGATGCTGGAAAATGGGGTGGTAACCTGAACCTGAAAGGAGCACACACGCAGACTGTCCTCAGCGCTGGATGCTCTAGGCTGTAGCGGTAAATCTCCAGGGACGGCGAACAGCGAAGAGCGAAGAGCTTGAGCTTGAGGGGTTTCCGTGCCTTGTTGAACCAACTGGACGGTTCAATTTTGCATTTTGCGGGGAGGCGGTTTAGCGAGCCGTAATTGACACGCAGCAGTGCGGATGGACACACATACAATCACACACACACCACATGGGCCGGCAGCAAAACAGTGGACGAAAATTGATGCCAAGGCCACGGGCAGCGGTTTGAACGGAGTCCTAGGTTGGCTCTGGGGAAGGCGGAATCCACATCAATATCCAGATAGCTAAGGCCTGACCGCGAGTTTGGTTAGGAGCCACTAATACTCTACGTGCACGCTACCTAGTAGGTTCAACACTAGTTTTGGAGACAGGGCCGCGTGGAAATATATTGGATCAATGGAAGGAGCGAGGAGCGAGATTTTCATAAATGTCGGCCGCGATGGAGGACGGAGGGGGTTCGGGAAGGTGCCGGGGGTGGGGGTGGTTTTGAGACGTAAAGAGCCGAGGGAAGGTGCGAGCCGATACACATCAGGGCAAGCACTCGGCGACGATACGAGTAATAAGATATCTAAGACAGGAAACAGGACACAGCGGGTTGGCTTAAAGGACATCCACAGGTGACTTGACCCATGAACTACTGGACTGAGGAAGATCAATTGATCCATCAATTGATCAATTTGCCACAAGTGTCAGCAGCCAGAATGCAGAAAATAGGAGGCGTTGGTGAGGGAGGAGTCATTTCTATTCGAGTGGACATCTCTGTGCTATGCCAGCGGCCCAAGAGTCCCCTCTCTCAACGAGCCAACCAAAGACAGAGCACAGAAGCAGCCAGAGAGGGGCCGCAGCTCTGGCACAGCGATCATGGAGTAGTGAGACCTTGGGCAGACTGACGTGTAAGGCTGAGATTCGACTGGCGAGCAGAAACCAGAGACTGTCGCTGAGTGGTACGTCGAATGAAACCCGTTGATTTGATAAAAAGGAACAAGACAACGAAAGAAGCAGAAAAGAACCGAATTAGATGGTTCGATTGGGCTGTCTCGGTACTATACCACCTCCACTCATCACTCAACACGACATCGCTTGAGTGGGAAAGAAAAGAAAAGAAGGGGAAAAGGGCGGGGCAGGTCCCGAGAAAGAGCTGGTCCGTTTATCATTGGTACTGATCCTCAGGTAGCACCAGGTTCTGACTGGCCAGCCTGCAAGCAATTGATGAGGGGTTCCTCAAATGCAGAGCAATCCAATGGATCGTTTCTTACCGTTGGCTTGAGCTAGGCGATCTTCCGCCAATACTTGGATAGACTCTGGGTGCCCTTGGATAATGTCGGTCATCACCCGGCCTCTCACCCCGCCGGTAGCTGAGTCGAGAAACTCGTGATATTTGTCTTGCCGTGCTTGGCCGAGGGATACTACTTCTCATGATTGATTGCCAGCATCGAGCCTGTGAGGGAATCTGACCGAATCCTGTTAAACGTTGTTTGAGAGCCTATCAAGATGATGGCTTTTGGAATGGCGCGCGAATCCAAATGGAGGCCTGAAGCTGCATGAAGGCACGAGGAGACGCTACCGGAAGTCCACCTCGCCTGGATACGGCCCCCACTTCCAGCGTTCTTCTCGAATCCGGGAGGGGCGGGGCTTGGACCAGCTTGATTTTTGGATATCTTCTCCGTCAGGACACCCGAAGCCTCTACACCTAGACACGCCTCCCGGGCCCGAACGGACGAATTGATGAAAGCCCTAACATCCAAGCAGTCGTGGCGACCGGGGACAGGGTGGCTCGAATTCTTCTTCCTTTTACTTTGATTTGATTTCAATTTTCTTCTCAGAACCACCCGCCGGATGTCCCTTTCAGTCTCTCCCAGCGCATTGGCATTGACACCGTCTGCCACCTTTTGATTCTCTCTCACCTCGTTGACGGATCGGTGTTTTCGGGTTCTCGCTCCGAGTTTTCCAGCGGAAGAAAAGAAGTGGTTCGAAAACCTCACCTGAAAAGGTGGACACAGCATGCAGCACTTCTCCGGGCCACATCACGGCTTCTACGTGTCCGTGTAAGCAATGTACTTTTTTGTTGACGAGTCTCGAATGAACAAAAGTGAATGGTCAGATCCGCCCAGAGACCTGCCCCACGCTGAACCCCTCGTCTTCCACCATATTCCTTTTTTCAAGTAAGCCAGGCCCCTCTATCTCATCCCCAAGAAAAGAGAAAAGAACCAAAAAATTGGCACCCGTTTCCTGCATCCAATCGACCGAGGACCGCTGAGACGTGGTCGATCGATTCTAGAAGTGCAGTAGTGGATTTCCCTCTGACCCACTTGCTCACCGAGGAGGAGAAGGAAGAGGAGAGGGCACGCTCTGTTCTTCGTCCTGACGGCGGGCGAGACTTGCACAGATTTGAAGATTAGGCGCAACATCCAAGTCACTTCCACCGACCACCTAATCCCTTTTGCACCCCCTCCTCTTTTGGTCTGCGCATCGTTTTGGGAAGCCTGCAGCCTTCTCGTCCCGTTTTGGGTTGTCCGTCCTGCATGCTTTCGTGGCCATCGTTTAAAGGTCCATCTGGCATTTTTTGCGTCTTTTTGGTCTGGCCTTTTTTCTTTCTTTTTTTTTTTTTTTGTTGGCCTCGGCCCAATTGGAAAAAGTCGAGGTACGTGAAGAAGAGAAGGGGAAAAAATGAAGAAAAGCAGGGGACTCAGATGAACTAGAACAGAAAGGTGGGCTTGCAACCAAAACCAAGGAGGACGGAGGGTACATAACACACATGCGACACTCTGTACATCGTCCAGAGACAAGATGCGGCAGTTGACATTGATTTGCACACCGAGCAATAAGAAACAAAAATCCCTCTTTACCGAAGCTAGGCAAAATCTCTCAAGGCCATCTCTTCAGCACCAACCTCCCGCAAGCCTCCCCACTAACCCGCTTTTACCCGGTCGGGCGACTCAAAGCTCGGCGCCCTTCCAAGGAAATGCGGCCTGGAAGAGGTGTCAAGGTACCGGTGAATGATGAGCGGGAAACAAGAAAAAACCCTCGCCCCGCTCGAGGAGGGGAGACCTCTCGCGAGATTTTGGGGAGTAATTCAACGAGAGAGAGAGAGAAAAAGAAGAGAGAATACGAAACAAGAGAGACTCGGCCCTCAAAAGGCATGTGAATATTCATGTTTCGATACCGGAGGCGGAGTTCGGTGCGGCATGTGGGGCACGGGGTTCTCAAGGCGGCGCCGTTACCCCGTTCCCCAGTTCTCTTCTGTTCCATGATCCCCCCTTTTAGAAGGGGAAAGAAGAGAAGAATAAAGGAGGGATACGGGGGAGGGTGGCCTATTTTTCAGCCCACTATCATGAAACAAAACCTCAGGGGTGCTGTCCGGTCTGTCCCCAAGGTGGGAAAAGAGGGGGAAAGGAAGGATGGGGCCATGAAATCGCTCTGGAAGTGAGGAGTCAGAAAGGGAGAAGACGAAAAAGAAACGGGGAAGGGGAGAAACACGCGAGCCGGTTCACACTGCGTGTCGCTTCGCAGACGACGTTAGTCACGGGCTTTTTGGTGGGTGGATTGAAATGATGTACATCGTAAGATAAAAGGGCACAGTCATATATGGTGGGGGCGATCGAGATACTGAACACAAGGGAAAATGGTCAAGGCAGAGATCATTGTTGGTTTCGTCCTGCACGATCAAGGATAGTATTACTCCTCTGGGAGCTATAAGATGTAGAATATTGGGGTATCTATAACGAAGCAATAAAGGAATGAAAAAAAAGTTAAAATGTAGGTAGAGAGGTAGAACAGCGCGGGCGCTGGGTATGGCGAGTGAAAACGGTGACATGCGCATCAGATGTTGCGAAACGAGTCCTCGCCTACCCTCGGGCTTACGACAGTGCCAGTTTCTCCCTCCTTCTCCGTAGCCAACTCTCGTCAAATCATGGAGCGCCCCCCTTCCCCATCCGTTCATTCCCCTAGAAAAACACGCCCTCGTGCGTTCCATGGCATCGTGGCGTGGTCTTGGTGCCGTCGATCCGGGCGAGATCTCACTCCTGCTTCCAGCAAGCAGCTAGTCCCGGTTGGCATCTCCACCGTGGAACCACACACCAAGCCAGCGGGGGCCTATGGACGGACAATTTTAAAAAAAAAAAGAAAAGAACCGGGTGGGTGCTCCCCTCATACCAAGCCCACCCACCACTTCTTCCACGGGTCCTGTCGCACCGCCCCCGCGCCGGCGCCGTTGGCCAGCCTCGCCCTTTGCCCTTGCTCTTCCTCGAGCGTAGCCACGTCCTCGAGCACGCGCCAATCGTACACCTCGACGTACTCCCGGCCCCCGTCCGCCAAGGTCAGCGGCCTGCCCTCGAGGTCGTCGAGGAACGCGCGCGTCTCCTCGCGCCGGCCGGCCTCGACCAGGCAAATCTTGCGTCCGGCCGGCCGCCGCTCCGGGGCCGCGGGCATCCATGCCTCGTAGTCCGTGATGTAGCCCTCGATCCCGTGCCGCCGGAGGAGCTTGTCTGTGATGACTTTGCGGCGCCAGAGGCGGGGCCGAGGAGGACCGTTCGCTCGGCGAACCAGCAGTGCGCGCCTCGGTGCTTGCATGTTGCTCGTTGCTGCTGCTGCAGTGGAGTGTCTACTGCTGCTGCGTCTTCGTCCTCGCTGTCGGGAATCTCGATGACTTCTGGTTTGCTGGCTCTGGGTGTCTTGGCTGCTGGCTGTGGGCTTGATGGTGCCGCTGCCGCCGTCTCTGGTGTTCTTCTTCTGCTTCTTCTTCTGGTGGGTGAGGGCTCTGCTGGGGGATGTGGGGTTTGGTGACTGGTGGGAAGCCTTTTGAGCAGATTTGGGGCTGGCGTTTTGGTTGAGTAATGTTGTGAATGATGTGTTGTGAAAAACTATTCGTACAATTCTGGGATGTGTTGTGGGTCACCTCCGCGAGGGGCTCTCTTTGCGTCTTGGGCGATTGCTCCCTGGGGCTGCTTCTCGGCGTAGCCCTGCGTTTCGCCGCGGGCGGCGTGCTTTCGTAGACATCGCCTAAAGAGTCCCCTTGGGAAGACTGCTTCCGTTTGAGAGACTCCTGACTTCCTCCTGCTCCCTCAATCTTACCTTCCGTCCCCATAGCGCTCGGTTCCTTTTCAAGAGACGTAGCTAGTGGTGCTATATTCACAGTTCCCCCAAGCGCCCATCTCTGGGTTGCAGCGCTCTCAAAGGAGCCCGATGATATTGTAATCACCGAGACCACCGACCGTTGGCTGCCACCGCCGCCACCGCCACCGCCGACTATGCTTTCCGCCCCTAGACTCATCGATCTCCTCCCCGGCGGCAGCATGCCATGGTCCCCAAGCAATCGTGGCTGAAACTGCGGCTGCGGCGAGGGCGAGGGCCCCGAGGACACCGTCGACTGGGTGACCCTGTCCACCGCGAACCCTTTCGGGTCCGCCTTCTCCAGCTTGCCCACCCACTTGAGGAACTCCTGGCTCTCTCCGTCCTCCCAGGGCCGCTCTGCCATGGCCCGCTGCCCCACCCGCTGCAGCTCGTCAAACGTCATCACGTCACCGATGGCCCGGTCGAAGTGGACCTTGCTCGCCGTGGTGAAGCGCGGGGTGTAGAACCCCACGTTGCCCGGCTTCTCAAACGCGAAGCACCGGACGTCGAAGATGGGTGGCCGCGTCAGGACAAACGTCGGCTTCCGACCCCCGACACCCCTTCCGGGATGACGAGCTTGAGCGAGGTGTTTTCCGCCGGGCTCACGGCACCGGGTTGGCAATGGGCCACGACGGTGCTGAGAAACGCTGCGTCGGGCTCCACAACCACGACAACGGTAAATTCGGGTACGGTACCCGGGAGGTGCAGCGAGGACTTGTTCGTCAAGCAGCCGAGGTAAAAGTGCGTCCACTTGAGGTTGGGGATCCGGAGCACCTTGGCTCTGCGCGAGTCGTATCGCGCCGCCACCGCGGCTAGGTCCCCGAGGTCGCCAAAGGTTCCGATGTACTCCTTCTTGAACTTGATGGGACACCCTGTAAAATCTTCCCGAAGCTCGTTGAAGACCATCATCGGCTCGTCTGCTTTGATCACCAATCCTTCCTCGCACGAGGTGATGCAGTTGGCAAACATGCTTCGGAGGTCTGATGCGGCTTGTGGCTTGTTGAAGTTGAGAACCCGCCGCTCCACAAGCTCCGCGTACCCGGACCGGAGGCTAAGGATGTCTTTGAGCATTTCCATTCGCCGTGAGTGACGGACTCCGAGTAGGGATTCGTCATCGATGAGAAAGGCGTCGTAGTAGATGACCATTAAATGCTCAGTACTCCGTGGCCTAAAAAGTCCGTCGGTTGTCAGTAGTGGCACAGGCAGGTTGGACCTTGATTGCTCCCCTTAAGGAGACGGGGGAGGGCTTACGGCGAATCCATCTCGCTGCCGAGATAGCGACCAGACCTCGTTACGTGGTTCCGAACCTTGTGGAATGGGAGGATCTTGCATTTCTGCCTTGCGCGTGAGTTGTCCGCTTCCTTTGGAGCAAGCGTTGCTGGGATTTGGCCAGACTTACATAGTCGCAATAGGCCACCAGCTCCCCTCGAGAATGCATCCCTTGGTGATCCTACAGCCGGGTTTACCCAGGTCTAATGCTTCACGGATTGCCCTAAAAGACAAAAGAGAAGAGTGGCAAGAGTTAACCCTGGTTCTACCAGCAACGGAACGAGTTTGATGGGGAGGGGGCGGAGGGTCAACAGCAGGGGACATGGACCTGGCCCAGGCGCGGGAACACTCACTCGTGGACGCGGATTCTGTCCTTGGTGCTATCCTTGCCACTTTTAGAAAATATTTGTATGCAGTCACGCCCTTTGCTCAAGTCTATATGGATCTGGCAGTACTCGCCGTCAATCTTCTTCTCTACGCTCATGAACCCGTGGCCCATGTCCAAGCAGTGCTTGATGCTCCGCGCCTTGCGCCAAAACGGCCTCCCCACCTTGGTCCCGAGCGTGGGCCGTAGGTGCCGCAGGACCACCTCGGTATCCCAGCGCGCGGGCTTGCCGGGACCTTGACCGCGCCTAGCCCGGTCCTCCGCTCCTCGCGGAGGATATCGCGCAGCACGTTGGCGGCGGCGGGGATGTTGTCCCGCACGCGCAAGATGCGGGGTAAGAGGCCGTGGTAGGCCCGGTAGATGACGGATTCGTCCACGTCGATGACGCGGAAGTCCTTGAGCACGAGGCGGGTGAGCCACTTGGCTTCGAGGGAGACAGCCGCATGTACAGCTTCTCGAGGCCGTTGCCGTCGTCGGGCTCGGCGAGCGGGTAGTCGGCCTCGTGCGCATTCTTGGAGGTGAACCTGATCTTGCCGCGGCGGCCCGTAGCAGGTTGTCTACCTCGAGAACGCTGGCCAGCGCTTGGTTGGGGTTCGGCTACACGGGATTGCAAATCTTAGCCCCTTCATCCTATAAGAAAGGGAAGCGGAGGGCGAGGGCGAGAAAAACGAAAAGGGACCAGGAGAGACACGAGGAGGTAAAGGAAGGGAAGGGAAAAAAAAGGTTCTATGAAGAAGTTTTGCTTCTGCGATCGCGACACGTGGACTTGAGCGCACGTACCGTGGCACTGAGAATAGCATAAATACAATCGGCGAGATCTAGGCCGGAACCCGGCACCTTGTATCTACGGAGATCCCTAAGGCGACTGTCGCCCAGGCGCTGGGCGCGCTCAAAGATCTTTTCTAGGCGCGAATCCTGGAGATGATAGACTCGGTCGGTGCGCTTGGCAGGGAGCAGGGTCGAGAGCAGCGCGGCGCCGGCGGGGGCGTCGAGGGGGTCGAGGAGATGACGATGATGGCTAAACCAGCGCCAGATGGTGGACTGGGATTCTTTGATTTCCCCTCGAGCGCTTGGTCATATAACACGTCCAAGAGCTTGCAGACGTCGGAAAACGGTAGCTGCGCCATGGCGAGGTGGACGTGGCGTGGTCAAAAGGTTGGCACATGCGCGGTTTAGACATGGACACGGGATAGGCTTGACGACGTTGGAGCCAGAGAGTATCACGGCAGGAAATGTCGGGAGCAAGGGATGAGAGGACAAGAGGATGGGGGAACGGCCCACGGTTTGATGGTTAGGGGCGGCGACGATTCCAAGGCAATCGCCTTGTCTACGAGTAGCAATTGAGTATTAGGTGGGAGAGGGGAAAAGGAAAGAGCACTGAGCAATTGAGCTCTCCCTCCTCCCCTCCCGGTTTGGTGGAGATGGTGGTGGGTGCCTTGAAGCGCGCGATGCGCCACGTCAAGGGGTTCTGCTCACGAGGGGATGGTGCCAAAAGAGGTCTCGTGCGGGTGGGAAAGTGCAGGTTTACAGGCCCTGGAACGGGTGTCCAGGGCTAATATTGCGCTATTTCTAGGCACGTTCCCACGGGGAATCTGGCACAGGGTTTAGGGCCAGGGGTTGACGCGAGATTGACGCGTATCACGTGGTCGGAGGGGGGATGATCTCCAACCTTGAAGGTTGCCAGTGTGGATGGATCGGCCGTGCTCCTACGGGCCGAGCTCTTCACGGGTGAAGCCGTCTCATGGAGGGAGGGAAACTGGCAAAGTGGGCGTGGTCGATTGAGAGTGGAAAAAAGATATGGAAAACTAGGGGAATAGAAAATTCTATTCAGCAAACGAGCCTGTGAAGCTAGGGTGCACACTCTGTTCTGGCCGTGGTTCTCCTTCGTGCAGGACAGCCCCTCGGAGCATCAGGGTCTCAATCGATTCACTAATCGGCCTGTCTTCGTCCCTTGAGGATCGTCCCGAGAGGGCACAGGTAGGTACTACTAGCTTCCCATGCCTCCCCCAGAGATATTAATATTTCCCCGTAGATTGGCAAAAGGAGGGGCGGATACAAGCCGTTCCCGATCCCATTGGCTGGCAAACTGGCGGAGATTGCGAGAGCTGGATCCAGGCTGTCAATCCCCATCCAGACCAGGGCTTGGCCCGTCCCACCTTACAGGGGCTGTCCGGGCTGTCCGTTCGGATTCTCTCACTTTCCTTGTTGAAACTAAACGACAAGGACAACAAGGGAAGGGGTTTGCAAGCCTGGTGATCTCTTGGGTGGGGGAGGGGAGAACAGAGCATGAAACTGTTTTTATCTGCCCATCGCCAGGGTCATACGAACCTACCTTATGGCCTGTCTGTTTCCGGGGTTCGAATGTCTTGATGGGGCCCCGTGCATTCCCCCTTGATTGAGATTTGAAGAAGAAGAAGAAGAGAAAAAAACCCCCAAATGAACTTGGTACACGATAATAACCTGACAGCGCATAACGGGCAATACAATTGACCCAGGCCCACGAGGTTCGGAGGCCGGGGTTGATTGTCGTATTTTACCCCTTTGATTCGATTCTTATGCAGGCGGCGATGGTTGAGGGGCGTTGCCGGGGCAGTCCCTGAGAAATTTGTGGGACATTTTTATGAACTAATGCTGCAGGTACCGGTTGAGGGTTGAGGGAGCTCCAGCTTACTCGGGGGCGCTGAACAGCAAGCAGCTCAACGAATAATGCTGCCGCTCCCGGAATTAGGCCCAAGAATAATGGATGAATGAGGACTGGACGAACTTCAAGTACGAAATACTTGTAATATTCCTGGCACTACCTGATACATCCTTGTACGCTCTGATGAGGGACCTTTCGGCATCTCTTTCAACCTGATCAAGCAGGCTATTTCCAGATATTGACTTGGACCCTGGAAAGGACCAGGAGAGAACTCGGACGCTAGAGTTGGTTTGAGGAGGGAAATACCTGGGTTTGAAGAGCTGTTGCCTCGCTTCATAGGAAGCAAGGCTTGCACGATGACTATGCTGTATATTCATATGGCCGAGCAAGGTAACTTTTAGCTCACATGCTCCCAGCCAAGGAGCAGGGGGAGCAGAAAGCCTGGAGCCACAGCATCATTTTGATCCACCACACCTCATCCATACCCCATTCTATTTGACAGTAGCGCACGCGTGTCTAATGCGGGTCAAAAGAAGGAAAGAACAAGAAGCTGTTCGCTAGAGTCTCAGAATATGCGCGATGAAGGGGCCACGCCCACTCCCCCATTCGTAACAAGACCTCGAAAAGGTGCTGTGCTGGCTGCCGGAGCAACTGATCGTTTACTTGGCGGGGAAAAGATGCGAAGAGTAAACAAAAGAGGTTCCACGGTGGGAGACTCAGCCGATATCAACTATCGAGAGCCACGATCGTCCGCAGTTTTCCTGTTCAAGTCAGCCCATGCCCACCCCCTCCCCTCTCGCCACTCGTCGGTTCAAGAGGGGCAGACAGGGGTTGAGAAAACGCCTGGAGACTGAAAGCAGGATTTTTGTGACATGCGCAAAGTCGCGGCCATCGTGGTCCAAGTTGCGCTGGGATAGGCAACGAAAAAGGCAACGAAAGCTGATCATGGCGACTTCAGGGAAGGACCGTGTTCATCCAGAGGAGGGAGCCATCCACAGCCCATGATTTGACGTTGACGAGGGCAGCATCTTGCTTGTTTTGGCCCACCCACTATAAAGATAGTTGTGCTTCAAGCGTGGGCTTCAACGTTCTCCAATAAAAACCAATGCGGTTGACCTGGAAGCTTCGGAACATAGGCACCAGCATTGAAGTATTAAGATTCAATGCTCTCCAAAGAAAGGGACACCTTGGGCTTGGGCCTGGGGTTGAAGAGTCATGTGGGTGTGGAGCCCCTTGTCTGGTTCAAGTAGGAAGCAGGAAGTAGTGTAATAGCGTACGGGCTCAAGCGGTGGACGGATTAATATGTATTAGTCCTCATCGAGCACTCCAGCTTCGCGCATCGCCCCGACTCTACTTGGGATGGACGGAAAGGGATGAGATGAATCATAATAACAAAAGAATATACAAGTATTAGTGTTGGGCCCTCCGCATTCTCTCGAGACATTTTTGAGTCTGATGCTTGCTCCCATTTTATGCTCACCCATCTACGGACTTTTTGACTCTTTTGAGGTTGTTTCTTGTCTTTCCCGTGCAAAACGTTGTTTAACCGTTCGGCTACAAACGAAACGAACGAGCCCGCCTGTTTATCACAACCCGACTCCGGCTGAAGACAACATTGAAAGCTTTGCGCACACGCTTTTCGAGTATCCTTAATACTGCTCGCGACAGAACCCGTCGTACAAGTAAAAAACCATCGTCCTCGAGCCATATCAATTGATACCAGTCGCCGGTCGCCTTTCCCTCACCTGGCAACCCAAGAAGACCAGCTGTTGAAAACACTTGTCCTTCTGCGTTGCTCGCTGTCACACCGTCGGCTCCCTTTGGTCGTATTCTCAAACTTCTGGAATCACCCATCGCATATTAGATTGCGAACCATTCAACTGGCCGCTGCACCCGTTTTCGTCCCGGCCCTGGCCTCCCCCTGGTTCCGGTTCCGTCAATTGGCAAGCTTGGGTTTGGGTTCGTCTGATTCGATAGGAGCTGCTAATAATACTCGACCCGACTGATATTATTGCCCTGCAGTTGAGGGAGGCGTCTTGTACCTGCAGAACAACACGCAGAATATTTACTGGTCTCGGCAGCCGGCAGCTTGCAACCACAACCAACACCGAGTGCACCTGCAGCACCACACCCACTCAGTCCAGTCCAAACCTCCATCATCCCTGGTCCCCATCATCCCAACTCGGCTTTCGAAAGAGGCCAGCAGGCAACCAAAAAGAGAGCCCATCGTACCAGAACAGCGGATTTTCTCATCGAACCAGCTGAGCGAACCAAGTTATTGTTGATTCACTTCAAGCCATCCAAACTTGGCTTCCCAAACGTCTCCAGTCTATTCTGGCTGCGCTGCGCTGCCGTGTTCCACCACCTTGCCGACACCTAGCACCTGTCGCCTGTCGCCTGGACCGTTTCTGGCACTCAATTCCAGCACCCGGAAATACAACTAATGATAAGACGGCGAATGCTACGTGCACAAACAATCTCATAAGGACCCTCCCCTGTCTTGTCTTCCTCCCCGGACAGGCCCCAAAGACCCCAAAGACCTGGACGCGACATTGCCATTCCATCATCTTATTTTCCCACTTCATGGATCGTGATCCATTGCAGAGCTCAAACAGTCCGTCATAACAACCCGGATTCAGCACCCTCGGCGGTACCTCTGCAACTTCAAGTTGGCTCAAGTACCCGTTGTGGCCACGCAAGAGCAATTGATAGCCCACGAGTCCACCAAAACCATCCACGCCTACAATAACAAACAGCTCAATGGATTGAGCGTTCAATTGAGCTATTTGGCCCCCAAAATACTAGTCGGCCGCAGTCCTCCCCCGTTCCTGGCCTGGCCAGACCGCTCCACAAGCCACAACGGCAAGCTACAATAGGTGTAGCAGTAGACGTCTCCGCCCTGCTCTCCGCTCCTTGGACCTTCCTTCAAAGCTCGGCTTGTACCTCGCAGGTACCTCAACCAAATAAACGACGAACAGGAACGCAGCACGTACGCAATTGACGACAGCAACCAATCTCCCGCGCCCCCTTCTTTACGCTTCACCCCCGCAACTGCTATTATTTACCTTTTGTTTCCTGACACTGACAGCAGTTTCCCCTTTCGCGCCCCCTCCCTTGAGATTGGCCGAATTCGTGATCTACGGGGAGGTAATGATGTGAGCGTGAGGCTTTCCACAGGTCCAATAGAAATTTCTCGCTCGCCTCAAAATATTTTTTGACACACTCTCCCTCTCACGCACATCAATTGCATACACTCTTTTTTATTCTTTGGTGGTCGATCCGCCAACCCATTAGTGCCTTCACCGCACACCCCCTTTCTACCCACCCAACAAATCAAAACAGCCTTATCCTTCATGACGATTCTTCCTCGCGTCTGCATCGTCACACTCCTTCATGACCACAAGAAAATTTTGAAATCATACAGGCCCATCGTCGCCAACAGAAGGACGAACCATTCGTTTACCAACCCCTGGAGATTCCGACACAGGCGGGCCAGGACTTCTCCGTCCGCTCTTTGCTCCTCCTCTTCCACCGCCTCCTCCACCGCCATTCGACGTCGGAGACCACGCCCCTTTGCCGCCTGTTGCCGCTCTCTCCAGCAGCTTTCCGAAAGAAACGACCCGTATCTCGACGAGATCCTCACCCCCGTCAACCTTACGCCCCCGCATCGCCTCCGAGGACTCCCACCACCGCCGACAGAATGGCGCGCCAAGAGCGTCTTCGAACCGGCCCTTCCCAGGCCGCCGGACGCCACAATCCCCATCAGATCACGCTTCTTCGTTGCAGGACAACACAAGCCCCTTTGGGAGCGAGGCGAGCGAGCGGACGGCCTTTACCCCCGAGCTGTCCCGGGCCAGCACCACCTACGGCCAAATAGGACGGAATCCCCAAATCATAGTAATAATGATAACGTGTACGCGACGCCAGAGTTTCCCCGGCCCTCTACAGCGTCTTCCGTCACCGACCCCATGGGTCCCCCATCGGTTGACGAGGTGCTGACGCGATCGTCGCGATCGACGTCTTCCGCCTCGCGAAACACCAACCGCCTATCAATCACGCTACCGATTGCCCTCCCCACCTCAGATCCCTCGCGGCCGTTGCCGAGCTCGGCAGCCGCCTCCTCTGTTGCCCCCTCGGTGCCCGGCACTCCTGCGAGGCAGATCCCAACCGCTCCGCCGACGCCCTCGGATGCCAACGAATTCATCATCGCGATTGCCGCCCAGGAAAGACGCGTCATGGAACTTCGTGAGGACCTCAAAACTGCCGAAGAAGAGCTCAAGCGTTTAAAGCGGCAGTGGACCATGCACGAGGCGTGCAAAAGTCGGGCGTGGGCCGCACCGCCACCGCCCCCGAACCCCGCGTGCGGTCGTGCCCCAACCCGAGTCGTGGTGCGGCACCCCATACGATGACGACCTGGCCTTTAGACGCAGCGTGGAGCTCGACCGGCGGAAGCTCCTGCTGCAGACACAGCAGCAGCAGCAGAGCACTCCCGGCAGCGGTGGCAGTGGCATCGTGGGCGAGCGAAAGCGTGTCTTTCAGGGCCGCCACGCCCGAACCCTATCGCTGCTTTCGCCCACCAAGCCCGCTTCGGATACCTTTTCCGTACTCGACGACGCTGACGTTTGCAAGTCCCCCGATGTCGAGCGCCCCCTGTGGTACGGCGGCCATCCGTACTCAACAAGCGCGCGTCGTGGCAGCCGCAGTCACTCCACCAGCCCAGCTATAGCCACCACGCCGGCGCGGCGGCCACAGGTGCCAACCTCCATGGCAATGCCGGGGCCATGTCGCAGATCGTCGAAGATTTTAAGCTTGGCTTCAAGACATTTTACGAGGACATCCGCCAGATCACTGTGGGAGACGAGCCCGTCAATGGCGTCGCGGGCGCCACCCGCACCGCTGGTGGTGCCGATCTCCCGGGTCGTCCCGCCGGCCACCATCACGCCTCCGCCCACGCCAACGGTGGTGGTAACAGAGGCTACGCCGACGACCAGGATACCATTCGGCCGTCGACGACGTCGGGCCGGCCCAGGCTCGCCGCCGCCTTTGACTATCCCGCCAACGACGCTGCTGCTCTCGAAACCCCCTCTAAACCCAAGGCGTCGAGAGCGTCGGCGGGCTTAGCCGCGGCGCGGGACAGCAACGCGCGTGCGAGGAACAAGCACTTCTCGTGGACGCCGCTTTCGTTTGACGGCATCGACGGCGAGGCATGGCTCAACTTTGACTCTCCTTCCTCCACGGGTAAATCGACCCGGTGGAGTGGATCGACCATGAGTGGTGAGGAGAATGCCGAGCAGCCATCAACCCCTGCTAAAGTTGTTGAAGAGATCGAGTCCCCTCTGTAAGTGTGAAAGAAATCTGATGTTCTGATATCGCGGGACGCCGACTAACAGTTGATAGCAGAACCAAGAAGGTGAATGCATTGGGACTCGTCTCCCCGTGTCCATCAACCCCCAGCGCCTCGAAGAGCTCACCGCCCAGGTGGTCAACCGCCTCTCGCCCAGCAACATTAAGCGGACTGCTACCGACTACCTGAACCAGTGGGAGCAGACCCTGGGTGAGGCGGTTCTCGAGAACCACGCCAAGACGATGCCGCCGGGCACAGCCTCTGTGGCCACGACCACGGCGAGCGAGCCTAAAGATGACAAGGAGAATCTTCTTCTCTAAGTGAAGAGTAGAAGCGGCGAAAGAAGAACAGAGGGAAGAGAAACGCCAGACTTTGAAAGAGGTTTTATGAACGACTTAATGTCCCGAATGATGTCACTCCCACTCACACATGTATGCGTTGTCTGCTTTACTGCTCGGGGATAGGTTACGGGCCAAACGAGAAAAGAGAAGTATATACAAGAGAGGGGATTGGGACGATATCGGGACGAACAGCACGCACAGTGGGTCGGTCGTGGTGGGAGAGCGAAGATGAAGGGGATGAAGGTGTGGAGAGCATCTTTGCGGGAAACAACATGGAGTTGGTCTGGGTTTTCTTGTTTCTTTTTTCTTGCTGTTTGATCTACTCACCCCTCTCGAAGCATTTCTTGCATTTCTTGGATGACCATGATATGAGAGACTAAACTTAATGACTATTTTATGACTTGACTGCCTCTGTTTGATTTCTTTGAGTGTGTGCCTTTTGTGTTGGACGATTCTTACTCGGTTCCGTGTCGTTAACTGTGTGTTGTTTTGATTATCCGCCGTGAACAGTCGAGAAGAGGCAACAGAGCCCATGGGGAGGGAAGCCATAAGCGCGAGGGTAGACGGGCGCACTGGTACCCTTTGTGCGTTCCGACAGTGTCGTGCTGACGGACATGGACGTTTGAAGAGAAGAAGCATAGATAAGAGAGGGAGCGTGAAGATGAACAACATCTCACCACACACCCGAGGCGAGCAGTTACGAAAGAGCGAAGAGTGGGAGTAATTAAATAATGATGCAAGTATATTCCAAGAAACAAGGAAACGAGAAAAAGAACGAGGGCTCAAGACAACGAGATGGGAACGACGAGAAAAGCAGGACGCGAAGAAAGAAAAGAAAAAAAAAACTCCAGATCCTTCTTTACCGTTCTCCTTTCCTCAACCCTTACTTTACCCACTCCTTTCTGTGTAGAAAGGCACGGGAACCACGCGCGAGAGAAGAAAAAAGTAGCTGAAACCGAGTTGGAAAAAGAACCAAATGCAGAAAAACGGAGTATAAAAGAGACAAGACGAGAGAGAAAGACAACGGTTTAGAAAAATGTATGGTGGCGGGAAACCAAAAGAGACGTGTAGACGAAGACAAGAACACCAAGTTATTTGGCCCGCTTAATGGGTTTCCCGAGCAAGAAAAAAAAAGAAAAGGATAGAAAAAAAGAATTAAACCATTGCCTCCCTCGCCCCGTCTTTTGTGCCCCCAATCTTCCAAGCCCAGCCCAGACAAAGAACCGCCCCCAAGATGAATAAACATGGTGATGAAACCAAGAAAAATAAAAAGATGACGAGTGAAGATGTCACATACAGCCCAAGCCCCTCGCCAAGAATGAACAAGTATAGATAGACAAGAAGAGGACAGGCAAGCGGGTGAGGCAAGGGAAGCGAAGTGGAGAAGGAGGGAAGAGGACGAAGTGGAGAGAAGAAGAAGAAGAAGAGAGGAAACAAAAAAAAAAAAAGAAAAACATGTACATGATGTCTCCCCTTCTTCTTTTTCCCCATCACACCACCACTCGTTCTCGTTCTACTCCCTCGGCGTCGGCGGCGGCGGCATCACATCCTCCTGCCCACCATCCTCCTTACCCTCCTCGCTCCTCGCCGAGCGCGCCGTCTCCCGCCGCCTCCGCCTCGCCCTCCTCTCCTCCTCGGTCCTCTGCTTCCGCAACGCCTCCCTCCTCTCCGGATCTACGTCGTCGCCCTCCCCGCCCCGCATGCCTTGCAGCAGCATCGCCGCCCGCGCCGCCACATCGTCCTCGCCCGCCTCCCTAGGCGACGAGAGCGCCGGGCTGAGCAAGTTGCCGTCGCTGCCCGCCGCGCTGCCGGGCCGATTTGTGTTTCCACCCGCCGAAACCGAGTGGTGGTAGGCCGCCGCCGCCGTTCCGTTCGCGCCGCCGCTGCCCGCCTCGCCGCCCGCAGACGACCCCGCGGGTCCCTTGAGCGACGCCTCCACCGAGGGATCTCGTTGAATTCCGGCACCTTTTGGCCCGACGCGATGCGGTCCCGGTGCCTGTCCTTCAAGCGCGCCCTGCGCCGCCTGTCGCGTTCGTCCTTGGTCGCCGGCGCCGCGGCGCGCAGCTTCTCCAGCAGCGAGTCCATCGCGCCCGCGTTGACCGGGCTGGGCGGCGCCCCGGCCAAGTTCTTGCTCTCCGCGAGCAGCGGCGACTTGAGCTGCTGTTTCCTCTTCATCGACGCCTCGTTCTTGCGCCGCGTATCCTCCATCGTCACGTTCTTCTCCCGCGACTTCTTCCACTCCGTCACGAAGCCCGCCAGCTTGGCGAAGAAGTCGCGTCGCGCGTTCTCGTCGCGCGGATCCTCGCCGTAAAACACCATGATGTCGTCGTACGTCTTGCTCATCTCCTCCAGGTACAGCTGCATCTGCTCTGCCTTGCGCCGCGCGTCCTTCATGCACCGCTGCACCACCTGGCTCACGCGGTCTTGCGGGTGGAACTTCTTGGGGTCGCTCAGGTTGCCCGAGTCGAGCGAGGCCTGCACGTTCTTGATATTGTCCACGTACTTCTTGGCGTCCGCCAGCAGGTGGTCCACGTTGATCTTTTGCACCGCAATCACTCCCATAATGTCCATGGCGAATCCTTCCCACTCGGGGTACTGGTTGCGCACGATGCGCTCCACCATGTCCGCCAGCGTCGTCTCGTTCTTGTCGTCCTTGACCATGCCCAGCCGCGCGAGCGAGCTCAGCTTGAATCCGCGGGCCTGCTTATTGGCGTCGTTCATGTAGTTGCCAATGTCCAGAATCAGACCCAACACGTTCATCAGCGATACCGAGTCCCGCAGCGACTCCGACACTTCCATAACCTGCCGGATCCTGTTGTTAATTTCGTCGTACTCGATCTCGTACGACCGCGTGAGCGCGAGAGCCCGCATCCTGCTCTTCCAGTAGTGCTGGAGCTCAAACACCGTAAACAGGTAGATTTGATCTTCCCGCGTGAGCTCCGACGGGTCCTGCTCGCGCCCGTCCTCCGCCTTGGCGCCCGGCCCCGTCCAGTCCTTGCTGTACGGCGCCATCTGCTTGAGCGTGTTGTCGGGAATGTTGGAAAGGTCGGGCTTCTGCAAAAAGTCCAGGATACCAGAGTTGTTGAGGAATTCGTCGTCGCAGTGGATAATCTTTTGCACAATCTTTTCGATAGAGTAGGCAGCGCATTTAGCAAAAGCGATTTCTGGTACACAACCACCGTGTTAGTCTTGTTCTCTCTCTCCAAAAGAAATACCCCCCTTTTTTTCCCGCCCACTTACCGTAAGCTTTGCGCAAATCGGACGAAATGATCTGCTTCTTATCATCCTTCTTGCCTGACCTTCCACCGAGCTTCTTAATCTCCTTGGCCATGAACAGCTTCTCTACCTCGTCCAGGATACCCTTCTTACTGAGCTCCTGGTACTTTTCTTCCCTTTCCTCCGCCGATGGCGCGTGCGCCGCCCAGTGCGTCGTCATCGGCGAGTCCACCTTGTCCCAATGCAGCGCCTTGAGCTTCTTCTTGGGCCGCATGACCGGCATCCCGATGCCCTGCGTCGTCGACGAGAAGGAGCTAGCTTGCTGCGAGAGGAAGTGGCCCGAGATCGCGCCAGGGAGAGGTGGTGGCGGCGGCGGGGGCCCGCCAAACATCGGAGGCGGAGGCGGCGGCGGAGGCGGCGGTGGTGGTCCACCACCAGCAAGGAACCCGGGCGGGGGAGGTGGTGGCGGTGGTGGCGGCGGCGGAGGAGGAGGTGGTGGGGAGGCCCACTACCGGAAGAGATGAGCCCCGGAGGTGGGAGCGGCGGCGGGGGTGGAGGCGGCACTCCGGTCGTACCTGGAAGGGGAGGCGCGGGCGGCGGCGCGGGCGGCGACGAGGTCGCGGCCGTAACCTTGATCTTGGGGGTTCGCTGTCGGCGGGGGTGAGGGAGCTTGGGATTCGAGGCTGGGGTGCGAGGGCCCGGTGGTGACGCCGTCGCCGTCCTCGTCGTCGCTGTCGCCGTACCGCTTGATTTTACCGGTAATCTCGCTGAGGAGGCCGGCCTGCTGCTTGGGGTCGACCGTGGGGCGCCGAATCTCGACGACTCTCGGCTTCTCGTACACCACGTCGGCGTCGTCGTCCTCGCCGCCGTCCTCCATAATGGTATCGCCGTCGTTGGGGGTTCCGGGCAAGGGTTTGCGGTTGAGGTTGGTGTGCCTCCTGACGCTGCCCAGCATCCCGGGGCTGAGAGCCGGCTTAGAGATGTCAAGCATAGCGCTGTCGCCGTCGTCGTCGTCGTCGTCCCCACCGTAGCCGTCCATCTCTTCGCGCAGGGCGCGGAGTCGATCCGACGGACCCACCGTCTCGCCCCAGACCCTGCCCTCGAGCTTGTACTGCGTCTTCTGGCGCTCAATCTGCATCTGCAGGCGCTCGAGCAGGCGCTCGCGGTCGAGGATGCCTTGCATGCGGACGGGGTCGTCGTCGCCCAGTTTGCTGCCGCCGCCACCGGCGCCACCGGCCGAGCTGTTGGCCTTGACGGCATTGGAGGCGGCAATGTCCTGGGCGTCGCGGAGCATGAGGTACAGCTCTCGCGTCTCCAGCTCGTACCGCTGGGCTTCCTTGGCGCGCACCGTTTGGATGTTCTCCAGCTCGGCCTTGAAGCCATCGGCTTGGCGCCGCTGGGCTTCGATGAAGCGGGACTGTTCCTCGAGCTGCCTCTGCATCTTGGCCACGAGGCCATCGGCGCCGAGCTCGAGCTGGGCCTTCATCTCGTCCCGCTCCGCGAGGGCGGCGTCGGCGATTTGGCGCGCCTCGAGGGCCTCGTCCGAGGCCTGGCGCGCCTCGGAGTCGGTGTGCAGCTTGTCCAGCAGGCTCTGGACGGTGAAGTTGAGGCTGCGCTTGAGGTCCATGTCGGGCAGCCTCCTGTCCATGGCGACATAGCTCAGCATGGAGTCGACGAGCTGGAACATGCGCAGCCTCTCCTCGTTGTCGCTGTTGGGGATGAGCAGGAGATGCTGGAGGGCGGAGACAAAGTAGTCTTGCGACTTGGACTCGCCCAGGCGCTGCTGGATCGCGTCGACAATCTGCACGGGATCGTTCAGGTCCTTGACCTCGGCTTCTACGTTATCCTTGATGGAGCTGTTGTCCCGCTCCAGCATGTCTTCGTAGTCGATGGCCTCGTTGGTCCGGAACTTCTCGATCTGGGTGTCGATGAATTCGTACTGAAACCGCTCCATCTTGGTCATGATGCGCTTAATTCCGCATGCCGTGAACTGGGCGCGAATGTGCACGCGGAGCTGGAGGTCCTTGAATGGCTTGTCGATCATCATGTTGACGAGGATGAGGGTAGCGACGGCGTATTCCATGAGCAGGTTCTCCATGCCGACGCCGCCGCTGCGCACCTCTTGGCTCGCGCCGACGAGGCTGCCCATCTTGCCGCGGCCGTCGATGGCGACCTCGACGAGGCGCATCCACGAGTCGAAGCGCCCATTCTCCGCGTGCTGGGCCTTGACTTGATCGAGGGCCTGGATGACCTTGAGGTGGCCGTCGCCGTTTCCCCAGTCGCACAAAAAGGTGAGCACCTCGCTCACGAGCTTGCGGGTGGTGATTCTCCCCGACGTCAGGGCGGTGGCGAGGGCGATGAGGACCTGCTGGTGCTGGAGGGCGTCGTCGGCACCAAACTTATTGTTCATGACGGCCTTGAGACACTTGATGATGTCATACTCGTGGTCGAGGGACTTGTCTCCCCTCGGCAGCTCGGGGGCGGCGGGGCCGGTGGCCGTCTTTCGGTTGATCTTGAGGAGCAGCGTGGTCAAGGCGACCTGGCCCTGGCACTCGATGAAGCGCTTAACCCATCCGATCTGCTGGGTCCTGAGGTTGACCTCGAGGCTGCCGAAGCCCTTGGAGTCGAGCTTGTCCTCCATAATCTTGCGTACGTACCATTCCGGGGCACCCTCTTCCTCGGAATAGGTGGTGATGTCCACGTTGGCGTACTGGCCGGGGCGGGCGGTGGTGCGGCGCTTCTGCTCGCCCTGCCATTCGGTGAGCCGGTCCTGGTGCAGGAGGGTCCACTTCTTGTCGGCCGGGTAGGCGTTCATCTGTCGACGGGCCTGCTCGGGCAGGTTGTTCCACCCTCGCTTCTGCATCAGCTGCACAAACATTTGCTCAACCACGCGGTCGTCGTCGGGCCGGGGAAGTGAAAGCCCTCGTGGCCGGTGGAGGGCAGCTTCGTGAGGCGGTTCGAATCCCGGTTGGAGAGGTAAGAGGAGTAGGAGCTCTGGGAGGAGGCACTAGGTAACGCGGCTATTCTAGATGAGCGAGAGGTCCCGGAATCGTAGGCAGCGCCACCATTACCTGAAAATATACTAGCATTGTCTCCCGACGTCCTCCCCGTTGTCGTGACGTAAGAGTCGTATCGGGTGTTGATCGTGCTGCTGCCAAGGCTCGTCCGCCCGGAGCCGGGGCCGGACCATTGCGGAGGCTGGCCCTGAGGCTGCTGGGAGTTTGTCGCGCGCGAGGCCATGGCGAGGTTCACGGCGGGATGGTGAGGTAGGCGCGCCACCGAATGGTGGGGGAGGTCGCGTTCGGCATGGTGGAAGGATCAAAGGAAGGGTATTGGTGGTAATCTCCGAGGCTCTTGTTAAGGTGATGGGGCATGGGCTCGCGGCGGCCCTGGCTAGATTGAGCGTCGTGGTAGTCGGCGTGGACGGGGAGCGGCTGTCGTGGCGGATAGAATCGTAGGGGATGCTCGTGATGACTCCGGCCGTCATGTTCAGGCCGGAGTCGGGGGTGTCGGCGCGGTCAATGGAGACGGCGGAGGAGTTGCGGTGGTGGTGCGAGGTGCGACTGCTGCTGGCGCCCGAGTCGTGGTAATCGAAGCTCGATAGATGACGGCCGTCGTCGTAGTTTGGCCGGTCGTGCTTGTTTTTGTTTCGGGAGAAGAAGGATGGGCGGCTCGAGGAAGACCTCGACTTGTCGGAGGACGCCATGTTGGGCCAAAAAAGAGGTCCAGATCCACGCCCTCCCGGGGATAGGGCGTGGGCGAGGACGGGGCGGGCAGGTAGAGGCGTCAGCTGTCTCGACGTAGGCCCAGTTCAGGGGTGTACGAGTGTATGTGTGTGTGAGAGAAGTGTAGAGTAGGTGTGTATGCGTGGGCGTGTGTAGTGCGGGATGGGTGGGAGGAGGTTGAGATGACGAAACGGAAGGTCGATGAAACACCGGTTCAAAAGTGGTGTTCTTTTTTGGCCCTTCTCGTCGGTGCCGCAACGACTCTGCGATTAGGTTTCTACTAGTTCCCGCAATTCTGAAAGGTTTCGCCCCGGCGGTATTTCCCTCCGTGAATGGACAGGGGACAGAGGAAAGAAAAACAAGAACAAAAGAAAGAAAGAACCCGTTCTTCCGTTTCCGTTCCCGTTGCCGTCTATTTTTTTCTTGTTCCTTTTTCTTGTTACCCCTTCTCGCAAGTATTCCCGCTTGCTCAACCCGAGATGTTTTGACGGTGGACGGTCGTAGGCGTAGGCGTAGGCGTAGGCGTAGGGGTGGGCGATTTGCTAGACCAGGCCAGGAGGGCTCGCATGATTGGGGGCGAGCTTCGCGAATCGGAAATGGGCAGAGTGTGGCCGCAAGTCCAGAGGAGGGACGATTGGAGGATCTGTCACGTCGGGGCTGCGAACGCATGAATCGGGAGTGTTTTAGCATCAATTCTGGCAAAGTTGAGAATTCTGTCGCGATCGAGTGGGCCTCAACGAAGATGCTCCTGAGGTCTTGAGGGGGCCGAGGTGGGCGAAGGGGGGAGGGCGAAAAGGGAGTGGTTCAATGGTTTAGGGAAGAAAATAAAATAATTAAAGAACTGGATGGAGAAAAAGAGTGGATGGCAAGCCCATAACCTAGAAGCACAGATCTACTAACGCCGCGACCGTGAAGGCACGGAGACAGAGGCGATTGGTGGTAATGGCCAAGTATAGAGGCAGCAACCTTATGATGGTCCCCCAGATCTAGGTATCAATGATGGATGAATCCTCAAAGGAAAAAAAGGATGCATAGATCCATAGATGTGAGCCATCAACAGATGATGAAGCTTCTTTCTCTTTGCTTTGGTTCCAGGCTCCTACTTTCTAGATGGTCTCTTTCCGCCTTCTCTCATATCAGGACTGGCTTCTTTTCTTCCCCCTCTGGCTCTCTTCTCTTCCATCTCCCCTTCCGCTTTTCATCATTTTTTTTATTAATCTTTCGTCTACCCATTCCCCTCTTTTCTTTTCTTTTTCTTTTCTTGTTCTATTTCGACAGGCTAAGCTTGTGGTCGGTGCGGATGTTTCTCGTCGGGGATTTTCCCCTTTCAACATGGAGACGCAGTAGGATCACTCAAGGCAGCGGGGAGAGAAGGAGAGATGGTCGGAGAGCGCAAAGACCAGGGTCCGTGTGTACGAAGCCGTTGGTGCATCGAGTCTAGAAGGGGGACCATTGTGTGATACTAGCGCCCTCCTCGATCAGCACTGTTGGTCAAAAAGCTACCTGTGCAGAACAATGCTTCTCTTTGTCTCGTGCTGTTCTCTTTGGATCGCTGACTCTCCTTACGTTTCCAGTACTCGCCCGGCCTTGCTGCCATCACCAATCTAGAAATGGTATCATGGAAGCCCCAGTGCAAGGTCTGCAGTTAGATAGAACATGCTGGTTATGATGGAGTGACAGTATCACTCTTTACTATCTACGAAGTAGGACATGAAAACGTGCTGTGGTAGGGGAGGGGAAGAGAAGGGGATCCCTTCCAGCTGCAGGGTCCGTTCCCAATGTGATGAAGAAGCACGAAACATGGGACAGCCTCATAAGAATGGGAGAATGGCCCAGCGCCAACGCGATTATCAACCCAGTCGGTACCGCCATACTCCCTACTCTCCTCTATATCGATAGGGCTTATCACGCATGTACAAGTATCGATTCATTCACCACCTCATCCCACGCCGCGCAGGCCAGAGTTCAGCGCCGCCGTTCAAGCCCGGTTTCAATCTTGGGAGCACCTCTGTGATCACACCTGGCACGTTGGACGTGCAGGGTTCCCGATGATATCGATGCCGCACGCATACAGTTCAACATGGAGTACCAGCTGGCAGGGCTGGGCGATGAGGAGATGGAGAGGTTCTGCTGGGCCATGTACCTTGGTACTCCATACCTGATGTCGCTACTGTTCTCCTGTGGGAAATAAGGTATAATTTAGCAAGGTGGACTTGACCCCTGAAAATGTTACCGGTGCGGGTGATAGTGGCATGCAGCCACTCCGTTCCTTCTTTCAAAGTACTCTCCTTGATACGCCCCAAGTCCGCCTGTATCAATCCGAGATGCGTCTCCGCCCCGTCCAGCAATTGATTCCATCCCAATCAATGATGTTCACTGGATGATAATACTCACAGAGCTCTCAATCTCATAGTACTTCGTGTTCAGCGCCCCATGAGATGGAGTCAACTTCACGATTAGCGTGGAGTGTCGAAAGGGGGCGTTTGAGTATCATCGCCCACATCCCCTTTCGTGTCAATCGACGAGCGGCAATCTAGACCGCGCTGGGCCTTGCCACACATGGTAGAAAAAGAAAGAAAGAAGAAAAAGACCCGCCCCCTTCTTCTTCCCGCCCCGGGTAGGCTCGAGCTGTGCGTTGAAACACATTCGGCACTCGAACGGGTGAGTTGACATAGCCGAACCAGCGAGAACGAACTCGCTCAAATCCATAATAATCATCAGCCATCTATCGCCGTCACCTTCCTACTCCCATCCGGTACCCCCTTGAATGTACGTCCAAAAGAAGGGGGCCCATTCTTGCTGGAGAAGCCATGTAAATCCCAATTCCGCCAACACGTAGTTGCATTATCTGGCGGACGCTTCTACAACCCACCTATGTGATAGCTTGAGCCTTTTCCTCTGTTCTCATCGCCGTAAAGAGCAGAGCATAGATCAACCAAAAACTCGTTCATTATTAATCTCCTCCTCTCCCGTCAACAAACTCTACAAGTAACAAAGGCAGCCAACGCTCCGCGCAATCTCATAGTGGAAAGGCGCACGGCGGCAAACGAGGCCCCTTTTCGATATGTTTCCCCATCATCGTCAAGAAACGGTCCGTCCTATCAATTGCTTAGCCAAGTTCCTCCTCTCAGAATGATACCCGCTCTTAAGATTACTTGCCAACCGGAGAACACACGAGTGGGCCAGCAGGCCAACCAAGTGGCATGCTAATAAGAGCCAAGTCATTTGCTTCACATCGATGCCCCCAAGTCTAACGCTACTGATGCGTGGAGAGAGAGGCGTAAATGAAGAATACGACGTGTATAACCCCACATCCATTCACTTCAACGTTGCCTTAGCACAGGCCAGACAGACGTACTTCGTAGCTGAGTTGGGTACGGAACTGGGGAGGCGCACTCGAATTAACCCTTGCCCAGCGACCTTGACGTGTACATGCGTAGATCCAATAACCCGGCACTGGTTAATCAAAGAGTTCAAACTCACCATGGAATCAAATGGACCGGTTGGGTCCATATTGATCAAATTCTTCGAGGCCCCGACCCCGTGGGCCCAGTCTTTGGAAACCGGACGAACCAAAGCTCAAGGGCCACCAGTTGATGTTCCATGCCATGCCAGTTGCCGTGCGGCGGAAACACCACAGCCGATCCTAAATCTAGACTTATTTTTGAGTGATACAGAATCTGGAAGATTCGCCGTCTATGGCTTTGAAACAGAAAAAAATCTTTTTTTTCTCTCTTCTTCTTTGCGCCAGTTCCTTCCAAGGCCCAGTTGGCTCGATGTCCATTATCATCAGCTACCTGTACCCACCTCTCGGGACGGGTATCAAGTGCCCCAGCAAGACTAGTCGCCAGCTCGCTATTGTGGTTCGAAACGCGGGTGGTAAATGTTTCCTCCCAAAGGCAAACATGGGTGGATCTCGCCAGCCTAATAATGACCGCATGATAATAGTACATGGCTGGTAAGGATGGATGCTATTTAGAATATTGATGCTACTTGAGGTGCCCCTTTATTGATAATACTGGATCTCGACTTCTATCCTGTCAATACCTTCCGGTAACACTTCCTCTTTGGATTGGGCCTATCCAAACCAGCTTCACCGTTATCTAATACAATGATGGATCTCAAGGCTATTATACAACCTTGACGCCTCCAAGGCAAACGCCCTGGAACAAGCCACATCTGATCACACATGAAACAAAGGGAGTCGATCCTCGAACCGTGGGGTCACTCGTCGAACTACCGACACGGTCTGTCCTGGGTTAACCATGGCTAGCACGGTAAGGGAAGCAAAGAAAACACTTTTCTTTTTCTCGGTGAGCGCGAGAACAAAAGCTAGGATCAATCCTGGAGCGTATCCCTCACCTCTGTCCCAACCCCTCAGTTCGGTGTGCGCCTCGGTATGATAAGAGTCTCAACGAAATCATGTCGACGCGAGAGCATCCTATTCACACCGATATGCGCCAGTCTGGAAGAAGCACTTTCCTAAGGGCGATATCATCTCGTATTTAAACATAGACACTGTCACTAACGTTTAGTCCCGTAATTGCCTTCCTCTTTATGTATCTAAGGCGTGCTATCGAATGTAAGGGGACCCCATCTTCATTGCTATTTTCAATGCGCTCTCTAGTTGACGAGATGACGATAGCCAAGTAAATGGCCACGGCGGATGAGTATATCCATATCGCAGTGACTATAGAATCGACACCGGGCCGCACCCAGCGCAGCTATTGTGAGGTTTCCAAAGAAGTACCATGCACCTGTCTATCAGAGAGGGCCGAACCTTCCGCCCCCATTCTCATCTTAGTGTAATATAATAACAGAATAAACGACATGGTAAGGGGCCTTGGGAAATGGCACCAAGCTAGTAGAACCGAAGAGCCCTCATTGAGAAAAGAGCCTAGGCTCAAGTGCTGCCTTCTGATTTACATTGAATGCTAGTCTTCTTGTTTCATGCCAAGGCCGCCGTGATATCCTCTCACGCGCAAAGGCGGGTCGCGGCCAAGGTGGCCAAGACGCGAGCAGCGCCGGTGAGGCTTGACAAAGGCTCAACGAGAGGCTTCAGAACATTGAAGAAATTGGACAGCCATATCATACATGAACCATGATCAAACCAAATGATTGATACTGGAGCATCCACGAGCTCCTTCTCGCTCTGTATTCTACCTCTATGGCCCGTCTAGCGAATTGTCTGGATTCTTGGCGGAGTATCAACGTCTGTCCTGTCCTCTTCTCCTCCCTCGCTCACGTAATCGCGTCGTCATCGCCAGTCCAGGTTCTACTGGACTTGAGGTGTGCAGCGTCGACGTTTGGCCCCTGAACTACTGCGATACCCACTAAAAGGTGTCCCATCATTACTGGCGACTTGATGTGCTCCCCATCAGGCACCAGTTGACTACGGTGCCACTCTACGCTTTTTGGTGGGTGCCACCTCTTGGTCTCGAATGAGCCACCCTGACCTCATTTGGTTTTTTGGACAACTTGCGCTCCCCAAGCCTTGCCATTCCGCTCACCAGCACCAAGAGCAACTCCCCGGAGCTCCTAACTACGAGCAGCTTCCTGAAAACAAAAGGAGCCAAAAGGCTACCGACGCGTACTTCGCCTCTCGATCTTATCCCGGCTACTTCTCGAGAACCCCCATGCGATTCCCGATTCCGTCTTAGCAGGGAGAGAAATTGCCAAGGCATCCATCATGGGGAGCACCGTCGAAGCGATCAAGGTAAGCATCCGCAGGATATTGGACTAAGAAAAGAATTACGGAAAGCGGAACAAGGGGGAAAAAGGGCGGACATGGAACTCCAACGGGCTGCCGCCTTCAAACCAAAAGACCAGCCAACTAACAACCACCCCGTTGTCCCTAGATCTTGGTCATACCGGCCGTGATCTCCCTGATCCTCTTCGTCACCGGCCGCTACGTCCTCGTGCCTATGTGGCGCACCTACCGCCAGCGCTACAGCCAGTACCTACCTCTCGATTCCCTATCCAACCACACCGTGTCCCTGCGCCAAAGGCTCCAAGGGGCCTACTCGGGCATGTTGGCGCCGACCTGGAGGAGACGCTTCCGCGCGCGCATCGTCGTGGGCGGCGGGCGCGACGACGACGACGACGACGATGTCGAGAACAACAATAATGGTCGCCGCGGCGCCGACCGCGACGCAGACGACTCGGACGAGTATACTTCGGAGGAAGGAGAGGAGCTGGCGGACGTGGACGTCGAGTCTTGGTCTTCTGCGGCGCGGACGGGAGGCAGGACGGACGTCGCGAGCAGCGATAGACGGTTAAGCAGAGAGTGAGTGAGGGATTCCTTTTCCTTCCTTCCTTCCTTCCTTCCTTCGCCCAACGACTAGGAACGGTTCCCCGTTACCTGGGGGCATTCAAGGAGCCGCATGACTAGGAGAAGTGCTAACCTTTTGTGCCATAGCCTGGAGGAGGGTTTCATGAGTGATAGCGATGATGACGATGACGGCCGCCATAGACAGAACTACCGGCGCTGAAAAGCCCGGCATAATAATAGACTTTATGTTTTCTTTCCTTCATCTTCTTCTTTGTTCCTCCCCGGCCTCGCTTTGCCGAATTGCCTTTTCACCAATCTCATTTGCCATGACACCTCAGATGCGCCAACTTGACTGACACATGCCAAAGACTTGCCCGTGACCCTTGAGAACAAGCCTCCAGTTGCCATCCAGCCGCATCTTCATAGAGCCGGGCCGTGAGAATCCCTTTCCCTCCCTGATTCTCCCACTGTTTGCCATTCACGATCTTCCAGTTTAAGGCAGCTTGAGGGTGTTCACATGCGGGATATAAGTCTCGATACGACCTCTTCCGCCCGGGATGGAAGGCCGTGGAACTGGGAGACTGCGGAACCGCGGCCGAGAAACTTAATCGCCCAAATCTCTCTGCCTCTAGTGATATAAAGTTGAGGTCCGGGGCCCCTCAAACCACTGACGCTACGCTCCCTCGCCGCCCCTCGATGCGGGATTTCGAACGGCGATGCTGACACACGATAGTTTGTACGGGATCAGTTTCGGCCTCATTAATCATGTATATAATGAGAGAGACCCCCTGCTTCACGTCGGTCCCTGCCGGTTTACTTCTTTCCTTCTACATCACACTTCTTCGCAGTCTTCTGAGTCTCAAGTCGAGAAACCCGCGTTCACACAAGCCTTTTCGCTCAAACAACGATACGCACTCCCAGTCTCTGCCGCAAGGTTCCCGTAGAAGCCACTTTCTTTCTCTCAACTATCTTGACACCAAGTCAACGTACGTCACCCCAAGGTTCGCCGTAATCCCAAACTACGAACAAAGGATCTAACCATTAGTCCCAGTGTATAGCAGAACCTCTTACACACACCACTTTTAAGACCGTCTCTCAAGAGCTAGGCATACCACCGCACAGGTTCGGCGCCGCGCACGCACACACAATCTAATACACAGGCACACACACACACACACACGGGCATACAGACGTACCGACCCGTCAACATGAAGACCTCATTCTTCTCCGCCATTTTCCGCAGCAAGTCCACCAAGACCACCGCCCCGTCCACCGGCGGCGAGTGCAGCATCTGCCTCGAGCAGCCCCTCCCGGCCTCGAACCCTCAGCGCACCAAAAAGGGCGCCACAGTCACCACCACCGCAGGAGACCAAGGCTCCGCGATCACCGCCAAGGAGCAGTGGTGCATGCTCCCCTGCGGCCACACCTTTGGCCACAAGTGCCTCCGCCAATGGCTCGGCTCCTCCCACGGAAACCGGGTGTGCCCTCTCTGCCGCGACCCAGCCATCCGCATCTGCGGGCACCCCGTATCGCCCGCCCCGGTGCTCTCCTCCCACTTCATCCGCCGGCGCCTCGAAACCCGCCTTCTGCGCCGCGGCCTCGAGAACCAGAGGCTCACCAAGTGCTCCTTTTGCGTCTCTAACAAGGAAACGCCCCACGACACCCTCCTCGCCATGTTCGGCAAGCACACCGCCGCCGTCGACTGGGCCGCGCACCGCAGATACCACAATCGACTCGTCGAGGCGCGCTGGAAGGCTTGGTGGGACTCTCAGACGCCCAAGGGCCCCAGGATTGAGGCCGAGACCGAACGCGAGGAGCATACTTTTGCCCTCCAGATCTGCCTCGTCTAAGTAACGGCAGCCACACTCAGAACCAAAAAAGAACACACTTGACACTTGGCACAACTATGATTGAGACGAAAACCAACCTCAAACAACCACACAATCAAACAACAACAGATGCTATTTTTGGCATCTTCTCCGGGCGACAAAGAGTCGCCCGATGATACATGTATAAGCCTTGAGGGCCTTTGAATTTAGTTACGGATGCGAAGTGGGGCGTTTGGATACTGGCTTGAACTTTATATACCGAGGGAAACGACACTTTTATACCCAAGATGACTTTTTTTCCATCAAGGAAATTATGTGGCGGACAATGAGAATCTTTGTTTTTCTTTTAATTCTTGTATAACAATCTTCAATGGATCTAATGTGGTTATTTCAAATTTAAAGGTTCTTTTTGGGCTCATCTTTAGACATCTTCAAGATATCATATATATATGAGCATCCGCACTTTCATCTGCAATATATCTAGTTACACACACAGTGGCTTATAAAATGATCCTGAACGCCTATGTATTCCCTTTGAAGTACACTTGCTATATTTTCAAAGTATAACTAGCCTTTCTTCTTCTTACTCTTCAATATCTCGTAGTTAAATGTAGGAAAGGGCCTAACCTAGGCCAACCTACAAGACTCTCGCTAGATAAAAATACTTGTAGCTAACACTCTCGCAAGTTTTTAATCTCTAGAGAGTTGACCAGCATGATATCCTATTAGTTTCTCTAGAATAATCATCCCGAGATAAAGTGTGTTTGCGTAGAGAGCGGCGTATAAATAGAACAGAATACAAATCTGATCCCTCTACATAGTGAGGCCCAAGGTTCTGAGGCATCGCCAACACCGTCATGCGGACCTCTGCCCCGCCCTTTTTAACGACGGCAAAAACTTTTTCCTCGCTCCCATTCCTCTTCCGCACGCCCTCTCTAACATAGCCATACATACATATACATATCCATATATTGATATTTATATACAAACAGCACATATATATCCAGTCCTCCTATCTATATCCCAACCCGTCACCCCCTCGCCCCCGGTCCCCCACCCCTCCCGGCTCCGGAAAACCCTCCTCCCTCCCCCACCGGCCGCCACCCGTCCTCGCCACACCTATCTCCGGGAGCCTTCTCCCCCCCCCGTCCGGACATGTCCCACCAGCCCTCCCTCTCCGACCTCGTCCTCCCCCAGCCCACCCTCTCCTCCGTCCTCTCCTCCGTAAAGAAATCCAGTCTGTCCGCCCACAACCGCCTCCGCTCCATCCGCCACGATGCCGCCTTCGTTTCCGCCGCTGCCTCCTCTCCTCTGGGCCGCGGCCGGCCCTCGTCGCCAACGAGCGCTGCGGCAGCTGGTACGTAGACCCGGCCGCGAAGCGCGGAGCGCCTACTTCAAGAGCACCGACGGCCACACTGGCCAGTGGAAGTTTAGCTCCCGGAGGCTCAACTTGCACCTCTTTGGCCTCATCGAGGAGAATAACGGCATCATCATCGTTGACTCTACTAGGAGAGGGAAACGTAAGAAAACCACCCCCTCCCCTTGGCTTGTTCTCATCTCAAGTTCGAGTAACTACTCGCCTCCTCACCAGCTCTATCTACAGTACTGACCTGAGAGCAAACCTCTTTGTTTCCCGCTCCTCCAGGCATGCCAGACGCCCTCAGCAAAACCATACCCATCTGGTGCGCCGTCATCAACGCCACCCTCTTCCCCGACCTAACCGCCTCCCACGCCCTACGTACCCTCCCAACGTCGTGCCCCCACCGAGCACGCCCAAATCACCGCTCTCCTCCCTTCCTACCTCGCCGCCCTCCGCGCCCTCGACCTGGACCTCGCTCCTCTCCGTGCCGCCCTCACCAAGCCCCTGCGGCCCTTTTGGGTCACCCCCGACACCACGCTCCCGCTCTCGGTGGACGAGGAAGAGGAGGGCGGCGGTGATGGTGCGACCGGAACGGGGGCGGGCAAGCCTGCCGTCGTCTTCGACGATGCCCACCCCATCATCTGCCTGACCGCCTCCAACAAATCCTCCACGAGCGAAATGTCCACCGCATTCGAGGGCTACGTCCAAGGCGCCGCCGACGACACCGAGCACTGGGCCATGGGCCTCACCGCGCCCTCTTCTGGTCCTATTACGATCTCCTCCTCTCTACCCACGAGGCTGAGCTTCCTGCCCTCATCTCCTCGCTCCTCCAGAAGCACGAGGACGAGACGGCCGGCAATCTCTCGCCTGCTGCCACGAAAGCCACCCTTGTAGCCCCTCGTATCTCCGTGTGCCCCGCGCCTCTCCACCCCCGGCGCCAGCGGACGAATGTCGAATCTCCTTCGTCTCCGGCCCTGCGTCCCCGCCCGAATCCTGGCAGATCACCCCGGAGCTAATAGAAGTCCGAATCGGCAACCCCCGCCAGGCTAGCAAGAATCTGCGGTCTGCGCTACCCGAGATATGTGCCTTTGTTGCCCGATTTTCAGAGTCTCACCCTGCAGCGTGCATTCTCGTCTCTTGTCCTACGGGAAAGGACCTCGCCGTCGCGACCGCTCTCGCTTTGCGGTGTTATTTCTTCGACACCGACGATATGGATGCGCCCTTTCGCGTCCCAAAGGAAGTCGTAATTAATAAGGCAGCTATTCGAGCACGGCTGGGCCGTATCATGCTCGCCTTTCCTGAAGGCAACCCTCAAAGGGCGACCCTGCAGAGCGTTAATAGTTTTCTGATGGGTTAAACGGCAGCAACTGAAAGTAGCGAAGATTGGTCCCACCAACATCAATTGCGTGTAGAGCTCCCCCTTGTAACATATAGAATAGGGTCAGGAGATTAGACCAGCTTGTGTTGGATAGCACGATTATGGGTTTAGGATAGCAAGTTGACGCAAATCTATGTCTATTTCGTGGGTGATCATGTACCTAAATGCCCTTGGGAGCCCCTCAACGAAACCGACTAGCAGTATGCGCAGCAAAATTAACTATTGGCGGACCATTGAGAGGTACCGACATGTATCGACTTTTCCAGTCCTTTTGCTTCCCTTCCCTTCCGCGTGTTTTTTTTCATCGTTTTTTGTTACACATCTTCAAAAGAGGATTAAGCCTCGTTTTGTTCGAATCCCCCTCTGAATCTTGCTAGTATCGTCTGCGTCTCTCCTGAGCCGAATCCACGCGTCGCTTCGTTACATCATAACGCTTTCGTTGAGAAAGAAAATGAGATAAAAGAAAATTAAGTGACACCGCCTCCTCTTTTCGTCTCTTACATGGCCTCGATCTTGGCAAGAGCGGCGGGGAACTCGCTCCAGTCATCCATGACAAGGACGGCACCAGCGTCCTTGAGGACCTGGGTCATCTCGGCCTTCTTGTCAGCGGGGTAGGGGCCGGTGTAGCCGAGGACCTTGATGCCGGCGCGGAAACCAGAAGAGGTACCGCTCTTGGAGTCCTCAATAGCAACGCACTCCTCGGCCTTCTTGCCAAGAACCTTCATGGAGTGAATGTAGATGGCGGGGTCAGGCTTGGAGGTGGGGGTAGGGAGAGAGGTGGCGGCAGAGAAGACGTCGTCCTCGGGGAAGTACTTGGACTGGTCGACCTTCTCGATGGAGGCGAGAACTCGGCGCTTGGCAGAGGACGAGACGACGGCAAGCTTGTACTTGCCCTCAGCCTGGAGCTTGTCGAGCTGGTCCATGACACCAACGCAGGGGCGACCCTCAGCCTTGATCTTGGCAATGACGGCATCCTCCTCAGCGGTAACGTAGTGCTCAAGCTCCTCGGGGGTGAGCTTGATTCCGTAGCGCTGCTGGAGGGAGCCAAGCATGCCGCGGAAGTTCTGGCCAACGAACTCCGAGATCAAAGACTCGCCAGTGAAGGTCTTGTCAACCTGCTGGCCCTTGCAGATGCCATTGATAATCTCGGCGCAGGCAGCGAAAGCGAGCTCCTCGGAGAGAACGAGGGTGTTGTCGCAGTCGAAGAGAAGGGTGGTGATCTACAACAAACACATTCATTAGTTAGCTCCATCATCATTATTCGTCCCTAAGCCCTTTAGGCTGGGGTGCATCTTGAGGTGCTGCCCAATCTGGTTCTGTGAAGGCGAGAATTCCTAGGTGTGCAAGTGGGGTTGACAAAGTTATGGGAGAGTAACATTTGGGAAGTACCGGCTAGCACGAGGTAGAACGGAAGGCGGCATGGGAAGAATAAAACAGGGGAAAATATGGGCGGAGAGATAAGGTACAGTGCTAGTTTGTTCACCCACTCCTGGAGCTAGCTCGATCTGGGCTGATGGGAGAGAGATCTTACCTGAGGCATGTTGGCGTTGTTGGTTGTGTAGAATTTCTTAACGGGTCTAAGAAGTCTCGCGAGTTCAATGGATCAAGACTGAGCCTGTGACGAGAGAGAAGAGGTTAGAGCAAGTCATAAATGGGCTTGGACTTGGAAAGGGGAGAGGAGGGGATGCCGAGGAGGCAGTCGAGTCTGACAGGAGGTGTGGAGGGGTACTATGACGTGTCGAGGAAGACCTTGGCAGGTGGGTGTACTGACCTGATTTTGGAGTAGTTGTCTTTTGGGTTGGGAGATGAAAGAGATGGATGAGGGAGGCAGAGGAGACGAGAAAGGGCTTGGGCAGAGGGGCTTCCTTGTATCTCTTATATACCATTTCCCAAGCTGGAGCAAGCTGGAGCAAGAAGGGCAGGGAAGCGTCAACAAAGGGAAACCTCGACCCTCACCCACCCCCACCACAGGTCGGAGTGAGTGGGACGTCATGATAGGTCGCCCTTTCCACCTCTCTCAGACAACCCCATGCTGCGGCCATCCAAGACCATCAGAAATGTACACTGGTACGAGCAAGGTGCCTGAATCAACGAGTATCTATTCCTCCTATCTACAATGTGTTGATACGTGCGAAGCAGGCCCTTTGCCCAGCTACAAGGTACCTTGCTCTTGGGCTGGTCGAGGTTGGGGAAGGATTCGTTCGAGGTAATAGTACCAGACATTGACCCCGCCACGTTGCTGGTCGCAGCTTTTCAAGCTAGGAAGCTTGCTTCCCGGGTCCCGAGCCAGTTGTAGCTGCCACATTGAGATGGAAGCTCGACGGGGGCAACAGCAAAGGAAGAAAAAAACAATCAGTGAGGAAGAGGAACGAAAAGGTACCAGGGACACCATGCGTGGATAGCTACTGCCCAAACAATGGATACATGTGGTCAGCCATGCGGTGTATTGTACCAGTGGATGGTACTGATCCTGGCAGCTCTCAGGGGTGAAGTTGTATGGGACCTGGATGGGGGAGGGAGCTGAAGCTCTGGGCTGGGTTGATCAAATGTCAATTAATCCCGAGGTCATCTTTTTTTGGCGCCGAGTTTCACTTGTTTGTCAGATCCAAAACGAGGAGCTTTGCCCACCGAAAGCTATCGATTGGGCAAGGGGTGAGGGCTTTCTCAAGCCTCTATCTAGCTAAACGCTGTTCTTTTCCCATCCATCATCGATCCATCTATCCATAGAATAGATCCTGTTAGCCAAGCGGGGCTGGATCCCTCTCCAGGAACGCGTAGTGGGCGACATGACGCAGTCTCTCTTGTTCTCTGCGAAAACTCGGCTTGGTTTTTGGCCACCTCCGGGACAAGAACCAAGAGCTAGCGAACTGAACTGGCGCCAGTCCTCTGCCCCTCCCCTCCACGCCCCCTTAAAGAGGAACACCATGTCGTATCCTCTTCCGACCCGCGCGGGTCTTGGCCGTGGAGCTCGTCACGGCCCAGCCGCCGAATTCTCCACCATCACGTCCTGCCGCCTTGCAATTGATGGATAACAGGCCGAGCAAAGGCCCAGCTAGCCGTGTTATCCCGATTAGACGAAAGTACTCGGGCTGTGATGATGTCTGCGCAACAGAACCTTGGCCTGTACTGCCATGGAGGACGGGCAAATTATGATTTACAGCACCATTCAGATTGTGTCGCAGCACTCCCGTCGCGAAAAATGGCTGCCCCACTCTGGGCAGCAAGGTTCGAAGAAATTATTTACCCCGCCCCCGCCTTGCCCATGGGAGAGGACAATGACAATGACCAGAGTGCTCAATCGTGCGTTCGGCGAGACGCGACTGATTGCCCTGCCTGCATGGGCACAACCACCCCATCCATCTCGAGCGAGGCGCCGGCTCCAAAACAGCGGTGGGAAAGGGGGCCATGTCAGTCTTTGGCGCGAACGGATGGGTGGGAGAGAGTCCTTCCAGGTTTCGGAGGTGCAACGAACAATGGTCGCCTCACTAACTCGTGTTCTATCCACGGCGCCACTAGCCTCAGTCCAGCTCAGCATTCCAACCAGGGTAGGTCCGTAGTGGCACCTTTAGCGTCTTCTGATGTCGTACCTACCTACATGTTCTTGACCTGCATCGGATTGGGCCCCGGCACCTCCTCAAGCCTGGCAACCCGTGCCAAACGGCGACAACGAAAAGAAGGTGAGCTGGCAACTAAAATACTACTTGTATGGCCGGTGGTCGAAAGGAGGAGAGGTCCTGGAGGGGCAAGTGCGATGCAGTTGGCATCTCTCCTTCTCACTCTGACCCCCGCTAAACCAAAAGCTATCGTTAAATCTTCCAGTTCTGGGGGCCTCGTCCGAGCTTAGCGAACCACCCCCAGATGTTGAAGCTAGATCTGGCGCTCTAAGCTCTGGTCTCGGAACAGGGTGTATGATTCTCCCAAGGATGGATCGGAAACGTGAGAAGGCGGTCAACGAACCGGCCACCCTACAAGCTCTCCCTTCTTGGTTTCATCACCACACAAGCTGCGTTATAGCGATCACGCCTGCGAAGCCCAGGCTCATTGATGAGGTTCATCGCCGCCCACGAAGTGTTGGATTCGTGAGCTAGCTCGCCGCCAATCACCCCCAGAACGGTAAGGAATCCCCTCACACAGCCCCGCGGTTTACAGAGGAGCTCGCCATGCGGTAAATCCGAGGATAGGCGTTTCACAACAGCTCCCATGCCTTGTTTCTCACCCCAAAAGAAAAATCCATTTCGAGCCAGGGGGTGGTGGGAGGTAGCGAGAATGGCAAGGGAGAAGGGGTGGGGTGAGGAAGAAGGCTGCCCCTCCCCGCCCTCACGCTCCTCTCAGTGCGGCGGGGCGGTCAGAACATTCTGAATAATTGAAGGCTGTTGTTCCAATGCCTCGCGAGGGTGTCAAAGTAACATAGGATGGAACCGTTGAGACAACAAACACTGGGATCCGCCCCCAAAACTCTCGAGCCTTTCTTCTCCGTTTGTAACGAATGACACCCCGCTCAATGGTTTGTCATAGAAATTGTCCCATGCCTATTGTCGAGAAATAATCTCACACGAGGCGAAAGGTTATCCGTAGCTTGTTTCTTTATTTCCTCCTGATCCCCTCTCTCCCATCTACGGAGTATTACATTACGCTCTCCGTCTCGTTATCTTTCCTGTGCCAGATAATCCCTATCTCCCATGTATGGAGGGGGTGGAGGGCGACCCCATCCTAGTTCGGATGGGCTGGCCGAGATTGGACGTTGGCTGCTCGATCTATGTGTGTGCTGCTATATTGGTTTCTCCGTTTGAATGCTTTGATTCTTTGTCTTTTTGCTCTTTCGTTTTTAGCGAGCGGCCTGGCCCTTTCAGACCGACGGGAGAGCCGCACTAATAAAAATTCCCTGAGCCGACTGGACACGATGCTACGGCGAAAGACTGAGCCAGCAGACCAGCCGAACGGGAAGGACGGGGACGGGCCACTGGCTAGAGGCCCCGCTAGGCCGACAAAGCAGCACGAGGAGCAGGAGCTCCAGCAGAATGCATCGACCAACTGGAGGGATCAATGACTCCTTTGGGCGAGGGCCCTCATTGTGAGAGGTCCCTGGATGGATAGGATGGAAGCGGTTGTGATTTCTGCCAAGAGGACCCTTATAAGCCACCGATATGGTATGGTACGGTACATCCAGTGTGCATTTGAACCGTGCTGCGACCTGGCTGCTTCGCACATGGACGCACGCAGCTCAAGCATACAGAAGAGTATCTGCCATGTCTACAAAGAGAGGGACGCTCACCAAAAAAGAAGAAAAAGGAAAAAGAAAAGAAAAGGAGAAGGAGACGCACGCAGTCCCCACCGCCATATTGATTCGTGCCCTTTTGTTCCCACCACGAGGCTCAGCTCAATGCTCCGAGCGGTGGACCGGCGGTGGATGAGGAGGGTGTGCCCGCGCTCGTGCTTGTTCCCCCGACTCATTCTCTACTTATTTATTACTACCGAATACTTGCTGCATGAGGTGGCATGAGACATTGAGATACAAGTATCACTCTTCGTACAAACTGGGCGGGTGCTCGTTTCGCGAGACTCGTAGCGCACCTGCAAGTGCATGGGAAAGGAGATGGGAGCTGTCCGAGTCCGGAAGAACAAAGATTAATGGTAGAGATGGGAGAATGCCATGCAAAGCTCCTTGCATCGAGAGCCAAGAGAGGGCGACAAAGAAGCACAATAACACAACGTTCTTGAACGTGAACGTGTATCTGCGCCAGTCACCAGTCACCAGTCACCAATCCTCAACCCCTGCTGCTTGATATCAGTTGCACTGGCTCTGCGCCGCGTGGGATTTCGTGAGGCAATTCTTCCAGTCTGATTCTACTGCTCACCCCAGCCGAAACACGCTTCATACATATTTCAGCTAGAGCGTGGGCACTGAGCCCGTGATCATTAGGAGATAATCTTCGTGGAGTTTTCCGGAGAGGATTGATGTGTCGTTTCCATGTGTCCAGCACCTGGCCAAAAGAAAAAAAAAAAAAAAAAAAGACCCCCTTGAGCAACAAGGCCCCCGGCCACCCCGGCCTCCTTTTCTGTCCTCGTGATGTTCGATCTTCTCCCACCCCTGTCTGGAAAAGCGCCCTAGATCCAGGAAAAGAAAAGAGCCTCACTTCACTCCAGATAGTCTCTTCTATTCTATTCTCCTCCTCACCCCTCGTTGACAGCAACACGCCCCCTGGCTGTTCCCAACGATCCCGGGAGGGCCAAAGGTGGGCAAAAGGTGGGGTGAAAGGGGGGCACTTGCTTCCACAAAAGCTATTGCGGTCTTGTCATTGTCTCCGTTGCGACGAGACTTGGGAACAGTAACCACGCTCTTGGGTTTGGATGCCGGATGCGGAGCTGTTGTTTGAGCTGAACTGTCTCTTCTTGATCAACAGAATATTATACAGACGAGAGAGAGCGCGCTAGAGACAGATAGAGGATGGAACGAGAAAAGATGCACAGGTACGCATTACACGTAAAAGCCGTGTACAGCTGCCAGAGATGCCGTTTTTGGGGGAGAAGGGATGCGAATTTCGGAACCTCCAAAGCCCAAAAAAGCGTGCAAAATATTGGACCTACACAAAAGTCTTGGGGTCGCTGACAAGGAAGGTGGCTTCCGGCGGGTTGTGGCAGAGAGGAGTGTGGAGGTAACTAGTGTACATACGTTGCTACCTCACCCTGTCAAGGACCACTATGCTATTATCCCAACTTCCATAACTAGGCTATTGGAGACTGGACCCTAGACCTAAGTAGAGCTATCCCATCTATAAAAGCAGCTCTCTTGATCGATGGTCGTCTTAATACCCCTAGACAGTGCAAGTTACAGCTTTTATTTTGAAGGTATTCTTGCTGTCCCCGGTGAGATCAAGGACATACATGGTGAGCTGTGTCTGGCGAAGGGACGGCTACAGTGGAAGCAACCGAGTTTGTATCCCCTCGCTCAGTCTCTCCCCCCCCCCGAGCGAGCTTGGTTTCGGAGACCCAAAAGAAGTGCCGCATCTTCTCGGTCGCCATTTGCATGTTCTTAAGGCCTATAGGAGCCCTCCTGGAGGCCCGATGCAAATGACTTTCCCATAGAATTCCGTAGCTTGTTGTAGATTCGTGCATCCCCCATTGATCCATGAGTTATACTTTGTCAGCGAACCGAGTCCGATATCCTTTGCCACCTCGATAGTGAAGCAAGTATCCTCCGGCTGCAAGTAGTACGTTTGGCAGGTCAACGGGATGCAGACCTGGACCCCGGCGTCTATATTCAAACAGTTTGGAATAAAGGCTTGGTTGCCCATGTAAAATGATGCACCCGGCACACTGGTGGCATTGGCAATTGATTCGCATGTATTTCCGGCCCGGGTATTATACCATTGTCCGGTCAAGCAATACCGCTCTGGCTCGGGCTGAGGAGGAAGCAGCGGAAGAGGAATCTCTGTAGGTCCGGTTACGTTACAGTGTCCATAGACATATTCAAGCTGTTCCTTCCAGAAGTCGTCGTAGGTGGAGTACTGGGAGGACTGCATCATCGTAAGGCGATTGATGTGACAAGAGTGGCAAAGCTCTGCCTGTGGCATCTCGGTGATGTCAGACACAAGGCTGAATTCGTCAATGATGTCTGCAGAGGCGGAACAAAGTTAATATCTAGAACAGGTTTCTTGATATTTTCCCTTGTATACCACAGCCCTCTCGGATTAACGTACCATTGCAATAGTCGCCAGTCACGGAGTCCTTCAGGCAGGTCTCGTTAAACCCAGCCCAAATATATCCGCCAAACTTAGTAGGGAGAGCATTACTCAGAAGCTTTCCTTTGCAGTTTACCGCGACGGAATCGAACCAGCTCCTCAAGGACGTTGAGCAGTCGGTGGTGCAGATGAGGTCCGTCAAAGTGTCATTGTTCAGGGAGCCTCGGTACGTGAGCTCTACCAGTCGCCATCCCAGATCCTCAAAGGCTCCTCAAGATAAGTCGGACTAAGCTCTTCCAAGTGCCGAATCGCCAAGCGATCCCAGAGCACGAGGAGGCTTTGCACGGTCATCTTGATATACCCGTGATACGCCAATTTCATAGTCTGTACCCCGGAATAGTCCTTAACATAATGATCCTCCGCCTTATACGTTCCCTGGACGCACTTCATCCAGAATTCGCCTTTGGCGATAGCGCTCAGGACCTCGGCATCAGCAAGTAAGAACAGGTGATACTGCGGGGTCTGGTGTACTATGGGCGGGCCGCCGACGCCCTTCTGATAAATCTCGCGGACCTGCTCCATGGTAGCGTCATTTAAGAGATCGGGGTTGCTCCGCGGATCCATCTTAAAGAGGGAGATGAACTTGTCAGCCGCCTCCGGGTTTTTTAATTTGACACTCGAGTGGGCTTCGCGGTACTCTTTGTAGTAGGCGCATTCCGCAGCGACGTCGTCTTCTATCTTCTTCAGGAGGGTCTGCCAGGCTTGATTGGTGTCGCCGCCGTAGGCTGTACGGTATATAGTGAATCCCCAGTTGTCCCAATAGCAGTCGCTCTCAGTACCGCCTGGGCGGGCCCTCCACAGGGATAGGAGGAGGTCTTCAAGGTTGACATCATTCTCGTGCAGGGACCAATGGTCCTAGAGCCCAGCGTTAGCTTCGCGTTTACGTACTAGGAGGGTTAAAGCCCATACAATGCCATCGTCGTCCTCAAACATATGGGAAGGATCTTCGTATTGCACAGGTTGCTGGTCAGGCTCCATGCTTAGTGATTTCGTCACAACGTGGCTGGACTAGCAGCACGGGGAGATTTCGGTCCAAGTTAGTGAGGGAAACAAAAGAAACAAAAACAGCCTTTCTTTTGAATCTATGTTGCAACCCCAAGCCAACATTCAGAAGGGGGTGCCGCAGGGGTAGGAGCGGGGTCTCAGGGGTGCAACATACCCCCTGATATTGATTTGAAAAAGACCCTTTAGAGATCACTAAAAATCAGAATTCTATTCTTAGTGCTGGTTTTCAGCATATCCCCAACTTGAATGCTTCTAATAGCTATGCTTTCGCGGAACAGATATGCCTGCCCACAGTAGGCATCGGGGTATTTTACATCGAAGACCGTGAGAAGCAGAAAACAAACAAGGGGATGAGGCAGCCTCGGACATCCTGGCATGGGGGAGGGGCCGTGTCGTGTCTAGTGGGAAATCCGTGTGGGGACCAAACGACGGGGAAAGGCCGCAGCGGACCATTGTTCTAGGTATCATAACTGGGGACTACGCTTCTTATGCCTTTGTTTCGCTTTTTGTTGGCGGAGCTCGAGGAAGGCCCCTCAAGAGCTAATACCAAAAAGAAAGAAAAGAAAAGAAAAAAAAGGTAGGGAGAGAGTGAGCGGTGCTCACGCGGGACGATCCAACCAATTGTTGAGGAACGGTGAGGAATTGGAGGGCGCGAGGCACGGCTTTTGGAGAGCTTGGACGAAAGCTACACTCAGAGCTAGCGGAAGCTTCCTCTTTTCGCAAGTCTTTTTCGTTGCCCATGCTCGCATAGCCGGATTTGATCTCGTAGCTTTCGGGAGGGAACCATCCCCTTCGGCGGTTTTCTCGTTAGGCCTAGTTCGTTATGATCTTTCACAGGGAGATCTTCAAGGTCCTAGGTTTAGGGGCCCATTTCTGCGTAGGTGCGGCTCTCTCTCTCTCTCGCCGTTTTCTGACGAGTATCGGGGGCCCGAGGCGACGGTCCAAAGACAAAGCCCTTTTTGTGCTCTTTTTCCGAAATGGGGCACGGGAGCTTGTTTTCTTGGCGCAGCGAGCTGAGGAGTTGACCGAGCACGCACCCAAGTCAAATCTCTCGGCCGTGCTTGATATACGTTGAGGTAGAAACCCCCCAAAAGGCTGGACTGCGCCGCCGTGGTTTAACATTTCACACAACATCACCTCCTTTGGGGGTTTGTTATTTCAGCTTTATCGAATTTATCTCGTGAAATATAGTCTTTCTATCTACCTATCCGCCAATCGTGTCCCAATCTGCTGTGCCGTTCAAGATAAACCTCAACCTCAACCTTCTTATTCCGTTGTCGTCACCCTCTCTTCCCGAGAAGCTCGCGCTCGATGTATCACGTTCCCCCCTCGGTAACGATTGACTATGTGAAAAGGAGACGAGAGGGGAAAAAAGCAAACAAACCAAGCTTAAAGATGACAACTCGCGCCCTTGGCAAAGTCTTGAGCTGAGCGAGCTTTCGCTTCCGCATACCTGCTCCCTTCACCCCACATCGTGGCCGCTAGTAAGTAGGAAATCATTCTATTGATTCTCTAAGACAAGATGTCCGGGGCACAATGCAAGCTGGCGAGCTTCGACAAGAACACACCATCTAGAGGCCGAGGTGAGCTTGGGGACAGAACATGAACACGAAGCAGCGGGGCAAGGGAAAGGGAAACCTCATTTCCAAACGAAAACACGCAATGTCAAGAGACGAAAACAACCATCGAGAGGAATACACTCTGCTTTTCTTCTGCTTTCACGTCAAGATGACTATGTTAATGCATGTACCTCGACGCCTGTATGTATCAGATATTAAACCTTTGAACGCCCTTTCCCTTTCCATGAGAAAATAAAGACCAATACCAAACTCGAACGAGAATAGAGATCAGACATGTATGGTCGCTCCGCCAAACGCCTAATACGACAAAAAGACCGCAAAAAAAGAAAGAGAACAAAGAATAAGCTACATCTTTCCTAGCCTTCGTGACACTCTCTATAGACGAGTTGTCAATCAGGAAGGAAGGTTGCTACTAAGTCCATTCAAGCGTTGAAATCCACAAATAAGAATCGGTTCATTGTCGAGGGGAAGAAGCTGCGAGAAAAGACGACGTCGGCCATGAACATGTAAACTGAATTCTATCGGTTGCTTCGTTTCGTCTCCTGTTTACAGAATTTCGCGCAGGGCCTTCTTTTGCTCAGGCGTCAGGGTCGTAGGGAACTTGACGTTGTACTTGATGACAAGGTCGCCGCGTTCGCCAGGCTTTTTGAAATGGGCATGCCGAGGCCGGGGAACCGATCCTCGTTGCCGGGTTGCGTGGGGCCGGCCTTCTCGACGGGCACTTGCTTGCCCTCGATGGTGGAGACACGCTTGCTGAATCCGGTGAGGGCTTCCTTGAGGTCGAGAGTGAGATCGTGGACGAGGTCGTTGTCGACGCGCTTGAATAGCGGATGGGGTTTCTGTCATTGAAGTTTTGTTAGCCCTGTTTTCCATGGTTGCATACATAAAGGGGATTTCAGCTTACCTCCTCAACAATAAAATGCAAGTCCTGGCGACCGCCTTCGACCTGATCGCCGACGCCGTGGAACTTGATCTTGCTGCCCTTCTTGAGACCGGGCTTGATGGGAACCTCGAGAATCTGCTCCACGCGCGACAGTTTGCCGGAATCGTCATACGTCTTGCGCTTGACCTTCATCTTCTTGGTCACGCCAGTAAAAATTTCCTCGAGCGCCAGGGGCAGGGGCTGTTCAACCGTGCTGACCTCAGCGGGGGTTCCTGTGTGCGCATGGAAGAGAAATTGCCGGATCCACGGGCGCGAGGGCCTCGACCGGAACCGCCAGCAGCATAACGAGCACCGGCAAGGTTGGCAAAGAGGTCGTCTAGGCCGACACCGCCATCGGACCTGCTGAAGTCGGCAAAGATATCTTCGGCGCTACGGAAGGTGTAGCCACCACTGCCGCCCTGACCAAAGGGGAACGAGCCGCTGCCGCCACTGGTGCTGAAGCTAAAGCCCTGAGGCATGCCGCCCGTGCCGCTAAAGGAGCTGCCGCCCGAACCGCCGTAGTCGGGAGGGGGCGGTGCCGCCGCGAAGAAGGAACTCGAGGCCATACGAGTCGTAGATTTTGCGCTTCTCGGGATCGGACAGAATCTCATACGCTTGAGAGCACTCCTTGAATTTCTCGGCAGCTTCGGGGCTATTCTTGTTCTTATCGGGGTGCCATTTCATGGCAGCTTTCCTGCAATGCGAAAATCCAATGGTTAGCATGTCGTTCAAATGTTTGATCCCAAGGCTTTGCGCGTGCGGGAACTAGGAGCTATCCCGGGTCACGAGTGTGGCGTGCCCTTGATGACGCGCGAGGTGGGGTAATACTCGATGCCCCTCCAAGTCGAGCTAAGGTAAAAATGAATGATATTTTGGGCGAGCTTGGAAAATAGGGCGAACGACACTGAGGGGGAGCTAACCGCCCTCCTCCCCCGCTAATAGGACAAAACAGAACGGCGAAGGGAAATAGAAAAAGGGGCGAGGAAATGTGAGGCGGGAAAAATAAAGCCACCGACAGGATCCTCAGGGCGATTGTAGGATTTTCAAGGCGAGTTGAGTCCAGAATCGGGGGCACAAAAGGGTGAGAGGTGAGAGGTGAGAGGTGAGGGCAAAGCGACTGGAAGTAGGGAGATGGAGCAAGAAACGACAAAACTTACCGATAAGCCTTCTTGATCTCGTCGCTGGTCGCATTGGGCTTGATGCTGAGCTGATCGTAGAGCTTGGTTTCTTTGACCATTTTGGCGATTCAATTAAGAGCGCGCAGAGGGGCAAGGAAGGTCGTCGAGGTTGGAGAGAGAGGTGGATGATGGAGAGAGTGAGTGAGAAAAGGCGAAAAGCGGGTCACGCCAGTGGCACGCTGCAGTAAGGGTTTCGGCGAGCGCTTCGATTCGATTTTTTCTCGTTCGTTCCCCTCTGGTTAATGTTTCGACGGAGCCCAGTCCAAGCGGCGGTGAGGGCGAGAGACGAGGTGCGACCCTATGGGGGTTTGCAATGGGAATTGAATAGCCGGCGCGAGAGGAGGTGGGAGGAGTCGATGATACAGGGCGGTGGGGTTCAATCGGGCCAGTGAAGGTCTGGCAAGGCCTTCCTTTTGAGGCGCGAAGACGAAAAAGGTGGGGGAATGGGCTGGGTTGTCGGGAGCGGGGATTTCTCCTTTCGAGCAATAAGAAGGCGAGGAAGTAGGTATAAGGTAGGGTGTTCCCTTGTTGAGATGCAAGCTGGTGGTGAGTTGGGAGAATTAGTTTATCCAAGAAAAGTTGTGGTGAGAGAGTTGATAAGGGAGGGAAGAGGGAAGAGAAAAGAAAAAGCGAAGAGGGAGGAGGAGGAGGACGAGAGAGAAAAAAGGACTAGAGCATGTGAAGGAAGCTCCAAGAGGAAATAAAGGAGGCCAATTTGCAGTGCTAGATCTAAGGGGGGAGGGAGGAAGAAAGAAGAGCATAGAACCCAGTGACTATGATACCAAAGTGCGTGATCTTGGAGTGAAGCTGGGACAGTCGTCGGATGGTCGTCACAGCTTGCCCACTTGGACCAGTCGAGGTGGGTTTGGGCATATACTTTTTTGTTCTCTTTTGCACCAGTTGCTTGCCCACAAAAGGGTGGGGTACACAGGCCCTTCTCCAGGGGTACTTGTCCCTCGTTAAAGCGTCATTGGAAGGCCGAGGAGGGCAGCGAGAAGCCGAATCCATTCTCTTCGGCATGCTCCAGTTGCCAAGCTCTATTAAGGTCAGAGACGGTCCATCTTCGACCTCGCACCTCAATGTCAAGCAAGCAAGGGGAATCCAAACCATCCAATGGACCCTCCTCCTCGGCCTTCCACCGCCCACACCCTTTTCGCTACGGACGATGCGCAAAGCGATCTCGAGAACATACGTCCCTGGTCCCTATAAACCGGCCATGTGAATCCCCGAAAGCAAGCGTTGGGTATTTCGCCACCCGTTCATCAAGTCCGAAAACCCCGAAGTTGGAAACCGAAGTCGTCAAGCAAGGCCTCTTTTAATTGTTATTGAACTTTTTCCTATCTGGGACCTTGTATTCCCTCCAGGTCCTGCAAGTACTGCTTCCCTCCTTGTGCCCAAAAATGATGAAAAGGAAACCCCACGTCAGGTCTGGAAGGTGCCCTGGTGACGGGCCCGGCACGACCACCCCCAGTGTGGGCCAGACCTATGACGAAACCCTCTTTTTGGCGGGGTTGACGGGAGTCCCGCATGCCTTGCTTCATCAACAAATGCTACTTGTCAAGGTGTCTCGTACACTCTATATTGCAGAAAAGGTACCTCTATCCTTATCAACGACCGGTCTACCCACCCCTTTAGTTCCAATGACATCTCTCCACTAAACATACGACAGGGAGTCCTGAAGCTCCAAGCTCCTTATCAACACCCGTTGCACAAGATGTCAACAGCTCCCCAAAGCCTGCTCTAAGCAACCAGCGTAGCCGGAATTTCCCAAAAGTGCGACGATCATATCGGCCCCTTCTTTTCTTCATATCTTTTCCCCCTTGCACCCGATGACGATGTACTTGAATTAATTAGGCCAAGTTCCCACCCTTTCACCGAGGGTAAATTGCCCCCTAAAAACAGTCATCACCACCTTTTGGTCATGGTGGTGCCTTCTCGAACCTTCCACGTGCTCCACGCGAGCTCCAGCACATTACATGAGCCAGCGTGATTACGAACGGCGCTAAAAGGGGTGAACCCGAGATCAAGTTCAAGTTCTACACTACCAAGCACGGGTTTAATTCGTTTTCTAACTTCGGGCGTCTCCGACGGTGCAAACGCTTTCCAGTCTCGGGAAGGGGCTTTAAGTTCGAACGGGAGAAGTGACATGACGAAGCTTTCGAGGAATCTGCCAGATGGACAGGAACAACCCTTTGAAAAGTCAGGACCAAAGGCAGAAGAGTACTCTTTGCAGCACGTTAGTCGTCGACCGTCGAATTTAATATTTCGGCTTCCTGCAAGTCCGCTCCTAATTTGGGATTCCGGTCGACGGGCGGGATATTTAAATCTCTCTTGTGTTTGCCTCGTGCATCTCTTAGAATAGTGTCATCATTCAGAAATTATGCATTGATACCTCTAACAACGCCCCTACCTCGCAACCAATTTGAACTCCTTAAGAGTTCCTCATTAGCTTTCCTTCTCAAGAACACGCGATGATGCACCTCTCTTTCTTTCCTGTCCCTTTCCATCCTAAAAAGAATAGGAACTAGCTAATCTCGGCCTGGCTTCGGCGCCGGGTCCGGTATAAAGATGGATTTCGTGCTCACATCCTTCATTTCCTGCTGCGGCGGCGGCGGTGGAATCTCCTGTAGCTCGTCGTCGTCATCGTCGTCCTCGTCGCTATCGTCGCTCTTCGACTTGGCCGGCGGGGAAGCGAGATATCGCCGACGTTGACGGCGGAGCCTTCCGGCCCCGATCCGGGGCTAAACGCCGCGTCGCGACCCGCGTGACCGAGTACCGGCGATTCCATGCCGCTGCTGTGTATCAGGCCTTGGTTCGGGGTCACATCCCGACGATGGCCGTGATCTACGTTGCCTGTCTGGTACTCGACGTCCATGCTGCTCGGAGGGAGAAAGTCCTCGAGTCCAAAGTCATCCTCGCGCGAGTCCATGGATCCGAGGGACGCGCGGTTCGTCGCCATCGAGTCCACGCTAAGTGACCGCGAACGGGCCTGCAGGTCAAAAGAGTCGAGCGTCTCCATCGGTATGTCGGCGTTGGCGTCCGCCGCCGCTTCCTCCTGTTCGAGCTCCTTTTGGAAGCTTCGGTTGTCTGCTTTGATGAAGCGCTGCAGCCCACTCGGAAGTTCGATGCGGGGCGTATCCATGGCGCCGTCGGTAGCGTAAATCATGGTGAGCGAGTTGGACTCGTCCCATATGAGGCTCTGGACCGTTTCAAAGTCCACCACCTAGAGAGAGAGAGTACTCTGCTGTTAGACTTCCGTTGGGCAGGCGTGGAGAGGGACAGGTAAGGGACAGGTAAGGGACAGGTAAAAACGTACCTCGGCCTTGATGGGCGTCGAATGGCTAGCGTTGTATTCGAGCCTCCACCACTGATCTTGCGTGACGGGGCTGTCACCCAACTCTATCAGCGTAGGTTCCGCTCTCTTGCACACGTAGACAATGTTGCTTGCCGTGCCGATGCCCCGCAGCGTGTACCTCGGGCTGATCATCGGCGCGGCGCCCTCCTGCTCAGGATTCGTGTAGAGTTGGCCGATAAAGGCCTCCGCCTCGGTGCACTTTTGCTTAAGCGTTTCAATCTCTGACACGTAATCACGCAAGGTTAGCTTTTGACCTGAGAGAAGAACAAACCAAAAGGTCTTGACGGGTCTTTGCGAGTGACCTTACCTTGAATCGCCTTTTGAGCCGCGCCGCCTCCTGCTCCGCGCGTTCCCGCCTTCTTACGAGCTTTTGCCTCATCCTCCAGCTCGTCCGAATACACGCACGGCGCATCCTCCACGCCCCTAGGGTACACCTTGTAGCTGAACCTCGCCTCCTGGAACGCCTCGAACTTGGCCTTGAGAACCAGGGAGTCTAGTAGGAGCTCGGCGCGCTTGCCCGCCGCTTCCCACCTCCGCAGCTGTTCTTGCAGGGTGGGCTGCCCAGGAGGGGCCTCTCGCCTCTCGTACTTTTCCTTCTTCCGCCTCACGCGGCGGCGCAGGTACTGTAGGCCGACGGCCTCCCTGCGCCGCTCCCAAATGTACCGGTCCGGGTAGAACTCTTCGGGTACGGTAATTTTTGTTGACTGGAAAGGGTTGGTGACGGAGAAGATGAGGACGTCGCGGGCCGTCGAGAAGAGGCTCATCTGCACCTTGTCCATGGGGGTCCGGAGATAGTCCACCAGCGCGCTGCGCCACAGCTCGTAGTCCCAGACATCATACATCGTCCTCACGTGCTTGTGCGCCTCCTCGGCGAGGACAAACTTGAGACAGCTCACCGTGTTGTACTCGCAATCTTCCTCCTTCGCTAGGGACATGGGGGCGCCAATCTCGAAGATGCACGCTTCGTGAGCAAACGGTTTAAGGGCCTCGACGCCGTACCGGTCAAAGAGAGATCGGAACAGCGACTCCTCGTGATCCCAGGTGCCCTGAAACATTTCCGATAGCACACGCGTCGAGCCGTAGCTGCGTTCGGATGAGTCTAGGAAGGTGAGTAGTCGGTGGAGTTCGTGGTCGAGGGCAACTGCATTTTCAGGGTCGTCCATACGAGTGCTGCTGGGCGCCGCCTGCAGGGCTGCAAGGACGTGAGGTGGCAGGATAGGTTTGCCCGTCCACCACTCGCTATTGTGGCCATAACTAGCGGCTGGGGCCCCGACTTGCAGTAGAGTGTTGCGCGCCAAAGGGATCTCGGCCAGGATAGTCAAAATCGTGCCGATTCGATGGTCAGGTGGCCGTCGTTGAGCAGGAAGGCCGGCGCATTTGCGTCTCGCCGTCTACGCGAAGGGTAGACGCCCACCGCAGGGGCGGTCCTGGCGGCGTTCTCCTGGCGAACGAGGGCCCACTGGTCCTCTTCGTACTGATTTCTCGTCGCCGGGCCAAACAATGGCCTCTCGTAGTCGCCCATGACGCCCGAGACCTGGGGAGGTGCATCGAGGCCCGCCTCTGTCGCTGACTCCATCAGAGCCCTCTTGAAATCCTCATCTTCGTCGTCTGCAGCGGTAGGGCCTGTTCGCATAAGATCAGTACAAAATGTACGCATGGTAGCGCCGAAAGAAGGGGTCAACGAACCGAGACTACCGGGTAGGTCGGCCGTCGTTAAATCAATCGCCCTGCCTAGGGGCGATCGTCTCTTTGTGGGTGTTGGGGGTCGCGAAGGAGCCGTGGCTCCGTAGTACGGATTGTCCTGTCCAGGCACGACGCCGTGCAGGATCTGAGGTCCGCCGTGGTCCGGCGCTGACTCGATGTGGAAAGCTAGAGCAGCATTAGCCTCACACCCATAGAATCTTAGTGATGGGTACACGCAGGGGTGGCCCGCTTACACATTGGCGCATCTGACCCGTCTCTACTCGCGGTGAAAGCGGTCTCGTCCCAGGAGTGCTTCTTACGAAACTGCGCGCGCCAGAAGTCAGCCTAACCCCCTTCTTTCCGTCCGGAACCACCAATATTGGGCGTGGAAGCTCGCGGCAGCAGCGCCCCTCTTCTCGGATATACATACTGCTACCTCGTCATCGTAGAATTCCATGACTAGTTGATTGACATCGGCATTCGGTTGCTAGATGGTGGGGCAGGAGGAGTCTCCCCTCCGAGCCCCCAAAGTCAGCCCCAATCCTCCATAGTGCGTTTCCAGAGATATCGAGGGCAAAGAGCCCCCGCCGGCCCGCACCGGCCAACAGGGTTTCCTCTAACGAAAGGGGAGAGAGGTAATGCGCACCCGCAAGGCCCGAGTAGCAAGGGCTCTATCATCATCGCTGAGTCCGGCGAACTCTAGAAACGCCCGGACATCGGCGTCCGTCGGCTCCGCGACATTTTGCTGGACTGCGTATTCCTCTTCGTCTCAGGTTTCCTCTCCAAAATGAGAGCTCCCCGCTTCTCGACGCCGCAGGAGAAAGAAAAGGCTCGATTCGCTTCGATCTTCGGGGACACGGTCCGGGAGCAAGGTAGCCGATTTCGGTCGCTGAAGGGAGAAATAGAGAGAGCAGATGAGTTCCTATCGGGAGAAACGTGCACAATGGCCGGTGCTCGACTGTCGAGGCTGCGTCCTCGCGAAACCTAGGGCGTGGAGAGAGAGAGGGCGGCTGGAGATGTCGTCGTTTATCGGTCGGCCAGTTGGGGTTATTAGACTAGCACGCAGATGGAAGAAGAAGAAAAAAAAGGCAGCCGTGTCAAAGAAAGCGGAAGCTATGTTGAGGCAAATCGGTGGGAGGAAGGGAGCGGAAGCACGTCGTCAAAGGTATCGTGGTGCTGCGCTTGCGTCGTGCTGCTTCTGAAGAGGGACCGATTGATGCACAGCTTTGCGAGGTGGAAGCTTCCCCATGTCAATGTCAGTGTGGTCATCGCTGAGTGGAGCAAATTCGGGTTGGGGGTGGATCAATCAATCAGCAATCGTTTGAGCCGTTCCAAGGTTACGTACCTCAGTACGTGCACATGGGATTTAATTGATTTTTGGTCACTGAACCCACCGAAGCGCAGCGCTCTCCAACGGCCTTCAAGACCAGTAGAGCTTGGGCCACCGAAGCCGCACGGGTGCAACCAAAAGATTGAGGTTCCCAGTTGTCCATGGTTCGATTCTAAAGTGCATACATGAAAGAGACGGTGGCTCAAATACAGAGTCTGACTTGCCAGCCAACTACGTAATAAACCGCCGACGTCTCCAGTCCATCCACACTGGATGAATCTTGGGCATCCCAGCATGCGTACCAGGATGCCCATGTTGGGCCGTAGGTTTCGTACTTCAACGACAAAGGCATTCAATGATTTTGTACGATATAGAGAGGTGATTTGATTTGATTTAAAAAAATTTGCTTCCGATATAGTTGGAAAATAATAATATAGACCAACTGATAACGCATCAACTCTTCCAAACTCCGTGCTTCTTTGTCTATGCCCCTTGGATATGCAGAAGACGCACGCACATACGAGACCTATCGCAGCCAGACCGGGCCTCAACACTTGTTAAGCCTTTAAGAAAACCAACGAAAAAAGAGGCGGGGAAAAAAAAGAGTTGAGACATGCTTGAAGAGGGCAGGGACAAGGGGACCCTTGACTGTGCGGCAAACCACCCTGCGATAAGAATAAAAAGAAAAGCCCCCCTTCAGTCCTTCCACATGAAAACGCCAAAAGGTTCAATCAACAACCCGGGGGATAAAAGGAGAAACGGGTGAAAAAGGGGGAAGCCAGCCGTCCATCGCCTACGCTATGCCTCTCTAGACGAGACGAGTAAAGGAAAAAGAAAATAAGACCCAAAGGAAAATTTGACCGTAAAGATATCCTCCCACCTCCTATGCTGACCGGATGCGATGGAATGATGGGATGTCTCGAGGCGATAGATGTGAAACGAGAAGTATGACACGGCGAGGTTGCTCAGAGCATCGTACAAGCGGTCAACGCACACGCAGAAAAAAGGGTAAAAAGGGAAGTGAGAGAGAGAGAGAGAGAGAGAGAGAGAGAGAGAGAGAGAGAGAGAGAGAGAGAGAGAGAGAGAGAGAACGGCTCTACTCATCGTCCTCTTCCTCTTCTTCAAAATCGTCGTCAAAGTCGTCCATGTCCGAATCGCTGCCTCCGATGCTCTCCTCATCCGTCTCATTCATAAAGTCGTCGTCGTCAAGCCCGCTCTTGGTCGGGGTGCCGCGAGCTCCTCGCTCGTCGGGAACACCACGCCGACGGGAATGTTCTTGCGGGACTGGTCCGCCATCTGCCGGGCTCGGCTGTCGTAGTCGGCGCGGTGGTCTCGGTACGTCACGGAGGCGTCCACATTGGCGGGGAGTTGATCTCGGGGGTGTCGAGAAGAAGCAGCACCGATCGAAGCACCGACTCGGCGCCCTGCAAGGGGACCACCGCTCTGAGGCCTGCTCGCCCGACATCTCATCTTCGCCGGGGGCGTGCAGAATGGAGATGCACAGGCGGCCGTCGGTGTAAATGTTGGGGTGGTAGATGACGGGCTTTTGGAAACGAAAGGTCGGAGGTCGGTAGGGGTAGTCAGAGGGAAACGACATGTCGGCCTAAATCACAAAAACACCGAGCGTTAGCAACGCTTTCCACCATGGCCTAGGCAGCCAAATCTAGGCGAAAAAGACAGGGAGGGGCTAGGGTCGCGGGGAAATCTCACCTTGAAGTAGCCTCCTGAAAAGACGCTATCGGGGTTGACCACCATGAGACCGACGGTCCACCTCTTGATATCCGCTTCGTTCACCTTCAGGACCAGTATCGTTAGTTATGCACTTCCTTAGCGGTCGCGCCCGGAGGCGTGCGGGAAACCCGGCCGCCTCTGATTCTGCGCCGAGTAGAGGCCAAGGGGAAAGCAGGTCGGGATGAATCTACTCACGTCAATGTGAACCCACTTTTCCTTCTGGAGAGCCTGAAGCTCCATCATCAATCTCTTTTCCGCCATTTTCGGGGGTTTGGTTGTGCGTCGAGGTTTGTCAATTGGGTTTCGGGCGCGAGAATCCCACGCTATCGTCCGTGACGTGAGTTGCTTAGAGTGGTTTGGCCAGCTGGGAGTGAGTGACCGATGGGGGAACCAGCGGATTATAAAGCACCAGGCGAGAATCGGGGGCAAAAAAGGAAAGCGGAAAAAAAAAAAAGAAAGCTCAGGAACGGAGCTGCTGGAGAAGTCCAGGCCGATCGATACTCGAGAGGGAAAAACAAGAAAACGGATTTCGGGGGAAAAAAGTGTCAATCGACGCTCAAGAACAGAGTCAGTCAAGGGAGTGGCTATCTTTTAAGAAGAGTTCGAGTCAGAGAAGGAGCGGGCCTTTCCCCTTGTGACAGCGGGGTTCCAGACTAGGGGATCACGAGATGTCGGGCCTTCCAAGCAGGGAATGTCGTCGGGTGCTCGCGCGCTAACACGGACACTCTGGTGTGGGAACTGCTCGTCGTGCCGAATTCGCAAATGTTGAAACAGGGATGGTCAGAAGAATCGATAAGAATAGAGAACAGGAGAGAAAGTGAGGAAACCACCAAGCAGACCAAATCGTTGGATCTTAAACCTCCTTTCTGCAAAGAGGCGAGGAATGAACAAGATAAATAATTTAAAAAGAAAGCTGAGTAATGTCTGAAAAGGTTAAGGAAGGAAAAAAAACGAGAAAAAAAAAGGTTGCATTCCAGTTCCCTTTCCTTTTTGTTTCCATGACATGGCTCCCTCGGATGAAGCAACAAGCTTCAGGAGGCAGCCATTCAAAGAATCGGGTATGCTCAATGTTGAGCGGTGACTGGGGCCGCAAGAACAAACAGCGCTCCCAGGCCCAGCTCGTTGATTGCGGGCTCAATGTTCCATATTGGGCGCCGCTGTCCCCGTCCGGTTGGGCCGTCCATGTCCGGGGTTAGCCACCTTTCGACACCGAAGTAGAACCAGGTAGTCAGTACGACATCTAATCCCTCAATCGCGTGACCCCTCGCAGTAGTGATACACTAAAACCACCTTTGTATCGTCTGGTGTTGGCGTTACTTCCCCCAGGCCAGCACGCACGCACTCTCCGATCCATATGTTGTTCTCGCTGTTAACTTTTGGGCTTCGCCCCACGACCGACGTCCATCCAGCACTGGCTTCGTCGGGCTGTCCGTACTGCACTCGCCACCACAACTGTCGATTCAAAAGCCACTACGCTTGACCCCTAACCTTGGAACCTTGTTTCTTTTTTTTGTTCCTTTCTCATGTCCAGGTCTACGGGCGGGCTTCTAGCGGAATGTTCCGGTCTCCGCTTGACTCGCGGCAATCTTTCGGCATTATGGCGCAACATCGAGGAATGATAAACGATGTTCTGAATCATCTCCAATCTCAACCGAGGACATACAAAGACTGACAAATCCTCCCTTGTTCAATCAATGAATTTATTTTCTTTATTTTTCTGGTCTTTGTGAAACAAACAAATCTCATTTGAGGGTATAATAGTCTCTCTCGTAAAAACTCCTTTCATCATCTCTGTGGAACAAAGTCATCACCATCATGGACAAAAGACCGCGCCCTGCTACTCATCTGCTAAGCAGATCAAGCTGCCAAAGTAACAGTAGAAAGTCGTCATTCCAGTCCACCCCATATTCCGTGCCCCCTTTACCATTGCACTATCCTCTCCTGAGTAACAAACACCCTTTAGATAGAGAGGTCGTAGTAGATGATCTTGCCGGTACGGAAGTTGTAGATGAAGCAGTGCCGCTGGCGCTTCTCCGCGTCGAGCTCAAGCTTCCACCCACTCAGTTCGTCGTGTATCTGCCTGACGTAGCCCTTGCCGCCCGAACCGGCCGCTTGCTCGAGCTTTTTCCATCCATCCACGCTCGAGAGGGGTGTGCTTTGAATCAGCGTTAGCGCTCCATCCGAGGTTTCTACGCCGAGAATTGGCCCATTCGCCATGGCTTCCACGAATCCCGCGGCGCTGGACTGCGCCTGGTCGATCACCGACTGTCTCATCATCTTCTTGTTCTTCTGCTGCGAAACAAGCACCGATACCTCTTGGTCATGGCCCCGTCGTGCGATACCGCTGCTGTGCTCACGCTGGACGGCTGATCTGGCGCGCGAGGCTAGAATATCGCGTTCCTGAATCTTCGGCTGGAGCCAAGTAAGCAGATGTCCCATAGGCATGTCCTCGTCGGGCACATCCGTCCGTTTCATAGTTTTAATCCGCAAGCTCCTGTCGGGCTTGACAACGACCAGCCACGAATAGTCGTCATCCTTGACGTTGAAGGCAAGTTCATCGGTCGAGCCCGCGTGGCTGGCGAGCTCGGCTGAGATGCCATTATCCCAGAGCGTACCGAGAACCTCCAATCCCAACGACCGGCGAAGCAAGTCATCCGTGCTTGTTACGAGCACGTCAACCTGGAAAAAAGCACCTTGTAAGTCCATGGCTAACAGTTGCCGAGGAGAGGAGAGAAGGGGAAAGAAACTCACCCGCCCTGGCTGCAGCGACTCGTGCTCGAGCCGCTTATTATGCGCCGACGATGACCCTGTCTTCGAAAGATTGACAAAAGTGTGCCACGACAGCGAGAAACCCACCGCTCGTTGTCGTTCCTGGTCGCGCCCATCGCCCACATTAAGCCGGAATTCTTGTATCAAGCTGTCATAACGGCCGCCTGCCGCGAATACCTCCTTGGCCTTGCCGTGGGAGGTGCACGAAAAGAGCATGCCGCCCGAATAGAAGCTTTCCCTAACGCTGCAAAACGGGTTAAAGTCAATCGGCGTCTTCACCCCCATCTTGTTGGCATAGTCTACGATATCGTTGATGTGTCCAATGGTAGAGACGACCTTTGGGTATAAATCCGAGCCCTTAAACAGATCCTTCAGCCTTGCGAACGTCTCGGCAGGTGGTCCTGTTGGGTGGAATTAGCAAAGAATATCCCTTTCTTTTGCATTTGACCCCGGGTACGGGAAGGCAGGAAATGACGACGGGCAACAACAACAACAACAACAAAAAAAAAAAAAAAACACAATATCGTACCCTTAAAATCAAACTTCTCAAGCTCATTGACGCTCGTTGCTGACACACCCACCTCCTCGGACCGCAACTCTTGTCGAGTCTTCTGCCATGTGCATCCGTGGACGTGCAGCTTGCTAATGATCTCCGCCGTCTTGCGTCGGAGCGACCGGTCCACCTTGCAAAAGTCAAAGATAGAGTGCAGGATGTTGGAGTGGCCGACAAAAAGTTCATCTTGTTCCATTGCGCGGGCGGGAGGGTGTGAATGATTTCGTCCAGTACCTTGAGGAGCTCCGCCTCCTTCAATGCGAGATCCCGAGAATTCGAAGAAATGATGTCAAAGTCTACTTCCGTCAGCGAGACTGGCTGTCCCATGCCCTTGGAGCTTCGGAAAACGGTGCCAAACGTATAGACTTTGTCGGCCGGCATAGTTGCTGGGTGCTTCGCCAGGAGCCTGGCCAAGCCCATGGTTAGATCGTAGGGGAGCTGTAGGACTGTTCCGTCCGATCCCAAGAGCCGAACGACGTTGCTAGCGTAATGCCGGGACCTGGGGTAAATCTTGCTACGCTTAACAGCAAGAGCACCGTGGCGATGGAAAACCATTTCTAAATTCTCTTTCACTGCCTTTTGGAGCGGAATGTCATCCGTCATGATCTTTTTCAGGGCTGCTGGGCCCGGCATTTCAATGTCCCAAGCCATATCTCTTGCCTTGTCCGAAAAGCCGGCAAAGAAAGTCGCCAGGATCTCGCGGTAGTAGGGAGTCGGGCTCAACGCCACCTGCCAAAATGCTTCGAGTGAACTCTTCTTCACCATCAATGGGAATCTTGGGATTTCGTAGCAGTGTAGCGCTGTCGGGCCTCTCGTCGGGGTTGTGCGCGACCAGAGACAAGATGATTTCAGTCTGATTCCTATCCCCAGGCTTGAATCCATCCGGGAGTATATGGCTCGGCAACCTTAAGTTGGACAGCACGATGACCCGCTCCATTCCAGTCATGGGCTGACAGCACATTTCGAACAAAATCACACCTAGAGAGAACATCTGCGTGTGGACGCGTTAGCTTGTGTGATACTCAGGCGGTTACGGCTAATTTTGGCCTGACCGGGGGAAAAGAAAACCGCGGGTTTCATACATCGACCTTTGCACTATACGTTCCCGAAGCGGTTGAGCGCACCTCCGGCGCGGTATACAGCTTCGTGCCCAGACTTCTTGTTATCTGGTCCGGGTCCGAGGATGTCGCGCCAGGCTTAGTGGACACAAACTGCCCCATGGTGGCCAGGCCAAAGTCGGCAATCTTCACGCAATCTTCCCCTTAAGGCCTTGCGTGATGAGGATGTTCTCGGGCTTGAGGTCTCGGTGAACGATGCTCAGGCTGTGGATGTGACGAAGGCCGGACAATATCTGGCGGAAAAGTCGCCAGATCTCCGTCGTACTCTTATACAAATCGCCATTAACCAAATCTCGTAGAGTTCGTCGGTCACAGTATTCCATGGAGATGTAGAGGATTCTCTGAGCGGGCTCATGGGAACGAACATGACGCAGCTGGTTCGGTGAAGTGGAATCCATCTGCTCGTCCGTGGCCTCTTCACTCTCTTCCGTTTCTTCAGTCATGCCATTTCCATTTTGACCATCTTCATCCTCTTCGCCTGTATCGTAGCCAAACTCAATCTCGGGGTAACCGCTCGAGGACATGAAGTCTAGTCCGCCACTTGGCGCCATGGGGGATGGGCCTGAATCGGTAGTCCCTTCGGTTTCGGCGTCACTCAATTCTTCGTCGTCGTCGTCACTATCGGACACCGCAGCGGAATCGGCAACCGTGTCCACCCAAGCATCATAGTATCGGACCACGGCTGGGTGGTTGAGTTTCGAAATGAGGGCAACTTCTTTTAATACTTCTGTCAGCGTAGACTTGGTGCTCACGCGGATAATCTTGATCGCAAACACGCCGCCATCAAGTTTCTTGCGAGCCTTGACGACCTGACCGAAACCGCCCTTTCCGAGTCGGCCTTCCTCTATAAACTCCGCCTCGTACCTCCCTGCATATTTGAGTTCCTTGGTGTTCTCCAGTCCAATGCGAGGAGGCAGCTGTTGTATGGCACTGCTAAAGGACTGCAGGCGGCTCCTCTGGGTAACCAGTCCACCGGAAGTAAAAATAGGGGCATCGGTTGTCAGGAATTCGGTGCAGCCGAGATCAAATGCCTTGGGTCGACGCTTCGGATCAGGATCAAAGAAACCTGTCATCATCTCCTTCAACGGCTTGGACAGGCTGTGTGCCTTCATAAAGGCGGAGGGGAGTTGTATTGCTGCACAATGTCGAGACCAAACATCATTTGCATCACGATGACGCCGAGGTCCCAGAGATCCGTTTTGTGCGTGTACTGGTCGTCACCCTCGTCTGCGGTTTCGGGAGCCATCCAAAAGGGGGATCGGGACGACGAGGGTTTGATGGGTGAATCGCCCTTCTGTGCAACCTGGTACAAGAGATGTTGATATACGGCATCTGAAAGTTTAGCAACGGTTTGAGTAGCCTGCAATGTACTCTCCTTGAAGATGAGTACGTTTCGCGGGTGCACATCGTGGTGTATTATACCATGATTATGCAGGAAAGCCATGGCATCGAGCAGGTCTCGCGCAAAAGAGCGCACCTTGGAAATGTGCAAATGGTCGCAAATCTCGAGGAAACTCTCCAGCGAAGTCATCTGCGCCTTTTGATTAAGAACCTGGACAGTCCAGAACCTGTGGAGGAAATTCTTATCCACAGCCAGTTCCTCGTGAATCATGAAGCCGACAACATCGACCAGATGGCGGTGGTGAATGCTCTGAAGCATGGTGAGTTTGTCCTCTAGGGTTATCATGTAGTTTCGAACAGGTTCGTTGGCTGAAAAGCGTAGCACCGTCTTCTTGAGGGCCAGGGGTGGGCAAGAAGAGGCCTTTGCAACGCTAGGAAGACAATGGTGTACGGCTGAAATGGGCCCGGATCCAAAGACCGAGCCACACTCGACGGTGGTAAAGTGGAACTCCTTGCCCGCGATGTCTCCTACTCGGCAGGTCCTGTCAAAGATGACTATGCTATCATCCTTTTCTGTCTTTGGCCCATCGGCCTCGCGCAAAATCTCGCTTGAGCGGCGGGACTTGCTATAAGTCCGTGCAACCTCTTCCTTCCGGCGAAGCTCCTCTTGAACGGCGCCAGCCATGGCCCGGTCCTCCTCGCGACTCTTTTCCAAGTTTTTGCGCCTGGCCTCTTCTTCTTGTTCTTGTGCTTGACGTTCAAGCATTGCTTCGTGGCGTGCCCTTTCCTCTTCCAAGGAAACCTGCTCGCCTCTCGCTTTGGCTTGGGCGTCGTCTTCGAGAATGTCGCGAATACCCTCGATGAGAGGATGCATCATTTCCTGCTCCTCGGAAGCGAGCTCTTTGGTTTCGCCTGCAGATACTTCTCAAGCTTGAATTTCGTAGCATCGCGCAATTCGCCAACGAGAGTGATCAAGGGCGGCGACTTGGGATAGGTTGCGGTGAAGATGACTCGCAGTGTGCAAGAAAAGTCTTCGTCTGAAGCGGTGATTCGGATAGTAAAGGAGGGCTCGGATTTCTACAACGATTTGCCTTGGTCAGCACTATTTTCCCTCTCAAAAGGAAATCATCTCAAACATCGCAACAGGGACCATGGTAGCGACCGGGGCCAAGCTCCAATTCAGATGAAGAATGGAATGAGTCACACACACCTTCCAAGCCGAATGCGCCTCCTTTAGTCTCGTGAAGTCGTCTCCATAGATGGCCTCGAGAGCTATCAGCTCATTTTGCTGAAGCTCTGCGTATTTTGTATTGGAGCCCCTTTGGCTTTTCAAGCCAGGGAAAGCCGGGGCGTTCTTATCAGAGGGGGTCGTTGGCTTCTTCCAGGCCATCCTGAACGTGAACGGGGATGGGGATGGTTGTCGACTCGGAGATGTCTGGCCAGGTACTGGTAAAGGTAGCTGGGACGCCTCACGAGGAGAAGTCCATGGCTGCTCGTAGCGGTTTCGGCTTAAATCTGGGTTCGGGGTTGCTCTTGCTGTCGCTTGTTGAATGAAGCGCACAAGCTCACGCCCTGCCGTTGTCAAGATCGATGGAGGGGTCAAAACCAGGCGCAGGGCGGGCGCCGGGGGTGACTAAGAGAGCTTATCGATAAAAGCAAGCTTTGGTCCAAGGGTTCGTCGCGCGTCGCGTGGTGGGGTAGCTCTTCACTGAGGGAAACACTCACTCAAGTGGGTTCCCGAAGGAAGCGGAAGTAATCGAGGGGAGTGCTCCAGCAACTCCCTGGTGACTGAATTGGCCATAATTGAATTTCGAATCTGAGGGAAACGTCCTGTATAAAAAGGGCCATGTTCTCGAAAGGAGCATCTATAGCTCTAGGTTAATTGCTGATCGGCTGGTATGTGCAAATGTGGCGTGGCGCGAGAATCCCAGTAATAGTGTGGTGATGCGGTGATGAAATGAAGAGAGGAAAGTTGGGGATCTAGCGAAATAGAAATCTATAAGTAGGATATAATAAAGAAATTCTAACCTCTTTTTCAAGGTTCTTGAAAGGAAGGTGCAATCGACATGTTCTATCCCTATAGCTCTTCAAGGCATCTTGAAGAGAAGCGAGCTCTTCACTCTCATTGTGAATCTATCGGCTTATTCTCGGAACGTGGTCTAAGCTCTTTCTTCTGAACATAACACTCAGCACCCCATATTTCTAGCCATCCACTAATCAACCCTCCTGATTGAGTATGGAAGTAAACAAAGGCAGCCAACCACGAGAACCTCAACAGCCTTTATCGCATCAATTGATAGCCCAATAGCCAAATCCATCTTCAACCACTCAACCACACCATCACGATCAGATCAAACTCATCTTAACAATATAACCCTGACATAACTGATATCCCAATTCGAGTACTAAATTGTCCTTACAATTTAAGCAACGCCAGGGACAAACCAAGATTTCTTGGACGGGATGCTTGGTTGGGTTTTGCGACGCGGTTCGGAACCCGCGAAAAGCGTCAAGGAAACAGGAGGTAGGCTGCACAACAAGAATCATGGAATTAGATTCGATTCCGCCCCTTCTCTCCTTCCCTTTTTTCTTTCTTCTTCTCTCCCCAATTGTGAAGAAGAATTGCTTGCGAGACGCGACACATTGACAACGTTCTGACAATTTGCTGCTGCTCAACATAGATGACACCACGCAAATCGATGGGCCGGACACTCCGGCGCCAGTGTTCGCTGCGAGGGCTCTAAAAAACGCGATTTTTGGAGAGAGCGAAAGGCAAGAGGACGAAACACGAGACCAAGCAGGGATGGACAGCGACGCCGACGCCGGGAGGACTCCCACCCGACCGACACCCGCCGGCATTCTCCTAACGCCAGGCACCGGTACCTCGAGGCCAAAACGCGTCTCGTTTGGAAATGACGTGTTGGAAAAGGGCTCCAAAAATGCGGGCACCAAGACGAGCGGGCGAGGAGGCCGCGATTCGACGCGTCGACGAACGAGATTAACGGAGTTACTAGAGAGTTCGAGGCAGAAGAAGGCCGCCCTAGTGGACAAAAAGCGGCCGATGCCCGAACCCGAGAAGGAAGATAGCGAGGATGACGAATGGGAGGAGGACGATGAGGACGATGCCGATGACGACGATGACGACGACTGCTGCAATCACGATATCACGGTGGACCTGAACGAGCCTCACTCACAGTCTGGGAAATACTGGAAGACGAGCTTCGAGACGTACCACAGCGACGCCAAAACGGAAATGGAGAAATTGCTCAAGTATAAGCAGCTAGCAAAATCCTACGCCAAAATGAAGGATGCGGAGGCGATCGATTTAAACGAGAAGCTACGGGAAGAGCAGGAAAAGGTCGCCGAGATGGAAAAGAGGCTAGGGGACATGGCTGCCCAGATCGCTACGAAGCGTCTAAGAGGAGGAGAGAGGGAAACTCCCGAGCTGATGAGGAACCTCGCGAAACAGACTGCCCTCGCCGTTCAGTACCGCAGCCAGGTCAGGGAGCTTGAGTCGCTACTAAAAAGCATCAAGGACGATGGGAAGCAAGCCCGAGCGTCTGCTGCACAGTCTCAAGTGCAGCGGGTGCTTGCCCAGACCCAGGAAGAGCTTAAGCAGGCTCTGGCAGACCTCGATGACCGCCAGAAAGAGTTGGTGCGCGTCAAGGCCCAGCTCAACAAAGAATCCAACGCCGGACAGCGCGCAACACAAGGCCATGGTGATGAGTCGCCCTATGTTCGAGATCTGCTCTCTCAGCTACGGGACGCGAAAGCAGATAGTCGTAGCAAGGATGCAGAGCTCACACGCCTCAAGAAGGAGTTTGAACTCTTCCAGCAAGAAGTGGTCACGGAAAAGGAAGAATCCAACAGGGTCTTGTCGAAGGCGATGACCAAGATCTCGGAGCTGAAGAGAGAGTTACGCAACGCTAAGACTCCGAAGCCAGAGCAAAGCGCCCGTCCGCGAAGCTTCCATGCCACAACGACCACCGAAGACGCAAAGAGGAATTCAGTTGAGGTCAAGCCTGACCTTCACCTCGACCTCCAAGATCTGGCGCGCCTCACCAACTCGGCTTCTCCGCCTCCCGAAACATCGGGTCGGGCCAGCAACAACGTCGTCGGTGATGCGGATGGGAGGAGGGTGCGGACAACCCAGACGTCTCGCAGGCTCCGTGACAAGTTCCTGCAGGAACCAGACGAATATAGAGTGGACCTCAAGGCCGAACCTAGCCGCCGTAATATCCTCACGGACCAAGTAAACCTGGGGAGGCCCAAGTGGAAAGAATACGTCCCGCGATCCCCCGAAACCGAGCCTATCTTAGAGACATTGAGCGGCGAAGCGGGACCGGAGGCGATGTAGCCGGCGCCGAAAGCAAGGAGGGAGGTGGCGTCGAGGGTGCCAGGCGAACGAGGCTTCAGCTCATTACCCTAGACAGCGACAAGGAGGAAGACGATGAAGACCAGCCAAAGCTTGACTCCCTCAAGGAGCGTTTCAAGAACCTGAGCCGACCAGACGCCGCGGATATCGCAGCCCCGGTCGCCGCCGAGCCCTCGAGGCGCATTCTCACGACGGACAGGCGCGCAGCCGCCGAGGCTCGAATCGATCGGCGCAAGGCGGACCGTATGCGAGCCATTGCGGGGACACTCAAGTCCCTAGACAAGGAAAACGTGCGGCCGAATATCGGGAAACGGGCGTACGAGCCGACGAGGGCGGGCTTGTAGATTGTGGATGACTTCTCTTACTCATCAGGTCATGCTTTAGGTGTCATCGGAAACGTTTACTAGGTAGCTTGGTGGGGTCTGCGGTGTAATGCGAGGAGGTTCACGGCGGCTTTTTTTTTTCTTCTTCTTTTCTTCTCCTTCTCTTAGGCATTCAAGTTCTACATAGCGGTCTCAGGCTCAGGAATGGGGGTGGGCGGCGTTTGGAATCCAATCCCGGTTTTTGTTTTGTAGTGTTGCTGTTTTAAAGTAACAGTACAGCTCTGGATACACTCAAATTGTCATTCATGATCACATCTCCAGTCTTTACGTGTCTCGTCTGCAAACGCACATCAAGCACCAAAAACACCTCCCCAAGTGAAAACGACTAAGCATCAATTCCACTTTTGTCCCCAGATACGCCAAACCCACGTTCCCGGAGGGTCTCGTCCGGAACACCGGCAGGACGTGGGGCCAATCGGGCTCAAGCGTGATAAGAGCGGCGGGTCAATTTTACGCGTCGGCTGGTGTCAAGTGCAGTAGATAAGCCAGAGGAAATCGCCAACCTTGTTCAACCCTCAAATGCTCGAAACCTCTAGTGAAGGGAAAAGGAAAAGAAGGATTGAAACGGTCAGGAGTTATCTCCCAGTTTTGCGCAAGTCCCAGAGAGTCTAGGAAGCTTCAAGGTCTTGCAAAGACCAGGAGAGTTACGAGGGCGGAGCATAAAACCCCGGCGCAACCTGGGGGTTCTCCGTCACATTCGCATCCAGCCTACGTTTGCCGTCCTTTGGAGGGAACAGCAAGCAAGTGGGTGAATTGTTTTACGGGAAAAAAAGGGAAGAAAGGAGGAAAATGGATGCTTCGCTAGAGATAGATAAACTCTCGGTGAGTGAGACGGAGAACGAAATCATCGAACTCGAACGGCGTCTCGCCGAGGCCAGAGATCGGCTCGCGAGATGCGAGACCAACGACAACCATAAGACGCCGTCGACTTCTCAGGCACAGAGCCAGCATCCAATCGTCATCGCCAAAGGTAAGATTAACCCCTCGTACTTTGGAAGCATCAGCAACGCCAAAGTATCGTAGTTGCAGTAGCTACATGCTCGACAGAGCTACACCTTTACACCCTTCCCATCAAACCCCCTCCTCACACCCTGCCAAGGCTAACCAGAGAAACCCACCCTCACCCTTTTCCACCTCTACCCAGACGACCCATCCAACCACTTCCTCCTCCTCCTCTCCGACTCCGCCCTCCCCCTCGGCTCCTTCGCCTTCAGCAGCGGCCTCGAGTCCTTCCTCGCCCACACCGTCCACATCCCCGCCACCCGAGCCTTTGCCTCCTTCTTCCCCGAGTCCGTCTCCTCCTTCGCTGCCACCAACCTACCATTCGCCCTCGCCGCCTACGATGATCCTCGCGCCCTCGTCGAGCTCGACGATCTACTCGATGCCACCACCATTTGCACAGTCGGCCGCCGCGCTTCCACAGCGCAGGGTCGCGCCCTCCTCTCTGTGGGAAAAGTCGTTTTCGCCCCCGCTCCGCGACCCCGCTCTCAGCGCCTTTGCGGTTGAAGTCAAGAAGAGCGCGAGGACCGGTAGCGGCACCGGCGCCGGCAGCGGGTGCGGGGACGAGGTGGGCGTGGCGCATGGCCACCTAGCCCCCGTGTTCGGAGCGGTGGGCAAGGCCGCCGGCATGTCGAGGGAGAAGACGGCGTATGTGTTTGTGCTCGGCCACGTCAAGGCTCTGGTATCGGCAGCCGTCAGGGCTGGCGTGTTGGGTCCGTACAAGGCACAGGCGGTGCTGGCGGGAGACGAGGCGAGAAGACTTGTGGGTTCGGCTGTGACGAGGAGTGGGATACCAAGCCCGAGGATGCTGGGCAGACGATACCCGCTACGGATCTGTGGATTGGGAGGCACGAAGTTTTGTACTCGAGAATCTTCAACAGCTAGTTAAAAAGCTGGGTGGAGAACCATGACCAAAAGAAAAATAGGGAGATATATAAGGGAAAAGAAAAAGAGGTTAAAACGTTCTATTGCGCCGAATGGGCTCCTTTTTGGTATCCTTTGACGTTAGTTCGCAGGGTAATATTACAGATGGTACAACCGAAACTATAGCTCGCTAATACATGATTATTCGTCGTCATCGTCATCGTCGCTCTCATACGCAACGAGCGGCCCCGATGGCGCCGCCGCCTTGGGTTTCGACGCCACAGCAACCTTGGCCGCGCTGAGCGCCGCAATCGTGCTGCTCGAAAAGATGCCTCCCTCTGGCTGCGGCGGCGCCTGCTCAATAGCCATTGGCGTGTACTCTTGGGCATTCTCCTGCTCGAACCCTCGCCTACCAAGGGGGTTGACGGCATTGGCGCCCAGTGCAAAGTGAATCTCGTCGGGGGCCTGGTATCCGTCGAGGCCGTAGCTGCTCTCGATTTTACGCCTCTTGCGCGCTTCGGGATCCTTGCCCTCGATCTCGGCCACGAACTCGGCGGGGAGGGCCCGCCTGATGGCTTCGGCAGCCTTCTCCTCGATCCTCCTCGCCTCTCGGGCTTGCGCCATGGGATTCGGGTCGGGTGTCGCCCACCGGACGTTGAGGACTTCTTCGTGGTCGAGCGATTGATGCGCCATGGCCTCCTTGGCGAATTGCGCGTTTGCTTCGTTACAGTAGGTGATGAAGGCCACGCCTCGGGTATTGAGGACACGAACTGGCAAGGTCAAACAAAGTTAGTTTCTGGGTAAAAAGGGAAAGAAAGCAAGACGGTGAAGCAAGGTAAAAGGTCCTAAATCAAGGGTGTCGGTGGGGGCATGGCATGCTCACCTCGTTCAATCTGGCCCCATTCCGCAAAGTGCCTCGCCACGATCTCTTCAATGTCGTCTGTCACCGTTATCCTGCCCACATACACGGTCCTATTCTGTCTCGTAAAGCTTCCCACGCCGCCCATGTCATCTCGATAATCCGAAAACTTGTCTCTCCCGAAGCAGTCAACGTTGGGCTGGAACATGTCGTGAATGGTCGGTAACCTGTGGAGATAATCGCAGTCCGGCCCCTTGGGACATATCCCCTGGCGAAGAAGAGGCAGAAGAAGCTCCCAGAGACCCTGTCGGCCTTTGTGTAGCCGCTATCCAGGGCAATGTTGCAACGGCCCTTGGCGTGTGTTTTGGAAAGATATTTGTCCTCGTTGTCGCCGCCCGACCACTTGTTGTACCAGATGTTGAAAACGGTACCGGTCTGCGGAGGGGCTCTGAATTGATAAAGGACGGGTCTACTTGGGGTCGGGCCGGGCGCCTCTTTTGCGGATAATCTTCTTGATCTTTCGGGGAGGCGCGACATCGGTGCTGCCGTTCGCTGGGACGAGGGCGCCATCTTCTTGAGGGGAGCTTCGTCGGTCGGCGGCTCTTGGGGCACCGCCTCGACCTGGGGCTCTTGGTCGGACATTATGTGAAGAATGTGCTGCAGAGGCGTTTTCGTCTCCTGGCAAATGAGGTATGTGCGCCGGCGCAATGGAAAGGGATCGGGAGGATACTGAATGGTTCTCGGAAGAAGAGGGGGCGGAGATGGTGATGTCGCTGTCGCTATTGTCGTCGCTGTCGTCGCTGTCGTCGTTGCCGTCCTCGGGGTTGTATGCGCCTCGAGCTTGCTGAACGCGCGAAAGTTGCAGGTGTTTTCTTCCAGAAAATCATTGTGGCGAGTTGACCTTGCTTTAGTGTGGCGGTGCTTGCTGACATCTCCCCTCCCCAGTCAGTACGCCTCTCATCTGCAGGTACCGAGGTACCTCATCAGCCACATTTTTCAACCATGCAACCATGCTCTTCACCCCGCCGAACTCATTCATGGGTTGGAAAACTGCCCCGCCATAGAAACAATCCGCGATTTGACGCCCAGGTCGGCCAGAGCTTGTGAACACACATCTTCTTCATAATACCCAACCGCATCTCATAAGGGGCATCTTTTTCTAGTTATCCCCGCTACTTCTCTGTATATACCGACCTCCTCTAGTCCAAAATCCTGCTTCGGCGGGTCCAGTCTGAAGCATGGTGAACATTACGGAAAAGATCAAGGAGTAAGTTTGCCTTCCTCGGCAGATGCTCTTTTGTGCGCGTGTACTAAACTACTTTTAAAGGATTGAGGAAGAGATGAAAAAGACGCAAAGTAAGTGGTGCCAGGGTAATAGGAAGAGCCAAGGGCATGGCTAGAAATGAGAGAATGGGGTGGCATGCAAGCGGGCCATGGGAGGAAGGTGTGGATGAAGAATATTTTTCAAATGCTAACATGTTTCCTTCTTTTTTCCTCTTCTTTTCTTAAGAGAATAAGGCTACGGGTAAGTTCACGCTATATTCTTGAATTGCGAGTCTCCCCTCGCTTGGCCACATTCCGGCAACTAATGAACATCACAGAATATCATCTTGGTCTACTGAAAGGGTACGTAGCTGCGCGCCAAACTACGAGTTACTGGGACGGACCTGGGATCACTAACTTTGTCGAATAGAAAGCTTGCCCGGCTTCGCGCGCAACTTCTGGAACCGGGCCCGGGATCCGGTGGCGGTCCGGGAGCAGGTTTCGACGTAAGCAAGAGTGGTGATGCTCGAATATCGCTAGTTGGGTTTCCCTCCGTCGGAAAATCGACGTTCCTTTCAAAAGTCACCAAGACGAGATCAGAGGTTGCGTCTTACGCATTCACAACACTTACCGCAATTCCCGGCGTGTTAGAGTACGACGGTGCCGAGATCCAGCTGCTTGATCTTCCCGGTATCATCGAGGGGGCCTCTGAAGGCAAGGGACGTGGACGGCAAGTCATCTCGGCGGCCAAGACTAGCGACTTGATTCTCATGGTGCTGGATGCGACGAAACGAGCGGAACAGCGGGCGCTCCTCGAGGCCGAACTGGAAGCTGTGGGCATCCGCCTAAACAGGGAACCACCGTACGTCCTCCCTCCTCCCCCACCTTTACTTTATTAGATCGTCTCTTATGCTCCCCTTCTTTGGCTTGGCGGTGACTGGTTTTCCGCCTTGTTACCCTATTTCTCATCCTTTTACTCACGGCCCCTTTTGCAGAAACATCTATCTCAAAGCGAAAAAGGCGGGCGGGATGAAAATCACTTTCTCGGCGCCGCCCAAGAACCTTGACGAGAAGATGGTGTACAACATCCTCCGCGATTACAAGATGCTCAACTGCGAGGTGCTCGTTCGCGATGAAAACTGCACGGTAGACGACTTGATTGATGTCATCATGAAGGACCACCGCAAGTACATCAAGTGCTTATATGTGTACAACAAGATTGATAGCGTCTCCATCGAGTTCCTCGACCAGCTGGCGCGCGAGCCCCACACCGTCGTCATGAGCTGTGAGCTAGACCTCGGTATCCAGGACGTGGTAGATAGGTGCTGGAAGGAGCTCAACCTCATTCGCATTTACACCAAGCGGAAGGGCATTGAGCCCAATTTTGGAGAGGCCCTCATCGTCCGGAGCGGTAGTACTATCGAAGACGTGTGCGACCAGATCCACCGTACGATGAAGGAGACGTTCAAGTACGCGCTCGTATGGGGTGCCAGCGCGAGGCATGTACCTCAGAGAGTTGGACTGAGCCATCCAGTAGCGGATGGGGATGTTGTATATATCATGGGTGCATGGCGGGCGTAACGGCCGTGCCGGTTTCGATCAATGTATAGCCTTTTCGGAGAGCCTCTCGTCACCTTCCTTTTCGCATATTGCCGTCTGTTGCTTTTTTATGCTACCTCTAGTGCTCGCCGTTGAGCCGGCATGCTTATGAGGGAGGGAGGGAAGTCAAAAGACCAAAGATATATATATCAACCCATGATTATACTCGCTCGAGATTTAAAGGGTACGGAGGAAGAATAAGAAGAAAAAAGCAGAGCCGGTCAATTGATTTTCTAGTTCATAACGCATCATGAGGAAATAAAAGAAAACCCCCTTTGAGTTTTTGGGTTGGCACCGAAGTACTGTTTGCATGTGTTCATACCCGAAAACGCCCGTAAACAAGTAAGTTCCCAAAGGAAGCTCGGTACCAAGCGGGAAAAATGCGCAAGCTGCGCCTCCCCGACGAAGCCCGGTCGCATCCCAGAAGGAAAGGATATCAAGAACCCGAACCACCCATTACGATCCTCCCGGGGAGAGAACCAACAGCAAGTATCAATCAAACAAGCGAAACCGGCAAGAGACGGAGGGAATTTAAATGTACAAGGAGGAACAAAGGAGAAGGCGCTAGAGGAAGCAGTCTTCCAGATGTCTAGAAAGGGCTGTCCTTCTTCGCGGAGTCGAGCTTCTTAGCTACGCCTTGGGCGAAAAGAGACTTGGGCTTGACCCTACATAGGTTTCGTCGGTTAGTATCACGCTGATCCAGGTGCAGTGCCTTGCCTCCTCCGTTGCGTTGCGTTGGGCGCGAGGTGATGGCCAAGTATACGGGGTTTCGGGGAGGCGAGTGAGGGCGCTGTGACTTACTTCCCAACCTGCTTGTTGCGCAGGGCGGTGAGCTTGGCAGTGCATGGGCTCATGATGTTGTCCGAAGGGGAAACGTATTGCTTGTTTTGTCTGTTATATGGTTTAGGATGTGTTAGTGATGCGCCATTGCGATTGTTGGGAGGAAAGAAGGACAGGCGCTGCACTGACTGTTCGGCGTCCATCTTGGACTGGAGGACCTGGCGATGGTACTCCATGCTCTGAATGGGCTTGCCGGTAGGCTGCTCGGCGGCGAGCATGGGGACATTGATGTCCTTGTTGGAGAGAACACCAGACATTGTGATAGATGTGGTTTGATGTGAGTATACGATGGGCTTTAAGCTTGTGGTCTTCTTGTGGTCCTTCTGGAGTGGGAAGGTGCACGCAAGGTTATAGGTTGTGAGTGTGGATTTGTGAATGCACGTATAGAAGAAGAAAAAAGGTGAAGCTGTCAAAAGATGGAGAGTTGTGAGTGCGGGATGTGCAAGTTAAATGCAGGTCTGTGGATCACAGAGGGAAAAAGGAAAACCGGGGAATTGTGTTGTTATTCTCTGAAGTGATGTGAAAGAAACACAGCCAAACAAGGCAAGGTGGGAACAAGAGAACACACTGAGAAAAATAGAGTCGGGCAGGGATGGTAAGTGCTCATTCCTCTTCTCTGACTAGGTTCTCTGGAAGCAAATCGGCGCAAGGTGAGGCAAAAATGTTCAAAGAGAAAAGTAAAGAGTGCCGGTTCGTTGGTCGGGCAACGGCTCAATGGCAGTTCGCCCCTGCTCTTTTTTTCCCTTCCCTTGCTCCCCTCCCCACCAGCGCCCACTGATGCGTTGGCGTGGAGAACACGGGCCATGGAGTCGCACTTTCCGCCAGCCATGCGAACTAGGGTGTCATTGGGTTTGGACGATTCTCCATCCCTGGTCAAACAAGCTTCCCACAATTGTTGCCTCGATCAATGCTGGCTTGCTGTGGTCCCTTGGCCAGCCGGAGCGTGTGGCCCAATACAATGTTCCTGCGACGCCCAAGATCGGACACAAAGAGGCGCTTTGGCGAGGCCAAGTGTCTGACGAGAGAGCCCATCCGGCGGATTGATGAGTAGTGTCTTGGTTGTGTCCAGACCATGTGCTGCATGAGCGGCGCACAGTTTGTAGCTTCTCACTTGCAGTGCGCCGGTGCACGCAGCATCTTCAGCTTGCCCCCTAAGTTGACCGACTGATCGGTGAATTTACGCACCCAAGATCAATTCACAGCTTTGCGATGGAATAATAGGCCCGGTTCGTCGTTCATGAGAATAGATAACATTGGCGCTGGCCTCATAATGCAACATACCACCCGTTTCAAAGTTGAGTGGCAACGGACTGTTAGCCGGGGCATTGCTTGCATTGCATGCGCTGGATCGACAACCCCATCAATCAACATCGTCAACACCGAGGCCCTTGCCGTTCCTCTGGGTACCAAGGTTCACTGCTACCATACTTGTTATTTGAATCCATTACCCGATGATGAGAACCCTGCCTATCGTTGCCCCCTCGCCCTCTGGCTCGCATTTGCTGGGATCCCCAGGTATCTGGGATTCTTCAACGTCTTTCTCTTTTCCCCTTCGGAGTAATAATTGGCTCTGGAGTGGTCTATTGAAATGATCTCGGAGATGTCTGAGACTCTGCCTGGTGATGGAGTGTTTGACTGAGTCACTTGAAGATGGACGGATAGAACATTAGTCCAGGGCATCCAACGGCGAGTTAATTGGCACGACAACCTTGTGACGAGTTTCAAGGTGCTTCTAAAATGCCCGGGGGCAAGGATTCAAGGTCGAGCATACATGTAAACTATACGCAAAAACATCGTCCACTCAAAGATAAGTTGAGAATACAAGAGGCAACAGCAAAGTTTGAAAAAAAATATTTACTATCTTTCTGGGCCTGGTTCCTAGGAGCACCTATCACCATCCTGTACTTGGGTGTATAATACAACTTGAGCATTAACCAATTTCAAACTCGGAGCCAAAAATGCAAATTCATGACCCATCCTCGTCGCGACGAGGTTTCCATTCCCGACATGCCTTCATTCTTTCCACAAAAATTTCTTCTTCTGGTATTTGATTGTTTTTCTTACCCACTTTAGATCTTGGACTTGACAATGTTGGTACCGGGCTGGTACTTTTGGCCGCCAAAGATCTTGAAGAGCTCCGCCGTCTTCTCGTTCTGCCACTGGATCATGGCCGCCGTCTCCTTGCCGCGCTTGGCCTCGTTCCTGCCCATTTGCCGAAGGTGGACCTCGTCGGGCCCGTCGGCGAGCCTGAGGGTGCGGATCTGCGCCCACATGTTGGCCAGGGGTATCCTGGCACACGCCGGCGGCGCCAAAGGACTGCACGGCGCGGTCGATGACGGTGAGCGCCATCTGGGGCACCATGACCTTGGCCTCGGCAATCTCCTTGAGCGCGGCCTTGGGGCCGAGGGTGTCCATCTTGATGGCGGCGTTGAGGACGAGCAGACGCGCGGCGTCGATCTCGATGCGCGACCGGGCGACCCACTCGAGGATGACGCCGTGCTCCTTGAGCTGCTTGCCAAAGGTGGTCTTCTTGGGGTCGTTGATGCGCATGAGCATCCAGTCGAGGGCACGCTCGGCCTACATTGTCATTGTTATCTCTGGTTAGCTTTAAGCCTAGACAAGGAAAGATATATATATATATATATATATATATAGAATGGGTTAGGGGATACGTACAGCGCCGATGGACCTCATGCAGTGGTGGATACGGCCGGGGCCGAGACGACCCTGGATGATCTCGAAACCGCGGCCCTCGCCGAGGACCAAGTTGGAGGCGGGGACGCGAACGTTGTTGAAGGTAATGTGGCCGTGGCCGTGGGGGCGTCGTCGTAGCCGTAGACCTGGAGCATGCGGTGGATGGTGATTCCGGGGGTGTCGGAGGGGACGAGGATGACGGACTGCTGCTTGTAGGTGTCGGCGTTCTTGGGATCGCTCTTGCCCATGACGATGTAGATCTGGCACCTAGGGTCGCCGGCACCGCTGGACCACCATTTCTGCAACAACCAAGTTAGTTTCCATTCGTTGCCGTATTCTACCCCTCAACTGCTGCAGAAGAGGCCAATGGGGGAAGAGAGGGAGAAAGGGAGAAAGGGAGAGAAAAGGGACAGAAAACTTACGGAGCCGTTGAGGACGTACTCGTTGCCCTCCCTCGTCATGGTAAGCTGAATGTTGGTAGCGTCGGAGCTCGCCACATCGGGCTCGGTCATCAAGAAGGCGGAGCGAATCTTGCCCTCCATGAGGGGCGCCAACCACCTCTGCTTCTGGGCCTCGTTGCCGTACTTGGCCAGGACCTCCATGTTGCCGGTGTCGGGGGCGGCGCAGTTGGTCGCCTCGGAGGCGACGCGGGAGCGGCCGAGCCACTCGGCCATGAGGCCGTACTCGAGGTTGCTGAAGCCGGGCGACTCCTTGTAGTGGCCCTTGGGGAAGAACATGTTCCAGAGGCCGAGGGCGCGCGCGCGCTTCTTGAGCTCCTCGATGATGGCGGGGTGGCTCTTCCATCGCTCGTCGCCCTCGCCGATCTGGGCTTCGAGAACGGGGTCGGCACTGTGGGGCGTGTGCGTGTGAGTAATGAGAAGGTTTTCGTGCTCGCGGGGCTGGCTTGAGCCGCGAAAGGGATCGGGGAAGAAAGACTGGCTTACGGGATGCACTCCTCCTCAACAAACTTGGCGACGACGTCGAGGGTCTTGCGAGCCCTCTCGCTTACGCGGTCAAGCGCCTATATTCCGACGAAACACCCCAGGTTAGTTACATAGCTTTCTTTTTGTAGGTACTGACTCCCTGCCGAGATTGCAAAGGCAGGGGCGGAAGGCGGTGTCCGGGGAGGTCTATGACATCAGGGGGTTGGAGGAGGTGATCACGTACAATGGCGGGAATCCTGGCAGACATTGTGTGTTTAAATAACTTGTGCAGCTCCGCTACAATCTAGGTGTAAAAAGAAAAGGAAGCGGCGAGAATAGATCTCCAGGTAGTGGGCGTGAAGATCTTGAAAAAGGTGCGGATACGGAAGACACGTGCGAGAAGAGGTATCAAGGGGAGAAAGATGTCAATAGTAAAAATAAAAATAAAAACCCTTTTGTTCCAGAGTCGTTTTCCAAGAGCAGCACGCGTTTCCTTTATGAGAGAAACAGGATCGGGAGGGGAAGAAGCGGCGTAGGATGATTTTCCACCGGGGATAGAGAGAAACCGAACCTTGAGCTTCTCCAAAACCGCAACGCCCCGGCTTGTTGCCTCCCCCAAAGCGCGGGCTCGCCGCCGAGCTCCTTGTGGGCCGTTGCGAAAGGGGATGTGCCGAGGTAACTCGACGGGGTTAATGCCAAAAGGGTGTGAGCGGGGTGCTTTTTGGTGGGGAAAGCCGCTGGGCAGGCATCGTCTGAGTGTGCTGTGGGCTTGATTGCTGATCCGATTGTCCTGGAGCTGGCCCCCAGATTTTAGTACGTTGGAGCTAGCCGGCCCCCAGCGACTGGGCTGGCCGTGGTATCAATTGCGTTCAGTGCAGTAATACCGTATGATACGAAGTAGTTCTTTCATTTGATCCACACTTGAAGTATACTCACTGCCTTGTGTCCTCCGGGATATACATTGGTCCACCGAGTAGTACTCCACCTCAACCCCAATCGACCGTCAAGAACCGCCAACCAACAAGTTGAGTTGAGCTCCATCAGCACTGGCCTAGTGCACATTCATTGTAGCCACTGAACGAAGCCCAACAGCCCACGCTAGCAGTCACCGCCCGTTGATCACTGTTCAAGCGTTGCGTCAATCCTCCCCGTTCACGTAAACCATATAGGCAACTTGCTCACTGACCATGGCCGAAAGGACTCCTTGATGCTTATGTTTGTTTCGGCCTCTTCAATCCAGCAAGGTCCCGCCATTGCCACGGTTCCCCGGATCCGAGTTCCCCTCAGCCCCCAAGTGCCCAACTGTGCCTCGATCTCCCTGCCCCTCACGCAAGCTTCGCATCCCCATGTCATGACTCTCGGCTACCCGAAACCGACATGAACACGCGCCTCCGCCCTAGTGTGGTACGATGGCCCGGCCGATGCCCCCATTCCACTTTCCACCGGATGCAATGTTAAATCGTGTCTCCCCTTAACACCGGACCGGGTCCTCGGCTTACTGCCATAAGCTTGAAAAAGAGCCGCTTCGCCAACCCCATCCGCCCGCTCTCCCCTTGTGTATCAATCAATGGGCTGGTCTGCACATGCGTCAAAATTATTCACACATCACCCCGGCTGGTAGCTCTTCGTAGTCAAATCCGTCTATTCACTTGGTGCGAATGTCACCTGTTCTTTTTATTTTTCTTATTTTGCCCCTTCTGCTTGTCTAGAAAATCCGCCCCTCCCTATCCCTTCTGAAAATGCCATTCGTGCTATTACCAAGTAAAGAAAGAACAGCAACAATTCCCAGAGCCCGTGCCGATCCCGTTAAGCCGTAATGCCTCCTTCTCTCTTTAGTCATCGTCAACCTTGACAGCCCGGCGCTTCTTTCCATTCTTGGGCCCTCCTTTGAAATGCTTCTTCCCGCTCGCTCCCTTCAAGTCCTTGGGATCGAGCCCATTCGCTAAAGCGTACGCGGCCTTTGCCTTTCTTCCGCTGAGCTCCTTGCTTCCTTGCTCCGAGTACTTGTAGCTGAATGGTCGACTGAGGTGCCCCGCGCTACCACCACCGGCGCCGAAGAACCCTCGGTCGAGGTTTCTCGACTTGGCACCTCCTTCTGGGCCAAGTCCAAATTCCGTACCTGCGAGGCTGAACTCGCCATCGTCATCCTCGAGAGACGTGGCATTTAGCTCCGCCTCCAACGCTGCTCGCCTGCCGTCGGGCAATCGTAGTCTCCTGTTCTCTGGGAGATGGAATTCGTCGTAGAGCTCGCGGTTGAACTCTCGGGGATCGTAGTCTCCGGGAGGTGGGTGGCAGTAGAGGAGTTTACCGTTCACGTAGTCCTTCAGTATAAATCGTGCCGCACGGGATTCGTCAGGTTGTCCCAAGCCTTGCGTCTGGAAGCCCCTCGCCTTTGCGTACGCCCTCAGCATTTCCGATGACGTCGGGATTCCGGTGCCCCCTCTTCGAACGGCCGTATCTTGATCTCAATCCCGTACAGCGCCTCCAAGAATGCCTTCGGTATCCTCTGTGATACAAGCCCGCACGGTCCCGTGTACTCCCTCATCTGGTCGATGGGCAACACGCCGTTGCAGACGAGATCCGCTTTAGTCGTCGCAAAGTTGGGGAAAACTAAACCGGGGCAATCGCACAGAACCATCTTCTCGCTGAGGTGGATCGTCTGGAAATGCTTCGTCTTTCCCGGCGTCGATGAGACCGAGACTTTGGTCGCTCCGATAAGTGCGTTAATGGTCGACGACTTGCCGACGTTGGGGTAGCCGACGAGGCCAATCTGAAGCTTCCTCTCAGGATCATCCGAACCTGCGTTTCCAAAGTCCGTTAATACGGGTGTCAAAAACAGCATCCAATCGAATGATCAACTTACCGGTGATATCGGGGGCCTGCGTAATAAAAAGCTGCTCTAGCTCTTGCACCGTCAATATCCTCACGTCCTCTTCTTCGTCGGATGTGGTTGTGCCATCCCGGGCTTCATCATCCCCACTCTGCCCACTTTCATCCTCCTCACTCTCCTCACCCTCAATCACTATCCTCTCCGTTTGCTTGCCCTTTCCTGACGCCGAGGGGCCATCTTCCTCCTCGTCCTCTTCTTCCTCCTCGCTATCGTAGTCGTCCGAGAGCTCCGCCTCATTGGCTTCCTTAGCTAGGTGCGCCGAAAAGAACTTGTATTTGATGCCTGCTTCCTTGAGATATTCGGCCCACGCCTTTCGTTGGGAAAGGGTGAGCATATCAGCCTTGTTGATGAGCAGCAGGTTCTCCTTCCTCGGGTCGATATCCTTGACGTAGTTCTCCAAATCATCTGATCGGAACAGTAGAGGACTACGCGCATCCACAATTTGGACAATAAGGTCTGACCTCTCAATCACGCGCCACAGCTGCCTCCAGACCTCGAGATTCCTCTCAAACGGCGTCATCAAAAGATCGTTGTTCTCCTCAAGTTCTGCCAACCCTCTGCGCCATGAGAGGAAACTAGCCCGTTCCAAGGCCGCCAGCTCATCCGGTGTCGTCGAGGCGTCCCACTGTGGACGTCGGGGCACTGTCAGCTTTCCCCTATGCTGCTTGTGCTTGCCTAGCAACTGTGACTCTTCGGCAGATGTCAAGAGATACGGGTTCTTCTGGTCGGTATGGATGATCTTGACACTAGTAATCTTCTCGGCGGTAAAGTCGGTCCCAGCGAGCTCGGCAGTGGCAAGGAATTCGTCGAGGGCGCCCTGTTGCGTTACGGATCTCATCTTGACCCAGTCCGCTTGCTTCTTGTCGTTTGTGAGGTACTAGAGAGAATCGCTGTTAGTTTGAAAACACGAATGGATAGGGATGACTCCCTAAAAGGGCTTGGAGGACCTGGCGAAGCGGATATATATACATATATATGAGTATATAGGCACTTGGGTTTGAGTACATACCTGTTCTCCTGATGCGTGGTCAACTCGCGCAACCGCCGATCCTCGCTTTCGATCATTTCCTTTGCCTCCCGTGAGGCGATCCCTCATCAACTGGCTTCCCAAGCCGACAGACTTCTTGGACTTTGGAAGAACCATGATGAACACGGAACCCGAGGGCGGGAAAAAGAAAAACAGAAAAAAAGATGGCAAAGGCCTTGGGTATCCTGTTTCCGGAGGGTGATAGTCCCCTTTATCTTGGGATTCTGAAGGCCCTCGTCTCTCGGCTTCAACGGAAGATCTTTGTTTTTCAACAAAGAAGAAGTAAGTATAACAGGGAGAGGAAGAAAAGTCCCGAACAAAGTGAGTCCAAATGATGCTGATTAATGGGGCATCGCGGGGCAAATTCTGCGAACAAGCGATACTCGAGTTTATTCGCACTGGGAAAATACTCTAATCTAATGGGTATAAGACAGTGCGGGTTGAATAAATGCCCCGCATTCCGATAAGATAAGGCAACCCTCCCACTTTTCAGGTTTTTTTTTTCGTCCCCTAGTCCCCGTTAGGTGCCTACTCAGACTGACCCTCCTGCCGCGTCCTTTGCCTGCGAAAAGGGACAATTCACCACTCAGCCCACTCCTGCGACTGTCTGCCTCGTCGACTCCTCACCTCCCGCTGGCCGGAAAATCCATAAAGCACTCGACTTTAAGTCCCGTAGCCACCATTCTAGTCTCACAGGCCTTGGCCGACTTACTGCCAAGATGCCCAAGGGAAAATGGATGTAAGTGTCGCCTTCCCCTCCCTACCTTTTGCGCCAACTCCACGATTTCGCGCGAATAAAAACTTATGGATGTTCCGACGACAGAAACAAAAAGACCGCGACGCACTTTACGCTCGTTCACCGACCTCAAAATGATCCTCTTATCCACGATGACTCCGCGCCGCAAATGGTGCTTAATCCCACCGGAACGGGAGACAAGAGGAGCAAGGCCCTAGACGACTTGGCGTCCGAGCTCGGTTCCGAGGTGGAGAGTATTAGGGACAACGAGGGTGAAGCCGCCAATCACGGAATTTATTTTGACGACAGCGAGTATGATTACATGCAGCACATGCGCGACCTCAACACTGGCGGCGCTGGCGAAGTTGTCTTCGTGGAGGCCAACTCGACCGCGAATAAAGGCAAGGGGAAGGGGAAGATGTCCCTCGAGGACGCTCTGCGGCAGATGGATCTAGAACACAAGGCGGACGATCTCTTGGACCAGGATGTGCTACCGTCCAAGAACCTTCAGCACGTCTCCTACCAGACGCAACAAAACATTCCCGATGCCATTGCGGGATTCCAGCCCGACATGGACCCTCGGTTACGTGAGGTCCTTGAGGCTCTGGAGGACGAGGAATATGTGGATAACGAGGATGACGACGTGTTCCAGGCACTTGCGAAGGACGGCGAGGAAATTGACGAATACGACTTTGAGGAGGGTGAGTTTGACGACGATGACGGCTGGGAATCAGATCACACGGCAAAGCCCGCAAGGGAATACAAGGATGGAGATGAGGCGGCGGAAGAGGCGGACGAGGTTCCCGAGCTGGCCAACGCGCGAGGCGCCGACTGGCTGGACGATTTCAAGAAATTCAAGCAAGACCAAAAGACTGGCCAGCGTACTGGACCCAATGGCTCGGTGCTCGACTCGACCTGGACCACCACTACAAACGGAGGACGCCGCAAGAAGAGGAGGGGTGCCCTGACCAACCCTTCTTCCTACTCCATGACTTCGTCTTCGCTGGTCCGCACCGAGGGGCTTACACTCCTGGACGCTCGGTTCGACAAGTTAGAAGAGCGCTACCAAAACGACATTGACGATGACGTGGGGTCAGTTTCTGCTATCTCTACGGCATCCAGTGTCACCGGCCCCATGAGGAGCGACTTTGATAGCGTCATGGACGAGTTTTTAACGGGGTACTCCAAGGGCAGGAGACCGTCTAAGAAGATCAAGGGTGGCCAGACTGGCTTGGACCAACTCGACGAGATTAGGAAGAACCTGGGGCCGCCAAGGCTGTCGGCTCGCAGGTGAGAGAAGAGAGGAGGGGAAGTGGAGAAGGGGAGGGGAGAATAGGAGCGCCACGATACGTATGGATGAATGATTAGACTTGATTCCTCTATCTCTCTGCCCCTAAAAAGTATGTAGATTGAACTTGTTGGTCTTTTATAATGGAATAAACTGATACCCATTTCAAGAGAGTTGTTGTATGTGTTTCGCCCCATGTCACTATTAATCAGTGTCGTGCCGGATCTTCGCCAGTTCGAGCCCCACATACCGGATATGGTCTAAGCGCCTAAGGTATTCATCAAAGGATCAACTCCGAGTCATGTTTTAGACGGCCGGGATGGGACAGGCTGGAGACGATGTCAATCACGTGACCGGAATTGTTTCGCAGGCCGCTCGGAAGATCTGTTTTCCCAGGACCCCTCTGCGAGCTCCGGCAGGTGGTAGCTGTGCTGTCTTGGCCTTGTTTCCAGTCCCCTTTGGCGGCAGCCTTACCCAAAACGGCCCTTTCAACGGACGCTGAGTGTGCTTAGCTCTTTTTCGCATGCATGCGAGGATCACGACCTCTGAATTCACAACATTAACCCAACCTTGCCTTGCAAGGATTTTTACGTCAACTCCCACCACCCCATCACCGCCACATCGCGATTTCATCCCGCGATCAATTCTAATCCGCTTCCTCATCACCTTTTGTGATTATTCAATCACTAAGCGGTTTTTCTTCTCCCTTTCTTTTTTCCTCCATCTCGAGAGAGCCAAGCGCGTCGACAAAATCAACAAATGATAGTCGGCGGAGAAGGCGATGGCTACCTTTGGCGGTAGCGGCTGGCCAGCCGCCACCCAGACGCAAACCGCTTCTCCCTTTGGCGGCGGTGCGTTCGCCTCGGCGTCGAAGCCATCACCATTTGCGTCGAATCCGTTTGGCGCCCAGCCCACGGCCCAGGGAAATGGAAACGACGGACCCCGAAATCCCTTTTCCACGACATCGGGAGCGGCTCCTGCCCCCAACCCAATCCCTTTGGGTCCGTATCCACGGCGGCGACGACGACGACGACGACGGCTCCTCCGGTGAAGAACCCCTTTCAGCAAGCATCGTCGCAAACGACGGCCCCGTCCATATTTGGGGCCAAGGCTACGACAGGCTTCGGCGCGTTATCGCAACCTCAAGCAAATCGTTCACCCTCGCCATTTAGCGTGCCATCGAACCAAGGTAACCAGGAGATCAAAGACGGTATGGCTTCATTAGTTTTCATCTGACGTTTTTAGGTCGATCGACAAATCCTACGCTCAACGCACAAGCGAACGCTTTCGCGCCCTCCACGACGAATTTGAACAATGGCAACAAGCCCGCATTTGGCACGCAATTCGGTGCGCGAAAAACGTTTGGAGCGCCATCTGATGCCGAGCAGTCTGATGATTCGAAACGATCGAAGCGGAAAAACCCCGAAGTAGGCGGTGGCCACGAGACAAAGAAAAATGGTGTCAAAGATGGGGCGAGGGCAAGCTCCTTTGGTGCACAGGATGCGCAGAAAAATGGGCGACTTCTTAAAGGTGCCCTGTCGAATGGGCCCAGCAACCACGGAAAAAGGTTCACTTCGACCAGCAGCCCGCGAAGGACCTATCGCGGACCACCAAGCGTCCGGGTGCCCAAGGAGCGTTCAACCAACCAAATCAGGCGAACACGAAGCCCAAGTCCAACAACAACCGATTAGCCCCCGGTCCGATCACGACCAACGATCCTTATGCAAAACAGATTCTCTTACAGTTGGCCAAGGATGGTATTCGTGCTCCCACGTGGCCGGCGGACCCCGGCAAGCCCAGCAGCAAGAACGTGATGATGCAGTTTAGGGAAGACTATAAAGAGTACCGGGAAAAGGCTCGAGCATCCCTTATACGTGCAGGATTGATTGACAACCCAGACGACCGAAAGCGACTCGAAGACGCGATCGATTTCAAGGGTATCTGTGAAGATATGTGCCCCGAGTTTGAGAAGGTGACCCGAATCACCGAGTTCGATATAAAACATGCGGAGAAGGACCCGTCGACTTCTTGGGCCGACACAACCAAGATGGTCAAGAAGCTAGCGAGATCAGCCGCTGGACAGGAGGCGCCGCTACCGATGGACGTACGGTCCGTCGCAGCCCTCCGCCGCACCCTGGACTACCTAATCGACGACCTATTGGAAAGCGACGACAATCTGCCTGTAGTGCACGGGTTTCTTTGGGACCGAACGCGAGCGATCCGCAGAGATTTTGCCTTTTTCTCATCCCTAAATCCCGAAGAAATGCGCGACCAGGTTTACTGCCTCGAGACCATTGCTCGTTTCCATGTCACTTCTCTGCATCTCTTAGCGCAGCCAGATTTCGCCTACGAGGACTATTCGGAACAACAAGAAGTTGAGCAGCTCGGCAAAACGCTGATTTCTCTCATGTACGCCTATAACGACTGCAGCGCCCAAGGGATTACGTGCCCGAACGAGGCCGAGTTTCGAGCTTACCAGCTTGTATTCCGCGCCTTTCACCCCGACGTTTTGGAGAACGTCCAGCGGGAATGGGACCCTCGGTTCTGGCGGGAGTCGGATGAGATACGAACCGCTGTTTCCCTTGTCGAGGCCCTACAAAATACCCAGGATTTCCATGGGCCTCTCAAAGGCGCCCCGTCTTTTGCTGCCGCGAGCGCGTACAACTCGTACTTGCGCATCGTGGCGGATTCCAGCGTCTCTTTCACCATGGCATGCTTTGCTGAGATCCACTTTGGACAGCTTCGCCGTTCTATGCTATCCGCCATCAAGAAGGCCTTCTCCCGCCCTAAGCAGACGCCCAAGGATATCACGGCGGCCGTCCTCAACTCGTACCTCCAGTTCGACACCGTCGACGAGGCGGTGGAGTTTGCAGAAATCCATGGACTCGAGTTCGCTCCAGACGACAACGACCCCGATGACATGGAAAAGGGCTACCTCATTCTCGAGTATGGGCATGGTCTCGAATACCCCCGCTTACACCACTCCTTCTCGGAGAACCTAGTCGAGAGCAAAAGAAGCTCCCACACTCTTCCCGACATCATCCATCAAACTGTATATCAAGACCAACCCGCAGCTTCCCAGCAGCTCTCTACCGATGAAGACTCGCTTTTTGTGACCTCGACCTTCTCGGAGCCGTCCAAAGCACAGTCCCCTATGCACGTCGTGCCGTTGCACCCACTTCTTCTGCATCTCCTTTCGCCCAGAACCCTCCTCCGAACACGCCTTTCTCCTCAGTAACGACCACGAAACCCTCGTCAAGTCCCTTTACGCAACCCTCTCCCTCGTCCAACGGGGCACCCGGTGGTTTCCAGCAGGGTTTCCCCAAGTCAGGTATGGATAGGTTATGCACTGCACCAAGTAACTTCCAGGTGAAAAGAAAACTAATACCGTCTACTCCCAGCAGCTTCTCCTTTTGGCGCAGGCACCCAGCCAACTTCTTTCCCAACCCCCGGCACACAGCAGAGCACCACTCCGGGTTTAGGGTTAGCCTCATCACGACCTTCCCTAACATCAACGCAACAGGCCCCATCGACGGCGCCTTCACCCTCCTTTTCCTTCAAACCTACGACTGGGTCAGGTGCGATACAACCTCCTACAGCACCAACGCCACCCGCACCATCCTCGGCCGCCGCCGGGGCAGCACCTGCGGCTCCTCCTAGCGAAGACAAGCCCGCCTCGAATCCCTTTGGCTTCCTCAGCCCGTCAACCACCAAGCCTACAGACACATCGACTGCGCCCTCTATCAAAGTCACACCCCCAACACCTGCATTCCCTCCGCCTCAGCCATCGGCGGCTCCTACCCCTAACACTGTTGCCGAGGCTCAAGTTGCTACCAAGCCGTCACCCGCCCCCTTGCGAGCGCAGTTACCAGTCAACCGGCCGCGGCGATACCAGCTTTCGTGGCAAATACGTCGACCCCCGTGCCCTCGCTTACATCAGTGCCCGCACCCGCAGCCCAGCCCAGTTTATTCGCGCCCGCAGCTGCTGCGCCTACGAGGGTGCCACCGGCTCCCACCAAAGAAGAGAGGTGGGACGCGTTCGCTCGGTGGTTTGTGACGGGTGACACCGGTTTGATGGATCAGTTTGAGATGTTTATTGTAGAAGAGGCAGTACGGAAGGCGCAGGAGCAGTATCTTTACGAGGAGGCCGAGCGCGTGCGGAGAGAAGAGGACGAAAGGTCGTGGGCCGAGGCGCGCAAGTTTCGCACCTACAGTCTCGGAGTCAAGTTCTTTTATCGATGGAGGGAGATTGCACGACAAAATCGAGCTAGCGCCCTGCGCCGAAGCGCCCGGGATCAACTAAAAGCGTACCATGACGAAAAACGACTAGAGGCAGCTAAGAAGAAGAAGGAGGCGGAACGAGAACAGCGGAGGCTGGCCTTGGAGGCGGGGGTAGACAACCTCGAGGATCTCAAGGTACTGATCCGAAAGCGGTCGGTCACCACGAGGGAAACGGAGGATGCGATTCTGGCAACCGGAGTTCTTTCAGGAGTGCGGAACGAGCGCGGCGCGGCGGCGCAGATTGTCGGCCGCAGGAGCTCGCTCCCGACGCCACCGCCTGTTCAGAAATCGAGCATGCCTAAATTTATGCACAGGATTAAGGCCAGCATCAACGAATCGTTTAGTAGACCAGTCGACAAGACGTGGCCGGAAAGTAGCGCGAGTAGCGTGACGTCCAGCGGCGCAGGTGGTGCCAAGACCAAGGCACTAAGGGAGGAGTTTAGCGGCAGCGTGCTAAAGAAGACGATTGCGCGCTCGCGGTCGAGATACTCTCTGCCACCCTCGGACAGCGAGAGCCAGTCATCGGTCTCGCGTGTTTCCGCCAGGTGGCGACTCAAGGCCATGGGCCTCGTCACCATGCCCAATGGCTCAGTGCTCCCAGAGTACCTCGCCGACCAGATCAAGTACGAGGGTAAGCGATTCCCCGAGCTGGGCAGCCTCGGAATGCCACCTCCGGACCTACCGGCGGCGCACCCGGCCGACGAGGACGAGATTGAACAGATCCGCCCCGCGACCATGGACGGCACGGGATCTCGAGCGACATTTCCTTCATTCGTCCCTTCGCACAGGCCCCACGCTAGCGTGTCCGCCATCTCTACCGATCCGAGCGGGGCCCTTTTGCGTGCGGCGCCAACACTGGTGGCGAAGCGCAAGAGAAGCTCGCCCGACGCGGGCCCGGACGGCAATGCCGAGGAGGACGCCGACCAGCCGGACAAGAGCAAGCGCATCCTTTTGGACACGGAGAAGACGATTCGCGAAATGAGACGACTTCGGGAGGAGATGGAGGAAGGTACGGACTGGTTTAAGGAACAGAATGATAGGCTGCAGAGCCAGATGTCGAGTCGGGCGGGAACGCCCTGGGGTTGAAGTGGGGACGAGAACGGAACAGTATGGTTCAAAGACGGGATGGGTTAGCGGGGAGGCGGAAAGAAAAAAGGAAACAGGATATTTGTCGGGGCTGTTTTCTCCCTTCTTCCTTTTCTGTTGCCCATTTCTCAACAGGCCACGGGCTTTTCGGGGGTGTCTCTTTTTATCTGGTTTTGCGGTCACGGCATGCGAACTGGCGGGCACACATCGCGTTTCTTCCACTTGTTTATCTGTTTTCCCCCTTTGTCTGGGGGCTTTTCTTGTCTTTTTTTTTTTCATTGATCTCCTTTGTGTAATACCCATAGATTATGGAGTACTTGGGCTACAAATCCCCTTATCCCATCAATATTGAGGATTTTATTTCTGGGCGCCCCGGGCCAGTGGGCGAGTCTCTAATAGGACTTGCCCGCCCGGTCTCTGCCCTGGCACCGACACTACTATTAGTCTCTTCTTTTCCTATTTGCGTGATCCTCATGTCTGTTGTCTTTGTGATGTAGCACATTGCGCTCTGTTGGACGCGATGGTTTTGATTTTGAAATTTTGAAATATTCATAAAAGTTATGACTATAAGACTTTGTCGAAGAGGGTATATACACTTGATTGTGTGTAAGCTGTGAGGAGGAAAACTACAACATCCAGTCTCCGACGCCCAAGGCAACCCCTGTCCTTCCTTGGAACAATCTTCCCAAACGCCACTTTGTAATAATGCCATTAGGTGTCTGGCATCTTGAAAAGGCCGCAGCACGCTCTCTTGATAGATCAGTAGATAGATCCCAAACCTCCGTAACACGCTGTTCCTATTCCTGCGTCCTAAGTGGTCTAGCGAAACTGCAGACCATTGACGAATAGTGGGAAACTAAACGAAGTGCTGGAAGAAATTGGTATATCGATTGGAAAGGGACGAGGAAACAAAGGAGCACAATAAAAGGAGTGTGGGCAAAAGTTGATTAAAATGAAAGAATAGAAGAGGAAGAATAGAAGAAAGTAGAAGAAAGAGCTCAAAATGTGAGTGCTCAGGAGCAAAAGCAAAGGGTAACAGTCATCAATCTTTGTTTCATAAGGCGTTAAAGAGAAAAAAGTGGAAGGAAGGCAAAAGCCCGTCGGGATCGAGAACTCCGTTCAGATACCGAACGAGATGCCTTCATCTCCCTGGGGGAGGTGGGAAAGTCATCTGCAACATGCGACTCTCCACGGGCTCTCCCATCAGCCGCGCCTGACTCCTCCCGTGGCGTCTCCCGCCAGTCTTGATATCACCCTGCCTACCGGGGTCCATGGGGCTCCAATCTGGCGAGACCGAGGCGGAGGCTGCAGGGGCCGTGGGAGTTGCGGGGGCCGCAGAGGCCATAGTAGGAGTGGCATTGCTCCTCTCATCATCGCGGTATCGATCTCTATGCTACCTCCACCGCGGCTATCTCTCCCCACGCGTTGTTCTTGCAGCCAACGGACCACAGGGCCCAGAGCTTCGCTGGGGCTGCTCGAGACGGAGACGGCACGGGGCGCCGCGATGGGGGAGGAAGATGGGGAGGAGGTGAAGGAGGTTGGCGCAAACGGCGGCCTAGGCCCGGCGCCGAGAAGAGGCGCGTGTGAGCCCACGGACGTAGGTGTGGCAGCGGAGCGCGCCGAGGGCGAATGCCGATAGGAAGGGGAGGAGTGCGCAGAGCGTGGGAGGCGCGGAGGGCTTGAGGTTGGGGTTGTGATGAGGTTGAGGGAGCCCATACGAGATTTGGGGGATTGCGTATAGGGTGGGCGCGTGAGAGGCATGGGGCCCGCAAGAGAGCGAGCCTGAGATGATCTCGCGGTCGGGGAGCCGGGAGAGGTTGCTGGGGAGGGGAGAAGGGTATTGTGCGCTCAAGGAACCCTGAGTAGGGGGTGGGACGGCTAGAACGGGGTTGGAGCCGAGAGCGTCGCCGGGGTGGACAAATACGAATCCCTTTTCTTCCTCCAGATGGCGCTTTTCCTCTTCCTCAAAGTTCCTCAGTTCCTCCTTTTCATCAATATCTGCCATGGTGGGACTCCGGATCGCCATGCTTCCACCCTCCTGGTCCTCCAGCCCAACGCCTCGGAAATCAAACCGTGATGCCAGGGGGTAACGCGCGTTCTACACCTAAAGTCTAGCGAGGACGCCGTGTTTCGCCCACCAACCCCACTTCCAAACTTGGTCCTCCCTGACCAACTTCGGTTGTTAAAAGTCATCACGCCCTTTCCGTCGTGGTGCCTGAAGCGCCGACGCCAGAGGAGGAAGCCGCACCCCACGAATAGAAGGACTCCCACAACGACCGATACGGCGATGGCAGCGATAGTGGTAGGTGGCAAGCCCGAGTCAGGCGTCGCCGGCTCCAGCTCGGGGATTTCTCCGATCCCGAGCGGGCCAAGGGCATGCTGGCAAAAACAGTGCCGTTGAGGAAGAGCTTCTCGCCTAGCTCGGGTTTCTGATCACAGCCTGCTTCGAGCGCGACGAGGACTGCAGTTTGATTAGCACGTGCTTTGGAGGTTATAAGGTGGCTAGTTCTTGGGTGTCCATACAGTTCCTCATATATCCATGATTGCCTCCTGTTTTCACACAGGAGAGGCATAACTCGAACTCGTCAGAAGGGATGATGGCCTTTTCCCCCGACTCGCAGTAAGAATACCCAGACTGAGCTTCCTCAAGAATCGAGCCCTCGAGTGCGCCACACGCCGTCGTTGTTTGGCACGGGTTTGATCCGACACCCGTAGCGTTGTGTAAACCTAGGACGCAGTAACCTACGTAATACCTCATATGATCTACCGTCTTGTGTTAGTGTGGGAGCTTTGGGAAAGCTACATATAGCAGGCTCAAGTTCTGGGGTTGTCCGACTTACACAAGAACCACAGTTGGTCACTCTCTTCACCGTTGACAAAATCGCTATTCAGCAAGCACTCGCCGCAACTCTCAAACGCCTTTCCTGCCGCATCAGTGCCGAACTCGCCATCTTCACACACAAGGCGCACCTCCGCCGCCTGGGATGAGTTTGAAGCAGGTGCCTCCGGCCCTTGAGAACATAGTGCCGTACATGGGGAACCTTCCGTTACGCGGTAGGCGGTAACGATTCCCGATAGGAACACCAAAAGAAAACAATAAGAGACAAAGGAAAAAGCTGCACGAGGCATAGATGCTGCCATGGATACAGTTAGGAAGAGGATTCTAGCCGTTGGTGCCGGCTCCGATATTGCTTGATTCCGGCGTTGGTATACAAAAGATGACACAGGGTAAGAAGGAGGGAGAAAAGTTGACTGATTAAGGTGAAGCCAAATCTGACAAGACGGGCGGTGGGGTCTGGTTTCGCCGTGCGGAGAGTGGTGCTGTGTGAGTTGCGCGTATATGAAATCTTGTGTGTTGGAGATCCAGTCTCGTCAAGTAACGGTTGAAAGCCAGTGTATAAGTGTATATCTGTCCCAAGAAAAGAAAAGAAAAGAAAAACAAGAACACTAGAAGAACGAAAGGAATACGAGGATTATACACGTGTGGAAGAATGCCTCTTTTTGGTTTCCCTTCTTCTCTTGTCCCGTCGAGGGTTTCTTTTTCTCTGGCCAGGCAAGTCTACTCGAGAACAAGGTGGAGTGTGTCAAGTGGTGTGAAGGGCAGAAAGATTATATCGTCGGTCCCAGACCTTGCGTGTAGACAGGGAAAACGTAACGTAACCGGCTCAACCGAACGCTTAAAAGATTGTGTGAAAGGTGAGTTTCATTAGGTGAGAACGGGAAAGGGCCGAGGAGAGCAAGAGGAAGGAGGAGGAAGAAGGAAGACTCTAAGAACCGTGACGAGACATCAGGGATGGTGATGATCTAAAACTTTTTTGGCGGGATCTGCTTTTGAGTATTAGTGAAGAGGGGAGAGGGAGAGTAAACAAGCTGAAGGAGAAGAGAGTCGGAAAAGGGGACGAGAAAAAAGATCGTCAGGGTCTCGTATGTGATGGGGGAGGAGGAGGGGATAGGTTCTTGTATAGAACCGCGCGGCAGGGCTAGACCCAAACCCGAGTTCGCAGATGAGAATTACATGGGGAGAGCAAGGATGGGTTGGCATGAGCGACATGGGATGGGATGGGATGGGGTGAGATGAGATGGGATAGGATGGGAGAGAGCACAGACTCGCCATCGCCTACCGGCGGGTCGATTGCCGAGCTCTTCTGCGGTACTGCGGTACTGCGGTACGAACGAGAACAGGATGCATCGCAGAATATGGAGAGAGAAGGAGAGAGAGTGTACACAATCGTCAGGGCAGCACAAGTCACACGCCTCGCACCATGCGCCAACGGGTACGGGCAAAGGGACGGGAAGAAAGTGACACCTTGGAAGCAGCCAGAACCCTTTTGAGGGAGGAATGCCATAGAAAAGGCCGATAAAAAAGAGATAGGGAGAGAGGGAGAAAGGCAGCGAGCATAGCATAAACCGTGTCACGGCTGCATGATGGGAGAGTTGCCAGTGTCGAGCTGCCCGATCGCCACCCCAGTCCGAACCTAACACAACCTTGGACCCCAGCCAGCATGTGCCACGGAGCCGCCCCGGCGCAGGCCTAGCCTATCACAATAATTTCCCCATGCAGTGCTGCCTCTCCCTTCGCGAATCAGGTGCCGAGCGCAAAGATGAAAAAATCCCTTGGGTTCCAGGTGCGATTTCTTCCATTTTGGAGAGCTGCTGCCCACACAAGATGGAGGGGCGGCGCCATTGACGTGGACATGTATGTAGACTCGTGAAGTCGGGAGTCTCTCGTGAAGAAAATGACCCACGAAGATTGGGCATTCACCTCGCATCGTTTTCTAGCTCGTCTTTCATTTTGTTTCAGCGAGCTCTCCCTTTAGTCTGCCGAGGTACCCATGGGTCCCTTTTTCGTTTCTTTTTCTTCTTGCCCTCCCTTACAATCTTCTCTTTCTCTGCCTAGGTGGCAGTCTCGAACAGCTGGTCCGAGCAGCATATGCTCAGCGAATCCAACTGGCCGTGAGGGCCTTTCGAAACACCTTTGTCATTTACTCTCTTATGCCGTCGGCTTATTCTACTTGTAGACTGCGAGCTAAGGGCGCGGGAAGGGAGCCAGGATGGATCGTCTACGCTGCACCTTTAAGAGCTTGCGTCTGCATCCGTGGTACCTGAAAGCCTCGTTAATAACCTTGATTTTTGGGGCGAGACAGAAATGGCGAGAGAGAGAAAGAGAGAGGGGGGACGGGGAAGGAGGGGTTAGTTCGAGATCCTCGGGGAGGGGGTATGGTGTGTGTGTGTGGTGTGTGTGTGTGGTGTGTGGTGTGTGGTGTATAGCTTCGGGCCCTGGCTGCTATCTCGCCCTCCCCGTCCTCCTCTTGCCTTCCTCTCTTGCCGCTGCCCAACAGCGTGTCTCGCCGTTTTCTTCTTGGCTCTTGCCCGCTTTTCTCGTGCTCCGAGGGCAAGAGAAGAGTGGGGAAATCAAAAGGTAGGGACGGCATGGCAAACATGGCAAAAATGGTTGGGAAGTTTCCGAATGCGGTAACCTGTCAGGCAATGCAGCCAATCATGCCGGGCCGTCTTTCGCCACCCGCCCCAAATCTGTCAAAGTTCAGTTGGGAGAGGATTAATTGCTTGTACAAGTCCAGGTCGACCTTGGCCAGCCTGGCTGGCCCCAATTACACCCATGTTTCCCCCAATATCCTCCGCATCGTTTCGTTTCAGGAACACGGGGTTGGAAGAGGGTAGAATGGGAGAGGATGGAGGGGTCGAAATGCATGAACTCGAAAAAAGAGGGGCTGCAATTGCTGCCTTCTTTCGAGAACAGTACGGCAAACAGCGGAAAGCAATGAGAAGATGATTTGTTACTCAGAACAAGAAAAGAAAAAGGGAAAGAGATCCCCCGAAAGACCTGCGAAAGGGAAGAAAGAGCAACGGAGCAAGTCGAGCAAAGGATTGAGGGGCGGTGGGTGATGGGGCAACTGCGATCAATGATTACCATTTCCCGGGCCGCGTTGGAGAGATGGAGGGCATATGTCACCGAGCTTGATAATATTCGTCTACCGGCTTTAGGCTCACCGGCCACACCTCGCTACTCGGCCACGGCTGCAATTCTACTTCTTTCCCATTCCTCCTTGAGCGATTGATCTTGTGCCTTTCTCCTTTGGCTCACCCAAGTAGTACAAACCCTACGTCCAGGAACTTTGTATCCTCGGGGGTTTTTTCTCCTCAGGGCAAGGCAGTAGAAGCGGAGAAGGCGAACAGAAGATCCTTGCTCACAGCAGGTACAAATGAATGCCGTTATAGATAGATTGCTTCCTCGAGGGGCAAGGCGACAATGGAGAGGAAGAAATAAAAGAAGAGAAAAAGATTCCTATGTTGTTATAAAAAGAAAAAAGAGAAAAAAAGAAAAGAAGGAAAAGAGGGCCTTCACCGCTGTGGACCCCTGGCGGGCGCCATCGCCAGCTCGATCATCGGGTGGTCAAAGGCACGCAGAGAACCCACGATCGCTACCAGTCCAGCTTCGGAAGGCGTAGGCGACCTTGAAGAAAGGTATCCACTTTTGTGTCAAGTTCACCCAGCTCCGGTTGCTCTTGAATTCAACGACGCACGATTCAAAAGATTCCACTTGCTTCTCAATACGTCTGCAGTGCCCTCTCCTCGCCAATGATCAAAAGGAACGCTGCTTTCACGTTTTGTGGTGGTCAAATTTCCCCAGGCGCCGCCTACAGTCAGCTGCTCACTCTGCCGGCGGCTGCTCACTACAACGCTACCCCCAAATTTGAGGCCTCGCTCTCTGATCAGTTCTCGACGTGCATTGATGGTCAGGGGAAGATGATCCTAGGCGCCCACCTCTACCCATCACTATCACAGTCGATCAAAACAAAGCCAGCGTCTCGCCCGCCGTATCTTCATCTCGTCTGTGGGGAATAAGAGAAGAATGGAGAGGGGGAGGAGAGACGAACGAGCCTGAACAAAATAAAATTACTAGGAGAAAAAAATCATGCCTCCAAGCAGGAGGTCCAGAAAATGAGAATTTTTCTTCAAATCATTGATAGACAAAGCTCGACTTTCGGATCCGGCGGTGATCGCCTTAGATCGCCCACGTCCCGAGAGAACGAACCGTCTCCCTGCTAGACTATTATCCACGCGCTAGCCTCGGCCAGCCTAGCGGGCTAATTGGCCGAGCTCAATCAAAGCCGTCGTTGCGCTGCCGTGTTAATGCCGTTCCCAAAGGGTTATAGGCACTTGCGGCGAGCAGCACAAACCTCCTCGCCTATCATGTCCCACGGGGCCGCGGAAAAGGGAAGAAGCAGGCTGAACAGCTTGGAAGCGATGCTCTCGCAGACTGCAGGCTGCAAGAGTGCGCAGTCCGAGGTGAATGATACCTCTTCCCGCCAGAAGGCGAAAAAAAGAAAAGTTACCAATCGCCTTTCTCTGACGTAACTTAGCCTCGTGGTGATAGATTGTCCCACATTCGCTTCTGCTATGCCCTGCGCCTCCTAGACCCGAGAGAGCTTGGAGGTGCAGAAGCCCTCCCCGCGATGGGGGAACCGTATCCCCCGGCGAGCTGTGACTACCTTTCACGTCTTGTCGTAAGCACCGGTTGAGATGATCGCTTCAGCCGGATCTTCCTCTGCGAAAGAGAGGAACATGCGGGGAGATGCGGTGGCTTGATGCCATGTCCGGGGCTTCTCTTGGGTTAGGTGGGTTTTAATGTGACCTCGTATCTACCGCACCAGTTCTTGTAAGCCCTCATCATGATCGTAGCTGCTTCTAGTTGAGACGTAACATGGCGTCGGTCCTCCCAGCCTTGTACACCCCTCAGTCGTATGAGAATTGTCCGTCCGGGATTGAGAACAGGACCTCAGGTAGCCCACCGGAAGATCAAGAAGGAGAAGTGGAAGCCTCGACTGAGCAGCAGGCATGATCGTCTATCTATATAGCATCCGCCGCTTTCCTCTCAAAATTTTGCAAAGGACGGCGTGCAAGAGTGGGTTGAGCGTCTCACCTGCGCGACTGCGTGCTCAAGTGCTCAAGAGTTGAAACTTCAGAATAAACTTTTGCTTGTTTTCAGATGCCTATACAGGAACCTAAACGACATTAAATGGGAGGCGACAAAAGTGCAAAATAAAAACCAAACAAATAGAGAAGAACGTTTTGAGACAAAACCAGACGCCCCTGACACCGACTGTGACAAGCAAAGGAAATATGTAGAGAAAAAAACAAACAAACACGAGACCCAATGTATGGTTACAGCATATAACCACCCCCTCAAATGCCATACTCTTGCTATCCTCCCGTCTCTCCATCCCAGCTTTCATTCTCTCTTCTCTTCCTTTCTCTCTCTCCTCCGTCCACTCCAGAAAACTAGACTACGGCCGATTCGGTCATCGTCTTAGTCGCTGTCCGAGTCGTCCTTCTTGCCCTTGGCAGCCTTCTTGGCCTCCTTGACGGCCTTCTTCTCCGCCTTCCTTCGCTTCCTCTCCGCCTTCTCGTCGGGGGTCTCGGCCTCCTTCTTCCTCTTCTTGGAGTCGGCATCGTCCGCAACGGGGTCTCAACAGCCTTTGGCGCGGCCTCGATGGCCTTGGCGGGAGTGGAAGGGGCGCCGGCGGCGACGGCGGCAGCGGCTTCCTCGCCGGCAGCGCTGTAGTCCTTGTAGTCCGACTTCCACTTGGCGGGGTGCTCTCGGTTATCCGGCCGTACTTGTCAAGCTTGCCATCCGCCTTGAGCTTCTTCTTCTCCATCGCGGTAGGGCCGAGGCCCCAGCGGCGGGGTAGAGGTCACGCTCCATGATGTTACGCTTGACCTTGGCGACAACACCGTGGTCGCAGGTGGACATCTCGAGGGTCGACATCTGGGCGATACCCAAGCAGATGGCCTCACCCTTGGTAGTCATGAGAACAATCTCCTCGTGGTGCTCGATACCATCTTCGTATCGCAAAACTACGAAATTATGTTGTTAGCAAGACTGTATCTGGTCACCAAGGCAGACGCTAGCGTATAGGCTAGAACGAATGGGACGACTTACGTCCGGGAAGCATGAGCTTGGCACCGTAGCAGACAGCGTTGACAGCGCTGTCCTTGACCACTAGCCTCTTGTAGGTGCAGAGGAGAGACTCAAGGGGCATGATGACCTTGCGAAGGTAGGTCTCATCCCGGGTGTTGTCGTACTGCCACTGGGCATCGAGGACATCGTGGAGCGTCACCATGCTCTTGGACTCATCCATGGCACCGGAGCGGACACGACGGAGCTCCTGCATGTGCGCGCCGACACCGAGAAGAAGACCGAGGTGGACACAGAGAGTTCGGATATAAGTACCAGCTAAAATTTCATATCGTTAGTCAATATGCTCTCTCGTACAATCCCGAGGTATGTCGCGGGCATGGGTGAACCGAGTTAGGCGGAGTACAAACCTTCGCAAGAGACGCTGAACACGCCGAGACCACGGTCGTTGTCGAACTCGATGAGGTCGATCTTGTGAATGGTTCGGATACGGAGCTGACGCTTGACGGCAGAGATCAAAGGGGCCTTTGGAAGAGGGCACCAGTCAAGGTCTCGAGGGCGCGCGCGAGCTGGGCCTGGCCGCCGGGAATCCTGTCGTGGAGGCGAATGACGCAGAGATACTCCTTACCAGCACCCTGCTGGGACTTGACGAGGCGAGTGGCGCGGTCAACGCAAACAATCAGACAACCGGTGACCTTGGGGTCCAACTACAAGCAAGCATTGTCAGCACATAATACAGCACACGCGTGGGGTGGCAAGGAGGTTCCAGCCAGGCCCAATGCGACGGGGAAAGAGAAACCAGGCGATAATCATACAGTTCCGAGTGACCAGTCTTGTCGCACCTGAGGATGCGCTTGATCCAGGACACGACCTCGTGGGACGAAGGGTTCGAGGGCTTGTCCAGGTTGATAACACCACTCTGGATATAGGACTTGATGTCGCGCTTGTGAGGAGCGCAACCGTGGGGGATCGGGGTGAAATGCCCGGTTCGCACGAGGACTAACGAGTTAAGAATGTTAGTCTTTGCCTTTTCGCAAGGCCAACGCAGAGTCAAACTGGTCTCCCAGAAGAAAAACGGGGCTCCCAAGGAAGGATTCTCGCGCCGGTTCGGGAGCCCGGCGAGGACTTGTAAATCAATGGCGGGACGTACGGTTGCTGTAGTTCTTCAAAAGAAGAGGCCAGTCGCTAGTATCCACGGCGGGCGTAGAAGCCTGGGGCTTAATGATTTGCTCATCCTCCTCGGCGGAGTTCGCCTTCACAATATCCATCGTCATCTTGGCGGCGGCTGCTTCTTGATTCGTAACTCGGTTGTTTGTTTTCGCTCCTATGATCTGTAAAGAGAAGCGCCCACGGAGTCAGCAAAAAAAGAGATCAAAAATACAGCAGAGCGTCTTGTGGAAGAGGGCACGAAGTCCACAGAACCGAGCCCAGACGCGGACCTTGCGAAATCGAACTGGGGGCAAAACGCAAGGGTAAAATTTTCGCACCTTTGATTCCTTGCTATCCCAAGCCAGAAATTACTTTTCAAAGAGAACCCCTTGCCGAGATCTCGACAATCAATTGGACTTAGTGTCAAGCGAAACCTCCTTTGAGCTTCGTGGCGGGTGTCGTCGAGGGGTCGAGGGTCGATGGTGAGAGCGGAGGGCAAAAAGAAAGGTTAGAAGCTTTCTTTCTTCCAATTCGATTTTTTCTGCCCTTGATTGACCGCTGTTGGATGTTTGTGGTTGGAAGGAATCCAGGGTACAGGAAATTTCTTCCTTAACATGAGTACCGCTAGATTTTGCCTAGTCTCTGTTAGTATTTTGGGTAGGACTACCGCTTGCCATGGTGGGGCAGAATTTGACGGGCGGTGAGGCGTGAAGTTTAGTGGAGCCATCTATGAGCCACATTTGTGGCTGAATAAGTGAGTTCACTCTGCTTTGTATCAGAGGTTTTCACAGCTATTCAGACACCAACCAAAATTCAACCCCTCATCTCAGTGATGAAGATATCACAGCAGCCATAATCCATTATTTTCCTCAATGGGCATGGTTTAAATGGGCCACAGTGAAATACCTGCCCGTCATATCAAAAAAAAAAAAAAAAAGAGAAAGGAAGAAAATGGGGGCAAAAAGGAAAATTGCTACACTCCTCCCGTACTTCATCTCAAGTTCTCAACCCTTCTGTAAACCTCACATTCCGAGCAAACATCGTGACCATTGTTTCATTGGGGAAAGAGTATGTCCAGTTCGAATTAGTTTGATAGTAAGATATATACTACAGGGACTCTGCCCATCTGTCGTCTCGCACCCTACGCCCGAATCGTATGAATCCCCGAGATCAAGAATCCCCTTGTCCCACCTCGCCACGTACTAAAAAGGAGAGTTGCCTTCCCAAGCCCTCAGCGGTATCATTCCAATGCCTTCCAAACTCCGTGCTCAAAAACACATAGGGAATAAAAACAATATGTACATAAGAGAAAAAAAGGGGAGGCTCCAAGCAATCAAACATGCTCGTCGGAACCACAAATAGGGTTTTTTTTTTGGGAGGATGTTGGTTTGGTTTTGTTTCTTCTTCCCTCTCATCCTCTCGCGTAACCTCGCTCACTTAATACCCTCCGTCTCTTCTCGCCTCCTCTCCCGTGTACTGGTACCTCCGGGGCAAGCTCTCGCTCGACCTGCCGTACCCGGGGTGTTGCAGCACCGGCGCCTCAACCCTGCTCCCGTAGTGAGACGTGCTCCCCACCCCATAGACATCCTCTTCGTGGAAACCATCAAGGGAAACCCATCATCGGCTGCACGGCCCTTGCCCTTTGCGGGCGACGGCACCTCGATGCTGCTATCATCCCCGCCCAGCGCGAGACCAATATGCTGGACCGGCCCTTGCTCGTGCGGCGATGAACTCTGGAGGTTCACGAGGGCCCGCCGGGAGGCCAGGGCATGTGCGGCGCGGCATCCCCGCGCTCACGGGACTGCTAAACTGGGACGAGTACGGCGAAATATACCGAGGAAACGCCTTCTCCGTCGTCGCGCTCATGGGCGAGTCGTCCCACCCTCTCAACGGCTTCTGGCTCATGGGCGTATCGTCAAACAGCCCCCTCGCCGCCGAAGCCGCCGCGGCCGCAGAGCTGCTATCGTTTCCCGACGACGACGATCCGCCTAGGTGGCCGGCCCAGCTTTTGTGAGTGTGGGCCCCGCCGGTGGGGAAGACGCGTTGCCGAAACCGCCGAAACCGCCGCCGTTGCGGGACTCGAGCTGGCGGAGGTACGAGCGGCGCTTGCGTTTACCGATGCAGACGATGAGGAAGCCGGCGACGATGAGGAGGAAGGCGAGAGAGCCAAAGGCGACGCCGACCTTGGCGCCGAGGCCAAAGGAGCCCTCCTTGAAGTAATCCGGGGACAGGGTAGGGATGGCGGTGATGTCGGTGCCGTTGACGATGTCGGTGGAGAAGATGTCGCCTTCGATGCCGACGACCTTGCCGGCTAGGGGCTGTTGTTCACAGGCTGCGCCGAGAACGGTGAGGTCTGCGGGTTCGACGGTGTTAGTTACGGTTTATTGTTTTTTTCGATCCCGAGAGATATCATCTCCGCCCACGGGAAAAAGGTTAAGGCTAGGTGCGCAAGGAGACTTACAGTTTCGTAGGAAGTGGTTTCCACCGCCGATGGACAGGCAGGAAAGACACTTTGGAAGCTGAAGAGGCTGCCATGCGGCACAGTAGTCGTACGTCGACACATTGGCTGCCATGTTTTCATGGATCACGGCCTGTTTGAGTGGCTCGCAAGAAGGCCTTTTGATTTTCCGTTAGCTGTCATGCGTCCAAGTGCCGAGAGAAGCAAAAAAGAGAACAAAAAGACTACTCACCCAATAAGGCAGGGGTTAGATTCGGCATGACCGTCGGGATACCCATACAGACAAGAGGCCGCCGCGTAGCGCAAGTTGTAAACCAACCATTGCACGTCCGTCTCTTTGCCAGTCGCGCTCTCCGTCACGTAGGAACTCCTCGACTCGCAGGTCACGCAGCTCTTAAACACTAATCCATCGCCGCTGGAGAAGCCGCCCTCGTCGCAAACAATGTTTTCGACTTCGGTGGAGAACAGGTCGTTGCCGCACTTGCTCGAGCAAGGCGAGCCATTTGCGACGCGGAGGGCGCCGACGAGGGAAGTCTGGAGGGTAAGAGCCGCAAAGGCTGCCGCTTTCGCCGGTCGCATTTTGTCTTTTTTCTTTTTGGCTTTGTTGTTTTCCTCTTTCGGTGCTCGTGCGAGGAATAGAGAGCGCGCGAGGAAGCGGAAGGACGAAACTGAAGCGCAAGTAAAATTCGGGGAGATTGGGGTGCGCGTTCCCGAACTTCTTCAAAGTTCGCGGGCCTACCCGTATTCTTTGTATCTAGTCTGGTCTGTCGGTTCTTTTAAGTTTCTTGTCAAGTTCGGCCGCACAAGTTGGTCTGGTCTGGCCTGGCCTGGCCGAGGTCTAGGTCATGCGGGGGTGTGTGTGGGTGGGAGAGAGAAGAGGGAGTCGTTGATCGGCTGGTGCAAGAGTGTGGCACACAGGGGATTAAGAAGAGCCCAGCTCTTAGCTCCTGTGTATGAACCGCCGGTAAGAGATGGCGAATCTTGTTCTTCTCAAAACTTGCTTTGCGATGAGAAGTGGCGGAGAAACATGAGAAGAGAGGGGGAGTGAAGGAGGAAGCGGTCGGCGATGGCGGCGGGGGTTCCGAGATAATAAAAAGAAAACGGTCAGGTCTTGGGGGAAGGTATCGATGGGTACTTCCGCGCGCAGCAGTGGACTTCCGGCTTGGGATGCAAGCGAACACACAAGGAACCTGCAGCAAGCTGTTGTGCGGAACGTGCAAAAGAAGAGGGAAAGAAACGTTGGGTCGCAGATATATATCGGCCTCCACCTTTCACGTCTGGGTGGGTTCGGCAACTGCAGGGGACAAGGCGGATGGGAACGTGGTCACCAATACTATGTTTTGCCGATTTGGGGATCACCTAGCTAGGAATGACTGCCGCCAAGGGAAATGAATCAAGATGGTTTCGTCTGTGAATAGATGCACGTTTGGCTCGATCTTATTTGTTCTTGCGGGTTTAGTAGTCAGGATAGTAGAGGCAAGGGACGGATGGAGATATGTATGCGGGTGAGAAGGGGTGGGCAAGAAACCGACTGGGTTTCTCGCGCGTACGGATAGGTTTGACATGGGACTGGACTGAGTGATGGAAACGGGAGCGAAGAGAACCGATATCACACAAAACTGGCAAAGAAAGAAAAGGCTCTCGGGGGTGGGAAGCGCTCTCGGCACGGCAGAAAACATCCCATCTGGAACTGAAAAGCGCTCGAGGTAACCCTTGCCTCCTTGTAAGCTCTCAAAGTGGGCGGCGCACACACACACAGCATGGCGTTGGTGAACCTGAACATCATTCCTCCGAGAAAACACCATTTTTCCCTCACTTCCCTTCTTCCAAGTTCAGTGAGTTATGGGGTTTCCTCTTCTTCCCTTTACCTGTTCTTTTGTTTCCTCATTCTTTTTCTTCTCCTCATCTTCTTCATCCCCGCGCCCGCCACCATTTTTGCTTTCCTTTTTCTTTGCTCCGCATGCAAGCCTACACAAACTAGTCACCAGCCCCTCCCCCAGGCCATCAGTTCTCACTGAATGGCCTCTCGAACAGGTCTACGCGCCCGTAAGCCCGGAGAGGGTTCAACGCCAAGAAAAATGGGAGAGGTGGGAAACCATGGCGGACACAGAGCACCTTGCAGATCCCGTCACCTAGCGTCGGATGGTGATTGGTTCGCTGCAGGGACACGGGCAACAAGCATCGAGGGTGGGAGCAAGGGATGTTGGATTTTCCCGTACTGCCATTGAGCCAAGCAGAGCTTGGGGACAAGGGTCAGAGCTACTGCGGATCCATGGTTGGTCTGAGCTTGGAGGGCCGGGGGCCGATTTTGCGATTGAGACTCGGGGGCGACGGGACGTGAATGGTCAATGTGGAGGTGATGGGCGACATGGGGTCGGGCCAATGGCGCGGGAGCGTTGCCGATGCATCAATCGATGGGTTGCAGCGATAAACCAGGGTACCCAACCAACCCGGGTGGCCTTTTGCCTTTTTGCTGTCCAAGTGATCAGTGGGAGTGACAGAGTGGGAGAGACGGAGCAGGTGCACGAGTGTGCTGAGCAAAAATGCATCAACAAGTAAAGGACGTGGACAGCCAGAGCCATTCAGTGAGAGAAGAAGGCACAGAAACTGGCATCAGTCCGATGCAAGGGCTCTCTCTCGCTCTCAACGTCCTGTTCCACTGATTCCTCCCTGCAGATAAGACCACACGCAACATTGAAAGTCGACACAGCTAGAGGATCGAGTGGCGTCAAAGTATCACTTGTACCTGTGTCATTTGTGCCATCTGCTCTTCTCCGCTCGCTTCAGCAACAAGCCTTTTGCCTGCCTTGCGGAGAGGGGGCACTTTGTTGCGTTGGGAGACTCGATGCAGATGTGCCGTTGCTCTCTGCCACATTTTCAACATATGGTTTGATTGTTCCTTTGGGGTCGAAAAAGATGGCCGGCCCGCGCCCGTGCCCAGGCTCCGTTGGGGGTCCCATCCATCATTCCACTCACCCTCCATGCTCTTGAAGACGGTCTGCCTCCACCTCCATCCCTCTCTCCCTCCTCCCGCCCCGCCCCAAGTCTTCAGTGCGTGCGAGAAAGGCACACCGCGACATGGGGTCCGGCGCACGGCACTAGTGAGCCTCGAACTGCGCTAGAGTATCGCCAATTCGTCAAGACGTTGTGATGAGATTCGGGCGAATTCAGCTCCTATTGGGCGTCGAGTCTGGCCGTCCTCGTGGTCTTCAGCGGGCCTTTGTCTTCATTCTAGCCTCTTTTGTTTTCTTATCCCCTTGTCCAGTGGCTTGACCCCATCAAGACTCGACTTATTTTCCCTTTTTCATGGCCCCGGCCTGATATGAAGAGCTCACATGGGAACCAACAAAAGGTTGTGTCTGTCGATATTGGCCAAGCGATAAGAACCCATCCATGAACTCCGTAACCGAGTCATTCGAACTGGGTTCCCAAGCATAAGAACATTCGATTTCAGCTAAACAACGGAACAAAGAAAAAACGGAAGAAGAAAAAAAGACTTGGGAAGCCTCTTCGTTCGCCATGCTCTTCCGCTTTGGTCCTACCCCTCCCCTCAGTCGACTTGCTCCTTCTCTCCCCTCACTTGCCCTTCTTTCCATCTCGAACCTGCACGTAAGCGCCCGGCACTCCAAGTGCATACATGTACACGGTACATGCATATATCAATCGATCAATCCCCTTCAACGTCAATTACTCCACATTTCTGCACCTTTCGCTCACTTAACCCAAGTACAAGTACATCATGGATATTACATTGTAATGCATCTTCCCTTGTCTACCCTTCAACGCTCGCACCAGTTTTCCTCGCTGCATCACACATACCAAGCCCGTCCTGTTTTCTGTTTCTGCTTTTGTCCCTGAAGAACACACTGATAGCGAACTCACTCCCCACGGCAGCGGCCTCGACAGCAAACCAAGCAACCAGCCGCCGCCCACTCGCCGCGAACAGCCAAAAACAGTGGCGTGATTTCTTTTTTTTTTACTTTTCTTTCGGCAATACCTCCTAACCCAACTCGGACAATACAGAGCTGTCTCACGCGAATAGCCTCGCTTTCCTTTCCCGCTAATTCATTTTCCCCACACAATACTTGGTTGCGTCGACCATCAGCTCAGCTTACCCGCCCGTCTTGGGAAATTGCATCTCGGGTCTCTCGAGATGGCCTCACCGTTCACTGTCCACCCAGCTCGTGTCGTTTTGGTTCCCTCCCAAAAAGGAGGGTTTGTCAAGATCTAGGGGCTGTGGCTCGTGTAAGTGTATCCCGCAGCACCCCAAATCACCAACCTCATGTGTAGCGATCGGTATTGGGTCGGCCTCTTTCAAAGAAAACACTCGCAGAACCAACGAGCTGTTGCGCATGCGGATCTCAACATCCGCCTAGCCTATGTGACTTTCTTACCTTTCCCCTCTCCATCTATCTGTCCCGTCTCCTGCCAAACTCGGGGAAAAGAAGATCGAAAAAAAAAAAGAAAAAAAAAGACCTTTTCCTTTGCCGCCATCTTCCTCCCTCAACGCGCATATTCCATCCGGACACCACCCCACCATCACCGAGCAGCAACCTCAACCCTCCCACCCCTAAGCGCTCGTCCCAGGCCCTTGGTTCTACCGTCCAACAGAACCATGCATGCCCTCATAAAAAACCCAACATTGACACCTCCCACGCTCCAATCCCATCTGCTGAGGCCAATGCTGTGTTTCCTGTAGTGTAGATGCTCGCCGCCTCTTCCATCAGTTCCCGGCGGCTCCGTTCTTCCACCCCCGGACATGCCACCTACTACCCTTCCCCCGTAGCGCCGAGGCCCCCTTTCGTTGTTCGTCTTCTCACTCGCCCTTGTGGTTTTCTTTTCCCCTGGAGATCAAAACTTCTCGTTTCTTTCTAGCGCATTGTAACCTTCTTTCGTGCTACACCTCCCCCTTTTCATCCTCCCTATGGAGAAAACGTCAAAGACGTCCGACGGTGCCCCGTATTAGTCCCTCGGGGGTTGCCTGACAGGGTGCCATGGCGGCATTCATCGTAAAAGTGACACCTCGACGGGCGCCATGCTCGCGAATGACGGCCACCTGTCGTACCGCAGGGATGCCAGTTTCTCAATCTTCTCCCCTTCTATAATTCCGCTTTCGATCGTCTTGTCCGTCCCACCAGACACATATGCTTTTGCATCCGGCATGAGAACCCCGCGTACGCGCCGAGCGCTCGAGCTGAAATAATAGTCTGACCTAGCTCGTCTCTTCGTCTTCGTCGATGCAAGTGCTAGACGACAGAGCAATTTCTACGCGCCCTTCAACTCGAAAGAGATAAGTGGGAGATGGGCAGGCTTGGAGCCGCCCGAGATGACTCGTTCTTCGCCTTCCCCTTTCCTTATCAAAGAAGACCAGATCACGATTCTAGAAAACTCAGAGCGAGATGTCGGGGCATAGCCATGCCCAGACTCTCTCCATCTGATTTTGGCAGAGTTAATCTGATGAAACCCTGCGATGATGTGTGCGATCTTCGTTTTTCAGTGCAAGAACGGTTCATAGGCGCTCCCAATATGCCGGGTATTCTTATCTAAAACGTATGGTAGACGCTAAAAAAGATCAAAGACATGAAGGCAACGCACAAAAAAGTAAACCCAAAAAGAAATATGGAAATACCCTATCAAAACTATTTGGCCCACCGACCCCTTCACCTTCGCGGTCACAAGTGCGAACGCGATGACGTTTCGAAGAGGCCGCGCGCTCGTCTCCTCCCTATATATCTCTGTACTGCAAGTGCGCTACGCAATCATGACCATGTGAATACTTGTAGATGAGCCTCTCTCACCAGTAAACGCTAGTCGGTCTCACGACAACAATAACCGGCTTCTCCAACCCCTTGACAGAAGGAGGCACGATCCTATTCCTCGGCGCCATGGGGTCAAACTCGCCCACCTTTTCATCCTGTCTCGCCACCCGAGGAAGTTCGGGGACGGTGAAGTCTGGGGCGGAATCCTTCGCGGGGAGGGCGCCGTCAGCTCGTGGTTGCCTTCACCGTCAGGGACAACATCGACGTCGCCGGAAATGGCCACCGCAATGGGTATCTGGGCGTCATCCTCCTCGCGAGCTTCCTGTCCATCCAACTCGAGCTCCTCTGTTTCCGGCTCCTTGTCCGCCACGTCCTCCGTAATCTCGTCCGGCTGGCCACTCGACAGGCTCTCTAGCTCGGCGATTCCCTGGTCGCGTGGCTCGTCTTCCACTGCAGACACCTTCTCCTCCTCTCCTAATTGAGCGGGCTCGGCTTCTTTAGGCGCCTTGTCTTCCGGATCGCGCAGCCGCTCAAATGCCGCCTTTGCTAGCGGTGTCCTCTCAGGCTCTTCCACATCCGCCTCGATATGGAGTGGTAGTTCCTCCAAAGCGAACGCCCTCTTCGTGGTGGGGTTGTACACTGCCGAACTGAGTAAGAAGCCCTGCTGTCCTCCCCGCCCCTCCCACGCACCTCCTCCTCTTCCTCTTCCTCGTCTTCCTCCATCACCACCTCTTCGGCGATGCTTGCTCGGCCGCCTTCGGTCGGGGTCCGTTCCGACATCCCACGCATATGCACGTCATCGTCCCTCACTTCTGACCAGCCCGACTTATTCGGACTGAAATGGCTCTGGCTGTCGGCCCTTGACCGGCCTCGCTCGCTAGGGACGGTTTGTCCGCACTGGTGGCACATGCTGGACACGCTTATAGGCACGTTAGATGGCCCATGGGATGGTGCGTGAGATGGGGCCGACGTCGTAGTGAGGTGAGGGTGATGGATGGGGATAGAGATGGAGGCGGGAGCGGGGGCAGGGGCAGGGGCAGGAGCGTGGGCAGGAGCGGCAGACATGACAGAGGGAATCCTCGCGGGGATGGCCGACCGCAGTTCAAATTCTGCCAACGAAACCGACGGCGCTCGAAACTCTGCCGTCGGGTCGACATCAGAAACTTGGGGTAAGTTGGCTGGTAGTGTCTCGAGCCAATACGACAGCAGAGACGCGTTCGGCCTTCTGGCCACGGGGCTATCCTGAAATCTCGCATCGAGCTTCGCCTTAGTTAGCCCCGTGTTGTCGTCGTCTTCGGCCGTGGCGGTGTTGAGCTTCAGACCCCCTTCTCTAGCTGGGATCTCGTGCCCGACCGATGGTTGCGAGGGTCCGCATCACGAGGCTTCGACGATTTCCGCGACGAGGACTTGCGGTGCGACCGGCCGGAAACGACCTCTGGCGTCACGCGGCCAAGGGCAGAATCGTGAGGGCTGAAGAGCGCGTTCATCGTAGTCGAGGGCTCGATGGCGCTCATGACGACCGCCGAGTCTGGGAGACGCGACGGGCGGCTCAAGGGCTCGTGGCCCAAGTTGCGATTGGAGCGCCTGCGCACAGGTGTTCGCGTAGATTTATGAATGGGCGTTCCAATCTTTGCACTGCTGTCTATGTTTTGCCGAGGACGTGACGGCGTCGTCTCGGGTATGGTTAGCTTGGGCGGAGCCATCTTTCCCACCCGCGAGGACTCGTAGGTGAAATTCGAACCTCCATGCGATGAAGCCGCTCTGGGCTCGTGCGCACCGCGACGGTCCGCCGGGGCGGCTGCGGCCGAGGCGATGCGCTGCGAGCCATTACGAGGCTCGGGGTTCGCATCCCTCCTGCCCGCGGCCTGGGCGGGTGGGATGATCTGGGTCGCTACCCAGTCGGCGGTCTGGTCTCGCGAAGAATGGCGGGGTCCTGCAAGAATTTCCTCGTAGTCGCGCTGATGGCTGACCGAGGCTGCGGTGCCATCCAGGTGGGGGATATCGCGGTGACCAGGCGCTGTCGTGTCCGGCCGCTTGATAGAACCGGCTTGGTTTCCCAAGACGAGTTTGGCAATGGGCGGCTGGTTGGTATCCGCGATCAGGACTTTCTTGTCACCACGTCCAAGCACGCCGTAGACGTTGACCTCGCCATCTTTGATACCAAGAACGGCGCTTGTTCCCGCGTAGACGGCTTCGCCTTCAGTTCCGCATCGATTGGCAAAGACAAAAATGATTTCATCCTTTGTTTCGGATCGGATGATGGGCTCCATACGCATGGCCCAGTAGGTGAGCGTGTTCATGTCGGGCTCCTGAGGAAGCGTGCTGAACTCACTCTCGCTCTCGAGTGTAAGCCAGGCCATGGACACGATGACCAGGTTGGCATCCGACTCCAAGACGTGGTAGGCAAACTCGAACTTGTCCCAGGGCTCCTGGAACTTGTAAGGGCTGTTGGTTGTTAGCTATTACCCGTACCATGCGACTTGCACCGGCTTTTTTTTTTTTTTTTCAGAAAGTACTTCGTGGGCAAGGGGAGAGGGAAGAGGGAGAGGAGAGATGACTGACTTTATGTCCATACAGATACCCATGGCGGTCTGACCTAGGCCAGTGATGTGAGCCCCATAAAACCCATCACCTTCCAGGGCCCAGGTCTCATCAGTATAGTACAGGTGAGCTTTCCTGTGGTGGGCAACATCATCGCCGTCAGGGCCGATAACAGCTACCGAATTGTAGTACTCGGGGAGGTGGGCCACTTGTGGGAGATATCAGCCTTCTCCGGGTATCCCACAGCAACATGGCAGTTGTATTTAAGTGCAGTTGTCCGAGCCCAGAGAGCTGATATGCCAGCGTTAGTCGGCTCAAGAAATGTGTGAACTTCAGAAAGCGACTTGAAATTGTAGCCTAAACCCCGTGAATGTAGTCAGTATCAGGAAGCTGTAGAGGGTGCAGCGCGCGCCGCGCGATTCTGCCCCCGCTTCACTAGCCACCGAACCCAGAGCGATCTAGGGTATAGAGCCCGCCATGAAAGCGGGAGGAAGGCTTCTGGTTTTACAGGCGTTGGGAGAACCAGTCGCGGGAAACTAGTCGTGGCAAACCAGTCGCGCGAGGCCACTTCAATGCACTTACCTGTAAAGGCCATTTCCGGTAGGACAATCAAGTCCAAGTTCTCAGGGTTCGCGCGACCCAGAACCCGATCGGCCCTGGTCAAGTTGTTGTTGACATCGCCCAGGTGGGGATTAAACTGCAAGCAAGCGATTCTCATGCTGAAAAAAGGGTAGAGGCTCAAAAGCGCCCTAGCTCTCTCCCTCTCCTTCTCTTCGAGCTCTCACTCACTCTCTCCCTTCTCTCCTCTCTCTTGTTCGGTCCCGCTATCCTTCTATCCTTAACCCCAGTGCCGGCCGTACTCGAGGTTTCGTTTCTTGACTTGGCGCCGGAAAATGTGATCGAGTCGGACTCGTTTTAGACGTGCTACTCGACGAAAGCAGTGAGGCCGTCGGAAGATGGGGGAAAGCTCCCCTCGTTTTGTGGCGCGCACCTAAACGCCTAGAGCGCAAAAAAAGAATGCGCTGTAGATCGCCGGCGTTGCGAGAATCCACGCGATTCAAAAACGGGCGAAACGAAGAAGTTCTGTGAGAAATGCGCCGGACGAAATGTTGTTTGGTGTACTTGGAGACGACGTTTAAAGACTGGGCTGAAGGAAGCGCAATCCAGTGTGGACAGAGAGTTGGGGGCGGGGCGATCCTTCGAGCGCGAATGCGAATGGAGAAGGGATTGGGGGACTTGGAAACTGGGGGACTTGACAGAAGCCCGGGCGTAGGAGGGGAGGGTAAGGTACACTGTACAATAGCGGAGAGTTGGCGTTGGACCCTTGGAAAGAAGGTTGTGATTTAAGTCGAGGTGGAACGAGATGTTGCCAAAAGTGCTGCCGCGCTTGACTGTTTTCGAGTCGCTAGGCTTCGGCCGAGCGAGGGAAAGAGCGAAAGACCACAACAGAGGGAGGAGAGGGGCATCCCGGAAGTATCGAGTACCCCTCGAGACTAGATGTCGGCCTTACGTGTGAGTGGGTGATGGGGGCTTTGAGCAATGATTCTTCGCCAATTGTTGACCAGATGGATCATTGATCTATTCTGGACGGGCTTTGCGGAGAGGCTTAGCGTCAAACCCTACCTGAGCCCATTTGCCAGCTGAGAATGATTCGGGTGTCTCGAGAGACCACGCGAGAGGCTTACTATCGCTCCATTTAGTGGTTGCTCGCCTGACGCGACACAGTGACCGAAAAGAAGGGGCGATACCGTTGTTATTCGCCATCCTTTGTTTCACCAATTCTATTTCTTTTTCTATAAACAAATACTATACATCCGAGGCCATTTTCGCGGCCCCAGCCAGCCTGTCATCCCAAAAGCGGACTGGATACCTCGGTGGAGGGCGCCCTCTCATGGCGCGGCAAAACTGGCGAACCTCCTCCCCATGAGTGGCCATGGGGAATTCGGTCGGCCCGGCCCTACGTTCGATGCTCATGATAGCCAAGCGGTCGTATTAATCCTCGTTTTCATTTGAGGGCAAGTCCAGCCCAAGAGGAGAAATGGGGCAAAAAGAGGCAAAGGGGCAAAGGGTCAACTGCATCTGCATCTGCAGTACGTCGCGAGAATAATGTTACAGCCCAGTGATGCAAGGGAAGCAGAGCATATCCGTCTCGCTGCATGTCCTTGCACTTCCACGGCAGCACGGACAAGCTATCCAAAGGAGCGACTTCTCGATACGTTGTTTCTCGCAGAATGCGAGAAACAGGCAAACAGGGCAGAACGCGGTGAAGATTACATGTACACGATAATCCTGATCCCCAGTCTGTCCATGTCCTTCATCACCTTTCCCCCTGCCAGATTGTGATCCAGAGATGCCTCGAGTGATGCGATGGGGCTGGAGGCTCCGCTCGATAGTGGGTTGGTGCGTGATGAATTTCTGGACCACACCCGAGAAGGCCAATGATCTCGCTCCCCTAGCCGCCATCATAAATCTCCCCGCATGAGCGAACCAGCTTTTACAATCATATCAATCCATCACTTGGCCTATTGTAACCTTTAGTGTCTTGGACATAATACTGGTACCTGCTGTGATCGTACCCCCTCGCCTTTTAGCCGACTCATGAGATCGTCGAGAGCCAACACATCGCTGTGAACCCATCAGTCTACCCTGCGGCCCATTGGCCAACGCCTCCTATTTTGGGACGGAATTCTTCATGGCCCTCGGGCCCTCCTCGGCGTTGCATACATTGTGTTTTCCTCTGCCATTCTCATGCGGTAAGCGATTGGGACCGAGTCCACAAGCGCTGGGGAAGTCAACAGCGGCGGCTGTTCTGAATGCAGCCACTCTTCCCATTGACACAAGCCACTTGAGGCATTCAACCTTTGTTCTTCGCTAGAACTCGTGTTAGTACTTTGAGCCCAACTTGGTTATTCCCACCAAACACTCTAGAACTGAAGCCATTAATTGATCCGATGACGTGCACCGAGGGATGAGGTGAAGCATAAGATGAGTTGAGCGAGGGACATGAAAGAATCCATGAAGAAGGGAGTTTTCGTTGGCAAAAGGATCAAAGGGCCAAAGAGAGAGCATAGCACCGCCGATCAGCCCGCCCAAGTACCAGCAGTTTAGAGGCGGCGCCGTTCATCTATTATAGCCACCTATGCCTCAGGCGCTCATGTAGGGAGCTCCTAGCCACACCGCTGGTTGACTGCGAATGGCGACATGAGGCAGTAGCACTTTCAAGTAGACGAGGAAGAGCGACAAGTATGGCACGCGTGCAATATTCAATCTAGGGCAGGCATATGGCGAATGGGTTCGAATATCAAGCCAGTGCCCAAGGTTGTCCACGTCATCTGTCTTTTTCTCAAAAATGAGGAAAGGTCAAAGTGAAAGGAGCAACTGCTTCAAGACGGCTAGCAGGAAGTCGTTCCAAGCATGGAAACCCTAGTTATCAAACAGAGATATACCGTTAAAGTGGCCAACGCCCATAAATTAGCCCAGAGGACGTAACGAGGAAACACGCCAGCCCCCGCCCCTCGGCAGTGGCCGCGATTCATGAACCAACCACATATGCAAGGCAAGTTGGTCGGATGTTGGGCCTTTTGCACTGATGATCACCGAGCATGCAGTTGGCTAAAGTGCAACCTTGCATACTCCTCTCTCCCCACCTAGTTGACTGATCGCAGTCTTTGAATTACAGACCTTGGACCCCTCTAGTCTCGAAATTAAATGGACGCTAGGACGGATATGTTCGGTGTAGGGCTATACACCTTGGGTCTTTACACGGAATGAACTGACAACTCAACCGGGACGGTGCTACAGAGCATTCTTGCGTTTTATATGGGTTAAAGGATTGTCTTGCAGCTCCCGGGCAGGCTTTCGTCCAGCCAAGAAGCCATGCGGACGTATCTACTAGATAATATCACGAAACAGTTGGGGTGTTCAAGAACAGCCCTAGTATCCGTCCAACCCTCTCATATACATCTTGTCTACCTCAAGTTGCCTTGCTCATAGTGGAGGATCCTTAGATTCTTGACTGTTTCGGGCGCGGATAAGTTGTTAGAGACCTACGATTCCTCGTAGCCATCTAGCCCTTGTTGGTGCATCTTCTCCGCTTCATCCAGCCTGTGCTTATCGGCGTAGAGGAGCCCCAAGCTATTCATCGTGTCAAGGTGTCCAGTGTTGAAGTATGGCCGATACCTGAGGCCCCTAATACGCCTCCAACGCTCATTTTTACCTCTTCTTTGCCTTGGTCGAGATTTCCTAGGTTATGGAAAGAAAGCATGAGCTGTATGACGGTTGTTCAATATCGTCAGTGAGCGCCTTCCCGCTAAGTTCGCTGGGAAAGAACCTAGCAGCATGTCGAAGGAGTTGTCTTTGTGGTAACCATGGCTTGGTGTCCTTCTGCTCTGGGGCTGTTAGACTCACGAGATGGAGGGTTATCTTGGCAAGGTGTTGACTCTACTTCGAATTCAAGATGTATTTCGTCTACGTAGGAACGCACCCATGGACAATGTACCATTGTGGTCCGACGAGCTCTATTAACGCCGTATGCACCTCTGCTAATTTGAAGCCGAGCGAGGCCCGCACCACCAGAGCAATGTTGCCTCGTCCTGGGTGGGCTCATGGACTTCGTCAGGGCCATCTACGGCACTCTGACGAGGATGCTCTAACCAGGCATCCTAATTATCGACATAGGTCCAGAACCGGAGAAGGGGGACTAAGAGCTAGTGTCGCCTCTCGAGATGGTCAAAGGAGCCAGGTAGGTAGAATGTTCGGTAAGGGGTGAGTCTAGCCCCGACCTTGCTTTCCCACAATTCCTCGTAGAGACCAACGTAATTGAAAGCGTTCAACACCTGTGTCTTCGAGGCATGTCCCAGCTGTGACCAACATAAGTGGGAGCCCATTCGGTTTCTTAGCTAGTCTCCCATAGGAAGGACTAGATGTCTACCCAGGCCGGATTTGTATTTCTGCTACTTAGTAATTGTCACAGGCCATCAACCATCTTGTGGTTCCCTGGGGACTCACCTACGTAAACATAATCTTAACCACTTTATCTACGCTCTCAGTCATGTCCAGGCTATTTAGGGGATGTGCTGATGGGTATTTCTGTTGAATACACCTCGCTAGCTTTGTTTGTCCCTTGTATGTGATGTCAAGATTCAAGGCAGCCGAGTGGCTCCGGCAGCACCCTCCGCATATTCGGTCGTAAGCTGGGCCTTACTCATCACTCCTAGGCTCTAGAGAACAGCAGTCGAACGACGAGAGTCAGGACCAGAAAGTATCTCATGCATCTAGACAAGCTCATCTTCCCCCAGTATTGGGCTCACCTTGGCCTTGCAGCCTCACAACCTCGCCGGTTGCCAACCAATCAAGACCCAGTACCTTTCATGCGCTACCTGACCGGCAGTCATAGTAGGCAAGGTTGAACGGCGTGTGTGTGAGTTCCCCGGGAGATAATGAATGCTCGCGGTTTGTTATTGTCCCATATTCCTGAATACCAGATTAGTAAAACAAGAGATCGATGGGGAGTTCAAGGGTTGTCGCCTTGCTATCCCTCTCTCCAGAAAGCCTCAGCATCTAGAGGTTTAAGTGGTAGCTTTCTCGTTTGAACTCGCCTTCTTTGATCCCAACACAGATGAGCGCCATCACTACGGACCATGCCCAAGCACCTATCTTCAAGCTAGACAGCCGTCTTCGTTTGGCGTGCCAGAAAGGGCTGGGCCACCTCATGAGACCGCCTATTGCCTCTATCTCACCAATATATGCAATTAGAACCTTATTATTACTAAATCTGTATGGAACTTTGTATCTTGAATAGGGAATTGGTGCTCTTTCCTTGTCAGCTCATGGGAAATAGTCGTGGAATGTCCCACCCAAACCCAGCTCCAAAATCTCGTCCTCTGCTAAACGACAGCTGTAGAATTTTCTGCTTGTTCCCCAGATACACTCATCCTAGTGGCGCTACGGCAACCCGATTTCCGTGCACACTTTAACCCTAGCTCTGCCCTCCCTCAATCTTTCTAGCCTCCGTCCGGCTGGGGCCATTGTTCCCTATCTGCTCATCTCGTTCATTGACATCATCCCATCCAAACCATGCATGGCGATCACCTTGAGGACTAGGATCAGATGAAAGTAAGCCTCTGGTACACCAACGTCCACAAGCACCGCCGGGCCCTTCGTTGGCTTAGGATGCGGCTGCTTGTTTTAATGGGACAACTTACTTGATGACAGTCATTACGGCGCTTCCTTGGTCCTCATTGTAGCCCCATGAGACATGCCAGTCGTTATTCGTGCACTTTTCGTTGAAAAAGCTTTGAGTTTGGGCATTCTTCCCTGTAGGCCAGACCAAGTGAATGTTGCATATCATACCGCCCCTGTCATCTGCGACGAGCATAAATGCCATATCGAGAACATTCTTGCCAATGCCGTCGCGGATTCCTGCCGCATCGAGAGAAAAGAAGAGTTTCTGAGGTTAGTCTTCAAGATCTCTTCTTCTTAAATCTACAAATAGCTGTCACTTGATTCCTACCCGTGACGAGGATGGGACTACATACTTCGAAGGGGAGAAAAGAGTCTCCATTTTGTAGCGTATTCCAAGGAGTCCTCAGTTGCTGGCCCTTTGCCTTTTCGGCTTTTGGACAAGGGCTTCTTTTCGTCCTCGGGTGGTATCAGAGGGAACAGCTCCGAGGTCTGCGGTTTAGTGTTGTTTCCCTCCTTGATCTCGTCGTCCTTGTACCGGAAAAATGCAACTACCCCTTCGTTGGGATTTGCCACAGAAAGAAGTAGGCTTCGTCCTTGGTCACTAACATCGGCATTGATATCGTACTTGTCGGTCCCAGAACATTTCATCCCCGAAAATGTAAGGTTTGAGGCTATCACAATGTCGGGAAGCAGAGAGACAATGTGGAAGCTGCATGGGAAGATCTTGCCCTCATCCTCGTTGATAAAGAAGTTGTAGTCGCAGGACGAGGGTTTACTCTGACACTTTCGCTCAAGATTGATCAAGGCCCACTTCTTTTGATCAATCGACAAGGCAATGCTGGCAAAGAGCGTGAGGATAAGAGCGAACACAGCTTTAGAAAACATCTTGCTGGTTGTTGAAATCAGTCGCTCTGCGAGTTGTATCTCCAGCAGTTTCCAGTCGATACGGGGACACAGCGGCTAGTCAGAAGAAGAGAATCGAAAGCCAGACGAGGTTCATTTGGAACTTGTTACGGTATCTTGAGGGAAAGAGTATTTATGAACGCCAATATATGCATTGGATTTACTGAAGGGTAGAATCAACAACGCAAGACAAATCAAGGCACCTACGCGGTGCCGTGAATACGCGATAGGAAGAGGAAAGAGCAGCGTATTCAAAACATTGAGCAAAGACATGAGAAGAGCTGCGTCTATCCGCACCATATCAGGTAGATATAGCCGTAGGTCACACCTGCCAGAGCAAACAAGGCGGGGCTTGACCAAGTTGTTAGGCTTTCCACGGAAGGAAGCGAGAACTTGGAACGTTATGGCAATTGGAAGCGGCGACCAAGATCATATAGTAGGAGATGAAAGCGAGGCCGAAATCCTGGTTTCCTTTCTTGGTGGAAACATACATTTGAAAGACTATTGATTGCGTGAAATGCTGAGAAACTTTGAGAAGCCGGCGAAGGAAGCCTGCTCTTATCTTTTAGAAGTGAAGGAAGGTCCTGGACTTGTTTCTCCGTCTATGGAGGGTGATCAAGCTAGTCTGGGTAATCGAGCTGCTGGAGAAGCAGAAGATGGAGGTTCGCAAATGTCGTGAATAGCTAGATCCATCCGTGAATCTATCGGACTAATCCAACAGGCAACTGGAGCCTTGACCCGCAGAGGTTGAAGTAGGTGGCCGGTTAACAAGACGACTAAGTATGACAGAATAGGAGAAAAAGTGAGGGCTCTCTAGTACGATATGGCGCAAACGATGCATAGCAGTCGATAGAACTGGGAAGGCGCTCGGTACAGAGAGAGAAGTCTCTTACGTAGGTTCGACGGGAGCCGTTCACCGGCCAGAGGGAAATACGGAAGTCGCCACTTTACAACAAAAACATTAAAAACAAGGATATCGCTAGGTCGGGTTTGCTGGGCGGGATCCTGAGGAAGGAGGCAAAGATCAATTTGTTGCTTTGAGAGATAGCGCGTCCCTCGAAAAGGGGATGGTCTACTGCAAGGGCGAACGGCCGAAGGGAATGCCGCCGTGGCATGGCCCCGGATGTCCCTCAAGTTCTTCGGCACGCCAAGGAGTGCATATGTATGCTACTAGTGATTCCATGGGGCTACTGCCGGAACAGCAAACACTCGCGGTACTTTATTATCACATTGGTCCATGAGTATATCGCCGAGCCTTGGGGAACTCTGACGATGTGGAGCTAATGGAGGGGGTCATGCAACCATTTCTACTTGGCAGCGATGCTGGCCAAGTCGGGAGTCAGATAGAAAAGTCTAGCGTCGATGAGAGGGGAGCATCACTTGGAACTCGGTGATGAAATGTAGAAATGATCTATACCTGATGTGGCACTAGGCTGTAGCGAGGAAAAGGGAAGGGGGAGGAGCATGCTCTCAACATTTACAAGCCTAGCCTCTCGAAGAATGAAGAGAAACGTATGAGTGACTAGATTTCTTGCGCTATGCAATGCGGTTGGTTGCGGTGATAGTGATGGGATGATCAGCTTGCGACTGGCAGCCCAAGAGATGAAAAGCCTAGAGGAGGAGAAGCCTGGCCTCGTGCCCTTGATGGGCTAAAAAAGTCAATATTGTGACATGATCCCCTTGGCGCCGCGAAGTCTTCTGGTAGTCCTTGCTTCTATCTAAACCAAAGTATCTTCCCCGAGAGACAAGACTTTTGATGGGCTTCGAGGAGTCTCTCGAGATAAATGCGTGCAGGAGATGTACGGTTCCGAACCCCGAGAGAGGATATGTAGATCTATCATGGCCTAGAAGTTAAACCCTCAAAGATTCTGGTGCTTTTCGTACTACGGCATACCCTATCGCATACTTGGTCACCTTTTGTTCGGAGGTGTTGGTAGCCATTGCGGTGTTAGTCTCATGTCGTACTTGCAACAAATTCATCGACTGAGTAATGCAGGCTCAAAGACGTGAGAGAGTTGGGGCCGCTCAGGCAGGCTATTTTTGGCTCACTAAAGGAACAAAAGTAACTTCCGAGACTAAACCGCGACGAGATGTCCTGCATCCAAATCGAAGATGGTTGAGCGGGTCATGCAGCCACCGTCACCTTCATGTACCTTTTCAGTTGGAGGCTAGGACGAAAAAGACGCGTGGTTCATGATGTCCAGAAAAGGGGTTGGAGATTTAGAGAGGGGATAAAGCTGGAAATAACTGGGTATGGTTCTTCAAATATTTAAAATCACTACTTCAATGTCGTATCAAGATGGGAGGCTGGACCACATTTGAGAAGATCTTGGAAGGTAGATGCAACTGGGAGTTGTAGATAGATGGAAGCCTAAGGAAACTTGTAGCGAGTATGGGCAATTGCAGAGCCTTTGCTCGGAAGGACGGAAGCACAAAACCGATTCTGATGCCGTGGCTTGCGTCTCTCTTCAAGCTGGGTCTCAATTTGTTCGCGTGATGATTGTTTGCCGCCCAGGGTCGGCCACCTGCCACTCGTGCGGCTCCACGATCAAAGTAACGGCTTTTCTAGCCTTCTCTTATCACCTTCGTACCCAGGCCACTTTCATGAGCAACCCATTTAAGCAGTATGTCAGCGGCGCTCGCTTTCATATATTATATTACATGGAATGATAGAAATCTACATATGCCGGGCGGTTGTATCGCGCTCCACTCTCGAAGCGAACGAAGAATCGGCGGGCTCTCTATTGAAGACTGGATTTTGGGGGAGGGCTGGGAATGGGCCCTTGGAACGGGGTCTAGACTCTCCCGGCTGAACGAGGCCATCCAAAAGCCGGTCTAACGGGCGGTGACGGGTGAGGGATTTGGACATTTGGTGCGGAGAGGCTGGCCACTCCCCGTCAAGGCGAGGAGACCGGATAGGCCATAGGTCAGTGTTCACAGTTGCTCTGTAATTCTCTGATCAGCTTGGCGGCAGAATGCCAAGGGCCGCTCTCGCAGGTTGGGTTGTGTTCTTGTGTTCCATTGTTCGGTCCAATACAAGTAGGGATAACTGAGGGAACGAATGTCTGTGTGAGTGTGGTATGTGTACTTCGTACTTCAGGACTGGGAAGAATACAAGTACACTTATGAGCTCCCATCGTGAAAGAAGCCAAGTCAATGGGATTCATCGAGCTCTCGAAGTGAACACCCTCCCTCTCTTTGAACACCTCAGCCATCTCTGGATCAATGATACCTTCTTCGATGCAGAACTTTTCGTCATCTGGCTGGCGGAAAGAAAAGGAGCCGGCGCTCAGGGCCACAAAACCTACCGGACGAGGAGGAGAAGGCATGGGGCTCACGGGAGGAGAAGAGGGAGGTGGGGTTGCTCACGGAAGACCAACCCATCATGTCGTTGCTCTTCCCGTCCGATTATCCCTGAAACAATTGAATATTCTGATTGACCTTGCGGCGCGTGGAGGAAAGTCTCCAGGCCTGCCCAAGGTAGCTTTGGCGCCCAGAGCGAGAAGGAATGAGTTTCATTGGACAAAGCCGACTGGGGGTCAGCGGTCCACTGTGAGGCCAAGATCCGCCAAGAATGCATTGGTTGGTTGACCTCAGATGCCCCTCTAAAATTAATGAATCTGGAAAGCGCTTTTCAGATTTGCTTTCGAAGTTCCCTTCAACTTGGAGGCAATGCAGCTTGAGCTCGCTGGCTGCGCTTTTTGCTTTGTTCTGTCCACTACGGCTCCCTTTCCTGAAACGGACCGTGACCAAAGCGGCAACTTCCCAAGTAGAAAAAAACAAGACAGAAAAAAGGAGGGGAAAAGAAAGGAAGCTTCGATGGAGGGAGTGGTTCCATGTTTGGCCGGGACCTCTTCTCTTCCTTCCCGCTTCTCGAAAAATACATGGATTGATCAATGCAAGTGAGAGTGCACTGTTCGCTGTGCGGGTTGGTTTTTGTGTCATGTACTTGTGCGGCGTCCACGTTGCTGTCAACTCAAGCCTCCAATAATACCGAGTTGGGCTGTTTCTATTCTAAGAAGCTCCCGTTCTCCATTGCTCTCCTCGTCCATGCCCCTGGCCGCCCAATGCTTGAGCGCGTGGTCGACAAGGAGTCCACTTGGCTTAGAATCCTGGCGACTAATCCCGCGTCGCCCCAGTCCTGGGGTCCATACTCGCCGTCGAAGCGCCTAAGAGCCTGCGGCCCGTCTTTCGACCTCCCCTCCAATTCTACTCTGATGCTTGCGTTCTGGCCTGTGCAACGATGCTCTGCTGAATCTATTCCTGGAGACTCCAAGATGAACCCCAAGACAAGGGTAGTACTACGTTATCGCTCACTCGCTGGTATTCAAGAGCAAGGTTGCTAAGCTGATACCCGCCCACGCTCCGGCCACGAACTCTCCCAGACTTATACAGCCGAGAGACGAAGCGCGGGGATACCACCCTTCCTATGCGCCTGGCCCACACACACTCTCTCGCCCACTTTGGTTCTGGATCGTGCTGCCGCTGGCGCCCGGCCACTTGACTTTTTTCTTTTTGCCTTTCTCCCGTGCTCATAGAACACCCTAAAGTATATCTCATCTGCCCGCATGTGGAGCAGGGAACGTTCCCGGCCGATAACACTCTAACCTGCATGCCCTTGATATATGAACCATATCTTTCCCCTAATCTTGTGTGGCGCATTCCCCTTGGCCTTCCTCTGTCTTACGATCTCCCCCTCTTTCTCTTTGCAAGATAGCCTTTTCGGAATCACCAGATCTCATCGAGTGAGATTTCCGAACGGGTATATACCAAGTGTATCACCGCCCCCGGCCCGACCATCTATTCAACCACGACGACTCGTGGCTTTCGATTGTCTTTTTCGCGCCCAGCCAGAATAATTTCAAAGGATCGGAGTTGTAGCTTGGCCATGCTTGATATCCAGGTCTTATAGCCTTCCTCGCTCTCTCTCTCTCTCCCTCCGCCTCAAGGCTCTTCACACGAAGGCCTAAATACTCTCTCATCCCAATATTCGACTCTTTTTCCATCTCCCTCTCAAAATGGCGTCTTTTCGCATAAACCCCATTTTCTTTTATCCTTCCTCCTCCTCCTCGGTTTCCTCCGTCCCGCCTTCTGCCTCGAAGTAACGCCAGGTTCCTCATGTGCCTCGATCTGCATGGACGAGGAGGGTGGTGACCCTTTCTCTCCCGACTCGTCCTCGACGAATGCGACCGACATTGTCTGCCAGGATAGCAAGTTCGCAAACGATGCGGTGGGAATCAAGTATAAGAGCTGCTTGGAGTGTCTGCAAAAGAGCCAAAAGACCAATGGAACGGAAAGCGACATCTCCTGGCTGCTCTACAACTTGAGGTTCGCCCTCGGAACGTGCCTTTACGGCTTCGAGGACAAGGACAAGGTCATCAACTCCCCTGCGTCATCAACTGGGCTTGTGAACCTCTGAAGGATGCCATCCTCGACAAGAACCTCGATCCCGACTCCGACAGCCTGGACTACTGCACTGCCTCGAACAGCGCTCTGTTTGGCAAGACTCTCAAGTCGTGCGTCGCATGCCTCAAGTCGAGTGATGATGAGACCTACTTGGGCAACTGTAAGTGCTTGCACGAAAAACAACCTTTTCTACAAGTCCAAGTGTACTAATCTCCTTGTGTTAGTCCTCGTTGCTCTGCAAGTCGGTTGCACCCAGAAGGCTGCTCCCGGGAGCATCCTCGGCATTAGCGCGTCTCCTTCACGCGTTCCGCACTCGAGGTCACAGACTCGAGCGGCGACGATGAAGAGGAGAAGGAACCGGGCGCCTCTCCAAACAGTCTCACAACCGGTACTATAGTTGGTATCGCTATTGGCGCTGCTCTGTTTGTTTTCGGAGGCTTTGCCCTTTGGTTTGTGTATCGAAAGAAGAAGCGAAGTACGTCCATGGACCAGGACCAGAATGAAGGGGTAGAAGACCCTAACTCGCGGAGTAGCTCGCGAACTATGATATCCCACGCCCAGCCGTGGATCGCGTCTGAACGAAAGGCGCTCCACTCTACCTCGTCGAGCCGAGCCTCTAACTACGCCGACACGTACGGCGAGAAGGATGACGCTCCCCGAAGCAAAAAGACTATTGGCGGCGGCATCAACAGCAACATCCCGAGCAGCCGCACGCACCAATATTCGCACAACCACAACAACAGCCGGTCGTTTAGTGGCCAAAATTCTCTAGACCCCGCCCACGCCGCCTACATGTCCCACGACGGCCGATCCTCAGCCACACCCTCTCCGCAGCCCGGCTACGGTAACTACGCCGGAGCCTATAATCCTAATACCTCCGCACCGAACCCCCACCCCCTTCGAAGCCACATCCAAAACTATTCACGGATGCACTCCCGAGAACCCTCCCTCGACTCTAGATCCAGCACCCCTCAGCCTGCCGCTACGAGCACCGCTGCCGCCACTACCTCCGCCGCCCCCACCGCCCCTCTACTGTCCAAGAGGGTTTCGTCATGCCGCCACCTCCTCCTCGAGCTGCCAAAGTACCCTCGATAGCCGCTCCATCGGTCGACCGCACGCGCGCTCCCAAGAAATACGTGCCTCCTAGCATCAGCATCGAGGCTGCGGCAGCCGCTGACCAATCTTCCTCGTCCCGACCAAGGTACCACAAGGTTGACCCTCCGCAAGACTATTAGCGGGCCTTGAAAAAGCGGCGGCATTGAACAGTGGCTACTGTTTGATGATTGCAGGCAACGTCCCTGATGGCGCACGCGAGCGTGGCGGCCTGGGCACTCACGGGGGACCATAGTCAACCGTGCTGGATCTTTTGTTTTACTTTATTCGCCCATCTCTCATCTGGGTTCGGGAACTCGCGCACCGCAAAGGTTGCTGTGCGTTTTTACAAAGGGTCGTTCTTTCTTTTATCAGTGGGGGATACCATATAGAGGAGTAACACAAGGGCAATCGTTTTCAAGGGATTTGGGTTTTAATTCACGGCAACAACGGAACGACATGTAGGAACGGACGGGACAAGGGGTCCTGGTATATATAGGGACTATTTGAACATGTTTGGATTCTTTTTTTCATGAAACTTGCCTGCCGTTCTCCATTGTGAAATCTTCGATGTTGTATCTTGATTCGGAAAGCCTGAGTGCCATTACCAGTGCCACAGCGTAGACGTCCGCGATATATGCAAGAGAGAGGGGCGAGTAGAGGATTGCCACAGATTCTATGCAAATTGAGGAAGGTCTTGGGATATACAAGAACAATTGGTATCATTGGTTACGAATAACTAGCGCTGACTGCCGAGAACCGGACGTATACAGTTCATAATGTGCTCGCCTATGGACTATACCCGCTATATAAAACATACAGTACTCATACAACACATAATGGGACAAGACGCTTGCTGTTATACAGCATCTTTACCCGAGCCTGCGGCCAGGGCCCCTCGACTCCCACTCGGCGGGCAAAGGACCGCGACCGGGGGCCATGCCGGTGGTCCTTCCGGTGCTGGGTTCTCCACCCGTGGGGTGGTAAGCCGAGCCATAGTCGCGCTTGAGGACGCGAGGCGTACCGACGAGGTACGAGAGGAAGAAAGGAGTGGGGAGGAGGCAGCGGCCACCGGCAAACTCGGGCCAGAGGCGGCGGCCAAAGTCCCACGAGTGAGCGACAAGGAGACCACCGATCTGGAGGGGGATGGCATCGACGCCGCCCATGACGAGGGAAGAGGCGATCATGAGGTAGGGGACGAGTTGGGCGGGGACGGGGAAAACGAAAAAGGTGGCCATTTGACCCCGCTGGTCCTGATGAACAGTGTAGCAGAGGGCCATGATGAGGCCAGAAATGAAGGTGTAATAAGGACCCGAGAGGATCGGAGTGAAGCGCCAGGCGAACTCGTTGAGGGTCTTTGTTTTGCGAGAATGTTAGCCGACCCGTCCCTTCTTGAACGATGTTTTCAATGGTGTACGTGAAAATTCGAACGAGTGAAAACCGAGAAAGGCGACACAAGCAAGTAAAAAAGAGTAGATAGGAGAAGAAATGTAGGGCGCTGAAAAAACCACCCGAGCCAGTATGAAAAACCGGTCGAGCCATCCATTAGACATCCCACCATGCCCACACCCGAACCAAGCTCCGATGCGAATGAGTGGAGTGGTCCAGGTGCAGGGGTGATCTTCCTCATTTTCAGGAACCGCTCTAGCTGTGAGATGACACTATGCGGGCAGATAGATGAGGGGTTTTTTACGAAGAAAATCAAGCAAAAACAGAAAGGATATGGTGAACGAGGGATGCGTGGTCGAAACACGAAGCAAGATAAAGGAGAGTAAGGAAGGGGCGGAACCATCGACATACCACAATGCTCAGGGCGACGTAGATGAGATACCAGAGGATGTCCTCAAGCTTAGGGAACCGCGGGTTGCCCTTCTCAAGTTCTGAGAGGTACTTGTACAGGAAGTACGTATCGAACAGCATACCCCAGTCAGGACGGGTAAGGAGGAACGATGTTGGGAGGCGCCAGATCTCGGGCACGAACTTGAAAATGTAGTCTACATGCCATAGTACTCGATAGATGGACACAATATTCGTGTAGCAGAGCACGGACATGACAAATGAGAAGGTGGAAATGTTTCTGAAAGGACGACAAGGTTAGCGGTCAAGGACGAGACTGCAAGGCGAGGGGCGTGCTGGCCTCCGAGTTAACGGGAAAGAAAAAGCTTTTCTTACCTAGCAAAGAGAGGCAATCGCCGCCACATATCCACCAACTGCTCACCGGGTCCCGATTGAGTCGACATCTTGGCTGGATAAGAAAGGAAATCCCAAAGATTCAAAACTTCAATCGGCAACAGAGACGGCTGCGTTGCGGGTCGGCAATTGCCACAAAGAAATGTGTGTGCGTCTCAACTCAAACTTGATTCAGCAGAGTTTTGCGATATTTCAGAGATAGCAGGTGGGTGGGATGGAAAAAGAAGTAGAGATTGAATGGGGGAAGTTTCTGTCTTGCGCAGGCTACGGCGCTGACGTTCTTTGGTTCCCTTCACATTGTTGGTTGGGAAATTGGTGAACCGTGTTCTTTTGGAGAAAAAAAGAGTGGAAGGAACGGAAGGAGCTGGAAACTCAGGCAAAAATTTATAAGGATGTGCGAAGAGCTAGAAAGTGGGGGAGCTATTTTGCCGATGATATGCCGGGTCCTCACCTCACCTGAGCTTTCAACCGGGGACTGAGAGAGCTCGTGTGAGAGTGATGTCCTTTGAAAAGACTGCGTGAGATTTTTCTTTTTTTTTTTCGTCTGAGGATTATAATTCCGATATTACATATACCGTCGCTTTAGCTAGCGCAATATCTTCATACACAGCGCCTGCTTTGCCAAGATCCCGCCTTGGAACCATCGCCCGAGGAGCCTCTTGGCGGCACTGATTCAACAAGTCAGGTTGCCGGGGCTTTGAAGCCGTGAAAGCATCACACGAAACATTTCAACCATGCCGCTGAGCAATTTGAAAGCCGAGGAGGCGAAAGAAGCGACATGGGAAGCCGGGCGTGGTGCGGTGATAGGGTCGTTGAAATGGGGTGCGGTGGCGGCCGTCATCGCCGGCGTTGGCCAAACCGCTTACCCTCTACCGAGGACTGACCATTCAGTTTAAAGTGTAAATACGCCCCGTATCCCTTCTCATTAACCCCCTTTTGCCTTTGATCTCCTTTCCCATCTTTAGACTCCATGACGGAAGTCACTAACGAAGGAACAGATACATCCAAATGTCTGCCATGATCATGGGTGGCATGTTGGAGGCGGACAACCGAATGAGGATGTATGAGCAGAGGATACGGCTGCAAAACCGGAGGCTGCGGGAGCAGGCAAAGTGGGAGAGGTACGAACAAGAGTTTTTAGAGCAGAAGAGCGAAAAGTAGAGGGATAGGGTGTAGCCGCGTTGCAATTCCCCGAGGCTAGCTCCTCTTGGTGGTGGCTGTTCATTCATGACTGCTGTCCCATGTGTATATATATGTAAAAGATTTATTCCGGCTGGGCATTGGTATATAGGCCCTCCTGTTCATAACGGATGCGGATGCCCCCACCCCCTCTCAACAGACTCACGTTTCTCTCTTGCCCTGCTTCGTACTTTTGATATCATCAATGTTAATTATCATTCCAACGCCGTCGTCCGGAAATGCACCACCGCCCCTCCCTTTTGTGCTTCCACACCTCGTCACCTCGTCACCTCGTCACTTTGACGAGATTTCGAATTTCTTGGGGTCCATGTTGAGCTTACACAGCCTTACAACACAGCCGCTAAGCTGCAGAAGCGTCTGCACACCTTCCAGGATCTTCATATGAGCGAAGCCAATCTCCTTGATGAACTCCAGCTTCGAGTGCTCGCTGAGGGTATCTATCGTCTTGGTCACTTTGAACATGGTACTGATGATATCGTGACTCGAATAGCCTAGGTCCCATAGCTCCCTCAAACCATCGAGGGCGGCATCCACGTTGCTCTCGTAGCAGGCCTTGAGCATGGCTTGGACCTTGATGGGGTGGGGGAGTCGACGACCTTGAACACGTTATCGCCGGATACGAAACCGAAACCGGCAAACGTAGATTGGAGGTTGTTGATGGCTTGTCGCATATCACCCTCGGCGCTGAAGACGAGGGCAGCTAGGCCGTCATCGCTGTACTCGACCTTTTCGGCCTCGATGATTTGCAGCAGCCTCTTGACGACTTGGGCGTCGGTTAACCGGGAGTAGCGCAGGATCGCGCAACGGGACTGCAGGGGCTCGATAATCTTGTTGGACTGGTTGCACGCGAAAGCGAAGCGGGTCGTGTTCGAGTAGATCTCCATGGTTCGGCGGAGGGCCTGCTGCGCGCCCGATGTCATGCTGTCGGCTTCGTCGAGAATGACGAGCTTATGGCGACCGGCGGGAAGTGTGACCTTTTTCTGGGCGAAACCCTTGATTCGGTTCCTCACAACGTCGATACCTGTGGGGGTGCATGGGTGGTTAGAGCTTGTTTGGGACACTCGGGGAGCTGAAGTGGAAAGAAGACTATGCCAAAGCGTCTTCAACATTGGTGCCTACCTCGCTCGTCACTGGCATTTAGTTCTAGTACAGCTTCTTTGTAGGCATCGCCAAGGAGTTGTCGCGCTAGACAGTGAATACTTGTCGTCTTTCCGATACCTGGCGTACCCGAGATAATGACGTGGGGCATGTTGCCTTCTCTCGCGATGATCTTCAGGCGCTCTATCGTTTCCGTGTTTCCGACTACATCATCGAGGAAGACGGGTCTGTACTTTTCAACCCTGGAACATGCAAGCCCGTCAGCTACGCGTTGCTTGAATCGCGGAGGAAGCCACAAGGTGCAAGGCGTCTGGCTGGAAACTTACCAGGGAAGTTCGTAGGTTGCGCTTCCGTTTGTGGCCCGGGCGAGGGCGGCCTTTGACGCCGAGTTTGACGACTCGCCTGCCTGTGCAGATTTCGCGGTAGACATCTTAGTTTGTCCCTTTTCGCCTCTTGAATAAAAAACAGGATTTGCTCGCGCAGACTGCGGTGGTGGTTACAGATGGATGCGTCGAGGAAAACTGAGGGCGGGATGGCGGGACAGCCTCTTTACGCGCTGGACGTGAATGGCGGCAGCGCGTTTCACGCCCTGCTGTTGGATTATTGCCTGGCTCAGAATCCCGCTGCATAAAAAGAGCACGCTAGCCGTGCATTACGCGGGTGTGCACTAATAACTCCACTGACGCACTGGACCTGGTTGTCCAGAGGGGGTCTCGGATAATTCTCGGTACGCGTATCAGCTAAGGGGGTTTGGGCACCAGCTCGCTTGGCGTCTTGTCCCTGTTTCTAAAAAGCACACGGAAACATTGAGTGGCTTCTGACAAAGGCGGCCCGTTTCCAAGACCTGAAGGGTGTTACGTAGCCTTATGAGAGGAATGCGACAGGGGACTCCAACAGCCCACGACCATCACTATCATTCGTCTGCCTAGCTTCGATTTCAAACTTTTTTCTTTGTTTGTTTCTAAACTCACGTCCAGATGATATTTGCATAGTACAACGCGATCAATTATTCCTTTGATAACCTGTGCCGGCTCTTAGCGACAAGCCTTGATTGAAGCTTAGTTCGCCTCGACTTAGCTGCCATCAGCGGCGTGCTGTTGATCCCTTTTAATGACGGCTTGTGCCGAACCTTAAACAACCCCCAACCATCTACCCAGGCTCTTCTCTTCTCCGCCCTCCCTCCCTCATCCCATTCCCTCTCTTGCGACTCAACATTAAACTGGGCAACACAACCCTCGATGCGGCATGCCTCACCCCGCCGATTACTCGCCGCCGAAGCCGCCGGACTCACCTTCAGATGATTCCGACTCCGACCTCGACCTCGACCTCCAGGAGCTCGACCCGACCACCTCGTCCACCGCGCGTAGCCCTCGTCTGCTGAGACCCGACAGCTCGACTCCCGAGAAGAAGCAAACCCCGGGTATCGCCTTACGAAACCTTCGCATGGGTGGCCTGCGCCGATCGGGAAGGAGGGGCGCCGCCCGATACGGGGAGTTGGGAGAAGACCGCGATGCAGCCGGAGAGCATGGAGAGTCGCTCCTTGGTCGTGATAACGGTGCCTCGGACCGGAGGTATTCTGAGGGATCAGGCGATGATGCGCCATTACTAGCGGAACGTTCATCGCCCCGAGGACGTCGCTCCTTTACCCAAGATCGCCTCAAGGGGTTGGGCTCCGCCATACGAATCCCGAGCTTCATGTCTTCCTCGTCTAACCGTGCGGAAGATGCTGAGGATAGTCAAGACGAAGATGACCCATCTTCCTCGCGGCATGTTGCTGTGGCGTCTACGCAAGCAACCAAATTCCCCCGAACATTGTCTCCAATGCGAAATACACCGCCTTCACATTCCTTCCCATAACCTTGTACAACGAGTTCTCCTTCTTCTTTAATATGTACTTCCTCCTCGTCGCCCTGTCCCAGGCGATACCCGCCCTTCGAATCGGTTACCTCTCCACCTATATTGCGCCCCTAGCGTTCGTCTTGATGATCACCATGGGCAAGGAGGCCTGGGATGATATTGGTAGGAGACGGAGGGATAACGAGGCCAACGCCGAACCGTATGCCGTCCTTCACTTTGGATACCCCAGGGAGGCAGCGGGCGGCAGTGTACGCAACAGGAAAAGGCTGCGTTCTGAGTTGATAAGGAAGCGAGGAAAGCGGCCCGTCTCCCCTCGGGATCGGCTTTCCGACATTCAAGAAGAGGAAGAGGATCTTGAGGGTTTTGGCGCAGGTAGCCAGCCGTCCTCGTACGTACAGGAAATCAGCAAAAAGTCACGAGACCTGAGGGTGGGTGATGTCCTGAAGCTGAGCAAGGGACAGAGGGTACCTGCCGATGTTGTGATCCTGAAGTGCTACACAGCCGAGAGTGCCGTGGCGGCTGAAGGCGAAGGTTCCGAGGAACCTGAGGAGCCTGAGCCTCTTCTTGTCGATACCGGCACCGAAGGTCAACCCGCCGGGGAGACGTCCGCCGCGGCTTCCGGCTCCGCGGGAGCTGCGGCCGCCGAAGAGGCTGAGAACGGACCGGGTGGAGAGACGTTCATCCGGACGGACCAGCTTGACGGTGAAACGGACTGGAAGTTGCGTCTTGCTTCGCCCCTTACCCAGAACCTCCCCACTGAGGAATTTGTGCGCCTGCGAGTGACGGGCGGCAAACCGGACAAGAAAGTCAACGAGTTCCTCGGATCCATCGAGCTCATGGGCAGCAGGGAAGAGGCTCAAGATCACCACGCAGCCCTCCAGAATGAGGGCGGCGACCGCTCAGGCTCGGCACCTCTATCCCTCGACAACACGGCATGGGCCAACACCGTAATCGCTTCTCAGGGGACGACCCTCGCCGTAATCATGTACACCGGCCCCCAAACCCGCTCCGCCCTATCCACCGCTCCCTCGCGCTCCAAGACAGGCCTCTTGGAGTATGAGATTAACTCACTCACCAAAATTCTCTGCGCCCTCACACTCGCCCTGTCCATCATCCTGGTCGCCCTCGAGGGTTCAACAATGTCGAAGGGAACAGATGGTACATCAAGATTATGCGTTTTCTTGTCCTCTTCTCCACCATTGTGCCTATCAGCTTGCGCGTTAATCTCGACCTCGGCAAGAGCGCGTACTCGTGGTTCATCCAGCGTGATCCCGGCATCCCCGGAGCCGTTGTTAGGACGAGCACGATTCCCGAAGATCTCGGCCGAATCGAGTATCTACTGAGCGACAAGACCGGCACCCTCACCCAAAATGAAATGGAGATGAAAAAGATTCACGTCGGAACCGTGTCGTACGCGAATGATGCGATGGACGAGGTCACGTCATACATCTCCCAAGGGTTCCATGTCCAACCTACGCTTGACCCTGCTTCTAAGACAGCTCTCATCACGCCGTCCACCTCGTACCAGGCGACTGGAAACATGGGCGGTGCCACGAGAACCCGAAGGGAGATTGGCTCCCGCGTTCGGGACGTTGTTCTCGCTCTCGCGCTCTGCCACAATGTCACGCCTACTGTCGAAGAGGAGAATGGCCGGATGGTGACGTCGTACCAAGCCTCATCCCCTGATGAAATCGCCATCGTGCGATGGACTGAGTCTGTAGGGCTCCGACTATCGCACCGCGACCGCAAGGGTATGATTCTCGAGTCGAGTAAAGGCCGCAAGGTTGTGCAGGTCCGGATCCTCGATATTTTCCCCTTTACCTCGGAAGGCAAGCGCATGGGAATTATTGTTCAGTTCTACGAGCACGCGTCAAACAAGGCACCCGATCTGTCAACTGGAGAGATTTGGTTCTACCAAAAGGGTGCTGATACGGTGATGGGCTCCATCGTCGCTGCAAACGACTGGCTCGACGAGGAGACGGCTAATATGGCCCGGGAGGGCCTCCGAACCCTCGTCGTTGGCCGCAAGCGCCTCTCGTACAAGCAATACCAGGAGTTTTCATCGGCGCACCAGGAGGCCGCCCTGCTCATCTCGGGCCGCGATGCCGGCATGCAGAAGGTCGTGTCACAGTACTTAGAGCGGGATCTGGAGCTCCTGGGCGTGACGGGTGTCGAAGACAAGCTACAGCGCGATGTCAAGCCGTCGCTCGAGCTTTTACGCAATGCAGGCATCAAGATTTGGATGCTGACGGGCGACAAGGTAGAGACGGCGCGTTGCGTGGCCGTCAGTTCGAAGCTGGTGGCACGTGGCCAGTACATCCATACCGTGGCTAAGCTGACGCGCAAGGACGGCGCGCAGGAGCACCTCGACTTCCTCCGCAGCAAGCCGGACTCGTGCCTCCTCATCGACGGCGAGAGTCTAGCGCTGTACCTGGCGCATTTCAGAGTCGAGTTCATCTCTGTAGCCGTGCTCCTGCCCACCGTCGTGGCTTGCCGCTGCTCGCCCACGCAAAAGGCCGAGGTGGCTCAGCTCATCAAAGAGTACACCAAGAAGCGCGTGTGCTGCATCGGCGATGGCGGCAATGACGTGTCCATGATTCAGGCGGCCGACGTCGGCGTTGGCATCGTGGGTAAGGAGGGTCGACAGGCCTCCCTCGCGGCCGACTTCTCCATCGAGCAGTTTTGCCACCTGACCAAGCTGCTCGTGTGGCACGGCCGCAACAGCTACAAGCGGAGCGCGAAGCTGGCCCAGTTTGTCATTCACCGTGGCCTCATCATTGCCGTGTGCCAGACCATGTACAGTATCGCCATGAAGTTTGAACCTGAGGGTTTGTACAAGGTATGTTTTTCTAAGGCGGATCGCTCTCGTCTCTCCCAAACTTTATCTGGTTATCAAGATTGTACTGACTCCTATGGGTGTAGGACTGGCTCCTCGTCGGTTATGCCACCATATACACTGCCGCCCCCGTTCTGTCCCTTGTCCTCGACAAAGACGTGGACGAAGACCTCGCCAATCTATACCCGGAACTGTACAAGGAACTCACCTCGGGCCGTTCCCTCTCGTACCGGACCTTTTTATCTGGGTTTTTGTCTCCATCTACCAAGGCGGCATCATCCAGGGCCTTTCGCAGATCCTGACCTCGGTGGACGGTGACCGCATGCGTGCCGTCAGCTACACGGTGCTAGTGCTGAATGAGCTGCTCATGGTCGCTATCGAGATCACGACTTGGCATCCCGTCATGATTGCGTGCATTGTTGGCACGTTCCTCATGTACGTGGGGTCGATACCGTTCCTAGGCGATTACTTTGACCTCGGATTCATCATTACTTGGTACGTATATCTTGACGCTTACCTTTCCCGTCCTTCCTTTTTTTTCTTTTTCTTCGTCTTTACCATTCGACGCGGGAGACAAGCCACCATTCTAACATGATTTACCTAGGGGTTTCTTATGGAGGGTCCTCGCTATTGGATCCATCTCACTTGTACCGCCTTATGCTGTCAAGGTGATTAGCAGGACGATGAAGCCACCTTCGTATAGAAAGGTACAGAGCAGGTAGAGGCTCGTGTTCACTTGGGATTGTATCATGATGGCGTTTCGGGGTGGAGAGGGATGCTCATATTTAATTTTTTTCCTAGATTATTCTACCTGTCCATCTATTCCCTTCACACCTGTGTAAATAGAGCATTGTCTGTGTTTTTTTGCATATTTTATTCCCTTTGACTTGTCCAAATTCCTTCCTGTCCTCTGCAGAACTCGTTTTCTTCTTGTTCTTGGCTGTTTCCTGCCTGTCTACGCGGGTTTCCGTTTTCTATGAATACAGAAGGACCAAACATATTTCAGTCATACCACTAGTAGGAGAGAAGCACCCATGAGAGAGTAAGGGATGATGGTTATACAAATCTACATATCTATGTACATCTAACCGAAAAAAGAGTCGCACATGACATTTTCCATCTCTCTCTCTACATATCATACAATTTAAATATTTTACAATATTGCCACTAACGTTTCCCTCTCAGCAAGGCAAGAGATTTGCCTCAAGGAAACCCGAGCACAAGCCACGGCCGGGCCGGGTCGCCAAACTTGGCATCCAGCTCGCCGAGGAGGCCACCGGTCCTGAAAGTTGCGCCGCTCGGGTGGCGGACAACCTCGCCGGCGAGCTTGTCCACGAAGCCTTGGGGCCCGCACACGAATACGGGCTTGTGCAGGTCCGCAGCGGGAGCGTGATTCGTTTCAAGAGCAGCAGCGGCGGCGGCCGTGGTCGTGGCCGTGTGGGTGGTCGGGTCCTCGGGCTCGCAGAGGACAGCGACGGGAACGGGTAGCGCGCAGGGGTAGAGCGGTCGGCGGGTAGGCCGCCTCGCCCACGTGCGGGGAGAGATTTGGAGGGCGTTTTTGAGATCCGCCTCCGCGAGGGCGGTGCCCTCGTCGTCGATGGCGACCTGGACAGACAGCTTGTCGCCATAGTGCCTCTTCATCTCGAGAAGCCGGCGAGCCATGTCCGAGGCCCCGGGGAGGTCGGCGACGGCGCCGTCCAGAACCGCCAGCTTGGCCGGGTCGCGCACGCTCTGAAGATCGGAGCGGGTGCGCACGGCCCAAACGATGCGCACCTTGGTGTCGGGGTGGACGCCGCGGCCGCGCGCAGGATTGCCCCCGAGAACGGCGTGTGCCACCTGCATGGCGGTGGCGATGCCGGTGCCGCCGGCGAGGCAGACGACGTCCTCGGGGGTGTCGGCGCCGACGTGGGCAAAGGCGTAGCCGCGCTCGCCGAGGCGCAGCTCGACGCTGTCGCCGGGGTTCATCTTGGCGAGGTAGTTGGAGACTTCGCCGCGGGGTAGGCGGCGGACAAAGAAGCGGATGCGGCCGTCGGCGTCGGCGCGGGGCTGGTCTGGGGGCGGGGGTAAAGGGGTGTACTCCCTCTGGATCTGGATCTGGGGCTGCTTGACTTGGACGGACCATTGGAAGTCCCACCAGGTGCCGTCGGGGCCGAGGTAGGGGAGGGCGCCCGGGGGTGGGGGCTGGCGCGGGGCGAGGGTCATGACGAAGGAGTTGGGGGAGACGGGGGTTTTGGAGACGACGGTGTAGGGGACGAAGTTGGTGGTGTTGAGAGTCGTTTGCTTCGTTGTGGCGGGTTGTAAGAGGTACCATGTGAGGCCGGAGAGGGAGGCGGCGCCGGCGCCGAGGAGGAGGAGGAGCCGGGGGAGGCGGGAACTGGGAAGAGGTTTGGAGCGGGATGAGGTGCTGGAGGCTCGCTGCGAGCTGGGGGGCGATTGAGGCGTGGAGGAGGCGATATGGTTCTGGCGAGGGGTGATGGGGTTGCTGGAGGAGAGAGGCCCATCCAAGATGTTCTAGGGCGACATCGCGAAAGGGTGGATGCCGCCCTTGCGTGGGCGAAGAGACGAAGCTCCTTCATGAAGGGCGAAGAGAGTGCTCCAGCTCTGTCGATTTAGTTCAAGTTTTCCACGTTTTTTATATAGAAAGGAAAGGTATAGGTCTGGTGTGATGAGATGAGATGAGATTCGGCGTGAGTTTGCAATGTTACATCTATCCTCGGCGATGAGAGATGAATAGATCCATAAGCTGAAGGTGAGAGGAGTGCAAGTGCTGGTCAATATTGAAATTTTGAGATTACATAATCACAAATCACTTTCAGTCCCGGTTTCTCCCATCACGCTCGTTATGGCTCAGCTATGCAATTCAAGATTGATAAAAGGTTGCAAGAATTATAGAAGGTATATAGATGGACAATTGAATCGTAGTAAGAGGTAATGAGATAAAACAATGAGCAATAATCCTTGATACCCCGAGAATATACCAGAAGCGCCCAAACCAAACCCGGTTAGCAAAACCACAACCCAACTTACACGGCCCCGCTCACGCCCGCTCACGCCCGCCCACGCCCGCTCACTCTCCATCTCACGCGCGGTCCTGCAACTCGGCCGCGAGCCTCTCCCGCAGCATATCCTGCAAAAATACAATCATATCCGGAGTCGAGACCTGCAGCCTGCCCGACTTGCGGCCCTTTTTCCCCTCGGACATGAAGACGTCGCCGACGATGCGGCGCGAGAGGGTCTCGACGTCACGGCCGTTGGACCAGTCGCGGGTCCCAGCGAGCTTGGCCAAGAGGCGCTGAACCTTTGCTTTATCCTCGGGTGCGGGGGCGACCCTATCGCGGATAGCGATGCCGAGCTTGCCGAGGAGCTGGCCGAGGAAGAGCAGGCACTGGGCCGGGGTGAGCTGGGGGAAGACGACCTCGGTGGAGAAGCGGCCGCGCAGGCCGCGGTTGGACTTCATGAGGGCGTCCATGTCGCCGCTGTAGCCGGCGAGGATGACGACCATTTTCCGCATGTAGCGCTCCTTGGTCAGGCCGTCGACCAGCTCGCCCACGGCCTCCTCCTCAAAGGAGTCGGTGCCGCCGCCGCCGAGGCGGTAGGCCTCGTCGACGAAGAGGATCTTGCCCAGGGCGCGCTCCATGAGGGCCTGCACGCGGGGCCCGTGTGGCCCTTGTACTGGCCGATGAGGTCCGAGGCCGAGCACTCGACGACCTCGTCGCTGGCGAGGAAGCCCATGTCGTAAAACACTTGGCCAATCTTGCGCGCCGTCGACGTCTTGCCCGTGCCGGGCGGGCCCTTGAAGATGAAGGTGAAGGGCACGTAGGGGCGGGGGTCCCGCCCGTGCAGGCGCATGCCGGCCGCGATTTGCTGGTAGCCCTTGAACTGCTGCACGACCTTGTCGAAGCCGACGAATTCCTTGAACAGGTCCTCGCACGTGGATCCGGCGCCGTCGGTGCGCCGCCAGTCGGGGTCAAAGTCATCGGGCTCCAGCACGACTTGGTCGTCCAAGGCGAGGAGGTAGGCTTCTTCTTCGTCCTCTTCCTTCTTTTGCGTAGCCGAGTCTGCCGTCGCTGCCGTGGTGGCGGGCGCTTCATCCTTGTTTGTATCGGGGACTGCCGCGGCGGAAGGGTCCACGTTGGGCGGTCCGTCCGATTCTACCACGGGGAGGGGCTTACTGATGTTTCATTGTCTTTGGGCGCCTCGGCCGTGACTGCCTTGTCCTCACCGGAGGCATCATCAACAGTCACTTGGAAAGTCACTTTGACCGCGGCGACATCCGCTTCCGCCTCTACCGTCGCCGCCGCCGCCGCCGTCGTCGTCGTCGTAACCGCAGCCCTGTTCTTCTCCCTTTCGCCATCCACCCGCTTCCTATAAGCGGCCCTGGCGCGGTTCACCAAATTCTCCACATCCCGCCCATTGCCGAAATTCGGCCGGTCCCTCGCCCGCCCAAGCACCTGCTCCGCCACATGCCTCCCCATGGGCGTCACCTCGAGCTCCTCAGCCGAGAGAGTCTTGTCAAAGATGGTCATGAGGTCGCCCACGGGGTAGTCCTTGATCTCAAAGGCATCCTCTAGCGGGAAGCGGCTGCGCAGACCGGGGTTCCCGCGCACAAACAGCTCGCGCATGCCATCCGGGTAACCGACGAGGATCACGGCGCGGTCCTGGCCGGGCTTGGCCGAGGTCTTGGCGACAATGGTGTCGAGAATATCGTAAAGGTACTGGTCGCCCTTGAATGTCGACTGGCCCGCGCTCTCCGAGGGGCACAGGTTGTCGGCGTCGTCGATGATGAGCACCTTGCCGGCGGCCTCTTCGAAAATCTTTTTCGTGTTTTGCTGCGCGCCCCGATCCACTTGGAGTTGAAGTCGCTCGGGTCCTTTCTCACCACCTCCTTTTTCGAGACGAGGTTCAAGTCGCACAGGATCCGCGCGTACAGGTTCGCGACCGTGGTCTTGCCCACGCCGGGCGACCCCATGATGACGCGGTTGAAATGCGTGCCAATGGGCTTCTTGCCCTTCATCTCAAGCCTGTAGTTGACCCTCGCGCGGTCCATGAGCGCCTCCACCTCCCTCTTGATGTTCTCCATGCCCACCATCTGCTGCAGCTCCTTGTACGCCGCGCTCGTCACCCGCAGGTCCGGCGGCGGCTTGCCCAGCAGATCCTCCTTGGTGAGGAACCGGTCGTCGGGCGCTTCGCCCTCGACGCTGCCCTTGGCCTCCCACGCGGCGCGCTCGACCCAGAGCCTGTCGGCCTGGCGGTCGCAGGCAGCGGAGAAGGCGTCGCGCACGGCCCAGAAGTTGCGGAAATCGCCCAGCTCGCGCTCCGTCCCGATGCGGCGGGCTAGCCTCTCGGTGTAGCAGCCGCCGACGCCGCCTTCGACCTCGAGCCCGCGCTTGCGGAACAAGCGCTGCAGGAGGGTGTGGATCTCGGCGTCGGTAAAGTCGTCGATGTGGATCGTGCGGTCGCTGCGGTGGGTCTTGTGGACGTCGATGTCGTCCTCTCCCCAGTCATAGAGGTCGTCCTTGAATGAGGTAAAGTGTTGCCTGACGGTCCATTTTCCTTAAAAGACAGTCACAGACATGGGGTTAGCGTGGTCGGTCCGCTGTGTGTCGCTCAGATGACATATGGGGTATATCGATCAGAAGGGGACAAGGGAAGCAAACTTACCGGTTCCCGGACCGCCGGTAACGTCAAAGTCAATGGTTTTTCCGTGTGTCGTCTCTCCGCGCCGCTCCGAAGCCTCGACGGCGGCTTTCATGGAAAGGAAGGCTTGTTTGACGCTTTCCAATCCTACCATGCACATGATGCGGTCGAGACCTCGATTGGGCCTCCAGATCTTGGGTTTCTGCCGGAGCCATTCCAGACGGGCCTTTGAGTCGTCTTCTACCTCTTCGGGGTTGTGGTCGTACTTGTTATCCTCATCATCGTCGTTGTTGTTGTCGCTGTCGCTGTCGCTGTCGATTTTATCATCGTTGTTGTCTTCGTCTTCGTCCTCCTCGTCGTTGTCGCTATCGTCGCTGCCATCCTCACTGTCGTCTTCGTCATCTTCGTCATCATCGCTGTCGTCGTCGTCATCGTCGTCGACATCGGTCCATCCTTCTGATGAGTTGTCGTCGTTTTTCTTCTCCTCTTCCTTTTCTTTCTTCTTTTCCTTTTCTTTCGTCTTCTCATTCTTCTTAGGCTTTTCATTTTTCTTTTTCTTTTTCTCATCCTTCTTCTTTTTCTCATCCTTCTTTTCTTCTTCGTCTTTCTTTTCTTCTTCGTCCTTCTTCTCCTCTTCATCCTTGTTCTCCTCTTCATCCTTCTTTTCTTCTTCGTCTTTCTTCTCCTCTTCATCCTTCTTCTCCCCCTCGTCCTTCTCCTCCTCCTCATTCCCCTTGTTATCTTCGCTGCTCTCCTCGCTCTTCTTCTTCTTTTTCTTCCTCTTCTTCTTCTTCTCCTCCGACTTCTCCTCTGTCTTCTCCTCAACCTTCTCCTCGACCTTGTCTACCCCCGCATTTGATGCCTGCTCCTCTGTAGATTTCGCCTCTGGTTCTTGACTCGTCTCATCGGCTTTCCCCTACATCATTGCCTTTTGCTGCTCTATCTCTCCGTCCGGTTTAGAACCCCCTTCACCAGTAGCTTCACCCTCCTTTGATACAGGCTTCTCCTCCTCGCCCTGGCCCTCGCCCTGGCCCTCGCCCTGGCCCTTCTCTGCGTCCACCACCACTGCCGCTAATGCTGCCGCTGCCTCTCCATCGCCCGAGCTTGCAGGTTGGACAACAACAAACTCGCCAGCCTCGTCTGATTTGGCGTCGCTCGCCGACGAAGCGCCGCTTGCTTGTGCTGGTTCGGTTGTCGCTGGCGCCGGGGTGCGGTTTCCTGCGCTTCCGGCAGGTTGCTTTCGCTATCCAATACAATAGCCGAGTCGTCCCGTCGTGGCGTCGAGTTTGCTGGGTCAGTCGGCGGGCTATCTTTGTGTCGTTTTCGTCCTTGGGCTCCATTGCGATCTTTTGCTGAAATCTAGCTCCTCTCAATTGCCCAGCACCTCGATAGAACTTGGGCACTTGAAGCAAGCCAGCAAACAAAATAAAAATAATACCAAAGATGAAGATCCGGGAAAGAAAAAAGATGGAAGAAAATAGAAAGAAAGACAAGATGCTCAATCTCTCTCGAGATCCACAAGCAATCAATTCAATCCCTTCGACAACAACAATTGGTTCTTGCTGTTCCCTGCTGCGAAGATCCTTTGCCTCCCTCTCCCTCTTTTGCTCTACGACTCAGCATGGTGTAGCAGACGGAGCTCTGCTACCTACCCCTACCTCGACCCCTGTCTATCGGCAAGGCTGAGCCAAGACGGCCCCCTCTTGCCGCCTGTGCTCGCCTCCTACTCGTAACTGCAGCCCATCAGCATCAGTGACATTCTTGTGGTACTGTTCTGTCCCACCATCCACCCTCGTTCCCCTCCTCCCGTGGCCAAATTGGCACCAGGTTCCATTTCCCGGCCCAACCCCACCCTCCAGGGTCGTCCCGACGGGCGGTACCCCCATGCACCACATCTCCTTTTGCGATCCTTCAAGGCTGAAGTGCGCTGTGATTTGCCCCTGGTGGTCGAGCGTCGTCGCATCGCTTCATCCTGCCTCCACGCAGGAGCGGCCGCCCGGCCCCCAAATAGGCCTGGAATCCTTTTTTGCCCTTCTCCTTTAATACCACACGAAAGCGAACACGGACGCGGTTGGCCTGCTGCCCAATCTTTCTGAGGGCCTAATACCCTCTTGAGCATCGAAATAGTTTAGACTTGTAATCGAGGTGAATATCGATGGGATCAGCTAGTTCCGCACTAGTAGGCGGGAAGGAGTTGGAGGATGATTGACCAAGGTTTTGCCTCTGCGTCCAGTGGCTTTGTGGCTGCGGCTGCTTGCAAGCGCTACAGCCGCGCACATACGCCACACTGCCTCAGAATGTCGACCTGAAGTGTAACTTCCTCTCTCGGCAGGACGGGGTTGTGGCGAAAAGAGCCACAAACGTCGTGTTTTTGCAATGATCTCCAAGTACTCTACGATCTCCAAGTACTCTACGAATGAGACATCGAAACAAACAAAAGCTGAAGGCATGAGCGGGAGAGGTATGATGACCACTGATCATCGTGAAGTAGATGGTTGAAACATTATTTTAAAGTCCTATGGCCTAACGCCTCGTCTTGAGCAAACTATTCCGTATATATCATATGGGTCGATGTAGGAGAAAATGAAAAAAAAAAAAAAAGAAATAGAAAAGAGAAAGCCTGATGCGTCTTAGACAAACACCACATTCCCAGAATCGTAAACCCCCATGACCTTTTTCCACTTCATCTGCCTCGACATGATCAGCTTCAACCGCGCCCCCGCACCTCCCGCGCTCCCGCCCGCCAACGCGCCATCCCCCGCGCTCCCAGCGAGCTTGCGCCTACGATCGAGGTCCTCGCAGATGAGGTACTCGACGTCCCTGTCCGCGCTGTGGTGCACCGACCGCAGGCGCGTACCCTCCGCGCGTCCAAGCACACGAGCGCGGGGCCCCGGGGCGTGACGACCTTGAGCGGAGTGAGCCCGCTGATGAGCATGGTGGTGGTGCTGATGGGGCGGTCGATGGAGAAGCCGCTGTCCTTGGCGCGGCGCTGAAACACCGAATTATACGGCCCGCAGGTAAAGAGGATGCCGTGGCCGCTCTCATCGTGCAGCAGCTTGGCGATGATGAGCTGGTCGCGGATCCCCGTGACGGCCTCGAGCTCGGACACGGAGCGGCAGCGCACGCGGCAGTGGAGGAAATCGCTCCAGCTCCACTCGCGCACGAGCACGCTCTTGCAGATGAGGATGACAAAGGCGGCCAGCACCCAGGCGTACGTGGCGATGTTGAAGGGGTCCACGCCCTGGATGCGGTTGCCCACGGTGAACCCGATGGCGAGCCCGCCGCCCGCGAGCAGCATGGCGAAGACGCCGATGCTGACCACGTAGAGCGTGCACGGCACGATGATGGCCGACTCGTCCACCACCCACTCCTCCTCCATCATGCGCGTGAGCTTCTCAAACTTGCGCGACGTGTCGGCGTCGATCTTGGGCCGGCGCTTCTCGTCGTCCACTTCGGCGCGGTCGATGAGGCGACACCGGTCAAACGTGCCGTCCTCGAACGCGGCCGAGAGACGCATCACGTCGGCCGAGCGGGTGTAGGCGTCCATCTTGTCGGTGAAGAGGCGGAAGAAGGCCTTGAAGTTGGTCTCCTTGTACGGGCGCACGTGGTCGTCGCTCTCGTTGGAGTAGTTGAGCAGCATGATGCTGCGGAAGCTCGTCAGCTCCGAGACCAGGTACGGGCTCGTCGTGGACAGCGGCACCATGGCGGTGATGATGTCGTCCATGTACTCCAGCTCCAGCGACGCCAGGGCCGTCCGGTCTTCCGTGTCGCAGTCGATGCAGTCCGTGTCCATGACTTGGTACTTCCACTCGATAAACGTCTTGACTTTTCGGTCCGCCACTTGGTCGGACGGGTCTCCTGTTTTCCGGAGCTGCTTCAGCTGCAGCACCGTGGAGTGTAGGATGTGAAACGCGCAGTCCGCCGTGTTAATGTTGTCTTGGTCCGAAGTAGCCTCGTATTCCATGTCTCGATCCTGATAGAGCAGTGTCTATTTTCCCACTTCGTTAGTACCTCCGTATACTTTGTAACCGATACCAAGAGAGGAACCGGGCAAGATAGAAACGGGGAAAACGTGAAGGGGGAGGAAAGGAAAGGAAAGAATGGAACTCTTTCTGCTCACCTTGAAACCTTGAAACCCGCTATCGTACACCAGCCCGCAAATCTCGTACGCCGTCGGCGGCAACCCCGACCGATTCAAAAACCGGAGCGAATTCGTCACCGACTTGAGCGCCGACGTCACACCCGTGCGGTACTTATTCTGACGAATGCAATAGCTCGCCACCGCCGCCTCCGCCTGCGACGTCAAGCCATCCTTGGCATTCGCCGCGACGATGCGCATCGCCTCCTCGCACTCCTCCTCTTCGTCCATGACGGTGTCGGCGTACGCGCCCGTCGCGCGGCTCATATCCAGGACCGCCTCGCCGTTCTGCGCCGCCACGCGCGCGTTGGACGGCAGGTCCAGCAGCAGCAGCTTGATCTTGGCCACGCGCGTGACGAGCGCGCGCAGCACCGTGGTCTGGTAGAACTCGCCCGCGCCCGACTGCGTGATGAGGCGCGCCAGCACGGCGGAGATGTAGTTGATGAGGTCAAACGTGGCGTTGTGCTCCCGGATCTGCTTCTCGACTTCCTCGTCCGACATGGTCCCGTCCTCGTCCTCGCCCTCCGTCTTGGCGGCGCCGGCGACCTGCGCTTGCCGAATGAGCTTGAGCAGGCGGTCGCGGTTCGACAGGTTCTTGCAGAAGCGCACGTGGATGCACTCGAGATCCAGCGCGCACAGGGCGATGGCGGTGTTGATCTTTTCCGCGAGCCCGTTGAGCAGGCTGTAGCCCGCCTCGTCGCCGACGCTGAAGTAGTCGCGGTTGTCGAAGCGGATGGGGTCGTTGGGGTGGCAGACGTAGTGGTGCAGGCGGACGGCCTCGGCGCGCCAGAGCTTCTCCGACACGGCTTCATGATCCGTGATGCAGTAGGCTTCGATGCTGTCGTAGCGCGGGAACTCGGATTCCACGCTGTCGTCCGGCAGGTCGGCGGACAAGATGTCTTCCACCGTGCAGGAGCAAGGGGATTCGCGGGGGTGCCCTTCCTCCTCTTCCTCGGCCTCGGGCGTCTTTCGGGGGATGGACGGGTGGATGAGCTGGTGGCGGGCGCGCTCTTTGAGCTGCGTAAACGGGCGGCGGAGCCTCCGCTCGACGCGCTGGCTGGTCGAGGACCATGACGTTCTCCGCGAGATCATGGAAGGGCCGGACCCCACCGTCGTGCGCGCTCTCCGGAGCGAGGGGCCGACGGTGTTGGAAAAGGACGGATAGCGTGAGTTGTCCAGCGGTGCTACGAACTCTACACCTTCGGACAGCTGGGTTTTGGAGTCGCTCTTTTCCGACATTTTGCCCGCCTTGTCGCTGTGCGTCTCGCCCATCTTGACTAACAGCTGTGTTGTTTATAAAATATGAAGAGAAGAAGGAAGTAAAGTGGTGTGTCCTCCCTTTGGGGTGTCCCGCTTCGATGGGTTCCACGAACGGGGAGGTACTAAAAAAAAAGTAAGGGACACAGGTATTAGTCGTTAATCGCTAGTCGCTCCTCAACCACTTCCTCAAGATATTACTCCCAGCATGGACTCGAAAGAAACAAAACTGATACCAGAAAAAAAAAGAAGGTTTGGAGAAAGATGAAGCAAACCCTTTCCCTCTTTTCCCGATGGCAAGGCTCCATCACACACACACGCACACACACACCAACAAAACGTGCAGACCAGGAATCCTCCCTGCTCGCCTCATTAGCAAAGTAATCCAATCTCACTGAGACCAGGGTTGCCCGAGCCACCCGCCGCGGTCATCACAGCCCGCATGTGGGCAGGTATCTTTGTGGGTACGGAGAGGGGCTCCGCCACCTGTGATGTGACAGACAACGTCCAGGGGCTGGCAAATCCTCACCTGGTGGATTCCCAAAACGGCACACCCTCGCTTGTTGCCGCTGATCCTTTGAAGAGGGAGAGGGAGCTTGGGAATCTCAGGGCTGTAGCACCTCGAGGGGGTGGTTTTCATTCAATCTTTTTTTTTAATCGTAGAGTTCATGCGCATCTCTTCGGCGATAGAAGAATCTCACGGCTCTTTCGTTCTCCCTTTCCCCTCCCTCGTCTTCTTGTCCCAAATCTTGCGTGTTTTTCCTCCTGTCAGCTGCGTCTTTTCATTGATACCAAGCTCTCAAGAGCATACACCAAAGAAAAACAGCAGGCATCTTCCAGCTTCATTGCTTTATTTTTCGCTGCCGAGCTCTCTGAAGCCGGTTCAGCAATAATACATCATGTCTCTAAGCAGCACCTGCCGCTTCTTAGACTATCTCCAAGCCGTCGATCCCCGACAGCCTCACAACAAGCTGTTAACAATTGACGCGCCGCCCGGAGCCGGGTCGTCCACTCAGAATGACCAGTCCGTGATAAGCCGGCTCGCGTTAACCGTCGCCACCAACCACACTTTGAACGCGGTGATTGTCGAATCCCCGTCGCCCTCGGCGGCATCGACGAAGGAAACACGGCGGACAACGAAGGGCCGTCTTCGAGAAAACCCAGACTCGCCCGGCGTTCGACGGGGGCTCCACGACGCCCGGCAGGCGAAGGCGGCGGAGTTCCAGGAGCCCACGCAGGGATCCAAGGATTCCAAGGGTTCCAAAGCCGTCTCTCAGGGTTCCAATGACATGTTTCTCCGCGTCGACGAGATGGTGGAAGAGTACGCTTCCGAGGCGGAGATGAGCGGGCTGGACGACTACTACCGGGAAGAGGGCCACGCGAAGCGCACCTTCCGGCGGCTTGGAAGATCACGTAACTTCCTGGTCGAGGCAAGTCTCGAGCCGCGCCGGGGGCGGAGGCGGGGGCGGGGGCGGGGGCTCTGATTCCGACGAGAGCGGTGGGGAGGATGGCGGTGGTGGCGGCGGCCGCGGCGGCGAAAGAGCCGAGGTCTACGACAGCGACCTCGAGTCTACGATAGGGGACGTTGGCCAAGCCGCGCACAAGAAGAAAATGAGGAGGTACAAAGCCCTTGCGAGGGACCATTTCGAGAGGATGCTGCTCGAATGCATCGTAAACACAGGTAAGATTCCGAGTCTGTGTGTGAGAGAGAGAGAGAGAGAGAGAGAGAGAGAGAGAGAATCAAGGAGCGTGGAGAGAGAGAACTTCCATTTCTCGCACACTGCCGCTGACTTTCTTTCTCTCGCAGAGAGCATCAAGGATAACTACGAAGACATGTTCGTCGACCAAAAAACCATCGACAAGCTCGAGCACGCCACGCGCATGTCCCTCCTCCGCCCCAAAGCCTTCAACCGCGGCGTGCTCGCCGGCAACCGAGTCACCGGCGCCGTCCTCTACGGCCCGCCCGGCACGGGCAAAACCCTCCTCGTCAAAGGCCTCGCCCGCAAATCCGGCTTCAACATGATCCTCGCCTCCACGGCCGAGCTCTGGCAAAAATGCCACGGCGACGACGAAAAAGTCATCAAGGCCCTGTTTTCCATGGGCCGCAAGCTGCACCCGGCCATCGTCTTCATCGACGAGGCCGACGGCTTACTCGGCGTGCGCAAGGCCGGCGAGAAGCGCCACATCCGCGCCATGCTCAACCAGTTCCTCATGGAGTGGGACGGCCTCAACAGCGGCAAAGACGCGCCCTTTATCCTGCTCGCGACGAACCGGCCCTTTGACCTAGACCCGGCCGTGCTGCGGCGCGCCCCCGTGCGGATTCACCTCGACGTCCCTACCGCGGCGCAGCGGTTCGGTATCCTCGGGCTGCTGCTCAAGGACGAGGTGCTCGGCGCCGACGTGTCCGTGGACAGGCTCGCCAAGATGACGACGCGCTATACGGGCTCCGATCTCAAGAACTTGTGCGTCACGGCGGCGACGAGCGCGGTCAGCGAGCAGGCTGAGGACTCGGAGCACAGGGTGTTGCGGCTGCGGCACTTCCAGACGGCCATGATTAGTATCAAGGCGACGGGGTTGAGCAAGACGGTCGAGAACGAGTTTCAGAATTTCGAGAGGGGCGCGAACCAAGGGGCGCGGGCGCACGACGAGGACTAGCCTCGCCGTGGTTTTGTGTCTTTGTGTCTTTGTGTCTTTGCACGTCTTGCGGTTTGGACAATTTTGATGATGTACACTACATATGAGTTTTTGGGTGGGCTTTTAGGAAAGGGAGCATTAATTAATACATGTACACGAAAAGTGTATTTCCCCATCTCTCTCCCTCTCATCATCTCAAACCCTTCCACGCGTCAGACCAAACCAAACCATGCCATGGCTACCGACACGTGGAGCCCACATGGAAACAAGACAGCCGGAGAGTCAGGTCCGAGTTGAGATCCTTCTCATGCCGTAAACAGGCACGGTATAATAGATGACCTGCAAGCACTCTCACGAATTCGCCTTCACCCACCTCCCCACCCCCATTTTCCCCGCCTCCGTGGTCTGAGCGACGATGGATACACAATTAGCATCTAGGAGACCCCATGAAACCAACCCCCACGTCGAATCAACATTATCAGGATTACAAGAGACAAGCGGTGAGATCCATCTCTTCTTCCTCTTCCTTTCCTCTCTCCCTCCGTCTCATTCCTTCCAGATGCGCGTCACAAAGGGAGTGGAGAAGCCGAGCGGCGCGGCTTAACTCGGTCAATCCGGAGCCGAGGATCAACTGCCAGCAACTGAAAAAAGGATTTCGCCATCCCACCCCGAGATGTCGCCCACTACAGAGCAAAACCATGCAGATTTCAGCGTCGATCCCAGACAACTTTGCACACACACTCACGCTCCCGCACTCAACAGATCACTCACACACCGTCAAATTAACTTGACCTTTTCCCCCGCGGTTACATCGTACCCCATATATACAAGCGCGCGCCCTTTCCCGGACGAGGCCCGTGACTCACAAACAAGCGGGTAGATCTATACTCCGTGGGAGCCGCAGGATCCGGGGCTGGTTTTTTATCAATTGAGTTTTTAAACCCGAGCTTTTCTCTTAAATCCTGATTTGCGTAAACTGGCCAGCCTCGCCAATTTGAAAATAAAAGGCGGCCCTCGGAAGACGTAAGAAGAGGAGGGAACGAAGAGTATTGAGGAAAGAGAAAAAAGAAAAAAAGAAAGGAAATACACACCTCTTGCTCGAACACAATGGCGGCACCTACCCAAATCTCCGTGGCCCCTCCCCTCCTCGTCCCGGCCGCCCCTCCGTCGCCGACATCGAGGCATCCGAGACCACCCCCTCCTCCGCGGCGACCAGCCCAAGCCCCCGACGGCCGACGATGAAGTCGCCGTCGTCGTCGACGAGGTCCCTACCGCGCGGCTGGTCGTCATCATGGGAACCGTGTGGATCGGCGTCTTCGTCGGCGCCATCGACTCCACCATCTTCGCCACCCTCTCGGGGCCCATCTCCAGCGAGTTCAAGAGCCTCTCCCTCTTCTCCTGGCTCGCCACCGCCTACCTCATCGCCAACGCCGCCTGCCAGCCCATCTCCGGCCGCTTGACCGACATCTTTGGCCGCGGGCCCGGCCTCGTCTTCAGCAACCTCTTCTTCGCCGCCGGGAACCTCATCTGCGGCCTCGCCACCGACCAGTACACCATGATCCTCGGCCGCGTCATTGCCGGCATCGGCGGCGGCGGCCTCATGTCCATTTCCACCTTTGTCGGCTCGGATCTCGTGCCCCTCCGGAAGCGCGGCGTCGTCCAGGGCATCGGCAACATCTGCTACGGCTCCGGCGCCATGCTTGGCGGCGTCTACGGCGGCTTCGTCAACGACCACACCGCCATGGGCTGGCGCCTCGCCTTCTTCTCCCTCGTGCCGCCCGCCGTCATCTCCGCCATCCTCGTCTCCGTTCTCGTCAAGATCCCTCCCAAGATCTCCAACAAGTCCTACGTCTCGCGCATCGATTTCGGCGGTGCCTTCCTGACCGTCGGCTTCCTCGTCTCCCTGCTCCTCGGCCTCAATGCCGGCGGGAACCTCGTGCCCTGGCGCCACCCGCTGCCAATCACCGCCGTCAGCGCCTCCGTGGTCCTCTTTGTCCTGTTCTGGATTTGGGAGAGCCGCGCCCGCCAGCCCATCATTCCCGTGCGCCTGCTGGTCAACCGCACCGTGCTTGCCGCCTGTTTCGCCAATCTCGTTTGCTCCATGGCCCTCTTCATGGCCATCTTTTATGTTCCGCTCTACCTACAGGTCCGTGGATACTCAGCCACTGATGCCGGCCTGGCCCTGCTCGCCTCCCCCATCGGCACCTCCGTCTTCTCCATCTCCGCCGGCCTCATCATGAAGCGTACCGGCCGCTATCAGGGTCTGGCAATCGCCGATCTCTGCATCTTTACCGTGGGAATGGCCGTCTTGACCACTTTGGATGAGAACTCCCCTCTGCGACTCGTCCCCTCCACCTTTTTCTTCACCGGCGGAAGCTACGGCGGCATGCTCACCATCACCCTACTCGCTTGCATCGCGGCGGTTGACCATTCTCAGCAAGCCGTCATCACCTCCGCTACCTGTAAGTCTACGTCACAACTTGTGCCCCCTGCTTTGGAAGAAGAATTCTCGTTTGTTACCAGGAGCAATGTACTAAATCAGAAAATTTGAAACCTACTAGATCTCGCCCGCAGCCTCGGAAGCACCATGGGTGTGACGATTGCGTCCGCCATCTACCAAAACATTCTCAAGGCCCGTCTTTGGGAACGCTTCGGTGACCAGCCCGGCGCGGCAGACATCATCCGCCGAGTGCGCGATGATCTCGAGGAAATCTCTCGCGTCCCTCCCGGATGGTATGACGGCGTGCTGAAGTCCTTTATGGAGGCGTTCCACGGCGTCTGGCTCGCCATGTTGACACTTGCGTGAGTGAATTTCGCAAAAACCCACCCCCGTTGCCCCAACGTTTAGGCTAACAGACTTGGCTGCTATACAGGTTCCTGGGTTTGATTAGCGTCTCCTTTTGAAGCAATATACCCTTCACTCGACGCTCTCTCGCTCCGAATCCTAAGCCCCGGACGGCATCGGGCAAGAGAAATCCATGCGGCTTGGCCGGTTATCGCGTTCGATAGATGCCATGACGCGCGCATTGCGAACGGACGCGTGAGACCTAGTGCGGCAGTCTAGGCATTTCAAGCCCTGACGTGAGCCAAGATGGCAACCTCTTCCCTAGGGGAAGAAAAAAGTGTGAATTGAGATCGACAGAGGGTCGCTAGCGCTTCCTCGATCGGATCCTTCACATGAATTATTCCCAAATCGAAGCTAGCCGCCAGTTCTCGACAGCAGCTCTGTCGCGCATGGCGTCAGTCCATACTTGTGGGTAGGACTAACTTAAAACCACGAGTCAAGCTGGTGATCAGTCAACTACAGTGCAAGTGGACTGTTTGCTTCTCGTCTCCTGGAAGATGAAGAAAGGGCGATTTTGCTCCACTGATTGGATACGTGAAAGCAAATATCGCCACAGCTGATTGAAGAGAGGGAAACGCAACGATAATCTAGTGTTCATAGGAAATATAAACGACGACATATTATCACTCTTTCCACTCTTATTTTTTTTTCCTTTGTTGGTTCTCTGCCGAACGTGGTGCTGGCCTGTTTGGGTAACCTGCGCGGGTGCGGCTGTGGCTGAGACATCATGCCCCGTTTGGGAGGTGGACTCCTTTGACCTCGGGCTGACTGGATCCCAAATCAACTCTGGACGTAATAGATCGTCGGGGGAAAAAGGAACCGAAAAAGAAAGGAAAAAAAACCCCTCCATGTACATGTCTCAAGTCACAAACATAAATATAGCAACACACCAAAAGTGGCACCTCGAGTGCGGGGTGTTGGTCAATATCTCTTCAATCCTCTGTTTGCCCCCAACCCGACCAGATGGGCTCGGAGGGTAGAATGCAAATTGGATTCGCATCCGACGCCACACGCAGTTGGAAAAGATTACCGGCCTGCGGAAGTGCCCGTCGTCATCCCGACGTCGGTACGCGCACGCTATGTGCCGATACGGCGTGCACTGGTGGAGTGAGCTTCGTGGGCGGACTGACGTGGACAGTATGGCGGTGCAAGGTCAGAGCCGAAAGGAATGGGTTTCAAGGTGGGGAACATCTCTTTGTTTCCCTCCAGATCTTTTATCCATTTGACTTGCATTGATGTCTCGCGCGCAGTTCTTTCAAGCTTGGCATGTTTAATCAAGCAATCCTGGCTGTGCCACCAAAAGTTGTGAGGGGAGGATTTTCCCGAGATGGTCAGGAATCTGTCTGACAAAAAATTGCACATCATCCCCGGGAGCAGGCTGGCCAAATTTAGATAGGAGATGAGATTCCTTCTTCACAGCTCGGTGACCTGCTAAGAAAAAGGCCTTATCTCATGCGTACTCGGCTTAAAAGAGGAATCAAGATGCGCCAGGGCAGACTTATTAGCCACTCAAAGGCTTGGCTGGCCAAAGGGATCAACGACTGCCAATTAGTAATTCGGCCGTCCAGCAGATGGAATCGCTTCTTTTGGGTCCTCAGCCTGTTCCACTGTCCCACATGATGAGCAGGACTGAGCACAGGTCCAGGCGCCGCTGGCGCATGTGTTTCTTTTCAGCTGTCGGGAATGGAAGATGCTTGATTCGCTGGTTGGATTGAGGTGGCGCAGCTGTCTCGACCCACCGAACACTTTAGCAGCGCGTCTGGAACAAGCCAAAGAAAGAAAAGAGAAGAAAAAAAAAAAAAAGAAAAAGAAGACAAGCCAGGGAGGGACCAGAACGGGCATCAGGCTCTCGCCTGAACTTGAGTCAGCCCAAGACTCTCTTGCTTGTCCTGGAACGGGTTTTGGATTTTCTCCGAGCAGCCATCAACCTCCCATCTGCCCACCCCTGCCATACTGTTGAAAGCTTGTGCTGAGGGCTTGGCCCGCTAAACGCAAGCGATGCAGACGTTGATCCTCAGCTATGTGAACGAACTAATGCTTCTTCTCGAGCTAGAGGAGAATAGGCGGAATCAAATTCCATATTCGGTGTACCGAGCAATAATATTCTTATCAATATCGTTTTTTTATGTTGTGAGAGCCTGGTGCGCCTCGCTCGCCGACTCCCTGTACTTCCCACCCTGCAAGGAGCAAAACCCAGACGCTGTTCTCAGGCTCGCGTGGCTTGGCTGATGCTTGGGCGCCACGCCGTTCGTCAGTAGCGCAGCTCCCTTGCCCTATGTGCCTGTATTTGTTGCCTGGATTAATGAACTCTAACGCCAAGCCCGCAACCATATTCTCCTGCCCCTGGCTGTGCAATCTTGGCTCGCGGAAATGGAGAAAAGGAGGAGACTGTGACAAGAGCCCAACGGGCAGTGACCCAGAATAGGGCTAGGACAGATCGCGATCGCTCAGAGCCTTCTCTTTCGATTCAGTGTTCCCGTACGGTATCATCCCAGATGTCTTTATTCTCTGGTTTTCATGGGACTTGATTCGGTCTTGCTGCTCTTTCTTTATCTTTGGAAGAGCACTTGTCCCAGCAGCCCGCTCCTTTTTAGCGTCAACCCTGTGGTACGTACCCGGATTCGATATCCGTTCAATCTTGGGTTAGATGGTATTGAATCGTGCATCCAGACAATAAAATGTGGTTTATTGGATACTGTCACCCATCTAAAAATGGGTATCCATCCAGCTGACGATGCCCGGTGCCGTTGGTGCCGAAGAAAAGAATCGCGAAGAAGAGATGGAGACAGCGTAGAGAAAAAGGGAGTAAAAAGAAAAGAAAAAAAGAAAAAGAAAAAAAGAAAGAGGCACCCGGGCAACCACAAGAGCCGCAGCAAGTCAGAGCCAGCCGCGACAGCCTGAGGGCGGGTAATACTCCCCTAAAACCAAATATCTGGCTGAACTCGCATCTCGGGTACCTGAGCCACATCAGCCGTATGCAAAAGGTACCCACGAGCCATGTTGCCCTCCCCACCGTTGCACCATCACTGGGGCTTCCCTGTTCGAGGCTCAGTCCTTCAATGGCTCAGCCAGTCGTAGCCTCCCTTTTCAATGCCGCACCCGCGCCAGCTTTGCCCTCGTTGCCCCGTCCAGAAGGACGCAGCGAAGCAGTGATCAACCATCAACACTCAAACCTCGTCATCCTGTCTTCTTTTTTTCCCTTCCTTTCCCCCTTGCCCTCAGCTCCCGTTTTCCTTTTTCTTCTTTCTTTGAAACTCGCTTCCCTTTCCCTCACATCGCAACTTCTTTTACTTTTTTCAACACATCATTGTCAAAGCCAGCGAAGCTTTCCTCTTGATTTCTCTTTATTCGCTTGGTGGCCTGTAGAAGCCTTGTCTCCTTTTCTTCATTCCTGCCGCCGTTTTCGAGGTACACGGCCTCCTTTAATCTGCAGTAGTGTGTCGAGCTTGTGCTCACCTCCGTTTCCACCCCTTGGTATCGAGCCATTGCGACGAGGAACAAAAGGGCGACAATACCAAGGCCGCATTCCAAGGAAACAAGCTTTCGTTTCCGTCTTCCTCGATGCAAGGTCTCGCGACCCCTTCCTACATTTAAACTCGAAGTGTTCTATCATCGCTTGTTCGCGACTCGAGGCTAGCGAGCCACGACAACATCCACCACCATGGTGTCTCTCAACAACATAGACCCTGATAGGGTCCCTTCGGCCAAGATGGCCGTACACGGTCTCCAAATTGTCCTTGTCTTTGTGGCCTGGGCTCTGGAAATTGCCGTTTTCCGAGACTCAGAGGCCAAGATCACAGGCCAAAATGGATGGTTCTTTGGTGTTGTACGTGTTCTCCCTGAATCCACCATTGGCCTTTTCCTCTCCATTGCTTTCGCCATGTTTTCCTTGACGCCCGTCTCTAGCTACGAGACGGGGATAAGGGGTATCACCGCGACCACAATGGGATACCATCGGGACGTAAACGTTGCATAGAGGACGGTTGTCAGCTAATCTAACGTGTGATTTTAGTGCTTCCTCTCCATCCCAGCCTGGGTTTATGTCCTCATGACCCCTCGATGGGAGCGTACCCGCCACCTTGCCGATCCTCGGGCCATGCTGGGCGTTGATATCCTCTTCTCCATCATCTGGCTGTCCGCCTTTGCCGCCCAGGCTACCTACAATGGCGGTGACCGATGCGGTGGCGCCTGCGGCATTAGCAAGGCCATTGTCGCTTTTGGCGTTTTTGTCACGTATGCTATTTCCCTCTCGCAAACGTCCCCTTTTCTTTTGCCCCTTTGGAAATGTAGGTGCTAACCCAAAACCAACCACAATAGTATTCTCTGGATCCTCGCCGTTGTCATCAGCTTCTACACCTACCATCACTGGAAGCTCGATGGCTACCTCCCCGGCTACGATCACCGCAAGCTTCCCAACTCCAACAACATCGATCCTGACAAGGCGGCCTTCTCCATGGCTCCCCATGACGAAGAGGCTTATGCGCCCGTCAACATGGATGAGCGTGAATCCGGCCGCAATGACGATTACGCGAGCGGTGCTTATGGCGGCGCTCCTTACGGCGGCTCGCACGCTGGTGGCCGCACCGACCCCTACGATGACGACGACCGATATGACAACGGAAGCAACGTTGGCAGCAACGTTGGAAGCCACATGGGGAGCAACGTCGGCGGTCGACACGGCAGGACGAGCGGTATCTACGAGGGCGATACGAGCTATGGCGCCCCCAGCAGCACCGTGTCTCCAGCTACGGTAGCCCGACCCCGGACCCTTATGAGCAGCAGTCCGGTCCTGCCCAGTTCCCCTCGGGCAACTACGACAGGGTACACTAAAATGCATGAGCGCATGCCGCTGCGTGCTTCTCCCCAGCGCTTCTTGGCCAGATCAAACAAATATTTCAGCAAATTACGCCCAATAGTGTTACGTATGCATTTGATGAGCCTAGGCGTGTTCTTATGTGAAGGTGATGAAGCATCTGTTGGGTACGTCATGGAATGAGTGATCAACGATGGCACCACAGGACGCTTTTTGGTTGTTTCAAGGCTTCATGTTGGATTACCGGTGTTGGGGCGTCCGTTTCGAGACCTGTTCTCTTTTTATCTTTCATATTTCTTTTTCACCCTTGTCCTTTTTATGCACAAAGAGGCGAACATTCATAAGATACCAAATAAAATCGATACATAGCTTTTCTTAACCATTTCCTTTTCACAGCCTCTAGTGCCAAGTGTGATTGTGTCGTTACGGCTGTCTTGGCAGATGCGATGAATGCAGTGTGGCCTTTCCTAGGGGCCATCATACAAAAACCAAGGAGCCGAGCCGTTTTTGGCCCTTCACCGGCCCCTCCTACCCTATTGCCAAGATGTCCTTCGCAAATGCCATGCTCTCTTCTCCCCTCCAGTGCGCCACCTCACCTGTTCTCCTGCCATATCCGCAAGCGTTTCCGGATATCCGCTTCAGTCTGCTGCATAGGATTAAGCCTCCTATCCCTCACCATGGCGGCGGTGTTGTCTTCTCCATGCCTCTCCACTAGCCTCGTGATCCACTCTCGTTCCCTCTCACTTTGGTATCTAGGCTTTTGATGACGGGTTGCGCGGCGAGCTCCTCGAGCTGCCTCACGATGCCGGTGGACGCGGGAACGCCCTCGTCGATTCCACCCCATTCCTCTTCGTCCTCTTCGTCCTCTTCCTCATCCTCATCCTCTTCCTCCTCCTCGTCTTCGTCGAACTGGTTCAGCTGGTCCCTAAGCGGATTCGGCTTCGTCGTGGACCCGATGACGCGGATAATCCTGCCCGTGGCATCGCGCTCCACCCTCGTCTCGCTGATGACGGCGCCCTCGATCGTCGAGATGGCGAGGGGTTCGGGGCTCTGGCCTTGCGAATGGCGGCGGCGGTGGCGCGGGGCGCTTCGAGGCTCGAGGTGGTGGCGAGGGCGGCTTCGCGGAGGAGGGTAGCCTGCGCGAGGGAGATCTCGGAACCGCCGGTGGGGGCTTTTAGGCGGGAGACGAGGCCGAGGCGGTTGTAGTTTTGGGTCAGGGTTTCCTTTTGTTCCTGTGGGGGCGCATCGTGATATTAGCTCACTCGTGCTCTTCTTTTGTCTTGGAGAGTTTGGAGAGGAGGAGGACAACGTACCAGTTCTTAGCGATGATGCTGTTTCCGAGGGGGTTGAGGATTCTCTTCTTCCTGGGCTTTATCTTGATGCCCTGCTTCCCCGAGCGGTTCTTCTTTTTCTGAAGGTCCCTGCCCATCTTGAATTACCGACCGAGAGTCACCGAGGTCCCTCTTTTTTTTTTTGTGGTGATTTCGTTTATTCGATTGTCTGAATATTTCTCCAGTCAATTCTAGCGGATCGTCAAGGTTTGGTGGAAGGAGTAGCAAGGCGTGTGTCTTGCTCTTCGTCAATAGGACCTCACCGAAAAAAGAGGAACAAAAAAGTTGGTTAATGGCGGGCAGAAAATATTAGGCGGTGGAGGGGAAAATTTCGAGGAGAACAAAATGCCAATGCGGGATGGCCTGGCCTCGACGCTAATGGTGGATTGATCGATTTCTGCGTGGTGGGGCAGCCTGTGATTCGACGAGGGTTTTGCAAGGCTGTGAGACCGTGATTTCGACTTGGAGCTTTGGCGATAGATAGCGCTTCCACTCTTCACAATCAACTCCTCAGAACGCGAGGCCAGCCCTTTACATCACATCGATTTTAAAGTAGATTATTGACGGCAGGATTCGAGTCAGAAGAAGTTTTTTGAATCATGGTCATCTATGTTGGAAGAAGGTCATCCATCATGTCTCTCAACCGTCTCTATCTTCAGCACACCCCAGTCAGGCGTAAACGATATCTACATCACCTTCTTTTCTTCTTTGGTCTACTTGAGGCTCTTCTTAGGGTAGACAATAGTGAAGTATATGTGATGTGTATCCTTGGGTGATTATAGCATGCTCACACCTATAGAGGAGGCCAAAGATGTGGGCCGCAGTTGGAGGGAATTATGGACGTCTGATCTTTCATCACCTCGTTATTGATTCTCGGATCACCGCAGAATGCGTCTACAGTGTAGCAGCGAATAGTGTAACCACCTCGCATTCAAGGGCGGAAAGAGGCATGAGAAGGCTGAGCACAGCATAAGCTGACATGTCGTGAGCCTGGCCCTGATGACCAACACCGCACGTCGCACAGCGTCGTTGTGGTAAATTTGTGAACAGCACTCCAACGAAGCATGTCAAACAAATTTGTTTTTCTTGAGACAAAGTCTAAGTCCGGTTTCTCTCTCCAAAAAGCTGCAAGACCTTCAGACTCGTGCTATTATATAGGCCTCTCGAACTGTAACTAGGGCCGAGGAAACCCTAAAGTAATGAGGGCAGCTCGCTAGTCACCCTAAGATTTTATAAATGCAGCATCAGATTCATTACTGTGGAAATGACAGGGGTATCAAGTATAACCAGCACTGGAGAACTAGAGATCATTTGGCTACGGACCGGTAATTTTAGAAAGAGGGGGCCAGTCCTCTGCCATGGCTAACGACAATAGTGTCCATAGTGAGCGATCAACCATCAATGATCGAATCCCACCGTACCTCTACCTATCCATTGATCGCCAGGGCCCTTCTCTTGAAGACTCGCACCCCGCCAGTGCACGGGGGCATGAAGCAAGCGTTGGTTAATACAGCAAGACGACGCAAATCTTCAGGCCTAGAAATCACCTGGCGGCTAAAGTGGCTATAGCTGCCAGTCTATCGTGGGGAGATTCGGATGCCATGATTCTGAATCCAGAAGAGGGCCGGTCCCGTTGCCTACTTTGTCGTTGCACAGCCGGGAAAAATCGGGGGAACTATCAAGAGCCCGTCAGCGTAGGATAAACTTGCCACCTCGGGGAATATGAGAAATCCCCGCTGCGTTTCGGGGATTGTTGTGCGAGCCCGGGCAATCCAGGAGGCACTAGTGGCTGGTGGCAGGAGAACTTGGGAAAGGATCTGGTCGATGACTACCCCGCCCCCACGCAGCTGACCCAGAAGAGCGCGCTGCCACACTACCCCGCCAAACGCATGAGGTCCTGTTAGTGTCTCTGGGCTTACAGGGACTTGAGACTTTTGGTTGGGGGTCGAATTTGGGGGTTCTTTCCCCGATTCCCCGAGCAGTGGGTCACTCACTAACCTCGCAAGGGGAAGCAAAAAACAGCACCCACGCGATCGAGATCCACTGTCCATTAATACCACTCCGAGGATTTCAATGTCAACAGGTTTCAAGGATCCCTAGGCTATTAACATGTCTGTTTGTTTCGAAACGAATTTTTCTGACCCAAAGTTACCGAAAAGAACCGGCCAGGCAGTAGGAACACGCCCGGGGATCAGCGGCTCGTCGAGGATGGAAGCTCAATGTGCAGGGGAAGAAGACGGGCTGGCACTGACAGGCCCTTGCCCGATCGTCTGAACCGCCTTCCTACCGACCCAGAGGCTATGGCTAGGTCGATAGTGGCGGCAGGAGCGCCGGCGTTTGTGCTTTAGAAAGGATATGCGCGGCCCGCGGCGACTCTGGAAGGGGAGATGAGGAGAACCTGGATATTACTTTCCCTTACGAGGCCATGATAGATAGGCTAGAGAAGCCAATACCGAGAATAACCTTGACTATCCCATGTTGGAAAGTCAATGCGAAGAGTTTCCCGCATCTATATGAAAGGGAGGCAATCGCAATTGCACCTTCGCTAGCGATGCTGGCCTTTACTCCGCACGGGGGAGAGAATCGATCGCTCCTTCCATTTTTATATTACAGGCTAAAATGGATACAGCCCTGAGCGGAGTGGCCTTCTGTGACATGACCACAACCGAGCGGAGACAAAGGTACGGTGTCGAGTTTTCTCCCTAGTCTAGTTGAGGCGACGGGTCGCTGTTGGCGGATACCAGAATACTCGTGGTCGATTTGCTCTGCTGTGCGGCACTAGACTGCGCTGTACTTGGATCTATGCTTCGTGGCCCGCTGCATCCGCCAGCCAGTTCATTCCGATGCGCAGCAGTTGTAGAGTCCCGTGGTCATTTGCTGCATGGCAGATCGAACCTTGGAAAAATACCGTCGCTCCAAACAGTGCATACTTCGTGACTCAAGCCCCAGGGAAAGAAACTACGAAGTAGGATTCAATGCTCCTGGGGTCGATTCGTCACCTCTCCTGTGGCTAGCCGTGGTTTGTGTTAGAGAAGCATGATCTCAGAAAACTCTTTGACCGAGTGGCCCACTTCCCTTTTCCCTTTGGGAAAGAGCTCCAACTCTCTTGCCTGTGTCCATTTCTTTTCCTCATGCCATGAACCCACTCCTTCTTCCTCAACAGCCCCAGATATCTCACCGAGGGCCGAGAACTGAGGTGGGCGTCTTCCGGGCTTGGTTGGCGAGTGCCCCATCCATCCCGCTCGTTCCTGCGCTTTTCATTGGTGGATAATCTTTTTACCTGCGAATAGTGGCCTGCCCGCCGATCTGCAAGAACATGTACTTGGCAAGAACGTTCAGAGTTCAACGGAGTGTCCTCGCCCGCCGCATATCAAACTCCGGCCGATGAGGTTCGAACCGGGGAACAGGGCAGCCTTCGGGTTGGTTTGGTCTCCCTCCATCAGAGGACGCCACCCCAGGATACAATGCCAGTACTATATCCTGGCCAAAGATACAGGTGAGGTCTGCCGGCAAATAATCAGTTTCGGACCAGCAATTCAGGCCCGGGTTATCGGCTCTGAGACGTGTGGGTGTGAGTGGTGGTTTGGTGGGTGAAGCGTTCGTATCTCTGTCAAAGGGAGAAGGGAGTTGAACTGAAGAGCCAGTGGTGGATCCTGTACCCACAAGCTGTGGATGATTGTTTGAAATCAGGAGTGTGCTTTCCAGTTGGTTCTGTTGGATCTGGCAGTTGACCTTATTCTTAGTGCAGGAGCGACCAATTCCATCCTTGTGCATCCCGGTTCCAACCATTGGATCCAATGCATTTGATTCATGCGAGGAGGGCAGCGTCCTTCATCGTGGCTTGATACAAGAGGCAGCGCCGGCCTGTTGCCGTTCGATTCGAGTTACCTGATTGATAATAGCGACGCCTTTGTCTTATTTTGGGGAGGGATTGAGCTTGAATCCCCATTCCCTTTGCGGGAACCGGTGCTTGCTTGCAACCTTTCGGGCGGCCAAACACCTGTCACCAGCGATGCGTGACGTGACAGATGATGGGTCGTATGGCGGCGCGTGAGGCTGTGGGTCTCCCGTTTTCTTTTTTCCTCGTCTTTCCACCTCCTGATCCCCATCCAGCCCCGACCGCCACATTTAGCTCGGTGCCGAAGCGGTCCAATCCTGCAGAGCGGCCTTTGTCGCGAGGAGCGTATCGTCTCCACGTTCAGGCCAAGCCTAGCCACGAACGACAACGATGAGCTCTTCCCACTGGTGCTGGCCAAACCATCCCGCGTGTACCAGGGATAGTGGTGATTAGGACGGCGTCTCATTCGCCATGAATCCTCACCACCCAGGTCAGGGGTATTCATGGATGATATTAACGGGACATGTTAATAGTTCGGGTTTTCCAGCCTAGATGTGGTTAGCAAGCTTGAACACTAGTGCATGCTGCGCAGGGTGTTGAGCGTGGGATTTAGCAGTGGACAATGCTCCACCGGCCGGATCCATGGGATGAAAAGTTGAACCCCACGAGCCATGACTAGTGTAAATAAAAGGCCTGACGACGAGATCAAACGCTCGGTCCGCCAAAAGCCCGCCAAAAGACACTGACCAGCTTTGTGGTCCGATGGGTCAACGATGGGTCAAGATCTTGTTTTTGCCCCACGACGACGGAGCATCTCAAGGGCTTTGGTTTACAAAAAGACACATCCGCGGCGGCTAACTTCTCTGTGGCCCTCTGTAGCCTCCGCCCTCACCGGGCCGGTTGATAGTTGAACGCGGCCGCTCGCCTGGATGCTACGTCGGGCAGGTCACTCAACTCACCTCCCACCTTGAAGTCAGCATCATCCAAGGCTCGACGGCAACACAATTCTGTGGCTCCAGAACGAGGGGCGCGGGGTCTTCCCCTCAGACGATTCCCTTCCTTTTTCTCTCCCTCTCTCGATGTCGCTTCGGGCTTGTTGGCGAGTGGAACCGTTGCTCCTCTGGACTTAAACGAGTTCGTCCCACCCCAGATATCTGCGCCATGGCCATGCTGGCTCACTTTGAACAACGGTCATTCGCGATTCCCTGCCAATCTATCTTTTCACCCCGGAATCCGACAGCAGGTCCTGTCCCACCACCCCCTCCATCTTCCCCCATCTCCAAGGGTCCCGACCAAATTTCAGTTTGGCTGCATCCACCCATTCACCCAACCCAACCCCAGTCTTTGGTTCAGATGGACATCTTGTCCCTCCGTCACGTCTACAATGCCTCGAACCCTGCCGGCAGAAAGCAAAAGAAGGCAGAAAATTGGAGGAACAGGTTGCACCCCATCCCATCCCACTCGGCGCCAGGTGCAAAAGGCATAGTGTGGGGAATCTTAACCACTCCCTTTGCATCGATTCATATCCTATTAGTCTGATTATCCGAATTTCTCAGCCCCTGACCGAACAAGCAGGTCTCTTTGGCTGCACCTGTCCCAAGAACCTTCAACCCGATTGTCTGTCTATCCACAGATACTCAGCTGCATGAATGATGATCCCGTCCCGAAGTCGACATGTCCTCAACCCGCTCGCTGTGAGGAGGATCCAAAAGTCACTAATATGCAGTAAATTGGAGACCGAAAAGAAGGCAAGAAAAATGAAAAGAAACGAGAACAAAAACCACCCGTTACCTGCCACACACCACTTATTCCATGGTTGCGACCAGTCAAATTCCTTGCGAATCAGGAGGAGTCAATTTCTATCACCGGCATATAGATTCTTCTTTTTCTATTTCCCCTACTTGATACCTTGGCCATGGGCTCTGAGCCGGGGTCGACGATTTGTCCGCCTCACCGGTGGCCTCGCCCCGGGTCTCTCTTTCTTTATTTTACCTTTTACCTTCCTTTCCGTTGACGCCGCAGCCCCCTCCCCATCCCCTCCTGAGGCTATTTACCAACCTACCTTCCAGAACGGCGGCCCAATTTACCGCGTATCGGCTATGATGGGGGCCATTTCTAACGCATTGGATTAAAAGCGAGTGATCGATTGGGCCCGTGGCCAGCACGAATGAGCCACTTCTTTGTTCTTCCCGTCCTGGAGTGGGCGGGAAGAAAAAAGAGCTGGCCGTTGTTCATGACAATACCTAGTTTCTCGCCTGCCCTACACACTATTTGATGTTTACGTGGATGTAGCATGAAAAAGCGAGAGAGAAAGAGAGAGCACCAGGCCTAGCTTTTCGTCCATTCCACGTCATACGTGCCCTTAGCACTTATTCACTCGCCCTAATTATACCCCGGGAGAAGTCGATGTAGACGCACCCCGTTGTATCTCACACCCACCCGACCCCGCCCCTGGCCTCGTCGACTCTGTCGCCTTTGCCTTCCCACCTACTCGCGAGTGCGTGATTTCTTCGCCCCGTCCGTACTATATTATCCTCTTCTAAGGGGACAGAGTCCAATTGCAGCTTGCCGCAGGTGCCGTCACGACACGCCCACAGCAGCATCCCGGTCATGCCTCGGCGCCCCGTACCCTCCCTATTCCCTTCCCTTCGATGTACCTTGGTGTTAGACCGCACGGCGCCGCTCTTTGCTAGCCCTTGAGCCTTGTAAGCCGTCAACGTAGAGCTTCCTCGCTTATGCCAGATCCCAGCTTGAAACCGGTTGGCCCTCTTGAGCTGTTTGCCGCCTCGGACACAGGTAGTCTAGAACGCGAACACACCCTCTTTGCTTTGCTTTGCTCGGACTCGGGTCAGTATCCGAAGACGGAAGGCTTCTGGATCTCCCCCTATATATAGTGTACCTAGGGTTCCGCCGGCCGTCTTTTTCTTTCCCACTCGTGCCTTGCTTTTCCTGTTTCTACTCTGTGCTGTTCGGTTTTTTTTTCCTTCCTCAGGTTTGTTGTAATTCCAGCTTCGGGCTTCCAATACACCCTCTCCCTAGTAGCACTAGACTGGGGCTTTCTTTCGTCTTCTTCCTCCCCCAAGGCAAGAAACTCGACACCTACCTACTCGTGTATTAACCTTTACGGTTTTGCTTGTCGCGGTCCGGAACCCCTTGCGTCTTTCTGCCCGTCACCGTAGATAATAGCCCAAGTGTTTGCTCCGTTCCGTTCAAAAGCTCTTTATACCCAAACGCGGCCACCTTCGCCTACTACCATTCCATCACGACTACCAAACCGAACCCCCAATCACTCAATCTCCTTAGAAACCACCACATTCTGTTTCCGTCTCCTTTTGTCCAGAAACCGACAATGACGGCGTCCAACGGCACCGCGACCAACGGCCACGGCCAGGCCCGCCGGCCCTCCCCTGCGGAATCTACGCCCCCACCATGACCTTCTTCGACCCCGAGACGGAAGAAGTAGACGTCGCCACGATCAAGAAGCACGCCGTCCGCCTCGTGACAGACGGTCTCGTCGGCCTCGTGACGATGGGTTCCAACGGCGAGGCCGTACACTGCACGCGCGAGGAAAAGATTCTCGTGACGCAAGCCACGCGCGAGGCCCTCGACGAAGCCGGCTTCGGGTCCACCCCCATCATCATCGGCGCCACCGAGGGCAGCGTCAAGGGCACCATTGAACTGTGCCAGCTCGCCCACGCCGCCGGCGCCGACTACTGCCTGCTCCTGCCGCCGAGCTACTTCCGCGGACTCATGGACGAGGCCGCCATCCACGACTACTTTGTCGGCGTGGCCGACGCCAGCCCTTTACCCCTCGTGCTGTACAACTATCCCGGCGCCGTCGCCGGCATCGACATGGACAGCGACCTCCTCATCAAGCTCGCCAAGCACCCCAACATCGTCGGCACCAAGTTCACCTGCGGCAACACGGGCAAGCTCACCCGCGTCGCCCTCGCCACCGACGCCAAGACCCCGACCTCGGAAGGCTCCGGCTACATGGCCTTTGGCGGCGTCTGCGACTTCACCGTCCAGACCCTCGTCGGCGGCGGCAGCGGCATCATCGCCGGCGGCGCCAACGTCATGCCCAAGGTCTGCGCCCGCGTCTGGAACCTCTACGCCGAGGGTAAGTTCGACGAGGCCATCGCCCTGCAAAAGGTCCTCAGCCGCGGCGACTGGGTCCTCACCAAGGCCGCCATCGCCGGCACCAAGCAGGCCATTCAGAGCTATTTCGGCTACGGCGGCTACCCGAGGCGGCCGCTCAAGAGGCTCGATCAGGAGCGCGTGGCCGCCATCGAGGAGGGTATCCGGGAGGTCATGGCTGTCGAAAAGTCATTATAACGCCTCGATCGGCGGATACCCCCGGGGAAAAGCACAGAAAATTCTGCTGCCCCTAAACTCGGAAAACAGAGTGCCTCTGCGGGACTGGATTGCAAAAGGGCCTGCGGGAGAGGGATTCACCACGATCGACGGCGACTTGGAATATACCAGGTCTTGAGAAAGGGACAAGACTTGGTATGTAAACGGTTCGTCGGAGCGGCGAGAAGTGGCTCTTTGAACAGATTCGTTTACTCAGTCATGCCCTGCTGTCCCCCTTTTCTGCTTTGCTTTTTCTTCTCTTGCCTTTGCCTTTTTTTTTTACAAGCCTCATTCGTTCACTCATGTTTTGGGTTGTTCTTTTTCTGTCCTAGTCCCCGCATCGGTCCCCAGCATCAATGTCTCCTTCGGCTCATCGTATCAATAGGATTTCAGGAATTCGATGGGCGGCATGAATTACAACATTGAAGCTATTTCCTTTTTTCATTTTTCTTCCAGCTTTTTCTTCATCTTCATGACGATGATTATCTCTACGCGCTCCAGGCTATGTCACACACAGACACACACAACCCTGTTCTTTGCCTCTGTTTTTTGTTCTCTCTATTAGCCTGTCTATCAGTTTGCATTGCCTACGTGGGCGGATTTTTGTCCAAGCACATTCTTCGGACGCATTGAGCGTAGTCGTTGGAAATAACGCGTAAATATATACATTATATATAAATGATTTCATCGGTCCATCTATTGCTGGGGATGAGACACCTTGTGGATAAGGCAAGTAACTTGACACCACTCCTCGGCGTCACTAATACGACATCATTCTTGGGAATCGACAGACAAGGTTACAATTAGCTTTATCAAAACGTTGAAGGGAGTGGCGGGAAATAAAGCAAGGGAGCAAACAAGCCAGAGGGAAAAGAAATTGGCGGCATCTATAACTAGATCCCTTTGTTCCGACATACCTGTCTCATCATTTTATACGATTCATAAATCATCATCACGTCTCCGTAGTTGACCCACGTTTAGTTGAGAGACAGGTTCCGTAGGCTCTCATACTTTGAGCGTCCTTGGATCTAGCTCCGCGATGTCGGCGGCAGATGCCTTGCCTTCGAGAATATACTGCGCCATCAGATAGCCCGTAGCTGGCCCGTTCTGAATACCCCAGCAGGTGTGCCCGGCGGCGACCCAGAGACCTGGTGTCAACGTGGGCCCAATCAAGGGTCCCCGTTCGTCACCCGAGCGCATGTGGCGAGGCAGGTAGCAAGCCTGGCGAGCCTTGACGGGGGCGGCGCGGAGGGCGGGACTGATGGTGGAGATGTAGGCTACTAGGTCTTCGCACTGGTCAGGGTCGGTCTGGACTAGATCGGCGGTTTCGGGGAGAGGAATGGCGGAGTCAGGTTCGCCTAGAAGGTATGTCTACATTAGTCTAAGGAATTTCCGGGGAAAAGAAAAAGATGGCTGAAAGGACGGGGACCTCCGTGGTCCGTTGGGGCTTTTCCTTGACGAGGGTTGCCCACGGAGGTAGGAAAAGGGAAGAGTTGGATAGAAGGAGCAGAGGAAACGCACCACATGCGTAGACTTCGTTGTTAGGTCGCGCATAAATCTCGGGATCAACGCCTCGCTTGTGCTTCCGCTTCTGCCCCTTTTTCGCCCGGTGGGGTGGGACATAGTCTCGCGGAAGGGCGATATCGGTAAATATGGCCCAGGGGCTCACCTCGGCCTCGAAAACAACGCTGTGGGCGCGGAGGCCTTCGACTTTTGTCTTGGGGAGGAGCTTCCCGTCCAGGGCCCCGCGCACACGACGACGTCCGTATACTCTTTGAGAACGTGGACCTCGCCCGTTTTGCGGTCTCTGTACTCTATGCTGTCGACCCCTCCATCCGACGTCTTGATCTGCGTCACCTGGGCGCCCGTGCGAATGTCCACGCCCTCTTCACGCGCCAGCTCGGCGATCGCCGTCGTAAACTGGAAAGGATGGACTTGGGCTGTTTTCGTGGCGCCGGGTCTCCCCATTTCACAATAGCCGTCGAGCGTTTCGGGATCGACCCAGTCTAGGTCCAGGGGGACGCCCGCCTCTTGCAATAGTTGGACGGCGTCCGCGCTCTGCTTCGGCAACTTTTCCCAGTCCTTGGCCGGCTCGACGTCGGTGTTTTCCGCGGGCGCCCCATCACCACGGCGGGGGCTCTTGTCGGCGAAACTAGCGAGCTTCTCAGGAGTGACGGTGGCTGAGATGGAGCCGCAATGGAGGTGGCGGTAGCCCCACCTCCGGACACCATCGTGACGCTCGGCAAGCTCAGCATGCAGGCGGAAGGAGAGGGGCACAAGGCAATTGGGATACGCCCAGAGGGCAAGGAGGCCACCGGCCTTTCCCGAGGCAGCGGAGGCGACGTCTGTTGCTTCGAGCAGGGTGATGCTATGTGTGGCTAGTGAAAACGTGGGATGGTGGGAGAGGAAGTAGGCAGTGGTGCAGCCGATGATGCCGCCACCTGGGTAGGCAAAAGGTTAACAATCCGTAGACGGAGGCTCGCTCTGAGGTTCCGTGCAGACAGAAGAAGAAGAAGGAAACGGGCGAAAACAGAGAGTCCAATGACCAGACGAACCTATTATAACGATGTTACGCTTGTCTTGGGCCGCCATTGTGGCCGGTGTGTGGGGTTTGTGCGACGGTGATGCGGGGTGGGGGAGAGCTCGGAGCTATGGCGAGAGCCACCTCCGTGAACCTAAGTAGGGCCGGGCTTCGCGAAATGAGCAGCCCCGAAATCGAGAAGCTAGAACAAGCCGGTTGCGATGGCCAATTCCTGTTTGCAGGTCATTAATGATAAAAATGTAGAATGGCTACTGTAGGTGTCAAGTGTCACGCTACACACTAGGCCAAGCTTCCTTTAGCAAGGGCGACCAAGGGCAAAAGAAGACGGGAGAAGGAGGGGCAGGCGAATGTCATCTCCGCAAGGCAAGTGGCTGATCACATACAAGCAAGAAGCGAAGCTTACACTAGGACTGGAAAGAAGGTGCAACAAGGGGTATTCAAATTGTCCGTCCTACTTCGTATCTTCTCCCGGTGACGATGACGTGACCGTTTTTTCTTTTTTTTTCTTTCCTTCTCCCTCTCATCTATTTTGGTCTTGGTCCCTCTTTCCCCGTTGATTCTCTCTGCAGCCCGTGCCGATCGAGTTCCCAAAGCTGCGAGATCGAGCATTAGTGCAGTCTCGTCACAACGCCACTCATTGATTGGATCCTGGCTCAAGCTCGGAAAAACGGTATTTGTCAGTTCCAGTTGTGACGATACCCGACACTGTGTTTCGAGCCTATTCCTGATGGACGAAGCACCAATTGTCGATCAGTCCATCCATGGATCCATTGATGTACCAATCACTCTGGCCATAAACCTTTTTTCTTTTCTTCTTCGCTTGCATTCCTGATTCATTTGATTAGTCCGGCCGGCTGTCAGTCATAGAGAGTGGATCCCTCGTCGTGCTGCCTAGCGAGTTGATAAGTGTGTGTGTGTGTGCGCGTGTCTGTCTATCCGAGCAGCTTCGGTCAGATACCGAGGCACCAGAAGCTTCTCTCAGCTCTGCCCCGTGTGTGGGTTCGCTCGTTCAACCCAAACCTGGCGTTATCTCCGTGGCTGTTCCCATCGGACAAATTCGTCATTGCACCTCGTCACTGGCGCAACACCAATTGCTCAGCCGGTACGAGCTCGCCCATACCCCGCAGTGTTTGAGCGTCGGGGGCGGATCTGCTGGCGAACAGGAACGTTTTGGAGGATTTGAGGCGTTGTGAGCACCTCGCACGACCCCGGATGCTCTCTGTGCCGAGCTTCGTTGTCTGGCGCAAGCTCGTGCCCACCCACCTCCCGTAACCCGTCGGACTCGGCGGGATAAGGAAAAGGAAAAAAAAAAAAAGGAAAAAAGGACACAGCGAGAAACGCTCCAATATAGGCCCGGGACAATCTTTGTTAGAATACCTCGTGCGCCAAACACGCAATTGAAATGGGGCCCACATCAAAGCTCCGGCGCTACCATATGTATTTGCGATCCCCCTCTCCAAAACCCAACCTTTACCTTGCACGCTTCAAACCAACCGTCGCTTTCGTGGTCCCATATCCTGCGATAACCCGAATCGAGCATACTCTTGCTCGTCTCTGTCTAGAAACACTTCAAGTAGTGTAAGGCAGCATATTCATCGTCCAGCACCTGCGCTAGCCCGCTGCACCCCGCCATCACTCGCACCTCTGCAAACGGCAGCTCCGTCCATCCCCCGCAACCAACCATTCAGCACGATGGCGTCCGCCACTACCTTTACGATTTCAAGCCCTTGGATAGTGAGTGACGTCTTTTTATCCCATGTGCGACCTAGCCCATCGAATCTTCAGAATCTCTCTCTTTCCCCGCGCGCGCCTATTCCCCTGCGACGGGCCATTCACCTTTTTCGAGTTTCGCCCTGCGCAACCCCAGACCCGAAGTGATGCTAACATCGTTTTCCTACTAGAGCGCGGCCAAGAACTGTCCCTTGGCGATTACAAGGGCAAGGTCGTCCTCGTCGTCAACACCGCCTCCAAGTGCGGCTTTACCCCCAGTTTGCCGGTCTCGAGCAGCTCTGGACCGAAATCAAGGAGAAGAACCCCGACGACTTTGTCATCCTCGGCTTCCCTTGCAACCAATTCGGCGGCCAAGACCCCGGTACCGACGAGGACATTCAGAGTTTCTGCCAAATCAACTATGGCGTCACTTTCCCCATCATGAAGAAGATCGAGGTCAACGGCGACAACGCCGACCCCTTATACAAGTGGCTCACGACCGAGAAGCCCGGTCTCCTGGGTCTCAAGAGGATCAAGTGGAACTTTGAAAAGTTCCTTGTCGGCAGGGATGGCAAGATCAAGGGGAGGTGGGCGTCGACGACGAAGCCGGAATCGCTGAAGCAGCCCATCCTCGACGCGCTAGCCGAGTCCGCCTGAGGGGGCGCGGAGGACGCTCGAGGTGACAAGGATGTAGACGGGCCCGCGCGGTTATAGAGACGCGGCCAGCTAGTATTTTCTTTTTGTTTGAGAAATATCCCGTATATCAGAATTGAAAGAGCTCCTCCCCCACATACTACTGCTTCGATGCTACTGTTTCGCGTGCGCGCGCATGCGTCCTATAACGATGGCCGGTTGAGGTCAGGCCGCAGCCCCCTCCCGAAGGCCAGCTTCGAGTATCGAACCTAGAGGTGCTATGAGGATCAACGTCAGCCAACAGGTCCATATCGTCTCCCACTCCTGTCCTCTCCATGGGTTCCAGGGTGCTGAATATGATGCGCATGTAGGCGTGAGCGCAGAGTTTGAGAACCACCACTAGGTGGGGTGAGTGGCCTTCAGCGCGACGGCGGTTGAGGCGGGCTGGGAAGCTTGGTTGCTATACTCCCAACAAGGCCTTCCCACCTCCAAAGCCGATGATCCAGAGAAAAGCAATGAATACAAGGAAGGGGACGAGGATGGTGGCTATGTTTACGGGCCAAGTGCGCTGATGTCCCAGAAACCGGCCAAGAACCATTCCGTGCCCATTTCACGTCGGCCGACTGACAAAAGTGCAGACCGTAAAGCAAAGGGCAATGGAAGCGCAGCTACCATCATTCCTCGAGGAGTAAACCCGCCAACTGCACTTGAACGCCGTCTAGGAGATCTGTGCTAGTTGAAGGATTGTATTAGTTTCAAAGGTAGAACCACGCCTTTCACAACCCACGGACTGAACAACAACAACAAACAACAGCCCGTGACCTGTATATCTTGGGCTCGCGCTTTGGCTTCAAATCCAGGAGTGAAACTTATCCCGGTTGAAGCCACTCTTCCTCTACAAATGGTTCCAGATTGCCAATAGGGCTGGGGGTAACCTAACAAGATTGAGCACGTTATATAGAATGCTGACATGCAAGAGGATTTGATCCTCAGCCACGAAAGGGGGTCCGAGAGTCCGTACGACTCCCTTTCGCCCCGGCCTCTTCTGGTCCTTCCGCGTCACATCCCGTGGCACGTCGAGGAAGCCGGCTTCCGTCCGCTCTTGCGTCCGCGTCCACATCGACAACCCGCTCCGTCCCAGAAAGAAGAAAGAAAAAAGCCACTCGTTTCGCTAACGCTAGGACTCGGGATATTCAAGAGCGGAAGCGAGAAGCAGCAAGGCCCAACGAAATCCTAACCAGGCCGACGACCAAGCTATTTTCTTCCCTCTCTCTCTCCCTTTTGCTCTTGCTCTCCCACCCTGTCTCATCCTACTCAACATCACTGGTCAATTGCCTCTACGCGATGCTCACGAGGACAAGCCACGATGGGCAGGCCCGCTGTTTCTTGGTTACGGGACGAAGCGTCATCTAATCTCCGCGCTCGGCACATGAGCTGGCTGGCTTGCTTGCAGGTACACCATCTTTTGAGTTTTAGGAGGGCAAAGTAGCCCTTTTCTTTTTCACACATCGTCGGCTTGGTTATATCTTTGCTTTTGGGGGCGAGGTTGGCGAGCACCACCCTGACGGGGAGAAAGAAAAAGCAAAGGGGTTTTGAAAAAAGCTTAACAAGACTCCGAGAGCTAGGGGATCGGTAGAGGCGCCGGAAAGGGAGGGGGCGTGGGCTCTTCTTCCCAGGCTGCGGATGGGCAGAAATAGCCATGTTTGGGGGTCACCTTGTCGGGTTTGACCCTTCACTAGATGAACTGAAAGCTTCCTGCATTCGTGTGGTTGGCCTTGCGTCACGGTAGGTGTCGGTTGGGAATGGGAGGAGACTGCATGCCAGAGGAGGGGATGACACGGGTCACGCGAGGACTGGAAGATAGAGAGACTTAGCTGATAGGAAGGTTTTGTTGAAGAGGGTCCCGTTAGTCTGAACTTGATATGCATGCATCTCCTTCTCCTTCCCCTTACTCCCATCATGGCAAGGATGGATCGCGAAGCCAAACCGCTCTCTACTGGCGTCCAGGTTAGAGAAGAAGGAAACAAAAAAGAAGGGTGTGTTTGTCGTGTGGGTGTGTAAGTGGGCGTGCGTGTGTGTGTGGTGTGTGTGTGTGCGCGCGCTGCTTGATGCGAGGCCACTTGGCCGACCCCTTCTCGGCGTCAGATGGCCTAACCTAGCTCTCTCACTCATCACGCAAGATCGTAGGGTCGTAACGTCAAAGCCCATGAGAGCAGGTCCGGATTTACAGTCAGATTAGAGTTTTTGTCGAATTGCTTGATTTGCTTGGATGGGGGCAGGGAAAGCAAGGTAAAAAACACAGGATAGGAATTCGTGTGAACTCGAGATCACGATGGTCCTTTCCGACATAGCCAGATAGGAAAGATAGGAAAGAAGGTGGTATCCGTGGGGGGGAAGGGTGAGCCATGGGCATCGCACACCAAAAGCCCTCCCCTCCCCCCCCCCCAAAAAGGGCAGTAGAGAGTACCCAGATAAGACTGATTGATAGGGAGGAGCAAGGGTACAAAAGGAACCATCCCCCGGTTGCTGTGTTTGGTTCTTGCCTCTTCGCCTCTTCTCGCTTGTGCCTCTTCATATAAATCCTGTCTGCAATGTAAGCCTGCGCCTGGCCACTCGAGTCGCCCCGATCGCGCGGCGGTCAAACCGCCCCCAGAAAAGGGAGCAAGATACAGACGAGGAGGAGAAACAAGAGAAACAAAGCAAACAAAAGAAGAAAAAAAGCCTCCACGCGCACACCACCCTGCTCGCTCCCATCCTCCGAGGCAAGAGCCGTGACCTTCTGGGTTGGGTTAGGAAGGAGATGGAAGATCGCCCAACGAACATCGCAAGTGTGCTACTACTCGAGACCTGGGTGGGATGGGTTTAGTCTCGATACCCGGGTTTTTGTCCTTTCTTCTCATCTTCTTTTCTTTTTCTCTCGTGAGAGCTTGGGGAACCCGCAGGATGAGTTGGTGATGTGATGGGACCAGAAACCCCACTGACCCTCATCTATCGCTAGTCGAAAAGAGGGTGGTGGGGTGTTGCCAGTGAAGCACGACAATATCGACCAAGCGGACGCCAGTCCTTAGAGAGTAGAGGGGGAAGGTTTGCTCCTGGAATCACATCGCACACGGCGAAGTGATGCGAAGAGAGGTCATGGGGGCCGTCGGAAGGGTATAGCAGCATGTAGGTGGCCGATATTACTTTCCCGGCCGTCCAAGAGACGATCCCCATCCTAGCCACTTAAACCCCCGATTACTGACTGACAAGCACCCGGCTCCTAGGTAGCGGACCCCTTTCGAGATTGCGAGCCGTACGTGGCGACAGAGGCGATCTCGCCGACGTCAAGCTCTGTATCCCAACACCCGAATGCTCTGATATTGCGGCCCCCTCCCCACCGACCACGGGAATCCCTAGGTGCCGCTGCAGCGCACTCTACTGGATATTACATACCTTGGGCTTGGACCCGGTGACGATGCTCGAGGGCGTGCTCATCACCGATGGACGGGGAGGCAACTGGGGGTCACCGACGCGCAATGTCGTCAGCTCGATATTCGCCGTCGTGTGATGCGCAGCGTGTTAGTACTTGCCACCCGGCGAGAAGCGTACCACAAGAAGAGGAGATACTTTACTTCATCCAGGCGCGGCGCGAGGAAGAGGGACGGCCGATCACGCCAGTAAGAGGAAATCTTAAACATCCCAAGATTTGCACCCGCCGCATGCGCCTTTGACCCGGCGCATGACGGCCGAGGCGGCGCAGGAAGGAAAGGCGACGAGCCCGCCGACATGGCAGAGCGCATCTGACCGAAGAATTTCTGCCTCTTGATACATGCGCTGGGAGACGCGAAGACGGCCGCCTTCCTGACAAGAGACCACATGCATAAGATGTAGATAAAGGCCCCAGTTTCGCAGAGCGCGAGGCAGTCATGCGGCCTTCCTACGCACCGGCGGCGGTCCCATCTCACTATGGTGATAATGGCACATTCCTCTGAGTCTGGAGGGATTCGCGGAGGAAATATCAGCGCAAGGGCACGAACCGGATTTCCCCATATCCGCTTTAAGACCTATAAACCACAAGTTAACCCACGGCGCTTTATCGGCCGCCCTGCGGTCGCTATAGGAGCGCGGCGTTGTCAAGCAGTACACGGATGAGATTTGAAATCTACTCTTGGTAACTAGACGCATGCGATGTCCTTTGCGCCGTGGCCTTTCTCAATTCCATGGTTCGCAAGTCACGCATCTTGGACGAGACCCATGCGAGCTCAGCATCGCTATAGCATGGCTATAGCATCGCTCTGGCATCGCTGTGACTGAGCACCGCGCCGCGGAAACATGAGTGACGGAGATATGAGTGAGCACACCGAGCGTATAGCTTAAATGCTAAGTTAGCTGGTCATTCCGCATTACCCGTAGCACCCGAAAGTGTTACGAAAACGCTACATTAGAGGCAACACCAACGGAGAAAGCAGTCGTTAGTTTGATATTTCCATCCACCAATTCGTCTAGCATGTTCGAGATGATCGATGGCAGCCTAGCTGGCTTCGCTCGGGAGCAGGGTCAGCGCAGCCCCCGCGATGTCTAGACCATTCTTTTTCTGTTACTCCTTGTTTCCCGCGCAATGCGTAAGCTGATGCAAGATGCAATCATCATGGAACAGGGGCCCCTGCGGAGATTGAGGGAAAGATTCATGAACCTCGTGGAGCTGATAGAAGGTTAGGGGGCAAACGCGGAAATGTGCGGAATCTAGGACTGTAGCGGCTGCGCAGGTTCAGTCTAGGCCGTGGTAACGGCGCCTGTGTCGTTCTATTTTCTTCTTCTCTCCCCTTACATATGACCAGTCGTGGAGCTAAGAGAGACGAATTTAAACCGCTTGTGCATTCTACACCACCAGACACACATCTCTTGTCCTCGAGCTAGAGGGCGTGAGAAGCTTGTAATAAAAGAAAAATGGCGCCTAAGCAAAACAGGGAAACAACCTTGAACGTCGAACGTGCTCTAGTGTCTGCAGGCGGGAGAGGTACGCGGCTAGACTAGGTGTCAGCCAG